TATTATTTGGTGGGAGCATGCCGCTGGAGCCTGGAAGCCGGGTTGTTTACGCTAGCCGACTGTAAACGTTACTCGTAATTGCACTATTTCTGATTAGACTTATACTTGCATGCCGAAAGCTCGACGTATGGGTGTATTCATCTGATTTGATGCAGTAAAAAATAAATATATTTTGTTACGAATGGACGTACCGGATGCTCATGTACGAACATTCTATACAAGTATCCATAATTCCATCAGTTTGGCAAAGTTTTGTTTCATTATTCACCATGCTTCATGCCGCAGTTTTGGTTGTTTTTCATACTTGCTTAAATTTTTACAACGTAGCAACCGTGTCACTTTTTTTACTTTGAAAAGCACTAAAAGCGCTAAGGAAGCACTAAAATAACCAAAAGCTTAGTTTATGTGAAATTTTTTTAACTGTTTTCTTGAAGAGTTGATTGCGTGCTTTGAAGGTTATGTCTCTCGATAACCAGAAGAGAGTGAACATGGAATTGTTGACAGATTCTGTAGATTTGTTGTTAGTATAAAATTATTACCGAATACAACGTTTTGGTAATAAATGCAAACAGATGCTGATGTTTTGCAATTAGACGTTATTGTATTAATTTATTTAAACGAAGCCTAGTGAACAGGCCAGTATCATACGAGTTATAAGATCAGTAGTACTTGAGATTTTCAATTTTGTTCTAACTTCTAACATCTAGAGTAGATACGGTACGAGTACTTAGTGCCGCAGTACTGTTGCTGTGAGTCTTTAACTGTATGCGGCTCGCGGATCCTTTTGTAGTAAAGGCGGGAAGGCCGAGCAACACAGAGGAAAGCGCACTGAAACCAACAAAAAACGAAGACAGGTTTCTCCTTAGTTCATTTATCGTAAACACAGTAGTACAATTCGAATTGATGAGTCGGTTTCTAAGCGAATTTAACTAACAAGCAAAACGAGTATTAGTACGTCACAGTACTTATTAGACGAACATAAGTAAGATAATAACGTCCTTCTGAACGGTATTATACTATAAGATTTTTAAGTGAACATTCAGAAGTGAAAGATTAATAATGTCTTTGAGTAACTTGTAAATTTGGTTCTAATGTTTTTCAAGTCGTCAAGCTAATAAAGCATTTTGCTTTATGCTTACTTAAGACAGTCCAGCGTTTCTAAGTGCAGAAAAAAGCGCTTAATATGCAGTATTTGTTATTGTTGACAAATTCGCTGGGATAAGAAGCGCTGATGGTAACACATTTTGCAAGCCATGGCAGCACTTCGTGCTCCTCACTCTAGGGAAATATAATGAATTTTACGGGTGTCTGTATTTTAAGATGCTGAAAGTCGTCACCGCCACTTGAAGGGAGACGACATTTTCAATAAGCAGAAATTATTGTGGCGTTTACTAAAGAAGCCGAAACGATACTGGGACAAGATTTCACAGTATATATATAAATATATATATGACAACATACACAAACGCCGGCGGGTTTTGTAGGTGTATAGATTATGATTAGTTGGTAGTTTGGTTTTTATGTTGGACGAATTCCAGTCGTCGTCTTGCTTCTAATCATTGCGAACGACCCAACCACATTCAAGCGCTCTTGAACCTCAAACAACAACAAGGCGGTAATATGTTTATTGTGTTGCCCATGTTTATGTTTTGTAAAATGCTAACTATTTGGCACATCGCAGCTCTTTTCACCGGCAAACTAAGACTTTGAGCCGCCACTGCAGTCTGCGAACTTGCGATCACATAACGACACTGAAGCATGTTTGTTTGCTTGTTACATTGTTTATTAGCTAGAACAGGTTAATTAATCAGTTGGTCATGTGGCCAAATTGTTGTTCGTGGATATTTTACTTCAACATATCGTTTTTGGTGTATATTGTTTGGTGAAGACTGAAGAGTACCGTGCATAATTCAGAATTGTTTCGGCCATTTTATATATGTATTGGATTATGTATATAGAAACCGAGGGGTCATTCTTGTGATTATATATAAGTGCCCGATACCGGCGATGCTGTTTTGGTGAGTTATCAAGTTGTTTGCTTTTGCTCGGCACCATTGCGGCTGTGATGTGCATGTATGCTGGCTCGCAAGCCAACGTCCGGTTGATTATGAGAGAAATAGCCGTGGTTTTGCTGATGTTGATATGATTTTGCGATCGAAGTTCTAGATGCTTCAAGCGAGTTTCGAAATGCTTGACAAGTTGTAGGTCAAGGCAGCATACGTATCCGCACTTCGATAAATATATGGCTAATATCGGCGCAGGAGACTGTAAACTGGCCATGCCGAATCACAGTCTGGTCAAAAACAGGCATTTACAACTTTACTCTACAGGTTTTGTTGATAGAATGCGCTTGTCAAAGCGTTTGTAACTATGTATGTACGCCGCCCAATCCTCATAATGTTGTTACGGCATTTCTGGACGATTCGATCGCAGATGAGGTTTATTCAGCAAAAGATAAAAGTAATGTATTGCCAAGGGTTGCCAAGTTATTAAGGGTAGAAAAGTAATTAGTTTATGGAGTTATCAGAGTTAGGTGCTGTTTTCAGTCAAATCCTTACAAACACATTCCTCGCAAATTAAATGCTTCAGAATTTTATTTTACTAAAAAATTCGTAATTCGTAAGGTGGCTTGAATTCTAGTTTCACGACACCACCGCAAATCGATAGAAATCACACGTAGTCGGTTGATGTACACACAATATGCGTCAATGGTTTTTAGATTTCGTTTCATTTTATTTTGTTTTGTTTTTTAAATCTGGTAATGAATAAGCATATAATCTACCTAGAAACGATAGTGTTTTTTTATGCAGAGCAAAACTGGATGGTGAATTTTAAATTGAAATGCGTAGAGATCTAGGGTGTTGTTTGTATACGTGCTGTACAGCGTGTACACCGTGTAGCACGCAACATTATTGCCGGTGGAGATTGCAGAATGCAGAATCCAGCGCTCTATCGACGCCAGGGCTGCTGAATGTGTGAGCGAATGGAAGACTGCATGGCATCTGTGAACGGATGTGCTGTTTACACATGACAGTTTCCATTTGAAACCGGCTGGACAACAACATGCTGTTTCCTGGCACGCTTGTACTTTAGCTTGTTATTTTGATTTCTCCACTAGCAAAGAAGTTGTACACAACATCGTTATCAAGTTTGGCCTTTAGCTGGCCAGTCTCAAATCCGCCGGAGAGGGGTGCGGTCAGTCTAAGTTGACCGATCGACCATATAACATATTTTGTTACTGATACAGAATTTTATGTGTATTGCCTCTCTTGGTCCGGCTGTATGTTTGTTATGGTGTTTTTCTTGGTCTGGGGTCAGCATCATGCATGTTATACTAAGCAGGCGTACGAAAGAGTTTAAAAACTATCGTCGTCCACCTCTCTGCCTTCTTGGAAAGTTCGTACACATGCCGCGAAATTTTAACGGTGTGTTTTGATGGTACTAACACAGTTTCCAGTTTTGATAGTGCAGCCGAGTAAATCAGTGTGCATTATTGTTATTGCCAGTATCGATGGTGAAGTGACCAATGGCCGATGGGCACTGATGGGCAGTAACGCAGCAAACATATGGTTATGGGCGGTTTTTGGAAAGCGTAAAGAAAAAGTAAAGTGTTATTAAATATTTGCTTAGCCTTATGTGTAGCCATACTTTTCATTTCCCACAATTTTTGCGCATCCCGGTTTTCTTAAAAGTAGACAAAACAGTTTGAGCTTTTTTATCGTACACTTTGACACGGGAAAAGAAGGCCACATTTTAATACGGTAAGAACATGAAGTTATCGTTGATGTTTTACTGTTAGAAGAAGATGCTACAATGGCATTTGGCAATTATTCCTACCAGCGTTTGTTTACTTTTACCGTTCGAAAGTGATACATGATTTTGCATAACTCATCTCTGATTTAATTAGGTGAGTATATATGGGACTATGTCTGAATTTTGAAATTTGAACCTTATAATACAGTATTTTTATAGTAGTGACCCTCTGAGCCCATGGAACCTGCTTAATATGCATGATTTCTTTGGTGAAACGTCCGAACCAAATGACAATAGCGTACACACTCTTGTTTAATAAGTACGAGTTTACTAAAGTTTCGTACCGTGGGCTTCGGAATAGTCGGCTGAGATCGGCTCCAGGTCGCATTTACTGTTGTGTGACTTGTGTATATCGCAGCATGCAGTGAGTAAGTTGCTTATTAATAATAACAGGAACTGAACTGAATTACTGCATGCATGTTTACCTGCCATGCCTTGTTATTTATAAAGACTGTTGTGCCCTAGAGCCAGCATAGTTGGATAAGCAATGTAAATAGTTCAAGGAGGAGATTTTAGTTGATTTTCAAATGGGAACGCCATGCCATATCATATGCACTGCAAACTCAGGCCGTAATTGTTTTGAGTGAAAATATTGGTTGTGGCGTGTTTACTCGTTTCCATGAGCGATATGAGATGGACGGACGAGAAATGATTTTCTGAGCAGAGAGGGAAAAGTGCTAGGCATCGATTATTACTTTATATACCGCAGCTCTGGCCTCCAGCTTCATTCGGGACCTATTCCTTTGGATTTAAAATTTTGTTGACGAATACATACATATGCATTAACGTATGGTCTGGAGATACACCGAGTTAGATAGTTTCCGCACAACTCTTGTTGTGCAGTGCACTGTTTCCGATGCCCAGCACGAATTGCAATTAGTGTTAATGACGTTATTGTATTGTATTTACGTTACCGCTCTTCTATGCTGTAACACTTTTAATCAGATTATTCTTGACATAACGCAGTGAATTTTGTCTGTATTGGACAATGGATTTACATACGCAGTTGACCGTTTGATAGTCTGTTAGAAATATTGCCCGACTACTGTACGTGGCATCTTACTCTACCAATGCTCATTCTTCTCAGTTTCCGGTTTTGTTAGGTTTTGTTTCCGCCTTGAATGCTACTGTACGATAGGTTAGTAAAGTAAATTTTTGTAATGAACCTAGCTGCATAAATTGATGAATTTTCGTTGATGTGTTAAGAAAAGTAATTACAGTATGTATTTGCTTTTCCAATACAGCACGAGAGCACCCTAAATGCCGGCCTGTGAGTAAGTCGTTGTGAACTTGTGATACCGTGATGGGATTTGGCGCGAAACATAAAGCGCGTACAAAAAGCCGAAATTCCGCATACGAGTTTTATATTTTAATTTTATTTTCTTTCAAATAAGCAGTACTACTATTAATAAAGATGCGTCTGCCAATTGTAATTGGCATGATTAAGTCACTTTATTGTCTGTTTCCAAATTCTTGCGAAGTACTGGATATGCGTAACAATTCTGAAATGTGTCTGGGATCGATGATCCATCGCGTTGTATCCGTAACATATTTCCCGCTTGTGGAATCTAATAAGCACCATGAGTCGAAAGCATTTTTGTTTAGTTAAGGTTCAGGTGATTACTTCAGCAATGCGGGCAGTGTAGTTTTTCTGGAAATCTAACAAGTCCCTTGTCGGAACACAGCCAGAAAGCTGCAACCATCCAGCTACATGTGTAAATAACAGTAGTCTTTATGATTAGAGGTCCCAAAAGTGCACAGAAGGGATGTCGATCAATATGTAAGCGCTCGGTTTGTGTTGACTGTTGTCCACAACCCTTACGCATCGACTCATTACCACAAACCCGTCCGCGCTTTCCGTGCCGCACTGTAAAAGTGTACACCGGCATATTCCCGGGTATTTATCAGCATCGGATTAACCCATCCCACAAATAATCGAAGGGATGACAAACAAAATTTTGCATTTCTTCGCTTTGTGAATTATAGTCGCAATGGTTTTACTGGCAAACAACAGACCAAATTCTACCCTGGTATATACTTATCGTATCTAGCTATGTGCGCAGCGGACTTCGTAATTATCAGCCGCCGACTCCGTTCCTTTCTGAAGGGTTGTTTGTTTGCAGCATGCCCGGGTTATAATCCGAAGAAGTGTTGAGAGAAATTTGTCTGCGCTGAATGTTGCATACAATGTCGGAAAGAATTCGCGAGCGAAATAGCGTAAACCGCACACCAGATTCAAGTCATCTGGCTAACAGCATTCCTGTCAATTTGTCGGGAAGTTCTTCCAGTCAGCTGGTCAATACATTGGTTAAGAATGCTGCCAGTTTGCTGAACGGTGGAGGGCTGCACCATGATAGAGATCGAGAGCGGGATCGTGAACGGGATCGGGAAACTTATACGGAGCGCGAGGTACGTATTTGATTTTGGGTACACGGTAGTTCGTGGAAAACCTCATTAGTTACGGTGTGTAGTTCTGTGTGATGTATCGAATATATCGTATCTATTTATTAGGATTTGGAAGTTATTGTAAACATTAGGCTTATATGTGTGGTATAATTACGTAGCATGGTTGTAATCATTCGCAATGTAATGAATAAATTGCATGTTGTTAGCTGCATAGCGGGTTATTATGTGCTTACAGTTGGAGTTTGCGAGTGATAATGCTATTTAACAATTGTGGTAATCTTCGAAACAGTGTTATGCAAGTAGCATAAACAATAACTTTTTTTCGTTATTCTTATCAGCTAGTTGATAGCGGTTAGTTTGACCGGGGCTGATTCTGATTGTGCTCTAGACAGGAAGCACATGCGCTTAAAGAGCACGCCGGCATAAATTATGTTATCAATGTACTGAATACGTTCAGCAGTTTTTTTTCCCAACCGGTAACCGCATTGACACGTTTGACTGTTCCCTTTAGGGACATCAATGCGTTGATTTGCTGTACTATCGCTTAATTGCCGGGAAAAATCGATATAACCTGCTCAATACCGCTGTCTTGAAAAGACGGTTTTACTAATTATTTTTTTCAGTCCCGCACGTGTTCTAGTATGCGGCATGCAATTAGTTTAAAAGGCAACCCTATTGCACTACTCTGTACAATGCCTACTGATCGGTTTTATATACACGGTTCCGGTAGCATCAGACCGGCTGATTTCAGTCGGCATCATTCCACATATGTCTGCGTCATCTCCGCCTAGAACAGCGCTATTTAAATCGGATATTTTATTTTTGTTCAGATGTAAGCGACAACATTTTTAATAGCTAAGCATATATGCTGTCGATGAGTCCATCGGTTTGGGATCGATAAACAAGGAGTGAATAAAGCGCTTTTTGCTGGCCCGATCACTGGCTTAAAGCGCGGTTTCGCCCCTTCATCGAGCTCTCAGTATACAAAAACTGCTCACATCAACACAGGAGATTGTTAACGTAAACATTGCGTTGAGTAGCAAGGAAAGCGCCGCGGTCATGTGATGCGGCTGCACTGGTACTGGTTTCTGACGGGTAAACTATTAAAAAATGGTCCGATGATGGGATCGAACGGTGGAAGATCATCGACTGTAATTACAGTTATATTGTTGGCTTTTCGGTCAAACACTGGTCGACCGGCCCCATACACACCGACTCAACCGAAACACCGTACACAGTTGCCCGGTCTACCATGTTTGCTTGCTTTCCTTGTTGCTCGTCAGTGGAAGCAATATCATCAAAAATACATATTCCGCACATACAGTCGCACGAAATGTTTATTTTGTAGCGGCATCTTTGTGTATTGATTCGTTGGCAACTGCGCACTCTCTTGTACGTTCAGACCGGGGGAAAGCGCCGGGCAATCAGAAACTACTGACATAGAGCTTAATGGAACGAACCTTAGGGTTAGCTTCGAAAACAGAAGTTCTTTACTAAACGCTTACGCGAGTTTTTTTTCCACGCAGTTAATGAGCTCCCATAATATTCGTTGATACTAACAACTGGTGTTTTTTCCTTAATCAGAAACCGCGTAGTAGCAGCAGCGCCACTACGTCCGCCGCGACATCCTCTATGTTGAATGGCAGTGGACTCCTGGATCCGTCGACGGCCGCGAGTCTCTTCCAGTTCAATCCGCTCTTTATGGCGGCCGCCGGAATGAATTCGGCCATGTCGGGAGCCGGCACCGCTTCCCCGATGATGTCACAGTTAACGCCCCAGCAGCTCCAACAGCTCATGCAGCAACAGTATTTGATGCTCCAGCAGGTAAACAAGCCGTTGGCTGTACGTTCGAATAAACCGAATGTATGTTTGCGTGTTGACGACGGTGTTGATGGCGTCGCAGCGCGGCGTGTTCCTTTTCGAGGTTATGGGGCTGCGATTGTTTATCCAGTAACAAAATGTGGGCGCCGCGCGCGCGCACGGTATGAGTAGTTTTAATGAGATCTATTATCCTTGCAGTCTGCCGCAGCTGCCGCCGGAAATGCCGGTCCGGGGGATAAGAGCCCGTCAAGTAGTCGGGATTTGGCGCAGCAACTAGCCATACAGCAGCAGTATTTTTTGCAGCAGTTGCAACAGGCGCGCTTTTTTGTCCCCGGTACCCCTCATTTTCCGTTTCCCAATGGTCATCTTGCAGGTAAATACGCTGTACAACACGTAGAGATACTACCTTTTCTTAAACAGTATAAGACAGCACACAGCCTCTTCGCTAGCTTATAGGCGTTTTTCCTTCTAATTTTTATTACGTTTCTTTTTATTTTTCTGCCATTGATTGGCGGGTGGCAGTGGCGGTAAGTCACCAGATATAAAGTACAGCATTAGCATTAATGTACTACTCGTACGTTGAGGTGCAGTTAAGTACAAAATTTTTTGAAAGAGTACCTTTGAATTAGTATTGTTACTCAAAAGTCAAAAGACGTCTGATGCAGTTGCAGATGGAAGCCTGCCGTATCAACCGTACAACAGCAGAACAGAGTCTCATGGCGGCGATGTAAAAGGACGAGTGGGAAGCAGCGGCTACTCAAGCAGCAGTTCTTCCTCAGACAAAATGAGTCCATCTCCGGCCGTCACTTGTTTATACGGTCACGGTGTTTGTCGTTGGCCTGGATGCGAAGCACCAATGGACAACATACCATCCTTTATCAAGTGCGTTAATGCGTCAATTTGTGCCGTATAGTTTAGTGTGCCGTGCGTCGTAAATCGGGATTGTGGTTTAGATTAGCATAGCTAATAGCGTACGGCGGTAGTTAAAAAGACAGGGCTCTTAAAGGTTAAAACAACAAATGCTGACGATCCGCTTTGCTTTGCTGATTTCTCGGTTCAGGCACTTAAACAGTGAACACGCACTGGATGATCGGAGCACTGCACAAACACGCGTCCAGATACAAGTTGTCAGTCAGCTCGAACAGCAGCTGCAAAAGGAGAAAGACCGTTTGGATGCCATGATGCAACATTTGCATATGAAGCCCAGCGATGCCGCGCTGATCGGTGCGACGGAAAGTCCAGTTAAAGAAGACCCGGACACCGTGTGTACAACGTGTTATTAGCCTTAAATTATCTTCTCGTGTCTTAATCGGGGGCTTGTCTGTTGCAGATGTCGCCCATTTCCACACCATCCAAACTACCTCCTTCCCTATTTAATTTCAATTTCACAAACGGTTCCCAAGCCCAACATTCCCCTGCAACCACTCCGGTCAGTGCAGCCGCACTCCATCCCTCCCGCGGTGAGCGCCCGCCTCCCGCGCAGCCGTCCCCGCCCAGCATGGCCACCAATAGCCAGCGATCTCCCAGTCCCTCGGTATTAGCCATACGCCGTCGTGTTTCAGATAAAGCTAATCTTCCCATTGCAGCGGGTAAGACGACTCCGTTAGTGTTCTCTTTTGTTTGTTTTTCACGCGGAATGTGATTGTAGATTTGGAAAGGAATCGAGAATTGTACAGAACCAATCACATCCGCCCGCCTTACACGTATGCTTCGCTCATACGACAAGCGATCATAGAAAGCCCGGATAAACAGCTGACACTCAATGAAATCTACCAGTGGTTTCAAAATACTTTCGCCTACTTCCGGAAAAATGCCGCTACATGGAAGGTAAGCATTTTTTTGTTTTAAAATAATTTCCCTATAGAAAATGGTAGCAAACTAGCAACACATTCTAGTCGATTTGATTGAGAAGCACTTACGCAGTAGGTTTTGGTAATTTCTTTTTCGTCTAGAATTATTTCAAGTTTTTGTGCACGTATCTGTACAGTGGTCATTTGATCGCTTTTATTTGTTCGTACAGAACGCCGTGCGCCACAATCTCAGTTTGCACAAGTGCTTTACGCGTGTTGAAAATGTCAAGGGCGCTGTTTGGACTGTGGATGAAGAAGAATTCTTCAAACGCCGGCCGCAGCGCATACCGAGGTAACATATTACATGATGATGTTTTTCCAGTGCTATTTGATAAACATGGGCATGTTGTTGTAAGCAGTTCAAAGCCTTATTCAATGTCCCACCTTGGAATTCCCGCGTCGATGTATAACGATGCCTATGTGAATGGTCGCAGTGTCGGCTTAGCGGACGAAAACACTCCACAAGATTATTCTAGCGGTCCATTCACGCGCACCGCTCCCCTGAAGAAACAACATCATTATGGACTGCATTCGCTAATTATCAAACCGGAAACCGCAGACGATCGCTCTGATGATCCGAACTGCGAAAATGGATACGGAAGGTGAGGCGCATTCACCGTCAGTGTTAAACTAATTGGGCAAATAAGGACTGAGCAATTAGTAAATATCCTTGAAATCATCTTGACAATGCCACACAAATACCCGATGCAGAACGTTATGCATGGGATGTCAGCTGGAATATGAATATTCCCGTGTGGCTCTGAATGACAGATTAATCGCACACAGTAGTGCAACATGACCTTATATGCACATTTTATGTTTTGTGCTTTCTGCAGTTTCTGGTTCTTACATAATTTTGCATTGTATATGTTTAAACATGTGTTTAACAGATAATTAACAAGTTATAGTTCAAAAATCTTTTTCACTCAACTCTCGTCCGTTAGGATTACGGATGTTTTATGGAGTTTCTCTTTCGTGCACCGGTACTTCTTGAGACATCTCATTTTAGAGACGAGGCTGCAGTACTGTTTTAATTTTCCAGTACATTTTGAGCTTGCTAGTACTTACTCTGGTTTATATATAATACTCGACTGACATTAGTGGTTATAGCAATAATTTTTATTTTGAAATGGTTTAGTTCTGCTGGATCAGACGGAATGGATGCCAATGATGATCTGGGATCGGATGAATATCGCGATTATCCCGATAACATGAGCGATGCAGCGCCTGATGAACAACAGCCCGGTGGCAATGGAAATTCTTACGAGGATCCTGAGGAGCCACAGTCGCCAGTGGGTGAAAACTATGACCGCCGCTTGGCTATCAAAGAAGAAGGAATAATCAGTTCCTGAGTTCTCTAAAAGTGGCGCCCCAACACCGGAAATAGGTGCTATTACCGGATTAGTTAACGCAGCAAAGAATAGCACCTATGTATGTGTGCATTTTCAATTGAAAACGCCAAAGATTATTGTGAGCTATCAGTACTACTTTGTTTGTTGTACACTCTCTATTGATTCTCCTTTTGTGACCTTATCTCATGACGTTGACCTTTACTAATGCGTGCCACACTCTCTCTTCAGGTTGTCGGGTGCTGTTAGGTTTGAAAATGTAGGTAGTTATATAGTTTTGGCCGGTTTAGTATTTTAACATGTTTTGTTACCTTTTGCATTAAGTTATGTGGTATCTAACTAGAAAAGATTGAGTACTTATGTTACTAGAGCGTGCGATGACGATATGTTCGGTAGTTTGGTGTGACCTCCAAATTTTCGCGAAAGTATTATTTGTGACAGATGTAACAATATTTATTCGGTTGGAATTAAAGTGAGTTGCTGTTATTGTTTGATATTAATCTGCAAATCTGGTTCATTATGAAATATATTAGTTTTTTCTACTGGACAAGTTATTTCTGTTGACTTGGAATCAGCTGACTGCAATACGCAAGGCAAAACGATGGACCATTCACATAGCTGGAAACTGGTCATAAATCAACCTGGAATACGTTATAGGAAATCGTGTACTGAAATAACCGCCGCCTTATAATTATCCTGCAAATAATACTAAACATATTAAGCAGCAGAAAAGACTAAATACTTATACCAACAAGAAATTTTAAATCGTTTGGAACTAATGCGCTAAAAGTAGGCTATTATCGCTGTGCTATTCCGGTTCCGTTTTGGAAAAGGCGCTCAATGTTCTCCTACCGCAATAAACCGCAAGATATCGGTGGTACAGGCGTATAAATTCGAGCGCTCCATTGTGAAATTTAAACAGTCAAATACAGTGTTCAGTATAGAAATATTTCCTGGATAATGTTCTTGAAAACAATTTGATCTTTGACTGATCGATCAGTCCACAAAAACGCAGGATAATAATTATTAGTAATTTAGTACTGTAATAGTCGGATATAAAGACAGCATTTGAGTTAATTAATTGGCAGTTTCGTTCAATGATACAAACCTCAAAAAGACATCATCATACCCGAGTAACCAACCATGCATGCGAGTACATCCTCCTAATAGGCTCCTATAGACAAAACAATTTACTAGTAACTTAACAAAATTAATTATTGTAGTAAAAGTCAATCAGTTAAGTGATTCAGGAAAATGACGTTACGCAGCGGTTGCAGCAAAAGATACAGCAATCCAGTGCCAGCCACCCTTGGTAACGATATCGTTACAGCTTACACTTACACTGGCCGTACACCAGTCGTCATCAGCTGTTTCCTTTGATTGCAAATGTTGAGAAAGGAAAGCAATCAAGTCGTATACGAATGACGTTGCTCTACTAGTGCTGACTTTTTTGAACAAAATTTTCTGGAACGGTAAATGTAATCAGCCGCTCAGTATCTGGAATTCCTTATCTAAACAGTTAAGATAGTGAGAACTATTTCGCTATCAGTATATTATTCATGTTTATAAGAACCTTCGAATCCATAATGTTCATGATTGCGCCCAGAGTGTAGTAGTTGGTTGTCCTGGTTCTTCGTGCATATTCCCAGCCATGTTTGCATACGGACTAAGCGTTCGGTATGGACGCAGCATTGCCGTGAGTTTGCAACGGTTTCAAGAGCTTTCTCATTCAGGTAGGTTGTGTTTCCCGTGCGGAATTCCCTTCGCAACTGTTCGCCTCATTTATTAGGCCGCGCCATGTCGTCCGCTGCCAAGGTTCTCCCACAGTATCAGCAGTTTTTGGACGAAGCCAAGTTAATCCGTCAGAAGGCCTACATTAACGGCAAATGGAATGATGCATGCGATGGTGCCACTTTTGAGGTGCGAAATCCAGCCACGGGCGATCGCATCACCAGTGTGGCGGATTGCAGTGCCAAGGATGTCCACCAGGCCATGTAAGTGAATAAAATGATGCACGCAGATTTTGCCGTGTCCAAAATATTTTCTAAAAAATTAGTGAAGTTGTGCAAGTAAACTGGCGGTGAATATCTTTTACGCGTTTTTTAAAAATATTTTCCATCAAATAATTTCCCTTGGTAATAATTTCTGTTTACCACTTTTTAAATTTTTATTTGTAGGATAAGTATCATTAGTTTGTTTTCAGTTTGCCAATTTATTGAAATCCAGGGTATATTGCTATAAAAAAACAAGGCTTTTTTATAATATGATTATTTTCTTAAATGTTTTCGTTTGTCTGTTGTTGGTTTTTTCACTTGTGGCGTCAATTTATACGAGTGGAAATCACGATTATCAGTTTTATTGTTCCATGTTGTAGAAATGCTGCGCAGAAAGCTTTCAAAACATGGCGCGATACTACGGCGAAGGTAAAACTAAACCTCCGTTACTGGTGAAATTGACATACTAGCTTTGTGTTTCGTGGATGTGCCGCAAACCAACTGAGATTTCTGCATGTTGTACAGGAACGAAGTGTTATTCTGCGACGCTGGGCTGATCTGATGACGAAACACCAGAAAGAATTGGCCATGATTCTGACCGCGGAAAATGTAATTAGATTGCTCGCTCGTAGCGCTAATTTGCATTTGTAATTATCAGATGGCTTGTGCTCCAGGGAAAACCTCTGGCTGAAGCGGAAGCAGAGGTGGCATCCGGAGCATCTTTCTTTGAATGGTACTCGGAGGAAGCCCGGCACATTACGGGCGATATAATCAATGCTCCTTTCAAGGATCGCCAGTTTTTTGTTATCAAAGAGCCTGTTGGAGTGGCGGCCATGATAACGCCGGTGAGAACTTCCTCCACCGTTGTTTTTAAACCGTTGATCATTTCAAAAACTATAGTATTACATACAATTAAACTATAAAGTATTTTAGTATTTTAAAACCGGGTGCATTAAACTGTATATTTTACATCATGGATCTTTTAAAATGCATTTACGTAAACAATTTTGTCCCTGCGCATTTTTTTATCCAGCTTTAGGGATATCAACTTTTCCAGTCTCTTTCCTACTGAATTAACTTATAAAGTCCGTGTAATTTTTCTGTTTGCACATGGCCTGTTTTTTATTGTGTTATGATAATAGAATTGATTGGTTTTCATTCGTTATATTAATACTCTTCGTGGATTTTGATTTGCAGTGGAACTTTCCTTCGTCGATGTTAGCCAGAAAAGTATCAGCCGCTTTGGCTGCCGGATGTACATGCGTTATGAAGCCGGCATCCGAAACACCATTATCGGCATTGGCTCTCGTTCAGGTGAGGCACTTCCTGCTGATTAGTAAAATAAAGCATTTAAGTGCTTTTACGGGTTTTCTGTAGTTGGGAGAAGAAGCTGGAGTTCCTCCTGGAGTGTTGAATATCGTCACCGGCACTAATGCAGCAGAAATTGGCAAAATTCTTTGTGAGTCTCCGCTGATTGCCAAAATTTCATTCACTGGCAGCACAAATGTCGGGAAGGTTCGTATGATAATAGTGTATAGAAGTTTTGTTTACATTACTTAAGCCGACGATGGCGTTTATCTGTAAAAAATACTTATTCCGTGGTTTTGTTTTGCAGTTGTTGATTCAGCAGAGTGCTTCGACAGTAAAAAGAATGTCGATGGAACTGGGTGGACATGCACCGTTCATTGTCTTTAACAGCGCCGATATTAAAGCGGCAGCAGAAGCCGCTCTGTTTTCCAAGTTCAGGGCTTCCGGTCAGACGTGCGTATGCGCCAATCGTATACTGGTACAGGATAAAATTTATGACGCATTTGCCGATCAACTGGCTGAACTGATCGATAAAAAACTTCGCGTGGGTAACGGCTTCGAGAGTGGCACAACTCAAGGTCCTTTGATCAGCAAGAAGGCGATCGATAAGGTTCGGAAGTTTTCAAGCTTATGATACAGTTTAGGTTGATATTGCTCTTGTGTACTCTAGCCTAATTTGCTATTCATTTTACAAAAATTAGTTTCAAACATAAAATGCTGAAAATTCGTGTCGGTTGAAAATTGTACCGAGTTTACTCGTATGGTCTGCTGACTCTGCTGCTCCTTATTGACATTCACATCGTCTGTAAATAAGTTTAGTTCTTAGATCAGACTGCTGTAATAGATTCTGGTGTTAAGGTTCGATAAAGGTCTGTAGTAATGGGACGTTGAAATATGTTGTGGCTTGTTGTCAAGTCATGAGATGTTTTTAGTCATTCTAATATTGCTACTTCTTGTTAGGTTGCGAAGCATGTTGAAGATGCCTTGCAACGAGGAGGTAAATTGCTTTCCGGTGGTCAGAAGCATCCTGCTGGAGAACAATTTTTTGCACCTACGTTGATTAGAGATGTACCGACAGATGCGTTAATTTGCAATGAAGGTAAGAATCTGCAATTGTATTCGCTAAAAAGCAGACAATACTGATGTAATGTTAATTGATGTGCAGAAACATTTGGCCCAGTTGCACCACTGGTTCGCTTTGCGGAAGAAGACGAAGCTGTCGCTATTGCCAACTCAGTACGAGTGGGCTTGGCAGGTAACTGGGACATTGTGGAGTTTGCGAAGACAGTTAATATTAATAACAGTTTTATGGTAGGATACTTCTACTCTCAGGATGTCGCACAGATTTGGCGAGTGGCAAAAAGGCTCGAAGTTGGGATGGTAAGCTAGTATTAGAATGAAATTATATTATGATTATACCAAATTTAGTGATATTGCTTGCACATTTCGTTCCCCCGAATAATTCGTTGAAATCGGGTATAGCTCATTTCAATGCGGTAGTTGTCGCCCATCGTATATATAGCATATACATTTGGTCCGAACGTTTTTATTTGAACTACTCGATTGATTTCTGATTTTTGTCGTGTTCTAGGTGGGAGCTAACACAGCTATGATCAGCTCAGTCGAAGCTCCGTTCGGTGGTGTAAAGGAAAGTGGAATGGGACGAGAAGGCTCCCGATACGGTTTAGATGATTACCTAAATATTAAATACATTTGCCTGGGCGGCTTGTGAACAGCTTATGGCGCTAAACCCTGATGGACATTCGTTATTTATTTATTCATTTTCTACAAATCTAAAATTTTCCGGTGAATGAATTGTGATTCCAAATGGTTCCTACGACTGCGTTGAAGCAGGACGATTTGCAATGATATATTTAATCGCTGAATCCAGTATACATACACCAGGAATAATTATTGAAATACACAAATGGATGATGGCAGTTTCAGTTTTGCAGTTTCAAGACCAATGCCGTAAACAGAAAGACAACACCGAATTTGCTACACGTGTCCTCATATCGTGCTTTAAACCATATCGATTTAATTATTATTACCACAACATAAAATTGAGCCAGTCAACGCGAAAGAAAGAAGCGTCTATTACTAAACTCCAAAGCATAACTTGTATCCCAACCAAACAGAAATCTACACAATTTCTACTTTATGCAGAAGCAGAGGCAGTGCTCAGCAAGAGCAGGGCTAAAACATTGCATAATCTTTACAAACACAACAGTGAAAACCAGGGAGAAAGCCAAATACAATTCTAAAAGAATCCGGGGTCTGTCTCTTAAAATCTGGGGAAGTTAAATCCTCTTCGCAATACTTGAATACTAGGTAGTGTAAACGTCCAGAGATGACGGTATGTCAGTCTGCACGTCCATAGGTGAACACTGAACGATTTCCCTTGAAACAGGAAGCGCTATTTGTACGTACAACGGCCACACGTGTCCGCTAAATGCAACATGCGCATTCATCCCACCTTCCCCCGCGTAACCACGCAGTTTCGCTTTTTTGGGCTGATAAGCAACATCGGTTACTACCAACCGGGATCGGCTTTTAAATCCATTTTCTTAGATAAATTTAACGGTTGGTCAGCATCGTTCGTACTGTTGATCATCGCGGATGCTGGTCGTTTCGTCGGCGCTGTGCTGCCGATCGTCGGCGAGGTTGGAGTGGAAGCATGTGATCGCGTCGAAAAGGGTACTTCCGGTGCGCTGGTCGTTGTGGGCGATCGAGCTTCCATTTGTAATTGATGCATGGCTGAAATTGGAAACGGTGCCATCCGCGTCTGCAAGGAAAGCATGATAATTAACATCCTGTAAACTCGTACTCACCAAATTTTTTACAAATTTTTTCGTCTACTGTTATCAGGTTTTGCGGTCGCTTAATCGATGCCTAAGTTTCACGGCCAGGAAAACGAGATATCAATATTACTATGTACAATTCCCCGTAAAACAATGCTCTCTGATTGGAATTACTTCCGCGTAGCAAAGCAATAAATTCTATGTAAACAAAACCGGAAACCACGTCAACGGTTCGAAAAACATAAAGTCTGAGTAGCAAAATTTACAAAGAATGTAGTTTTAACCAGGTTTCACAACTCAGGACTCCAATAGCGACACATTAATGTCCGGTACCATCATTCATGAAACGATAAACAATAAACAAAACATACCTGTTGTGCCAGGGGAAGATAGCCCAGCGACATGTCAAACGCCTGTGGATACAGACTAATATTGCCAATTTGGTGATGTAACAGGCGCATATCGGCTGCCGCATGGGCCGGATAGAACGCAGCCGGTGAGACGAAGGAGAACGGTGATGCTTTGGTAAAAGCTGATCCGGCCACAGCCGCCACGGCGGCCGGCATCATACCGGGGTTCGGCGCTGCCGCCAGGCCCAATCCATAATAGCCTCCAAAATTGGATAGCAAATGTGTGGGCATCAGCGTGACAGGCGAGATCGGAGATTCTTGGGTTAGAGCCGCGTGTAAGCGTGTAGTAGGGGATCCCTTCATTTCGGTTCCCACAGAAGCCGGTTCTTTAAAACTTCCCACAGCATCCGGCGGCGACGGAGCCGGACTGTGCCGGGGTGCGGTTGTGCTGTCGGCCCGGGCTTCCTCATTTTTGCGGGCCGCGCGGAACTTTTTGTGTGTGCGATACAAGTCGGCATAAATTTCCGACGCATTGGATAAAGGAGGCGCTTGCAGAGCGCGTTTTAATACAGGCATATCGCAGTCGGGTGATTTCACAGCTGGGACATCGGCTGTAAAAAAAAATTAAAAAACTAAATACCGAAAAAAACCATCAATAAAATTAGCTCAACTAATCTTGTACTGAGCAGCCCACTATCAGCCATTAAATCATTAACTGAGCCGGCCTTGGAAAACCAGATGTGAAATGCAAGGCTGCCCGGCGCACGTCGTTACAGGTCAGGGTCAAGCAAGTTGGTCAAAGCAGTACTATATACACACTGACCACATCTGACATGCTTGTGGCCTTCCCAGATAACCGCAAGAAAACGCTCGCGCCCATGTAATTAATGACCATGGCGTAGGACGAATAAATCACAAGCCGTCCATAGAAGAAACACAAGTTGTTCAATTTGCACGTAAAATATGGACGAGCATAGTAACTAATTACCATGTAAATACCGAGAAGTATTCGTATGTATCACTGGTTATAGTTACACAAAGTACAACAAATTACAGAATCCTTTTCGCAAGATTAAACCAGAATGATAATGATAACGTTTAAGTGCAACAAAGCAGCAAAAAAAGGTTAATGCTAACGAATGCACACCACCATAATGAAAAATATAAAATTGCATTGCAAAGTTAAGAACTATCGACTCAGGTTGGCAAGTCATATCGCAGCAAAAGTGGCATTTTCGAAGGCACTTACCGCTGTCTTTTGCTCGCTGACGCGCACCATCGCTATCGAGATCAAATTTACAGTCACTGCCACTTTCAACTCCGGAATCGGCGGCCCGTGTGGCATCCGACGATGTAACACTGGTGGGCGAGCGGGACTGCGGTGAGGAGCTGCCACAGCGTCCGAAACTCGACTGTGGACTATCCGCTTCCACACTGGTGCGGCCCGCCCATCGCTTCCCGTGCCCTTTCCCGGGCGTCGTCGTGCCCAGTGTGCTGGCCATCAGACTGCCGCACGTATCCATCTTCCCACCAATCAACTTCTCGGAATGCAACGTATTCAATGTCCTGAGATCAGGGATTTTCCTAATTAACTGTGCGTAAAATTCCGTCTGCTCGGGATGATTGCGTGCCACCAGCCGCTCAAGGCAGCGTTTCATCGCATCCTGGATCTTCGTTACCAACTCCACACTGCGCAGTCCGGGCCGATCTGCAAGCATACCCGCACACAATGAGTGCTGATCTACTATGCCGGACGGTGTCGCACACTGTGCCATTCGTATAGGTACCGTGTAACTTACCATTCGCCATGAGTGCCACGGCCGAAAAGACAGCAATCTCCGCGTCCGATAAATCCATCTGATTGAAGCGCTCAGCAAAGTCGAACATCGAGTCAACAAGGAATCGGGCGTTGCTACCGGTCAGTGCGGCTAGATCGCGGCGTAAAACCTGTCCACTGGGACAGAGCAGTGAATTGGCTGTGGCGTCAAACAATCTGGATAAGCGGACAAGAAGGATCTCAAACACACCCGCCTGCAGTGCAAAAAACAACCCGGTGATGATGGTGATGAGGTCAACGTAATTGCTAACTCTGCTTTAACAGCTACATACGCCACACACGTACGTATAGTAAAATACACTTTAGTAAATAACCCTGGACCAATCGCCAGTCATGGTTTCTCACAGCCGAGAAAGTTTCGCCGCTAGCAAGGCCGTAGTCAAGTGTGTACACACCAGCGAACGGTACAAATTGCCACAACGAACATCTGTTGCGTAAAGTGGCGGCCTCGCTATTGGCTCATCATATCTACGATAGCAATGCAGTCCTCTTACATTGTAAAACGGCAAACCAAAAAAATGCACAATATGCAAAATTATCCAGCGCTGTTATGGAAATACTTAACAACAAAATTTTATCTTAACTTTCTCTGTGCAAAAGAAATGTCAACTTTACAAAAACAAACGCAGCATCAAATGCATCCATTAACAATATTTTCCCACAGAAATGTATTGTCAAAAAGTGTGCAATAAGTAATATAAAAAATGTACTAAAAATGTACTGCGAAACTTCTCGCTGGCTCTCATTAGGTCAACAACACACGTTCAAAAAATGGTTCACTTCAAACACAACTCGAAAGCAGTTCGTTCTCATTTAACAAATCTTAAAATTCAACAATGTATTTTTACCTTCAGCAGAGTGACTTGATCATCTTGAGACAGCATAAGAAATCCGGGCAGGCGCTTTGCGAAATCCACGACGCCGCGTATAATAGGAGAAAATCGGTCAGAGAAATCATCCAGTGTTGTCCCATTGATGTGTGAGTGATGTTGGCCTGATTGTGCTGCGCTCGCCACAGATGACGACGGGTTCAACGGGCAGGCCTGCAAAATGCACACACAGATACATACAATGTCCGTTCGTCGGCGGGAATCATCCAGTTAGGACGGAAGAGCCATACACGCTCTTCCCACGACATACATACACATCAGTGACACACACACACACCGCACACGGTTATCAAACGCCAGCTGACACAGACGACTAATCAAGAATCCATGAAAAGTCTTTACATAGTTAAGGAACGCGTAAGTAAGTGTAACTTTATAATGGCACAATTTCGGTGCAGGAGTACTCACGATTATGGATGAAAGCTCGGGTAGGTGATTCGTCACTCTCCATTGCTCCAGGATGCCCATTATTTTGGGCTTAGTGTATTCGCACGTTTCCTCGTGTGCCTTGACAACCAGGGAAAGTAGGCTCTCCTGATCGTCCATTTCGGCACATAACGAAGACACCTGCGTTTTTGCGCTCTGCTTCAGCATTTCAGCATGAATTTTAGCCTTTTCCCGTTTGGGAACACGTCCAAACCGCACAGCTAATAAGATAAAAATTTGATTAGCTTCTTTGATAAAAATTTGATTAGCTTTTTACATACAACTTACTGTTAATACAAGTCTTAGCGTAGTAAGAAGCAATTTAAATTATACGTTGTTTACTGTTAATTTCCTTTGACTGCTTAATTTATGTTCTTATGATTAGCATAAGCCCAGTCGAGACTTGCTATGAATTTCTTTGCTCTCCGATTTGAAGTCCCATAATTTATTGGAAGGCGAAGAAACAACTACATATTTCATAATCAAAACCTGCATATCCAAGAAAGATTAAGTGTTAAATCGATATCATCACACCAAATTCCAGTCATAAATCACGCCATTAACTTTAAGTGAAAAACCACCGCCAGACACAGCATTAAGGATCGTTAGTTCGCCTAATTCGCTTTAAGCACTTTTGTAATGCTTGAGTGACTCAAAGTATTGCGAAGAAGGTGATGCAAAAAATTAAACAAAACACAGTTCAATTTCCATGAACGAAGAAACTGTCGTTCAACGCTCCTACACATAGCCATGTCCATGAAACAACAACGTGCAGTCATATTTCCACAAAATCGCGAATCAAAATTAGCTTAATTAGAAGGGAACAAAAGAACTCCGCAAGAGCCTACTTACCGTCACGCGACATTCCAACTTCAATGCACTTCTTCAATCGACAATACTGGCAGCGATTACGGTTAATGCGCAGGATCGCGCATTGCTGGTTTTTCGTGCAGGGCCGGTACTGGATCTTTTGCTGGATGGATCGCCGGAAGAATCCCTGAATAAACGAACGCCAATGTCAACACCAAACATCCGGTGGTTAGTCGTCAAACCCCTACTGTCACACTAGCTGAACGATTAAACGTTTTACAATTTCATCCTTTACCCGCGCCATCCATTGATTTCGCCCTGCACTTCGTTTTCGGCGCAACAGACTAAGAAAGCCCGCCCGATCTGTGTATTACGTATAATACTAGTATGATAACCCAGAATCCTGCAAGGCCACTTGTACGTACTATTACATTGTGTTTGATCTGATCCCGTTTTGACCGGCACACCAATGAAAAATCCTCACTGAACAAGTGCGTAGCGCGACTACGTAGTCGAACTGGACTCTCCATCTCCGCAACAGTAGCTGACTGTTCCCGGCCACGACCCCAATCTGTCCAACTCTTGCATCATATGTTAGATAAATTGTTGTATTAGGCTATTATTTTGTTGACCTACATAGATCACTGAACCCGGGATGATCGTCCCATTTTATTTGTAGGTCCTCCCAATTTCAGCGCCAGCAGCTACCATGAGAAATCACCCTACATCAATCCACAGCCTTCGGCTAATCTCAACATTATACAATGCTCTCAAACCCAAAAATATCGGCACTGCAGGACAATCGATGGCGTTCGTCCTTATTGCATTATTGTCTTCCATCTTGACCAGGCTATTTAACCCACGTTTACACGCACGCATCAAGAATTAAGCGACACAGGGTGGGATCAGTGAGAACCCGTTCTATATGGAAATTATGACCATTTTACCAGTGCATCTTATGCATGTTATGTTCGAATTGCAATACTACCCTAGTTGTACTAAATGTGGGAACATCGGGATACTCGTAACTCGTAGTGCTTGCAAACGGCGTCAAATATTTAAGCACCGTACAACCAGATCCCATTTTACTCCGGTATTAAAAGGTAAATCTCCGATCTTGATACTGGTTAGCGGTCACCCTCTTGGCACCGGAAGATTTGATGCATTTAGCCGACCATTATTGTTTCGCGTACGCAACGACACTTCAGTGTTTTTATCCCGTTCGGCTTTTAATTTCTGAGCATAAAAATACCAACACATAAAAAATAAAAAATACCAACACACACAATTTTGGTCAAAAATACTGCAACCAAAGTGTCAAAAGACCGTTTGGCTATGGCAGTTATACTAAAAGAGGAATTGTAGGAAAATTCACTCCAGCAGCGGTATTTATACGGTCTTCCCGTGGGCCGGGCATAGTGCCGATTATACACCGCTGACCAATGGCTAACACGCTGCCAATAATAGGACAGGTTACGCAGTAACCTTTGGCCATCAAAATCGTAAGCGAAAGTCATGAAAACACGTGCTTCACCTTCAACGATGTGGCTGTTTAGGAATACCCGTATATAATTCCGCCAAATATCTATATTAGCTACCCTATTCGACCAAAAAAGTGGCAAAAAACCACATGAGGGCGTGGATAACTACTTCGCCTCAACAAATTCAAACGTTTATTCACAATGTTAGCCCACTGCCTCATATATATATCAAGGCAAAACTCAAAACCTTTTTAATATCTCAGCGTCAGTACTATATCATGCTACAGATACTATGCTACTGCGGCAAAATAAATAATAACTCGTAACTTCCGGACCGGAAGTTCCCGGTGGAAAATTTTCGTTCACTGAATACAAGTACCTCACATCTCTTGCGATATAAGTATGAGCACTGTAACGCACAATTAATTATACTTACTGCCGCATTGCTGCTGATATGGGAAAATCACTTCTGAACCGGCAAATCCGCAAGAAATCCTTTACCCTTCTATTTAATACAATCCCAACGAATTCCAAATTAATAACGGGAAATGCGTGTTGTACTGGTCAGAAAAGCCCATACTAGCCTTCAATACAGTATTTAATTAAGTTCACTTGCGTAAAACTAACTTTAATAATTTCAAATAAATTTAATAAAAGGATCTATCAGTTCGACTAGCGGAGCGAAATCTTTACTATTGTGCAGTTTTCAGTAAGTGGAACCGCTTTACGCAGAATTTTTTTGCGCTGCATAACACTGATGATTTTAAAGTCGGGCTAATCAAAAAGCGGGCAAATAAGTTATAAATAATTGTGAAGCTATTGTAAGTAAAACTGCAACGGCACAGATTCTGCGCTGCTCGCTCATTGTCAGGTCATGATTACACATGCGCGACTTCAAAGCGGGGCATCCTGACCGACTAATATTTCAAACTGGTTAGAGAAATCTATGGCACCCGCACCGTTCAATGACCTGGCCGAAACCGAAGTGGCCATTGACCGGACAGTGGTCACTCGAGTGAACCAGCGGTCATTGACGCATTCCTGCCTTGCTTTCGTTCTCAAGGCTGCTGGGTAATTTTCCTGTTTCACCAAGCCCTTCGACATCTGACCAGTGTCCAGATATTTCTATACGTGCTTGATTTTATCTGCGCCGTAAAGGCACAATGGGCTACTACGGTACAAGGTGCGCGGCAATGCTTTGCTGTGGCCGATTTGAAAATCTGCACCAAAATGCGCTCAATCTACATTACTCGTGCTTGTCCCAGCTAATTTTTTTTAATTAACAGCAAACGATTGGAAGTATTGACTGACCATGAAACCTATGAGTAACTAACAAATTTTCGCAATACGATTTTATTTAACAGGATCCCACAATTTATGGCACACTTTCACAAAAAAAAATTTTAAATGCTAGAACTTTCTATCTAAAATTCAAATTAATTATTCTTTCTGTTTTTTGTATAAGGTCCGTTTTGCTACGAACCGATCGAGTGACTCGGTTGCCGAAAAGCGCGCAGCAGAAGATAGGCCAAAGCTATAGCGCAGATCAGACTCATCAGAGCAGTCAGCCAGTGGGTCAGGCAGGCGTAACGCCACAATATGTATACGTACTATCAGCTCAAGCTTTTCTCTCTGTGCAACAAGAGCGATGCAGCAAGAGGGGGTCAATTTCAGGGTCGATGTCCGGCCACTGATACAAAAGCCTGATTCTGGTTACAGCGCAATCATCAAAAGGTGTTTCACTGTGGAGTTCCGGTCAAAAATCTCTAGATTGTTTTAACCAGAAATAAGAGTTCGCCTTCCTTTCCTAGCAATGAATAAGCAATGAGAGATGCGGCGATCAACTGAATCGTTTACAGCTTTACGTAATTCTTTGTTTACCCACATTCTTTAACCGGCGCGCAAACAAAACATTACCATATGTCTCTATTTCTCTCGCTATCAGGATTTTTTTACGATGGAGAAAGGGGCAATAAAACGATCCCCAATGTTGCCAGCATCGTTCCAGAAATGTGTCAACTACAGAAATCCAAAAACAAATTTTGCGCAATGCACCCCGCGTTCGCCGAACGAGGTCAACAAAGTAGAGCGCGCGAACCAATCGATCCCGCAATATTTTGTGTGGACTGTTATCAATGAGAACTTGGTGCTTAAAAGACAAGTTCAGTGATTTTCCAGCACAAACAACACTGGTCATAAAGTTACGGCGGAATTGAGAACAACAAATCGCAACTAACTCTGTACGGGTAGTCTATGTATATGCGCCGGCTAATCGCAGATTTAAATCGGACCGAAAATGTCGGCCAAGATTTTGCATAACAACGCCCAGTTCGCCATCCGGCCATTTGACATCACATGAACTAGAAATCCAGTTCGCGAAAAACGGGCAACTGTCCTGGAGAAAACAAATTAACTTTTTAAGTCTACTTGGCCTACACAGACAAAAAATAACAAAGAACGAGCGTTCAACAACACACGATCTCGAAAAGCATTCAACAAAAATTCAAATAAATTTAAACCAAATTTTACGAGACAACAAAAACACTGCTATAGGTGATAACAACTTTATATTTCGATTCAGATGTTTTTCAGTTTTTTAGTACTGCGTCATAGACACCAATACTTTATGCATAATGCGGCAGTCAGCATTCACCGCAGACAAATTAATTCAAATATTTCGCTAAAGGCATTCGTTCGAACATGGACCGCCTGACAAAAACTCCATTTTCATTGCCAAGGTAAGATAAATTATGCCTGTCAGCAAAACATATTTGCGGTTTGAATACAATCAATAAATAACTTTTTTGATGAATGAATCTTCTAATACAGAAACAAATTATACAACATGTACGAAAAGTTTCCCTTCGTCAGCACTTAGCACGGTTCCCATCATGGCACACCTTCCCGTTAAACTCTGTCGATATTTGCCGACTGCAAGCTGCACCCTGCACTGCGGCACTGCGCATCAGCTGTCTGACTGATGCTAGCTTGCATCCAAGTTTAGAAGTTACTGGATGTTACGCAACCTCACCACATAGCCAGAGAGAGAGGCCGAGAGACACACTTCAGAACTGTCTACTCTCCCGACTTCAGGTGATTTTCTGTGTGAAGTTCATGGTCACTTTCATTGCGGAACCACAGTGAAGTTCTTAACATGGACAATGTGACGTAATCAGCTAGAATTTAGGTAGTCGGAAAACTGTTCCGCGATTGGACCTGCTTGTGTGCCAATTTGCATCTACCGTCTTTAATTTTTCTGGAAACACTGATTTTATCGTGCTAATGCACAGAACACATACCTTACATCCTTCACAACCTGGAAAAGTGATAAGAACCAAACGTGAGATTAAAAGCGTAATATCGTTCTGTTACTTATACATACAGTTTATTAAATATGTAACAGTAATGCAATCAAGTTCAAAGGATATTCAGAATGTTTACACTTACTATGCACTCCATAGTGAAAACCACTCGCTTTGTCTCCACAGACCCGACACAACACTGTTGTCCCATCGAAATCTAAAAAAGCCAGTTTGTCTTTGAGATGATAATTATACCGATAGCCTTTGAAATACAAGGGAAAAGTGCCAGCGCTTCACAATCCTTGGATCTGCCGGCTGATATAATTATCAAATAAAACCCTCTCACATCGGTTACGTATGTATCGCTTTACATAAACGCATTTCAAAGCCGGCGAGGAACTGCCCTATATTTTTACACCTGCGACCACAAATGCCCGTTGAATCAACGAGATCAGGGATCATAGAGATCAGCGAACCAGAGAAAGCGAAACTCAGCGAGAGGAACGTTCGCGCGATTCATAGTAGGTTATCAAATCCTTACGTTCATGCAAGCTATTGTGTTCGCAGTTCTACTGTTCCCAAAAACACGTAATCCAAGTTAGCACAGGTGTGTGAGTGTATGCAGCGTAACGGGAAGAGCCGAACAGCGGTCGTTACATAGTACAGTATGAGTGCTATAGTAAGCAATTAAACGAACTTACCAATTTTTAGGTCGCTTCCGGTTGGCTTTCCCGCCATCTCAACAGAATTCGTAGTATTTTTGGCCATTTTGGATTAATTCCACATAAACAAAACCAATAAAATGGAAATCAAATCAAGTCAGCCACAGATAGTGGTTGTATTCCCAAGGATTCCAACAATCCTTCTCGCGCCACACACTGCACACAAACGATAAGAACAAAGATATCCACTGTCCATTTGCTCGGGCTAGCACTATAGCTGTGCTTCCAAATGCTTCACCACACGACAAAAACGGGTGAACAGATTAACAATAATGCCGGGCTGGGAGATTATCGGTGTGGTGAGATATTTAGTGCAGACTACGCGATCCGGTGGCCCAATGGCAGACGTTTGGCTTAGTTCCGAATTCTCTGTACGTGGTGCCACACTAACCACACCATATTTCAATTGGCAACCAAACAAGAAGATACGGTTGTGTTGAATGTGCCGCTCTGCTGTCTATCAAATTTTCTTTTCTCTCTTATTCACTGCCAAGGCTTCTGTTCTCTCTTCTGTTCTTGTCGATGCAGAGCAGACGCGCACTGGTCACCAGAGTTCATTCACACTACAACCAAGTGTAATCTCTAGGTTAGTCAGTTATGGCACAGATACCGGGAACGTGGTACGCAAACAACAAGTACTCGTACACAAACTACCAAGTTGCAGAGGGAAATACGCCGAACCATTATTTTATCACAAACTTTAAACACGCCAGACCTAGAAGCGGTAGAAGGATCTCCACGCCCCAGATTCAGAGTACGCGGTTCAAAATGCAAGTTTCACGATACTAGTGCTTTTATTTTGGTAATATTGAAGATGTTGTTTGGACCAAATAAAATACAAACAAACATGTGCAAATGACAAGCATATTTTAACGGGATCGTGAAACTTTGGGCTAATATCTTTCGCACAAAACTAACGAGAGTTTTTTACAGGACACGATCCATCGATGAGTGAATAATTATTGATTTATGTGATACCTAATCTTCCATACAAATTAATTGTCCCAATGTGCCGTTCTGCAGACCGAAAACGATACATCAGTTGGTATAAAGAAAGATTAACCGAATTATATTGAAATCGTTTTATAGTGCATAATATGGTGCTTATCTACGTATAGACTATCCAAAAACTGCTCAATTAATTACTCCACCGTTAAATTTACACAGAGGTAAGTACAAATATACAATACTTCTGCAGATATTGAATAGACGTATGGTTTACGTAACCTGTTCTGATTTGCGCCGTACGTGCTTCGCAATCGGCCACCGATTATGTTCAAGCAAGATCAGTGGTCAAGTTATTTAAATCCACAAACATAGCAGCGAACATTGACTCGCCGGTCAAGACCCAAAAAAACGACAACACGCAATAACTAGAAACTTCTGAAGTCTGTTTCATTTGACAATAACAATTTATAATTTTTGCGGCATTATGACGCACCTACCACCGGTCGCACAGAAACTAAACTGCAAAAATTGTAATGATAAATTATGATGTATTAAACAATAGCGAGCGTTGCTTTATAAAGTATCGAATATCTATATCATGTCTTTCAAGCATTAAATCCCGGTCGGTTAGATAAAAACTGTATTATGCACATCCATCTTAATTTTGTCGATGCTTAATTTTCTTTGTAAACTAGGGCGTAGCAGCCAGTAGGCGATGTCATTACCTTACAATGAGAACTTCTTGTGCTAATTGTAAGTACTGTACTTTCAAAATCGCGGGTATTCAGAATTGTAAGTACTGTACTTTCAAAATCACGGGAATTCAGAATTAAAAAAACAACAAAAATCTCGAAAAAGCAGTCATGTGGATCTGGAATACAGGTTAATGGTTTCAGGTAAGCAAACACTATATCTGCCGGCAAACCCATTTTCCAGAACCAGAAACGCAATTCCTAGCGATTCGGCTTTGTGTATCTCCATAATGTGGAACATCACGATAAGCACCCGCGCTGACTCTGACGTGTGCCCTAATTTTTTTCCGGTCTTTAATGCCCTAATAATGTCCACACGAATTTATAATCATGAGATGTGTGCCAGTCATTGACCCTAACTGTTCTGGCTACAAAAGCAAATGTTACTTCTTTCATATAATTATCATTAGTCATCCACTTTCTCTGTATTAGAAAGCATTTACGTGTTTAAACTGTCATGTTTGCCAACTGCGATTTATATTTAAATCACAGTTATTGTGACCTCTAACGATCCCAATTTTTGAAAAACTGTATGCTGCATGCATATAGATTAGGAAAAACGGTTGCAGAACTTCAGAAGTCATTTCATCGGAAACACTATGCGCTCTCTATTATCGGGGGAGCTGAGGTACTGAAGGCACAATATGGCTAGAATCTACAGCAGGATGCTGTCTTTCGTTTTTCAGAAATTTTGTAAACATAGGCAAAAAAGCAATTCCGATCGACTGTGCGTACTAGCTACCTGGATCTATGCCAGTATACGTACTCGTATCTTGTACATCTCTTGACGCCGTATATTGTACATTGAAGATGGCATACAGATACTTAATTGTATGCCGAAAGGCAGTAGCGAAACATTATATGCAAAATTTGAGTTAATTCCGATCTGTGCGTTAGGTTAATATGTACTTTATAATTTTAGCTGCCACGTTTATGCTTGGACATGTATTGTCGGTTAAATCTACTGTACAGATAGTATAGCATCGGTCCGATTTATTTGTCTCCAGTGTCATTTTGCGGCAAACTAAAAATTATTCCAAAAGTAAGGTATTGAAAAAAATAACAAAAAATGTTGCTGAAAAGTAAAATCCTATTAGGATCAAAGCTTCGGTAACACTCTTGCTGTAATGCGTTAATATGGACAATGACACAAGCCGAATTGGAAATGGGTTGCGTAAAGACTTGTAGCGAAAGTCAGTACACTACAAATGTCGCAACCCATAAATCTATATTTCGCGCTACTTCTTTACGCAACTCATTTTCAATTGGGCTTGTATCGTACATACATACATTGTCAGGCAGTACCAAAGTCACAAACGTTTATAAAAGCAAACGTCACTTCTTTCACATAATATAAATTTTTTGAAATTAGCGAATGCACAGTGCACACATTGTCACAGTATCAGCAATTAGCAAAATTAAATTTGTGATAGCCTACGGCAGATTTAATAAAAAGTTGCTTACACAATACAGTATCGGTAATGGAGAATCTTAATATGTACTGCAAAATGCGATTGTTACAACCTAACTAATTTTGCAGAAGCATATTCTAATTAGCGTACTTCAAGTACTCATTTTATTATTGTAATCGAAGTTCTAACTTTTCACTCTCCATTATGGGTGCACCACTACTGGTAAAGTTTCCTAAATATCCATGAGAAACCATTAATGAGGAAAAATCCAATCTACTGTATAATAGATGAAGTACTGTAGTTGTAAGTACTTCATCATAATCAGTAATTAACTCGATCATACTACAGTAGGATGGTACAGCTGCAGCAAGTACTAACCATAAGTAAATATCTATATGATTATGTTTATAAATACTGCAGTAGTTCTGTTGCCTCATTGCTCACTGCAGTAACCGCGGAAATTCGGTGGCAGGTTCTCCACGCCCTAACCTGACCAGAAGAGAAGCAGAAGCAAACGTCACCTTTAATTGTCCCTTTATCGTGTTGTTTAAAGTTTTCTTAAATGACTTGAATCTTTTCTCGTACTTACGAATTCTGGCTTAGTTTTCAAGAAACCCCGGGATTTATTTTGTATATAGCCAATTCCGCGATCTACTCAGTAGTAGGAAAAATGAGCTATCATTCATTCTTTGTTCTGAAATGCGGCATTGACATAACTTTTTTACTTGATATAAGATATAACCAAGAAAAAATTTTATTCAACTGTTTTTTTCTAATAAGTGCTAGGATGGGATGATGATGTATCACTATTGTAACACGATAAGTACTTGTATACGGTACTTTTCTCCATCCATGCTGTGTGCGAACTTGTTGCATTTTTGATGGCGAGTGCCGGGTACTTTTACGGGATCTACTCAAGTTAGAATTGCGATATGTACCGCTCAAACACAAAATCATGTTTTGCATGATACTGAAAATGAGTAAAAACTACAAACTTGTAAGACGTAGCAACACTACTCGCAGACATGAATGACATAAAACTGCGCACGTTTTTCTCTACGAAGGGTAACAAAATTAATAAGTTTCATACACTGATTCATAAAGTCATCCACGACGCGTTATAAATTTATCTACTCTCGGATATGCCCAGAGTGAGCTGATTCATGCATATATGGTAATACGTATCATGTGATAAGTAAGAGATGTAAAATTTTACGTATATTTTAACAGTATCATTGTAGCAGTGGCATTCGTACCCGTATTTGCAACCTTGCTAGTAATTACTTTGTATATGTCCGATTAGGTTTCTTCCATTGGTACAAAGCTTCAGCGCAACGGAACCTGGATCAGGATGTTTCAATTACTTACATTACTTACGAAAAAATATTATATGTAAGTATGTGTAACAGAACAAGTTTAAGCTGGAGAAATCATACATTTATGTATTTATGTCGGTAGTAATTTCAAAGTGTTAATAATATATCAAGCGCCGAAACAAAAAATGAAGTTTTTCCAGCTATGTTTCCAGACTTCTCAGTCGTCGGAGATTGTGCAGTACATGACTGTAACCATCATTTCTCTAGAAGTAATCTACAAAAAGTACAGTAAACCCGCAATGCTATAGTTGGCAACTTGGCAATAAGTAGCCACAGAAAGCAGAAAGAAAATGATCACTTTCACATAATTATAAATATATGCATACTTTTCACCATAAAAGTTTAGGTTGTGTTAGTACTTGCATCTTTTACGTTTTAACTTGCTTATACGATATTATCAGAAACAAGTATTAACGATGTGACGGATTTTGTTGTCTACTGTTTGTTATGCAACGTCTTTTTTATAGCGCTTGACATTAATATAACCCAGTTCTAGTTATGTAACAGGCAAATTTATTTTCTCTTACTATCAGTTTCCTGTCTAGGGCCCGACAGTGCTCAATCAGCACGCAAACCCTAAGTGCTAAGCGTTACGTAATTTCGTTATTTCTTTTTCAATCGATTTACTCGATGAGTTACATAACCAAAATATCGGGACCAACAACAACAATGCATACTGCGGCGGAGCACAGTAGCTCATCGGATCGCTGCAGATTACATAAGGACGATTTGCCAGATACACATGTGGGGGTTTCAACAAACAGCCTTTCGATTTGGCGACACATCTCTTATTATTCTTATTTCCGTACGTGCATGCTCTGTTAGTAGTTTTCTTATCCCACCCCAGCGGCTAATTATTTATCTGGTGTAATTGCATAACATAGCTAACCGTGTTTGCTAGCAACTAACAGTCGCCAACACAAACCGATATTAATTTTATAATCAGGCTCAGCAAATAATAAACTATGGAGTGCAAACTACTGCAGTTAATTAATTTGCAAGCAACAGACTTGTAACGCGAAAAAAATAAGGATTACAATTTACCAGTTTCGAAGAATTTCGTTGCTGACCTACGGCGAAATCATGGTAACTTTCACCCAGTACATATCTATATAATTATGAATTTACTAATAATACTTACAAGCACCCGCGCTTTAACTTGGACACCAAACTGGTCTGAGGCTTACGTTTATGTTATTTAAGTAGTCATAATTTAAGAAATATTAAGTAGTACAGCCTCGCAAAATTAGCAATAATTATGCAAGGCTACACTTTTTCATCTATCAGTACGAGTACGTATTGTACGTTAATTGTAGAGTGACAGTGGGCACTTGGCGCAATACGACTAAAAATAAAATATCTGGCGATGCAGAAGTACAAAACAAGTTGCAATAACATAGAACTATAGTATAAGTACAGTATCTATAGAAGTATCTACAGAACTATACCACGTTAGTAGTCATTTCTATTAATTTATATAGATATCTGTATTTCCCGAATGGGCTCATTTTCTGCCATGATCCTCTGTCAATATGCCGGTTTGTGCTTTGAAGTTTTGAGTGATATAATTTTTTGCAGTTCTTGTTCAGTTTTGAACAGCAAAACTGTCGTAATGAGATTCCATGATAGAACGTAGTCAACTTGTAAGAAATTTATCACTCATCAATACCAAGAAATTTTTGGTGTTGTAGTTACGGTTATATTTTCTCGCAATAAAAAGATTCAAATAATATCTTTTGGTTTTTAAACTCGGTTCTTAATCCCTTAAAATACTTCCAGAGGATGGAATAACCAACCATAATTATTAATTTTTACGACGACCCTATTAAAATTTTTGAAGGTGTACTGTGTTTGTACACAGTAAAGTCTACAGTACTTGTCAAAAGGAGGTATACGTGCAGTACGTATTACGGATGCCATAGCGCAATAATTATTACGATATAAGTACTTATGTAACGAGATAAGACTAGTGCAAGTACAGCTACGATAGATACACATAAAAGCATACCGCTATTCATATTGCGCGGTGACGTCAGCGCTAAATCAGCGATTGAGTGCGGCGGCCGTTACCATGTCTACGGCAGCTCAAGGTGACCTTGCATCTACTGCCTATTGACTTAGTGCTACACTTCAACATGAAATGTGATGCAGTTGGCGAAAATTTCAAAGCGGAAGAGTTACACAACCAATTTCAACATAGTAAGCAACGGGCGCTATCGCAAAAAACGTTGGAATACCAGGCATGTTTTCGGTATACTAGTACTAGTATCAATGTAATTCGTATAGATCGCTTTTCTATACGAACGTTGCAGGACCATCTGCAGGAAGAAACTAGACTGTCATATTATGATACTCACAGCTCAACGAGCAACATGCCCAAGTTCTTCGTTGCGCTAATTGTAAGCGGCGCAAGGAAACACTGTGAAGAACAGCTCGTAATTTCCGAATAAAAATGGACGTTCACTTATTTAGAAAGCAAAGGCAAAAAACAGCTAATCAGCGTAATCGTAAATTCGTAATTCCTGTAAAGTTGTAAGAATCGAAGAATGTAAAGCGTCTTCTGCAGATAGATGTGACCTAAAAGTAGGTCACTGAAACCGACAAACAACATTGGTTTCTCAGAATTAAAACTTGCTGAAATTGTTACTAGATACTGCGCGCACCCTACAGTTGCAGTACGATACGTCGCCATATAACTATACCGTACTTATGTACGATCTTTTTATGCGTAAGTTGAAGCAAACATCCTTCCACTTATTATAATAAAAAATATAATATTATTATAAAAAATTAATAATATTTAAATAGTTACATAATTTTTATAGTGTCAGCTGTTACCTCTCTTGCGGTATGTCAGAAAGGAAAGAAAATTAAATGTAATTATTTTGTTAGTACTTTGTGTAGAATTGTGCAAGAGCAGAATATACAACTAATACATGTAGACGTATACTAACCGGTAAGTTTTAGTTTGTATACTGTATCTGCAGGAGCATTAAATTAAACAGGTAAACAAATTATTCACTTCTCACAGCTCAGGTGCAAAGAAATTTAATTTTTTTGATATTTCACAAGTCGATTACGAACACGGTAAAAAGCATAAACAGAATGAAAGGTGATGGCCAGAGGCGGCAGCAGCTAGATTAGGGTATGTAGCCCGTACAAGTATCTATTGTATATCTATATTAAGGTAAAATGACTGCAGAAATGCCGGTTCGTGGTACGTGTGTATAGTGCAATACTTAATAATTTTATTAGGGATTATTTATTTGCATAATTGCATTCATAATACTGCAACTGAAAAAAAAGAGAGGGTTAACAAAAATGAAAGGAAGCACCAGAATACGTATGCCACGTGCTTACAATGAAACGAACGATATGTACAATACTACAGCCATCTCACTATGCATGGTCCACCGTGACCTATACAAAGCTATCAGAAGCTAGAAAATTTATGGTTTTTCTGGAGTGTTACTTATAAGTTTTAAGCCATGCAGCAAGTGCACATTCCACAAAACGAGAATTTCTAATCATTACGTCCCCGTTAGGCGTTAGCAGCTCACGATAAGCAAATGTACATAGAAGTACAGCAGCCATGATTTTCATATCAGCACGAAAACAATCTAGAAATCCCGCTAAGCGTGTTGTTATGTAACTGGCCTTGATCGCCAGCATAACAGTTTTACTGAAAGAACACTCGCATCATAACCTTGCAAGATTATGTAATGCACCATGCATGCACTACAGCAGTCTGGGGATGCCGCGTTTTTGCTCAGCATGACCAGCTCTAGATCTGATGTTTTGTGGCTGTTGAATCACTTTCAGACAATGCAAATGGCGATTCTTATGCGTCTGATTTTCATCATACGCAATAATCAACCATCGTTTTTTCACTGTCGAGGTGTCGCGCGTACAAAACCATTGTCGCAAGACTCGCAACGACAGCTGCTCCGACGTTTACAAGATAATGCAGAAATACCGCTTCAAATTAGAGATCGTTTATTAACCGCAGAATCCGCTGCCGCAAGGCGAACGGACAGACCACACACCCCAAACACCATCCCCATAAGAATTAGTGGACCGTCGTGAAGGCAACAGACGCGGCAACGGACAACAAGGTTGCGCCGCCACCACTGTCCCACTGACTACAGTATATAAAGCGCACAACACTTCTCCAATCGTTCAGTTATTTCCATCTGCAACTTTCTACCAATATTTTCACTATAGTTTCTATATTATTGCGCTCTCTCGCGATCGTCTGCTTACCGTAAATATGCGTCCTGGCTTCGGTTTCTGTAAAATTTGCTTCGCGATTCCACAATGCCGTGCACATAATGACAGACGATACTGTACACTTCGCGGCTAACCGGAAATGCTACGTATTAGGCAGGAATTTTGGGGGTTACGTAATAGAAGGTTTAGTAATAATTATTATTTATCCTGTGCACCGTGTGCCTCGTAAGGAAAAACGTGCTAAAATGAATTGCATGGGAGCGATAGGAAAAGTAGAGCAAATGCATGTACGACGACGCAGTTGCCCTTGTGGAGTTGCAGCTAGGGTCTACGATGCCTGCATTGATCTTCTGCGATAAGCGGGCCTTACCGCGATTTGGCTTGTCTACACATGCTGACTCTGCTTGCCTACTAACCAACAAAACGATCAAATTTTATGACGTATAATGCAAACGATGATGCGTGTTGGTACTGCAAGTTCAACTTGTACACGAAGGGCCTTGAAAACCATGCACCACACAGCTGTAGGCTGTGTTTGGAGCGAAAACTTGGAACTGTAAATCTTGCCTGTGTAGGGCCATCTGAAACCGGCTGGATGTGTGTACGTGTGTGTGTACTGTATGTACATTCTGTGTAATGGTTCTGTGCGTTGGATAGCGTTCTAGATTGTGGTACTTCCTCAATGTCAGCACTTGAAGGGCGTTTTGGCAAGGAAAGTGCTTTTTATGTTTACTGAGACCGCGGCTTGCGGGATAAATAAGCAAACTCGCAGACAGTTTTGCATAAAAGCTCGCTCGGCTCAAGCGGCACGGCCGCCCGATAAGTGAAAACTAAAACCATGACCAAACCGAGTCGCTTGTGGCACCCACATTCTGTAGCTCTACAGCTGCAGACTGTAGTACCGCCACATACGGAAGAGTGCAGGATGATACGATGCGAGCCGGCTGCGTTTTGCATGCTTATTTGAAAGCGGAAAGTCCTCCTTTCGAGCGTTACAGTCAGCTAGAGTTGGCTATTAGCCCATCGAAACACATCAGTGAGTATTTTTTCTATCGATAAGTTACATAACCACCAACATTGATTGACTATCCTTCAACAGAGCTATATAAAATTCCCATGGTAAGAGCAGAAAAGTTGGGGCTGCACTGTTGCACAGATCGACAGAGAACTCTTGTGGCTGGTTTAAGAGAGTCAGGCCTTGATCCATAAAATTAATTGCAGTAACAAGCGGTGCGGAAGCAGCACTAGGCCGAGGCGCTTCTTGCCATTGTTCAGGGTAATGCCGATTTACAGCGGCCGTACAATGGTTTTCGAAGTGTGTAAACCTCCAGCGGAGCTTTTTTTATTCCGTCGACATTTCTGCTACATTTTCGGTGGTCCAGCACAGCTGTATTAAGTAGATCGACAGAGTATAATTAATAATGCGGCCCGCTAATATGCTTTATTATGGCGCGGTTATTTCAGTGGTTGCCCCAGAAGGTGTCAGATTCACGAGAGTCACAAAGCATTTGGTTAGCAAATCAACGCCGCTTGACGAAGAAATGTTCAGCCCATCCAGTGTCCACGGCGAGTGGGAGAAAACGGCCAATGTCAAAAGGCCAGAATCAAAAGATTTTTTGGAGTTTTAAGGGAGAACATTTCGGGTCAAAATGGTGCCCTTTTGGCCTTGGCCTAATATCGGCGAGCTGCTGACCAGGCCGGCCATAATGATATACTCACATACTCATATTAGCTTCAGCCGGTAAGATCAGTTTGGGTGCACTATGCCGGTGACTATGGGATCTCTCTGTGTTTCAGTGGTGTTCAATGTTTTATTTTAAAAAGTCAATAAAATGGATACTTATGCCTATAAAACATTACCAGCGTGTTAAATAACTAAGTAAGTTTAATGCATACTCGTACTAATCGTAAATAGTAATCGCACGAATAAGATAATAAGCACGAGCATATAAGCTACAAAAAAACTCAGAGTGTAGAAATGGGAGCCTGTACACCGATTTCCTAATATATAAATACCAGTTAAAAATCAAAAATTTTTTGGCAAGGAATCGTTATCAAATCAATTCAACGCTCAAGAAAATTTCGTTACTTTTGCTACGAGTAGTGTTCTGATTTTGGGCTCGGTCTACCGGTGTATTTGTTCGAAAGACAGCTTGGCGGGTTTATTTTATCAGAAAATTAATACTTCTGTCTTGCAAAGCTAATTGGCAACATATATTGCAGAATACTGACAAAGGTCGGCTTGCTTTCTACCCATCTGCAACACCGAGTGGGGAATCGATTATGTCTGTGATGGAATCTAAACTAACAAACTACTATACTTGTATGTACAAGTACAGTGGCCAGATCAATAAATGCGTACAGACTACAGTAGTTGTGCAATTGATTTAACTTGTAAGCCTAGCTAAAAGAAGTGGCTACAAATCCTACAGTAATAGCTTTCTTTTACATAAGTACTTCCATAATTATATATTTCTAAAATTGAACAAAAGGTGCAAAATATTATATAATGGCTATATGCAATGAACAAACGTAAAAATCAGTTCAAACTCGTTTAACTGCTTCCTGGAATCATCATAAGCATGCCATCCAAGTCGACTAACCACAGTAAACAGTTATTATCATAATAAGGATTTTTTTTTCAGTAATGGGGTTTACAATACATTATTGTGCACTATTTAACAGGAAGATGGAGTATTGTACAGCTGGTAAGTCCGTGCTACATAGAGTTAAGTACGAGTCATAATTTAGGATCGCCGGTATGGCGGAAGCGAAATAATAATAAAACTGTAATAAATCTATAACAGACAAATGCCGACGAACAGCAAGTTCGACATTAATTTTAATTTTAGGTTAGCTGGGCTATATATATTTGTCTCAAACATTATCATCCTATCAGTCAAATGTCGATACTTCAGTACGGGCTTTTTAATTCCGTACTTATACCGATTTCCGACAAGCATTCACAAAAAACGAGTACTTATAAATTGTCCTGTATTCTGCATTTTACTGCGATACGGATAACCGGAACGTTGAGCCTTATGCCATGCGTAAGTATTTTAGATACTTCTATACGAGGTTTGTTATATAGCAGTAGCCAGTAAGTTAGTACATATCTATTGTAAAAATATACAGTAATAAATTTTAATTGTGGAGTAGCTTGTTTGTTTTGTGACTATGTGATGGCTACTGCCAATTAAAGAGCAGTTTTAATTTGTGTGTTTTGTCGTGTGAAGAGACTCGGTACGGATTAATGTACGAGAATTACCACTTCCCTGCCACGACTCAATCGGTAGAGCAAACTCTTAAATCAGCTGTTACAGTAAGACTGGATGAAACGTTCAGGAACACGAAGATCAGGAATCCCTAAGCGATTGTGCTGAATACTCCTAACTTCCGGTCGTAGATGTGCAGGTCAATAAGATACGAGCATACGTGCAAACCACGCTATAATCCGTAATTAATTATGAACGTCGGCCAACACTGAAGATGCTTTATCTCACCAACTCACAATCACATAAACAACGCAAGGAAAGTTAAAAGCAAGTTGCCAGTCTAGAGTGATCAAGACTGATGCGTTAAACACAGGAAGCAGGATCTTATATGGACTTCTAGGAGCACGAGATACATCGCTGTCAAGATGAGAACAGACGAATCACAGATAGCGATAATGAACAACCGCAGTGACGTAGGAGAAAGGCGTACAGTAATTACAGTAATTAGAAGTACGTACGGATGTGTGTAGCTCCCACACGTCAGTTTGTAGAGAAACCACGTGGGTACCTATTTTTCGGTTTTTGAATCCCAACCATTCCAAAAATGAAAATTTTTTCATCTAAAATTTTATGTTCGATCTTCTGTCACAGTGCTAGACAGATTACAACAGTGTTGAATGTCAACAATGTCTTCAAACTTTCATGATAAATAAATGATTATTTTAGCTTGCATTAATGCCAGCTATATAAGGTGCTATATTAGGTGCCATATAAGTTATTATTTTTATTTGTTTTAAAGAAAGGAGAAGGGTCCCAGAAATTGTAAACTGTTGCGCATTGTTGCATTGGATTAATTTAAGGACTTGTTTCTTCAGACAACTTTTCGCGATGTACGCTACCGACTTCAAAACAGAAAAAAAGATAGTGATTCTACATACTTCGAGAAACATACTGAAGCTGTTTTTATGTATCGTGGAAAATTACAAGCGCATTGGGCACTAACCATAAGTCTGTTGTTTTGCAATTTGCAGTTATATATGTGGCGTCTATGGCATCCTAAAACAATCGATGCAACTTTATTTTGATCAGAGATATACACCCGCTGGTCGAATGTACGAATATAACCTTTTACAGATCAAAGAACAACTTGCTTCCCGTAAAAATAGGAAATGCACGATAACAACAACGTAACCAGGTATGCAAATCAGATATCAGCCGCTGGATGATGCAGAAACACTAGCCGATGCTGAATTGGCGGTGTTCTTTGTCTGCGCTAGCACGCGATCACCTTTAAAACTTACTCCCGCAGAACTACCACCAGTAGCACCATTTAGAGATGTATTTACAGAACCTTCGGCGGGATTATCAGAATCTAATGATGTATCCACAGAATCGGAATTGCTGGACGTTCCAGCGCTGTTTCCATTGGCAACAGCAATACCCTGGGCCAGGGCCGGTCCGCGGCCGCCGATGCGGCTGTTGGTCGGAACTGGCTTGGATTTGATGGATGTCGAGCCGGTGGCACCGCTACCACTATCAGTATCCGTTGTCTTTTTCCCATATATGCTCTTCCACGGTGGCTTCGTTGTGCCGCTGCTACTTGTATCAGAATTAGCGTTTTGCGAGACTCGGCTTATTGGAACTGGCGCCCTTTCTACTGGTTTCGGTATCGTGCCCGCGTTGCTGGAAGTTGCCACTCCGGACATCCCAGTAGATGCAGCAGCAGCATTGTCAGTATTAGCGAAATTCCCATTATCGAAGTTCGGACTGTTATTGTTGTTAAACACACCGTTCAACGACACAAGAATGTTCTTTTTGTAGTTGTCGATCTGTGCCAGGATTCTGTCCTGTTGTGCGATAATTTGTTGTTTGATGTCTTCAGCTGTCGTTGGCAAGAAACTGGCGCTACTGACAGCTGTAGTTCTGTTCGGCAGCCTGAAGACGAACCTCCCTGAGTCTCGATCGTACGTCGCATCCGATTCTGGAATGTTGATAATAGGCACCGAAAATGAGCTGCCAAGGTTTCCAAGCAAATCACGCTTTTGGCGAATGGGATTGTTTCCGAAAAACACATCCGCTGAAAGTTAAAATCAACAACGTAATAACTTACTGTACTGAAGCTAGATTCGCTATGGTGCATATCACAAAATGTTGCAGCAGATGAAATTAACTGGAACCGCTTATGCACGAAGTGCACAATTGCAAGATGTGCACAACTACAAATAGTAATTTCCTAGATACATTTCATCTACAATTGCTTCAAGCACTGCGGTTTACCTGTTGGAAAAATAATTTTTGGTCCAGTATTCATGTCTAAATTGATTGCTTGTCCACCGATATTTGCTTGGAATACATTTGGCGATACTTCCTTAAGCAGCTTGTCCTGGGTTATGGCATGTTGTCGCTGCACGGATCCATCTCGGCCAACCTGTTCGAGTGAGCCGTCAGCCGCGATGTGCTGTCCACTGGCTCCGTTGGTTTGGTTCAGAGCTGTTCCAGCGGTCCCGTGAGGGAAGATGACAACGGGAGCTTGCAAGGTCGGAGTATTTGTGTTCGTCTCTGATGTATTGGTCAGTGAAGTTTGGTTCGTATTTGTGGCGGTTACATTGTGCGGAGGTGTGACCAGAACTTGTTGGGTGGCGTTGGGAGATTTCTCTAACTCGGACCGAGCCGAATCCGTCGTCGTGTTAGTTTGGGTTGTCGTCGTATTCATTTGTGGCGACGTCCGTGGCGTTTCCTTCGGTATGACGAAACCGGATGACTGCGGATTCGTAGGAGCTGAAGGCAACAGCACAACGGGACCAACTAACGGGTCCATAATCATCGTTCCGATATGGCTGGCGGGCGGCTGTCGCTCCATAACTTTGCTGATCCAATCCACGAAAGCCGAAACACGCACGTAGAAACTCGGCAGTGATTTGCGGAAACAACTGAATCCCAGCGTATTCAATCCGACCACTTCGTACTGGTTATTGTCGAGACAGATTAGTGGATCACCCAGATCACCCTGCGCATACCAAACATAGTTAGAAAAACTGTAAACTGTTAAAAATCTGAAATAGAAAAAGTGGGAATTAGTGTGACTGTCCGTACTGTGCAGGTTGTGGTGTTTTCTGACTCGTGGAGACAAAACTTGTTATCCGAAAGCCTGTAATCGTTTTGTATAGCTTGGTCTTCCCGTAGTTTGTTTACGCAATCAATCTGGTCCATGATGGAAGCCGGACGGCTCTGCAAGGTGGACGAAGTATTTTTGACGCCCGCAGCGGCATTCGCTCGTACATTCCACGTGGTCGCCGCGCAGTTTGGATTCGTTATGTTCAGACTACTGCGCGGAGGTAAACAGGCTAGACAAACGCTCCCACTGGAGCAATCAATCGGTTGCTGGAGTTTAATAATGCCGATGTTGTAGTCGTTTCGGGTGTTAATGTTTAGGTATTCTTGATGGACAAAAAGGTCATCCACCGCTAGGACTCGTACAGACGAGTTGCTCGAATCCGTGCTTCCAATGCGGATAAATGTTGAATTTGCTTGACGCCTGTAAATATTGATCAAGTTAACAATTAAAAATGTGAAAAAATGACTAACAAGTTTGGTGATACGAGGAACATGATTAATTTTTGTGGATTTGTAGTGCTTACCCGAAAATGCACTGTCCAGGGGTTATCGCATACAATTCGTCTATCAAAACTGCTGAACAAAATATGCTGCCAACATCATTCTGAATAGCAACCTGAAAATTACCCCGAACATCAAGGACTGCACAATCATTTTGGCCGGGCATCTATCTAATAAAATGCCGATCTACCTGTGAGCACCCCGTTCTGGACAACGCTGTTGCATCTGAGCCATTGCTGGATGCAGGACTGACGCCACATCCGCAGCTCTTTCCCTGCACCGAATACAGGAGCCCCAAAAATAAACCTGCAAAACAAAACCCTGGATTTCGTCGTACGCTCAGATTTAGCGCTTACAATCAGCTACGGATCCGCTTCGCCAACTCACAGGACTGGATAAAGATCATCATCTTTTCGGTTTTTGGGACGGTCCAGCCAGCGCCCTTATGGCGCAAACCTGATCGGAAACAACAAATTTTGTTTAGAGCTCACTTTGTGATCAAGTTCAGCCCAGAAAGATTTTCTCGAGCGTCAGCGGCAATTTCGCCTGCGTAGATTGGTAGTATCTGCACGGGTAAAAGCAAAACTACATTAGCGGAATACAGGTTTCCTGGGTGTTATTGAACGTTTCTAGATGTCAATAAGCAAAGAGTGCAGTATTCGTGTTTCAGTAGCAGTAACGGTGCAAAAGCTAATATCCCCTCCAGGAATGTGAGTCTAATTGCTTTTCCTGTTTCTTTTGTAGTATATAACAGACACGCGCCATAAGAAGGCGGAATTCGATTCTGCAAACCAGTTGGTGGTGTCGTGGAAATTGTGCCTTGCTTCGTCGGCCGATTCCTGGTGAGTCTTATAACTGTTATGAGTGATAATAATGTCTGCACTGATGATTAAGTAGCTAACACTCTAAAAGCAGCTACTTATTCGCAGTTTTTCGTCCGATTGTCCGGTTTATTGTGAAAGTTCGACTGTCTTTTGTTTTCTGTACGCACATCCAGCAGCCGCGTAACGACGAACTATTCACGACACAAGCAGGTGTCTCGACTCAACTCTCAACGTTAACCCTCATGCATCATATTTATAATAAGCAAAACTTTAAAACCTTGCGCCATTGTACAAATGATCACGTTTGCCGATGCCGATAAATCATCAAAAAAACAAAATCACGCATTTCTTGATAGTCGAGTAGGATTCTGTTGTTTAGCAAGGATACATTTAGTTCGGCAAGGAAGTTAGGTTATGGTTAATAACTTAATACCGAATGCCCACCGGCAGGTTACGATGACTCATACCCATTTCTTGCTACATACTACCTACACACAAGTGACTGGGTATTAGTTTTCGAACGAAACCGCTACAATTAACCGATAATTAAAGTATACGACTTTTACATCTATATAAATATCAGCCCATCGAAAAAGTGAGGCCATTTAACAATTTAGCATGCCTTTATTTGTTTTATAGTGAGGTTCGCTCCGAGAGATTTTTGCAGTTTAAATGATAATGCAATCGACAGAACAACTAAAGGATCCAACGTACTGTAGAGTGTAGACATCATATGCCGCAGTTACTGTAATTACGCGGAGTAGTTACAACTACCCTAGACATAGGTTATTGCGTACAATAGCGCATACTAATATAATAGTAGCATCGAATTGGGACAACAAATTTGTTATCAACATCGACAACCGGAAACATAGCCCAGAAGTACCGATTTCTCACGATCACTACCGCAAAGTTTCAGTTAGGAGTAACGTTTTGTATTAGCTGGGCTATGCAATTTTTATACAATTATTATATTGATAGCATTTTTTATGAATTTTTATATTACGTTTTAATTTTATGCTCCGTAGTTCCTTTGCAACATAAGTATGCAGACAATTTTCTCAATTTTTATCATTGTAATCTTGCAGTAACCACCGGTGTAACATGCATAAAGAGCAGTCGGTACACGCTGAAGAAGTTGATTGAACACCGGTTTCCACGACTTGCCATCGAGCTAACGTATATAGGCTATAATTTATTGGGGAAGATGATGTCGTAAACCTGTCAACTGCTGATGTTGCAATAATGTTTGATAAAAACAAAAAAAGGTCAGAATGTACCCGCATGCCAAAGTACTGTAATACTTGTTTGATGATCATGAATACGTACGCTGGACTGCATTTACTACTCCACTAGCAAAATTTATTGATATAGTTTTACGTTCGTTTACTGATTAAAAATCCAGTGTTACCATTTGTACGATGTGCTGGACAGATGTAAAAATCAGAGAAGTTTTCGTCTTAACAGATATTAATCGGGGTCAACCAATATGTCAAAGGTGCCCAAGATATTCCGTTATGATGTCGTTTGGCTGCCAACAGACCGAAAGCGAAATTTTGATTAAAAAGATATTTTGTGTCGGTTGGAAGCGGCAGTCGTCGTGCGAACGGGCAGACGGGGTGGCACTAGATACCAAGAAATTTCTTGATTAGGGCTTGGTTAAATCGGTACAATCTGGAAAGAATGCCATTCCGGCTCTAACTAAGTTTGAAAAATATATTGTGCAATAATTTCGTAATAATTGTGAGATAAATCAGCACAGTATATGCGGACAGTCCCGGCCATGGCTTTAACCAGGCCTTTTTGCGCACTTCTTTTAATATCATGTGTAGCAGCACAGCGGTTCAGTGCACAAGTGGGACCCGGATTAACACAACCTCCATTACCGGCCGGCACTCCACGACCACCGACTGGCGCTAGCGCCTCGGAATCTGTTTCTTTGGGTCAGGGTGCGGGAATATCAGGATCCGCTTCCCTGGGCGGTCACGGTGCCGGGGCATCCGGACATGTTTCGTTAGGCGGACAGAATGATAACCGCGGAACAGTGTCAGGCGAGGCAGCAGCCGGCGGGCAGTATTCCGGCTATGATCATGGCGGATACGGTGTCGACGCTTCGGGACATGCTGCCGGCGGCCAAGCCTCCGGTAGCGTCAGCCTAGGTGATCCCAGCAGCGAATACGATCCAGCGCGACAGCAGTACGGGCCCGGTAACGGTCAGTATGATACACGTGATCAGGCTGGAGTCGGTGGACAGTATGACGGTCAGCAAGGCTGGGAAGGCGACAATCGTCAACAACCGGGACAAGACGGCCAGGATCGCTATGAATATCCCACCGAGGCGCCTCAGGTACCGGATCAGCACAGTGGCTATGGTGATCGCAACGAAGAGGATCGCCGATCGGGAACGTCGTACGATCCACGAACGAATCCACGAACGGATCCGCGATACGCTCCCTCCCAGTATCCGGGTTATGATACGTCGCGAGGAGACCCACGCCAAGATCCTTCCAGAGGCGATCCACGATACGATGCGTCACGTGGGGATCCGCGGTATGACCCTAGACAGCAAGGTATGTCTTTACGACAGCGATAAACGATATTTTTTAACGGCTGTGCATTTTTTAATGACCGTATGCTCGTGTCCAGTATAAGTACAGCATCGTTAAAGTCGAAACTCGAATCAAAAGGCAGATACTGTACTCGTACTGTAGTATGCACGGTTATCGTAGTAACGCTATAATATTTTGTTTTATGTAATTGTTTTACTATGCACAAGCATAAATAAGCCGTGTGCTCTCATGACCTTAAATACTTTCTCGATTTATAAGTTATGACAGCTGCAGAAACATGTTCCTTTTCACATTTCGTACGTCGGGATTTCCCAATCCGAAGCGCTGCTCGTTCATAAGCAGTGTTCGAGGTTAGATGTTCCAGTGGCATTCTATCTGTATAGTAACGCGAACGTGGCAAAATAATCAGTATACGTACGTATGTATACCTGTTGCAACCTACTATAAATGGTTTACTCGCGGCTTGTGGGATTGGATAAGTACAATAATCGATTGCGTCGTTGCTACAGGTGGCGGTTCTGGAGCCCTTTACCCGGTAACCTTGAAAACTTTTGTACTTTCCGAAAACTCCATCTTCGTGTATTGGGTGGATCCGTATAATCAAAAAGGCCGAGGACAGCAACAACAAGGTGGCAACACCAGATACACGGTGAAATACTCGAAGGGTTATGGAGGTGCCGGTTCCGAAAACACTCAGGAGACAGCAGAGAAGGAACTGCGATTGACGGATCTCGAGCCGGGAACTGACTATTCGTTCTCTGTCAAAGTGGATCGAGATGGGCGATCTAGCGGTTGGAGTGCGCCAGTCCGAAATCGAACACTAGAGCAGTGTAAGAATAAATGAAAATTACCTGTATGTTTCAGCATTCAGTCTGGCCGTGTACAGGGAGCGGATTTGTTACATTTATATGTCCCTGTAGTGCCGTTGCAACCGCCTTCCAATATCAAAGTGGACACCCGCGATCGTGACGCTACCGTGACGCTGTCGGCGCCCGACGGAATGAAAGGGCACGTCAGTCAATATCTCTTCTTATACGCGCCCAGCGGCGGTTCCAGCGGCAGTCGTCAGTGGACTGAACAGCAAGTGTCCGGCTACTCGTACGACGGACGACCAGTTACCGTAGTTCTGCGCAACCTGCAGCCGGATGAGGAATACTTCTACACCGTACAAGCCATCAACTCGCGTGGGTCCGGGCCGTTTTCCGAGATCCAGAGCTTCAAAGTTCCTGGCTACGGATATCCACCGGGACCGGGCGGCTCAGCCTATCGACCGGGCTACGGTGGCCCCACCACACCCGGTCCGTACAACCGCTATCCCGGTCATTCCTGGGATCAGCAGACGACTCCTTCACCGTATCCCGGAGCGCCGGCACCCTACTATCCACCCGAACCCGCTCCCTACTATCCAGAAGACCCGCGGTATGAACAGACCACCGAAGATTACTATGCTCGCTACTACACCTCGACACCTGATTACTACAATCGGGGTCAACAGGAGACGACAAGCTGGGGACCGTATTGGGGCGCCGCGGCTGGCAGTGGAGCATCGGCCAGTGGGCAGGGGGCCAGTGCGGGCGGCAGCGCTAGTGTGAGCGGGTCATATGGTAATAACAACTACGGTGGAGCATACGGCGGCAGTCATGGTAGCTCTAGCTCGTACAGTAGCAGTGGTGATGCTAGTGCGGCTGGTGGCTCTGGAGCAGGTACGGACAGTTACGCTACTCTAGCTAAGTAATTATAGTACGTAATTAGTACGTAATTATAGTACGTAATTAGTCAGCGGTCACCGTATAAAGGCGATTATATGCCGCGGACGTAGTACCGATCAAGTCTGTCAAGATCTTCAACGGTCGACTCAAAATTTTGCGCTTATTGAAATTTCGAAGTAGTAGCTAGTAGCTATCGGAAGTAAATTGCAAAAACGATTCTTCCAGTGTATATAACACGCTCATTGGTCAAGGGAATTTTTTGCGCTTTGTGATCATGAGTTTAACCAACCAAAACGCTTCTTGCTTGCTGAGAACTATTGCCCTAAAATCTAAATGCGCGTCTAGAAGGGCGGCTGAAATTCGACACTGCACAAAAAAACTGGATGTGAATTAATATTAGCAATGCTTTGCAGCACCCAATCCCAATGCACCGCCTCCGACCGATTTAAAGGCGGAAAATCTGGAAGGTGGTCTGGAAATACTGCTCACTTACAACCCACCCACGGATGTAACCGCAAAATTTTATGACATTTACTACAGTGACAATCCTAACACTCCCGACGACCAGTGGCAGAAAGAACAGGCCATTGGCGAAGACCTGCAAGCCGTTTTCGGTGTCAATCAGTATCAGAAACAATGGATTTACATCAAGATGAGGACTGTTACGGCAGAGGGCGCCGGTGAATTCAGCCAAGCTATTCCCCACTTTGTGGACGAAGTCCGTCCTCCGGAAGCAGCTGCTGGAGACAGGTCACGCGAAGGCCAAGACCAGAGACATGACCAGGAGCACGAACAATCCCGCGAGGGAGGCAAGTGTAAAATATTAAAAATAATCGGTATTAAAAATAATGAAAACTGAATGATTTGTTCAGATGCTCAGGCGGGAGCGGAACATGACCAAGAAGATCAATATGCCCCCGAGGATGAGGAATCAGCAAGACACCAGCCGGGGCACGCACATGCCGAAGCGGATGCGAGGCACAGTGGCCGTGGCGGTGTATCCGTTTCCGGGCAAGCATCAGCAGGCGGCGTATCAGGACAGGCATCAGCGGGCACCGGAGGTATATCCGGACACGCGGGAATCTCGGGTCACGGCGGTATTTCCGGGCAGGCTTCTCTCGGAGGTGGTCGGGCATCGGTCGGGGTGTCTGGCTAGTTCAGTGCATTTTTTCGGTTTTTGAGAACGTGATATTTCATTTTATTGTTTCAAGATGTAAAAGAAATTCATGGGTTATGTGAGTGGTAACGTGCTTTCATTATTATTATTTTGTTTATCTTGTTATGCGCACGAAACTACTAGGGCCGACTCGGTTTAAATTTATTCATATAGTACATACACCTTGGAATTTAAAATCCTTAAAACATTTAAAACAATCGGATGGCGAGTATAACATGTAACATCAGTCCAAGTCCAGAAATCAGTTACCTCAAATAACCATCAATTTTGCTCGATAGTAATCAGAGCTGAATATCAGCTACTGCTGGAAAAACTGCCGTATTTAAAACCGTAAAAAGCATTCAAAACGGTAGCTGCTGTTTAATAATGATTAGTCAAAGGGCAATAACATCAAGAACAAAAATACAATGCAATATGACAGGCGTTTTATCGCAGTTCAGTGGTACCAGTAGTGAAAGGGAATGCTGACGGAACGTTCATCATATGAACATTGCTGATATTGGGAGTTTTCGGTGAAGGACAAGTGTAGGGAGAAAAATCTTCCGACTGCCATTGATTACGATTCAGTGTTGGCTCAGAATTACTGCGTCGAATAACTGGAATACTGTCCAATAATGACTGGATCTGATCATGAATTTTCGGAAATTCCCATCGCTCATCGCGATTAAAACGTACACAGGTTTCAAATAATGACCTCAGCGGACGTGTGACTTCATAAATTGGTGCGTCCAAAGTCGGTTTCAGGTATCCACGGCCAACACAATATAAAATCTGCAATTACAGGATTTAGTAAATGTATATCATTTCGAAGACAGCAACTGAAATACAAACAGCCGATAACTTCCGCCATCCAGCGGTAATCACAGTATTTCCCTTCTTACGTATGTACAAGCTCTACAAACACTTCGTACATACATACCTCTGGGCCGTACACTCGCATGCAGTTTACAGTTCTCTAGTTATGTTTTCGTTTGTACACCCAACAACAATACCAAATCGGAAACCTATAGTTAAATAATAAAAGCACGACCACACAAAACCAGGTTTACTAAGGTGTAAAAATCGCCACCGATAGTTTTGGACACATACAGTGACATCAATAATTAGCATTTAAACCATGCAAAGTATTTAGACCTGCTCAGTAGAGTAAAACATCGCTCATCAAACAAATCAGCCTATAAGACCAAGTGTTTAGGTGCTACTTACGCGGTCCCGGCTCATACCATCGTACGGGAGTTTCCCACACAACAGCTCATAGAGTACAACACCGAAAGAGTACACATCCGATTTGGTGCTAAATGGTACCAAATCATCCTTGTCCATGCGAATAACTTCCGGTGCCATCCACAAAATAGATCCGGTGGTCTGCCTAGTTTGTTGTTGAGCAGTCCATCTCGTCGTCCATCGCGTTTTCACCGTAGCCAGACCGAAATCACCAATCTTCACGTTACATTCTTCACTTAAAAATATATCTAAAACACCGCACTGTCAGATTTCCGTTTAGTAGCACGAATCACAACATTCACGCTTACTGTTGGACTTGAGATCACGGTGTATGATTGATTTAGCATGAAGGTAAGCCATGCCCTGTGCCGTTTGCCGAACGATATCAATTAAATTCTTAAATTCCAGCCGATACTCATCCACATGAATCTTTTTATACAGACTGCTACCCTCGCACCACTGGGTAACAATGGCCAACTGCGGTCGGGTTTTGCCTTCCTGAGTTTTCGATACACATCCCATGAAGAGTAGCACGTTGTTGTGGCGGGTTTTGCGCAGCATGGCCACTTCGTTTTTGAAGGCCTGCAGCTGCTCCGGGGTTGGATCGATAACCAATAGGCGCTTGATGGCAACCGGTCCGTACCAATACCCACGATAAACTGTCCCAAAAGACCCGGCGCCCACACGCGGCCCTATCATGATTTCATCCACAGGAATCTCCCAATCCTCCATGCTTTCCCTCTGCACGCGCTGTGAACAACGCTTCAGAGGTAAGATCTTCTATTACACCGTATGCACTGCCAAGTAGATCATTCACCAAAAGTAAAATTAAATCTTCGCCACCGTCCAACTGATTAATTCATACCGAAATAAGACGGAGTCATGTCTTCCTCATGTTTAAGAATGTTTAATTTTTAACATTTCTTACTGTACCGTAATTAATCGCAAAACAATATATAGATATACTCGGCAGTATTTACCGATTTTCCCGTGGATTCAGGTGTCAGCCACTGTTTTGGGGAATCACCGTATGTTTCCATTGGGGAGCCTTGTGGCGAGGGTCCTGGCTGATTATTGGGAGTGGGAACCCGCAGTGAGTTACTTCCTGTTGACTCTCCTGCAAATTATTACGGAGCGTTAAACGCTTTTGATATATTTATAAAAACAAACAGCTCGAAAACTTTGGTTCTGCTGTGAACCGTCGTTCAAATTCTGATTTCTTATGGGAAAATATTTCCTTATTAAAAATTTACACAAATAGCTTCACATAAAAAATTTCGTAACCGTAAAGTTACATGAAAAATTGTGGAACGCCTCCTAAATAATCAAATTGCCTCCTAAAAGCAGCAAAAAATAATACTTCCGTATTCTTTCGAATCTTCTGTAATTACTAATTCGTTTTTGGCATGCACGTAAGTATCTTCATTTAGAAAAACTCCTGTGTTTAGAAATCGATTTTGACTATATAATACTAGACCACATAACTTCAAGGAAGATTAATTCATACCGAACTTAACTAACTTCATGGAAGATATGTTTTCAAAACATTTCGGGTCCTCATGCTTTGTACATCTATCAAAAACTCTAACGTATGATTCCACATTCCTCATACTTTTTTTTCATATTTTTTCATATTCAACGAAAAATATAAATCCTGCATTAAATCGCAAACTGGTTTATATTGCCTTATGGCAATATAAACAAAGGCCACTCGAGTCCGACATAAAGCTTATTAGTACGTCAGTATTGTAATATAGTACCTCCGCCATTATCGGGGCAAGCTTGTAATTCAGCGCTGATGACGTCTTTAAAAGGTGCATAAGGAATATAGCGCGACGCAAAGGAGGATGCAGACCAGCTAGGTGAAACTGTGCCAAAACAAAAACAGCAGTCCACATGCATCAAGCCATGCATACATACATGCCGGCCACCAAAAAAATCTTGTGACTTATGGCGTATGGGGAACACATTCTCTTTACCAACAATAAGCAAAAAATTTCAACATGCAAACGCAAATTCCATAACCGAAACAACACAAAACTTTAAAGGCAAGTTTACCACAGGAAAGTATGCCGAAAGTTTACCGAAAGTGTAGATGTCAAAAATAATATTAATACCTGGAGAAGTAGGGGGCTTCAGACGCTTCTTTGGCAGTGTAGGGTGGAGACTGCCGGACACCGTGTTAACGATATCATTAACATTTGGAGCCGAGCTGGATCGCTTGCGCAAATCCAGCGCTTCTTGTGTATCTTCTTTCGCCGCAGAAATATTCTGCTGTTGGTTGCTGGCCAAGAATCTATAACCAAATAGCAAAATACTATATCAACGCTGCCCTATCCCACACAGGACCCCAAAAATCCTAGCTTACCCAGCCAAATATTCCTTTTCCACGATACGCAACTCACAGGTAACGGGAAGGTATTTACCGCAGCGGTGGTGGAATTTATAGTCACATCGTTGACAGCGAAAACCGTTAAAAAGCCTTTTCTTGCAATAATCACAAACTGTGGGGACGACAGTGATGAAAGTTTTTTGCTGGAGATTATGAGAAAGCGTCTTCCGGCTAGGGAACTTCAAGGGAATTTCTTCGATTAAGATCTTATCGACATCAATGCTCCCAACATCGTCATCCCAACTCAAAGTAATTCTAAAAATATGCACGATTTTATAAATCATGACAGCAAAACTTAACAAGGACTGGTTAAACCTATCGTCGTAAAACATTGCACTATCTTGTCCAAATGCAAAATCATGTTAAACATACTTCTGGTTAGTTGCTGGGTCAATCTTGTAGACCCGACAGTTGTCGATTCGCAACTGGCGATGCGCGAGCTTCCTAGTGAAAGTGTCCCCAAACTTCGTCCTTTGATGGCCTCCACCTTTAAAAATTTGGCGTAAGCTATTAAGGCCCTCCTTTTTTTGAAAAACCGAACGTACTGTTGATTTCTGAGAGCCCGGTAACTCGGCGTGGATGATCCGGCCTTTACCGTTAGCCGGCTTTGGTGGGATGGGCGGAGCGGGTACGGAAGCGCTACTCGACGGAGTGTGTAGGGAAGGTTGGCAGTTGACGAACTCGCTGAGTTGGACGTCGTGCTCACACCACTACTGCTTTCCACTCCCGGCAGACTGTCCGTCGAGTGGTTGACAACAGGAAAAGTACTGGCACTCGATGGTCCAGCAGGGGCATGGCTGCTGCGTGGTGGCAGGGGAGGAGTAGCGCCTGAGCTGGCATTCCTGTTACGGAAAGCTCCCGCTAAGGACGGGTCGTTTCTCTGTATCGATATCAGCCTCTCCTGATATCCACTAAGCTTGGAATTCAATTCAGCGTATTCCTACAAACATCAGACATCATATAAATGCGAAAACCAAGCAGGCTCCCCAACACTACTGATGCCGATCGAAAAGATTACAAAACGAGCCCCCGAGAGCAAAAACCACCTAGTTAGCTAGATCAGATGAATTTTGTCATCCAACCTAGCCCAATAAAGAAAAATTAACGTGAAACCATTCCCAGTCTTCCAAACAGTGCGAATGACTACTGTAGAACATAGTATCGCGCAGGTATACTGTAACCTCGATTAAATTTTTTTGAAAAACACTAACTGACTACAATAACTGATAGCTTTACTACTTCAAAGTCACCCGCTCGGCCGCTCCTATTCCACTCGAGTATGGAACAGGAGCGCATGATCTACATAACTTTGATCTTCGAGATATTGAAGGAAGCGGAGAAGTTAAAGGAAATTTGATGTGAATTTATTATCCTAATTATTTCGAATTAAATTACTAATGTAAGCGGTGCGCTGATGCTGTAAGTGATATACTAATTTATAGGTAAGTGGTGTGTCGTCCAGAATCACGGCAGTAGCCCGTCCACTTTCCTAGGGATCCCTGCCGGCGAAGGTGTTCCATTGTTCATATTACAGTCAATCGGTGGCATAATGTGTAGGCAAGGCTGCGCTGACGTCGCCGCATGTATAGTAATATCATGCAATATCACGGGGAACAGGTCACAATACCCGAACTTTGGAACGGGGAAAACGAAGCGTTTAGAACGGGGAAAACGAAGCGTTCTAGACCACTTCAATTCAACCAAGTGGTTAAGACTACATCTACATTCTACATGATATGAGACAATTTGAATATGTCTCATTATCGAGCAGTTCGTAAAGAAGTGATATTTTGCAGGTATTTCCGCGATTTCAGATGACGTGTTGCCGGTTTAGAGATTAACTTGATCACGTTTGCTAATTCATTCGATGCACGTACTTAACGCACTTACATAACCTTTTGTAGCAATTACAGTAACCCTGTGCGGTGACCTAACCCTGACAGAATGAACCGGGGAATTATTCCTACACAAATACGATGGTATTAAATTGGTGCATTTGTCACATTGGCGCCAACGCTGAATCGAAGTGGGACTTGTTGCAGTCTATAAGAGCGTCCACGAACGACAGCGCTGACGTCAATGATTTCCGAATGATGATCGCGCCTAGCTGATGCAATTATAAGTGGATCACGGGAAGCGCTAACAATGCGCGATCAAACAGACCTCCATAACATGTTAGTTGGCACCAACATTCTACCAGCAATGCATTAGTGAATGCAATAGTGATACTCAAAAATAATAATTTTAGCATTTTTAAACGATTACGATTTACGATTAAACAATTTTATGTCTTTTTAGATTATTGCTTTTTCAAACCTATTATAACTAAAAACAAAGCTAATATGCGTTCTGTTCAATTTTAAAATAGCCCCAGATATCCATAAAGAAAGAATAAGGTGAACGTGAACATACATGAACATATTGCACTGTACAGCAATCATTAACACTTAAAATATATCAAGCAATCAAGCTTATCACAGCAATCAATAACACATTACAACAAAGCAACATGAAGAGGGAACAAAGAAAATAGTAATACCAATGAGGCAAATTTACGTTAATCTTACCTTCAGATATAATTCGGGAGGTGATCTCAGTGATCCAAACTTGTTATTCAAGGATTTGAGACTATCCGTAGTAACTTCGATCATCAGAATCAAATTTCGCATCTGAAAAGTAAAAGCAAAGTTACTGTACAAATTCACAGAAACTTTCAGTGAGAAAACAAGCGACATCCACGAACGGAAGTGACGCCAAATCATATACGTACTCGATAAGCCAACAAATAAACTTGTTTTATCGCTTTATGTAAAATGCCACAGATTACGATTTTAAGGGCTAGTATAATATTCTTTCATTACCACTGTTTGCAATTAACTAATAAACCACAAAATCAAATCCGCAATCCTCGTTACTTCAAACACTTCACTTCTCTACAATTACTTATGTAACAAATTCAAACGCTGACGAAAATTAAATTTTCAAACAGTTTAAAGCCACTGTGACTGTTTACTTGAGCTCGTCGCATGCTACAGTGTAAATCAACCCTGCCATAAAACTGAAGCGTGAATCGGATTTTTTTGTAGCAAGATCCATGCAATATCAGCTTTATCACTATCAAAATTTCAATAATTACTACCAACAGAAGAGTCTTTACAAGAAAATCAAAATTCTAATAGTCTTAACACCTAAACGCAACACCCAAACGAATCGGGATTTCAGAAGAGTAACGGAAAAAAAGCTAACTGTCAATTACGAATTAATAAATGATGGCAAAATTTCACGAGGTGCAAGGATAGGCTGGAAAAGGGAAAACGTGCGATCACCTCAACCTGAAAAGTAAACTATGTGTACATCTGAGCATATGAGGATCGCTGAGCTAATGCTGGCAACCTTCCAATTCCCGGACACGCCGTTAAAGTACTCTGTACTGTATTGGCCCAGGCATGATGTCAGGTTGTCACTCACCACATGGAAATTAATTCACAAGTGATGTTACAAAATGTCAAAATCAGTAACTTTAGTCCCACACCGTAAACCGCACAAAATCTCAAAATTCCTGTTCGTCCTAGCCTATTCGTCTATTCATAATTCCTATCCTATTCATAATTCCTATTCGTCCTTTGTTCGCTAATATGACCAGTCCCGAAACTGCCGAAACTTGAGGAAACGTTTGTTCCCCACAAAATTAGAAAATTTTCTTACTTTTTCAATTAAAAAGAAATATTTTATAATAAACAGAATTATGCAAATTGTAGAATACATTTTTTACATTACTGCTCCTAACCTCTTCCATGGTCCGTTCACGGGATGTCATCGTACTGTTAGCCGAATTTTCATCTGCCTCCATATTATCTGACACAGAGTCGATGGACAAGCTGTGCAGGGATCCGTTCAACGAACTCCCACAACTACGGACAGCCGATGGATCCGTAATGGTGTTCATATTTTTGACGAGGCTCATGGTGTTAAGTCGGAATTAAAGCCTTGCTGCATAAGGATGAGAAATCTGCAAGAAAATGTGTTCCAATGTTACAGCTATCACGGCACTGCCGCGCCAGTGAACTGCACAGTTCGTAACCCGTATCTGATAGTTTAATGTTCAAAAACAAATACCCAAACCTACACAAACACCAATTCTGAGATGTTATTGTGGGCCTGTGGTGTGATTATGAACATTTCGCACTACAGCACCGAAGCGTCGTAAATATAACCGATAAAAGTTTTCCACCATTAGGTCCTCACTCACAGAGTTACAATAATCATAATGCAATCAGTAACCACTGACTTCGTAATAATACAATTAACAACCTGAACAATTTAAGATATTTAACTATCAGTGTAGTTGCAATAATAAGCCATTTCAGTAACTTCCATTTCATTCAGGCTATTCAAAACTTAGATGAAAAAAATCTCTTAAGAAAACTACAAGCACGTGAACCTAACACGAACATATTATTAAAAACGTAATATATCTGTACATTAGTTTCTTTGTTCAAGTATGTACATTCTGTAAAGTAAAAACTTTAATCATTGGGGTTCTGCACAGTGCACAGCCGCCACAGCGGAAGCAACCCAAACGACCAAGCTCTAGTGGCTAAATCATTTCAGCTTCGGTAAGTTACAAACACAAAAATATGTTCCATCCGCTCTAAATGCAGAAAAATTACTCTTAAGTTGTTCAGCCTTAGTCCGTTAACAATTTTCAAGTAATAATAATTAAAGAAGTTACTTACATGAAATAAACAATTTTCATAGGTGTCAGCGATAATAGTAACACATCAAACCTGACTAACAACGCTCCATAAGTTGTTAATACTGTAAAGTGTAATGCTATCTGTACATTGACATTTGACATGTACGACTCGAAGTATTTGCCAAAGAAACCTACGGTGTTTTAGAAAGTAGAAAGGAACATACTCTTCACTCTGACTCTTACTACTATCTTACGAATTCTATATGAATTCCTGATGCAAAGCATAGAACCAGGCATCAGGAATTCCAGATCTATGAAGTCCCTGGATGGCGCAGGCTGTCTGCAAGTGGTTGTCGTCTGTCGAAAATTCGAAAACCTACGCATCCCGTCACAAACACACTTACATTGATCCCAAGCAGAACCAATCCAACTGCAGATTATTTAGGGACAATACAATAACAACATTTTTATTTAAGCATTTTTCTCTCTAGAAAATTGTTTGCAGCGTTGTTATCAAATGCTCAAAACCAATTCGCGCACTACCTGCGCATATTAAACCATTAAGTAAAGTAACCTCTGTAACCAAACGAAAAGAAAATGCGAAGTGCACTGTATGTATGTACGGGATCAAAGCCTCAAATCGATGTGCGTACACAGCTAAGCCGCGGCCGTACGCCATGCGTTGAGCCATAAAGCATGACGCCTGACGGCGTTGGCGTGGGAAGAATCACTACGAAGCGGCCGCCGTCTGTCTTGCAACAAAATAATCGACGGTGAGCCACGGCTGTGGTAACTGGTAAGGCAGTGGGAAGGCAAGTTCAGTTAGTGACCAGTGACCACTCTGACCAGCGACCACCCAAACTATCATTCTTCTTACTATTAAGTAATACACTGTTCATTGTAAAACGTAAAGCGACTTTTAAACTGGGCGCAAAAGTCCCTTCCCCATCCACTGGGAATATTATTTTTGTAGATATCCGAAACCATCCTTATGAGAAGCTGCGTGATGACTGACGCCAAGGAAAAGCGGAAAAGAGCGAAGGTGCCCATAACTATTGTGTAGGACTTCGGCTACACCGGCCAATACCAACAGGACTGCCAGGTTATCAGTTATTACATCCTATAGAAGTACTGCAAAAACGGAATCGATGGAAACTGACTATGAGTTGAGCCGCCGCTAAACGCTTGAACTGTTACCACATCGGAAGCTGGTTAAAAAAATCAATATAACCGTCCACCGCTTTAACGCTAAGCGCTAGCTGTGACGTAGAACGCTACTGCACTGATTTGCACTTTTGCAGATTTAATATGTACGTAGGTGTCTGCTTTACAATAAATTTCCATTGTTTTTAAACTGAATATTTGTTTCCGTAATGTAGCCGGCATCAGCTCATAGGACGCAAAATTTTAAGTACTGTATGAGTGTCTATATTGCAACTGTGTCGGCTCGGACGGTGGAAACTGGAAAAATCATAGGAAAAAATATACTTACTTGATTTCAAGTAATTTACTTGAAGTGAGTACTGTAAAACGTGGTTTTATACTATTGGAATGTTTTTGGAATTTTTATTCTGTTGAAATTATTGTTTTCGTCAACAGCTTTTGAGTATAAATTAGTGCTGTTCTACTTCTACATTCTGCACCGAGCAAAGCGAGGTGCTACAATTATGTCGATGTCATACAGCAGGTAGTAAGTACGTCACGAGAACAGATGGACAACTGTGAGTCTGTGCGATACCATTACCGGATAACGTAAATACATATATTATAATATTCTACGGAAGTGGTGCTGCTGCTGCTCGTCTGCGAGCACCATTGCAAGGTTGCCAAACTTAAAAACTTTCGTTGCCGAAGTTTCATTGATAAATCAGTCTGCACGACTTATTTTAGTTCAGGAAATTTGCCTTTACAGCCTAATAACGCACTTTCAGCTGCCTGAAGCTACTGGAATACCTGTGGTAACATTGAATCTTTCTGTCAATTCTGTGCATCTAAAAAATATACAACAGTAGTATTCCACAATGAGCGAAGTGGACGGGAATATACTGCGGCTTGACATGGAAGAGGATGGTGCACAGTTATTCCGATGGGTAAGATCGTATCCTGTGTTACACGTATAAAACGAAATGTTTGTGAATATATTTATAATTTAGGGGTTACGAACTTGCGATAGACACGTTTATGGTGACAGTCTGCTGTTTGCAAATGACGTTTTCCCAGTTCAGCTGACTTCGAATAGGATTTATAATTATTCTGTTATTTTTATAAGTGCCTTTTATGTAGTTTCAGACTCTGGCCCTTCAGAAGCAGTGCGAGTCCGTGGAAGATCTTTTGGATGGAGAAGCTTTTGTGGAGATGTTGGAGTCTGTGTAAGCTCTTGATGGAACTGTAGTCTGTGTACTAAATTGCAGAGCATTTTTCACCTGTGTAAACGTGTTAGGCTGATTTGCTGAATGATAGGTATATGCATCCCATATTTTTTGATGGTTTTTTGCGCGGTCGAACGAGGAATACAAGTTGGATTTTTTTTTGTTTTAGAGACAGCGAATTTTTTTCAAGCATTAGTGTTCCTGCTAGCATGGAAGACAAAGTAAGTTTCGTTTTAAAAAATCATCTCGATACTTTTGCTCTTTTACTTATTAACTGATGAAAAATAAAAGTTATGGGTATATTGTATTCGTATCCTGGATGAGTATGGTTGGCTGATTAGTGATCAGCAAACCATACTCATCCAGCAAACCATACCATACTATACACACTTTTTCTCATTTCGGAAATTCATACTAGTGATCACTGATCACTAGTATGAATTTCCGAAATGAGAAAAAGTGTGTATACTCTGTATTCTGTAATATTATTGATGAACCATTTTAAGGTACGAGTATTGGTTGGATAGATCACAAATGCTGCGATAGCATTTTATTTGAAGAATAACTTGTCCTATGTTGAATTCGTCATCACATTTATTTTTGTCGCAGATCTGCCTCTCGTGTTACGGTTGCCAGTAAATTTACAATCATTAACGATACTAGTTGCTTGCAGTTGTTTTTTCTCCGGGACCTTGAGGATCGCATGTTAGAATATATTTCCGATAAGAGACAGAACCGGAAAAGTTCTCTCCTTCCCGATGAAAGTGTAAAGAGAATCACGGAAGATAGTAGGTGTATTACCTGTTGGGATGATATCATGGTACATGTCAGTTTGAAATTTTTTTTCTTCCGTGTTTTAGTTGAGGAAGGTGGTATTTCGGCGTTAACGAGAATTCTTCAGCTTGTTTTGGTCTGCACCGTTGTGTGTCCAGATAAAGAGCGTAAGCAGTGCATATAATTATTGTAACGTTCCTCGTGATTTTCAGAGTTGTAAAAAATGTTTTCCTTTAGAATACATTAACGACATGCGCACGCTTAATCCCGAAGTAGCCCTTGTGATTTCTAAAGCCATTATGGAAATTATGCCTGTGGAGAACGCTGGCGATACTTTAGTGACACCGGAGCCGGTGGACTCTAAAGTGGATGTGTTGGACTGGTGTGAGAAATGCGGTTCGCTACGCAGTGAAGTGCGTAAGATTATCATATTGGTATGTGATGCAGATAAGATTGTACCTTGTCTTATCATTTAGGTTAACCAGTTAAATGACGAGAGGAAGAAGTTGCTCATGCTAAATGCTCGACTGAAGAATGAATTGGACCTTGCTAGTGACGTTGAAAATGAGCGGTATGTTTTGTAACACACTGACCAGTCCAGTGCGTACCGCGGCTTCTTGTGTGAAAGTAGTTTGATTTCGTCAACTTAATAAGGGTCGGAGTCAGCATGGTAGTTTGCTAATTTTTTTGACGTTTCGGGATAATGCTGTTGTGACATAATATTGACTGTAAGAACGAAGTTTTCCTTTGTCAGTTTTATAAGATAAGCCTCGCCGTTTCTGGTGTGGTAGCTGCAACAATGATCGGAATCGCGGGTTATGTCGACTCGTTTTATTACCATAGATCTCCTGGATACAAGAAAATTTCAACGCTGACAAACGAAAACAGAATACTTCAAGAAACTGTGACCAAACTCGAGACAGCGCGCGATGAATACCGGGCACGTTGCGACGAGCTGCAGGACCAACTGGCAACAGCCATAGTTGACGGGGAGCAGTCCAAACGGCGGACTGCCGAAGCGGACAAATTACGAGATGAGCTGGAAGAATGGAAGCAAACAGCAAATTCCTTGTCAAAATTTGAGCAGGAAGCGAAAATGTACCGACGAAAAATGGGTATGTGCTCCGTGAGCACTGATATCTTTGTCCCAGAGAATATTTTGTGGGAATGGTATTAATTATTATCTTAGATGAAATCGGAGACATTCGGGAGCGTTTAAAAAGTACAGAGAGCAGGAACAACGAGCTGGCAAAAAAGAACTCCGATTTAGAGCAGGTGCGGAACCGTACTATTTTATAATTTTCCGATCGATGCGTAAGCAGGAATGGATTTCGTTTTAATTCAGTATTCCAAGCCATAATATGTTTTGACAAGGTTTGAAGATCTCTTCTTGTTTGACTGATTCCCTCGTTTAATTTTTTTGAAATAGGAAATTTCGAGGGTTTTAGTCATGGTTGCCGCGTCTGACCAACGGAACAAAGACATGGATGACCAGCAGCAAAACGTCAAGTTAACACAAAAGCGGCTACAGGCTGCTCAACAGGAAATCCAAGATCTTCAAGATCAGATTTTGCAGCTGGATCGCCGCAACAAGGTTAACCTGTCGCTTTTGACAGTTGAAGCGTCTTTACGCAATGTTGGCGGTCAACTAATTGGATAAAAAATTTATAGCTACTAGAGTCAGAGAAGGGAATGACAAGACAAGATTCCGAAAGCGGCTTCGTTCCTTTGCATGACAGCCTTTCATTTGAAATGGAATCATCGTATTCCAGGTAATGAGTGCGCAGGGCTTCCTTTCAGAAGTATTTATCTCTAAGCCTGCTTAATAATACCTTTGAATACAAAAATATTTCATGCAACTCTTTTTTTAGAGAAAAACTCCAAGCAGAAAACAGTCAGCTCCGAAATGAACTGGACTTACTCAAACAGCAGCGAGTGGAGCAAAATGCCCTTGAAAAATCCGGGATAAAAATAGACGGACCAGATACCGAGCTCGAGATAAAGCCAAACGGCAAAATGTTAAACGGCGTTAAAGATGATGAATTATCTGAGGTTGGTAAAATTTTGAAGGAAAAAGAAGAGCGCATTAAAGAACTGGAGGTGAGCATTCTCACTTTCGCTCAGTATGAGTATGTGTGAAAACTGACCACAGCCATTTTGAAAAACTGATTAATTTTTGCAGCACAACATATATTCGTTGCGTCAGCAAGATGACATCCAGCAAGGAGCAGAAGGTGGCAACGAAGAATTTGATAAGATTCTAGCGCAACGCGATGAACATATTAGGACTTTGGAGGTATCAGATGTTTGTAATTTTAGCAGAGATAGCACGTGTTTTTAACCTACTTAGCACTCTTAAACTGAAACGATTGTAATTTTTAGCGGGAAGTGGATTTCTTGCGTCGCCATTACTCAAGGCAGCAGGAAATGATGACTGCGGCGTGGTACCAAAGGGTAAGATTTGTTAAAATTTTCTTTAAAATATCTTTTATATTGAAACCGATCTAGCTTTTTTTATGGTTGGATTGTATAGTCGCATTCTTTGAATGTTTAATATACAAAAAGCTGTTCGCACTCGTACAGTCAAGACGAAAACCTCGTATATTTCGGTACTTATTTATTGTACAATGTTTGTATCTGTGCTCGTACGTGTACTTAATGTAAATCTGTTATTTTGATGGTTGGTGCGAAACTGGTAACCCTTCATTTTGATGTACCTTACTGGTCGCTGGAGTTTCTTTTTTCGATTTACAGGAACTGAAATTGGCACAACAAGGGAGTTATACGTGTCTATTTGGGACATCTGCGGATGATCGTTCTAAACCGTCGACCTTTCTCGATACTCAGCGAAACGCTGTTGGGCCCCCAGTTAATCCGTCGACTCGTGCGCAGAATTCCGTTGCCAGTGCTTATCGTATATCTTCCCCTCGCGGATCGTCGAGATCTTTAAGGCAGTGATCTTTCTTTCAATTTGGTTTATTTTTATAAGCAACCCGGACCGTGATTGTTACTTTCAACTTGGGATTTCACAATGACATGTGACTAACCAAGGAATAATCTTCCTAGTCAATAATAGTATACATTGGACCTGTTTATAAATTTTGTATTTTCAGTCTTGTATCGATTGCGTGTTCTTTCTCAAACAAAACAGGAGGGACTCAGAAAATCGCTATTAAATGTAAGAAACCAGAAAAAAAGGTTTACAGGTTGGTCGTCCTGTCGATGTTGAACGAATGCAGCTGCGACGATGCCGGCAAGGCGGATACGAAGCGTGGTCCGCGAAACTGCGGTGTATTGAGCGCAGACGAATTGCGTAGCAGCGGTGAAGGAGGAATAATACTGTTAGCGCCGGTTTGCGTGCCCATCTGGCGTCGAGGATCCGTGGAGAATTTGCTGACAACATTAGGTGAGCTGGGGATTATGGGTGCCGCGAAGTTGAACTGTGCCGTATTGGCAATGGGAAATCCGTTGCTGATGTGGGTTGATCCGGTGTTATTGCTGGGCCCATTGCTACTGTGCTGGCTCACGGTGCTGCGGCTGCGACCGGAATTATTCAGATCCCCACCGGACAGTGGGCCCACCCGGCCCCGCTCCCAGTTCCACAGGCGCTGGTGCAGCTCCTTGAAACTAGGACGGCGTACAGCGTTCTCATGCCAGCATTCCACCATGAGAGCGTAAATGTGAGCCGGACAGTCATCGGGCTGCGGAAGGAGCTGGCGAGTGCGGATCATCTGCAGGATTTCCTGCAGTGAGCAACCGAAGTACGGTTGACGACCTTCCGACCAAATCTCCCACATGAGCACACCAAACGACCATACGGAAGAGTGCAGGGTGATTTGATTGTAATTGATTGATTCGGCGGCCATCCAGCGTACTGGCAAGATGTGATTCTGAAGTCTATACAAAGATCAGTATTAACTTTGCGAAACTGTCACTTGTGTTTAACTGACAAAGCAATAATTTAACCAGGAAATACGTTGTAATTGTCAGTCTACACTCTAGCTCAACACAAAATATGTATCCACTACAGTATAAGCAGTTGGAGGACTAATCAAACGGTTCATGTGCGAAAGGTCACTACTCAAAACGTTATCGAGCGGGTAATGAATCAGGAGCACTATGCTTTATTCGCATTTTATAACGTTTCTTCATCTAATTTTTATTGACAAAACTGTTTAACTATTGCATAATGATTGGCACCTGGAATAATCTTCTGGATAGCGCGTTGGTCCAATGCCGTAATCTGCGACTTTAACGTGGCCGTCTTCATATACCCAGCAATTGCGAGCCGCCACATCCTTATGCACGAAACAGTTGGCCGCTAAATACTCCAGGCCAGCGGCTACTTGCGTGGCCATGTGCAGATTTTCCGCATACGACCCCGGGTCCAGGTGCTTCGTACTCGTAACGCTTCTGGAAATATGCGATTAACTGGTGTATTTTGTTGTGAATGTTTGTGCACGGGCGGCTTCCTCACCTGTTATTTAATGTTTCCAGGACGTATTCGTGCATATCGCCTAAAAGTGTGTGCTCAAAGACCATGAAAAAGGGATCCCGTTCAGTATGAGCGCCAATCAAAGCCGTCACATTAGGATGCCGGAAATCGACCCATTGAGTCAACTGCAAAAAAACAGTGTCACACGTAACGCCAATCATTCAACCATTAATTACCACTAAGGCAATAACAATGCGCTATTTTTATATATAATTGTTCGGGTTACATTATAGTAATTTTTCTAACTGTTCAGAATACGCAATAGGCAATATTAAAAATTCTCGAGACAATACTAGGTAATGTTAAGAGTATTACCTCTTTTTGGAAATCTTGTTTGTTTTTCACAGTGCCGGTCTCTTTCAGCAGACGAATGATAACCGTTTTGGGGCCGCCTTCCGTTGTCAAATGTCCAGCGTAGACCAGTGTGCCGTAACTGCCTTCCCCCATAACATCCATAAAGCGCAAACTGCTCATCTGGATTTCCGGAACGTGTCCATGGATCTGGTATTTGGGAATCAGGGCATTCAATTCCAGCGGATTGGTTTTAATGTTGGCTTTAAAAGCCTCTTTGCGCTCATTCTTCTTCGCACGTCGCCGACACCAACACACGAGCAGGGAAATCAAGACGATCAAGAATAACAGTGCTCCACAGGCGATAATTATGTACAGAAGGCTGAGGGGAATATCATCCGTGGACGGCGTAACTGCAATCCAATGGGAATTAGAGTTTTTTCTCTGATCAAATTTTTTTTATAACATATAAAGGTATTTTTCTATAAGATATAAAGAAAGCTAAGATATTTTTCTATTTAATGTGTGTGTATGAATAGTACTATAGTCAAAATAATTACGCATAACGAGACAGAAATCAAAAAATAAAATACGCGAAGTAGAAATTTATACTTTCAGGCATTCTAAAGCAATATAAGGTTTGTCTGTTTTATCTGCCTTTTTAGTGCACATATAATAAATTACTCAAAATCTTCTGAATTAATAAAGGCCGCTGAATACTGGCATCTTTTTGTGCATGCCTAAAAAATTCGAACCGTATGTGCCGGCTTAAAGCAACCGACAACACTCACCGCATTTGGGGATGTTGCATGGCTCAGGCAAATCTGTTTTCGCATTAAAACACCACGGACGGGACTGTAATCCGCCGGGATTGCGGCAAAAGTTATGATGTGCGAAATCTGGTTGATGGACGCCGTCCCACTTTTTGCATTCGCCACCGGATACAGAGTGCTTGGTCATGCCCGAATACGCGGCGCCGCCATGATCATCACTGTAGCATTCCTCTTTGGTTATTTTGCTGGCCGGCTGTTTGGAGGGCCGTAAACCCAGCCGTACACACTTCTTATGATCCAGTGATTGCTCAATGGGGAGTTTATCGCAGTCAGGCATGAACTGTTTTAGAATGGGATTAGAGTTGGCGATTGCGTACTCCTTTCGACAGATTTCCGATTCCAACAGTTCACACTCATCTCTACATACAAAAACAATTTAAATAACAGAAAACTTACGAAATTCACCCGGTTCAAAAAATTTGTTTATTACGATGTCAGGTACCGGCTGCGCAAATTGTGTTAATTATTAGTTTTCTAAGCAAATAATTTCGTTTTACACTACTATGCTTTTTATCGGAATTTGTCTATGCTGTGCAGCTTGCATACCGGCACAATTCTCTAGGTCGTTTTTTCGTGGTTCCTTCATCGCACACGGGGAACATATGAAAGCAGAGCGAGGGCACGGCATATTCCGTGCAGTGCGTGGACAGTTCCGTGTGTTTTGGTATGGAGGCAAAGGCTGCCAGTAAGCTTTCCTCGATATGATTCTGATGTTGACCATGTCCAATGTATACCGTAATATTTTTCAGGAATTTCATGCAGGCTGTGCCTTTGTAAATCTGACAACTACCGGGAGTGGCCACATCGGGAGCGCGAATATTAAAGGATGCTGTATATGCATTATCCGTTTCCTCTGTTATATGGGTAGGCTCTTCATATTCATGCTCAATTTCTTCCAGATCTAGAGGTAGTGAAGCTTTTCCGGGCACTAAAAATGAACAAGATTTAAAATTCTCTAAGCTAACTTTTCCTGTCAAGGTATTGTATTATAATAGTTATGTAGAGGTATGTTGTCGGGAATATCATATTTTGATTTTCTCGTTGATGATAAATGTTTTTACGTAAACAACGCACATATGCATGAATTAAAATGACTGGTGTAGTGCATAAGATTCAGCGGGAAGAAAATAAGGAAAATTGTTAATAAAGCATGCTTGCTGCATTAAACGCTTGCACGAAGTTCAGATTGCTTACCCATAAGAACTTTGAGAATACCGGTAGTTTCCACCTTGTCAAACCCGTTAAAAGCTTCACACCGATAGTAACCGGTGTCGGATACATCCAAATTTCGAATGCGAATCCTACAAATATTCGAATAACTTATGTGCGTAAATACTTGAATGGAATTTCAAGTGTACATGAGCCAGCATAAAAACATACTTGGATCCCTCGTGATCTTTCTTAATGGTTATGCGGCCTCGTTTTTCTCCCTCAAACGGAGCCTCATTTTTAAACCAGCGGAATCGTGGCGATGGGCTGCCGCGGACATTACATCGCAGTCGCGCTTCACGCCCGGCATTAATGGTGAAATTAACCAGTGGCTCCACAATGTAGAGGAAATCTATTCATAAACACATATTTGTGCATAAATATACAAACGGCTAAAACGTGACCGAAATGGATAGCATTACATTTGGGAACGTGCTGGACGAGTTACACATGCACATATACGTAACACACACATACTGCACTCGCGCAAACACTTACTTGAAATCCGTGTTGTTGTTGTAGTGGTGGTTGTGGTCAATCTTGTGACGGTGGTCGCGTTATCCATATTGGACGATATTATATTATCCATCCTTTATGTGCCCATGCAATACAAATAAAAAATCACCGACCATATCAGAACAGAATATTTATTGTTCTTTCCGACCAACTCTATAGACGTATATAATATTATACTCCAGCTCGCATCGCATACAATGAATGACCACCTGGCATGTCCAGTTCTGCGGTGTTCAACAAGTTACGGACGACGGTCAACTGAACAATACCGTTCTCACGACAGGCGCCATCTGAGACGTGGAGAAATGATTGAATTACTAAAGCGCTAACAATGTTTAATTTTGTTAGTTAGAGGATATCTCCGGCCGTCGTTGCATTATTATACACAATTTATTGTAAGGTTTCCGCTCGATCGATTTCTTAATACACATGTAAAGACAGCATGTATGCCGCCTCCCTCGTTTTTAGTACGTTATGTGAACAAGCTGTCATTATCCACTGTCTGACATAAAGCGCACAATATTCGGGAGAGTAAATTGGGCTACTTTTCCGGTTGTTAATTTCTTCGGTTGGTAAGAATTGTAGGTTGAAGTATTTACGAAAAATTGCAGGTAGAACACCCGCAAGCGAAACACCGTAATGTTGACCATAACCACAGTGAGCTAAGGCTTTTACGCTGATTTGTAGGGTCATTCAGGCAGTGCGTAGAGGGAGAAAATTAATGGACAGACTAATAGCGGGTGTAGTGGACAGGAAATTAATTTTCCTATGACCGGAAGTACCGGGAACGAGTACATTAAACTGGATGGCTATCCAGCGTCATGGGCGGCTACTGCCGTCCGTCAGTGGAAGCCGTTGTTTTACTGTGAGTGGTCGTTTAGTCAGCCGCACAAGAAGATCACTTACAATGATAAACTGGCCTGTTCTTCCTCGTCGGCCATTTCCATTTCCGGTCGGTTGGCTTTCAGCTACCAATACGGCAGAGCGATAAATATTGTTGTGTTGTGCCGGTCAAAGATTGATATGATCGGGCCACTTAAGGACATTGGAGATACAATCACGCAAGCAGATTCCTCCAAATAGTTAAATTAGAATATTATTGCGGAGGCCAGATGTACGCATTCGGTTCTGAAAATAATTCGTTATTATTAATAAAGTACCCCATACCTGTTCACTGCACGTAAGCATAATACTGTATAGGAAAATGTAAGAAAACACAATAAAACTGCAGTAATTATCCATAGAAGTATTCCTTCGACATCGTAAGTACTTTTAATTGTCAGACACTTATTATTATAGTTAAGATTACCTAGTAATGCATCTGGTGAGTCATGCTACGGAGGATACTGCGTTGCGTGTTTTTGTTACGAATTGTGAACTGACCAAAAAAGTTTTATTTTATTTGAAACATAGCTTGTAGTGCATCCAACACATCTAATGTGCTGTTGTACGTTTATGAAGGCGACCAGTGTCCGAGGTATGGGATATTGACCAACGACTTGCATCCACTATTGAAACAAGGTCTAGTCATAATCCTAATTTGATATTTGTTTTACTAAGTGCTCTCCTATGAAGTGGACCTGAATATCTCTATTTGGAAGTATTGTATTAGCGGAGATAATTACAGTGTGCGAATCGAAATGCCACCGCAAACATGTCCCAAGCATACACGCTGTCTGCTGACAGTTGTCCATTAAAACAGATCTACCAATTACCTAAAACCACAAGGGATTTATTCACCAGAACAGAGCATGCATGACATGGCGTAATGCTGGCAAATTGTTTCCGTATGGTGAATCTGCATAATCATCCAATTAGAATTGCTAAAACACGCTGAAGGTGGATTTCAGAACTCTCTGTATTTCCATATAGTTGCTCGCTTTTTACACCTCTTATAAAAGCAGGTTGCATTTACCATAAACTTTATTTTGAAATAGCAAGAATATGTAATTTATGCATTTTGCATATGTTTAATTATATTCAATTTTAATAAATCGTTTTTAAAAAGTCAGAATAGAGAACAACCTGTTTTGCTTATTGTGCTTATATATTCAAAAGAGTTTGCAATTATAGAAGTTTGTTATAGGAGCTTTAATAAAACAGCTTCCTGTCATAGGAGCTTCCTTGCCGTTAAAAACTGTTACTAAGCTTAATCACTGTATAATTATTTTTTACATTTTATATCTATGTAACATGCGTGATCCCAACATTCCGTTTCTTCCACCTGTGTTCTGTATGCAGAAGTACGAGTACAATTTTCATCTGCGACTGCCGGTAATATTACAGCAAGGTGCAGCGGTATTGTACTGACCTACTGCCCATCCAACGCTCGGAAGCACTCCATTTAATAATCAATACCAGTGCAATATATGAAATGAAAAAGGCCTAGTTGTATCTCACCTGGGATGGCATTTTTCATTCACGAGAAATAATCAAGCTCCAGAAGAGCCGTTGTAGACGCTTGACACACATTCCTTATAATATTAATGCAGATGCGGTAAACACCCACGCGAAGAATGTATATGAAAATCAATTGAGTTTATCCGAGCAGATCCTTCCGTCAGAATACTGACGACGTAGCCATAACAAAAATGCAAATATCACTCGGTATAACAGCCAACGAAAACACGAACTTGACCAATTGAAAAATGAGATCAAGAGTTTTATATGCCGCACCACGCAAAAATAAAACAATCGATGATACTGTGCGTACGCCGCTACACTAGCTATATACATTGCTATTATTCCTAGGAAAACGTAAAATACATGGACTGTTTTAAGTGTTCATGACCTGTCAGGCGATATTTGATGCCCCTCATGCAAGTCATGATCAAAGGAATCTGGAAATCCCCATGCCGTCTGCCGTAAAACGATCACAGTACTGCGTGCTATAAGGAGCAAACTATGATGCAGCATATGCCGCTGGTGTGTTGGTAACTGGTCGTTATTGATTTAAATGCTCTTGTACAACACGGCGACACACTTTGTTATAAATGAGTCTAACCCGGAGAATTGCGAAATCATAGGGATTTACTGCGCCAGCTTCGAATCCTCTTTTGACTTCCTCTGGCAGAACAGACACCAATAACAAGCTGATCAGCGTGAAATTATACCTGACTGTATGTTGTTATCCATTTGAAATTAAATGCAATGGTAAAGATGGGGGTGGTTGAACTACTTCCAGGGAAGATGCCGAACGCTAGTATTCATTCTAACAACGATCGAAAATTTGCTTGTTTTATAAGTGCTCGCTAGTTAGTATTTTGAAATAAATTTCCGCCTAAAAATTTAATACCATGAATAAATATGGATTTATATTTTTATTCGACTAGAATTTTTATTGAACTAACAGGTAAGTATTTGTGAATTGCTTTTGGAAAATTATGAGGAACGATGCTCGACAAATGAGTAAAAGTACGTTCGATTTCATAACATTGTAGTACAATATTATAAAAAGTGACACATGCAATATATGTGTTTTCACGTAGCTCGAATCGGACTTCGAGTGCTTGTAATTATTGTGTAATATCGCATTAACTAATGTGTTGCAGTTAGTGCAATACGGTCAGACACTGTAGATGTTGTAGAGAAGTCAACAACGTTTTTTGTAACGAAAACCATCGCTTGGACAGATCAACAGGAAAAGCCGGGATCATGGCTTCCCGCAGCGATAGCAGATTACATCACTGTACGTGTGCGCCCGGCAATGCCGCTGTAACCCAGTGTAACACTAACTTAATTTGCACTGGGTCATCGCAACGACCTCGCTCGCCATTCACACAAGTCTTTTCTTCCTTTTTCTTCGTCGTTCTTTGTGCGGGATAAGGTAATAAACGAGTTAGCTTGAGTGTAAAACATCCCCCGAAAAAAATCAATACATAACCAAGTCTGATTTATTTCATAGCTGCGCCTGTCGATAAAGGCATAGGCTGCAGAGGAAGTCTGTGCATAAAAGATTGCGTTTAGCACAAGGAAAGAACATCTGTAAATTTGATTAAGGACGGCATGAAATGTTTTTTCTCGGATTAACTGTGTCGGATTTGGCCAGAAAGTGGTCCCACTGCATTTGTTCTAATCAATGCTGTATGGCCAATCAATAGATTTCTCGTGGTAATTTTGAGCAAACATCCACAAGCTAGCGTGTTCGCCGCTTTTGCTAACGTTTACAATGAAAAAATTTTTTATATGACTATCTCGTACTTTTAACCTAGTTTCTTTTAGCAAATATTCTGCTAGATTATAAACGTAAACGTACACACCATCATAATAAACTGCAAAAGTCACCCAAGTTACAGAGATTTACTAGTACCTTGACCGATCGACTTGATAATATCGGCGGTTTTTTCTGATTTTCACACAGTTAACAAAATGCATGTTGTGCCGAACGTAAATTTATAATATTCAAACATATTAATTCGTAACTGCAGACTGCATTTATTTCAAATAGTTGTTTATTGCTTGTCTGGTTCGAGATTGGTAGACAACTCGACATGATGAACAAAACAGTTGAAAAATATCCATTGGTAACGTATTTGCATTAGTATTCGACGGCAACTGCAGTATTTAATGGAGTAGTTAATTTATTGTCTTGTGCAACGGGACACTGTCCCCTCAAGGCATTTGACATTCCAAAAACATGATAAACAGCAAAGGTCACACAAAAAAACAACATGTCCGGTTGAGTTTCTTTACATTCCTAAATACTGCGCGCAACAAAGGCATACGGAAGCTGAGAAAGTACCAGTAGCCAGTAGGTATCATACAGCTAGTCCACACACTCAACCGGACAAACTGCGATATTGACTAGAACAAACAGCCATTGTCTCCTGTGAGAAACAGTTGATAAGAACTATTGTTGTCTTGTACAAATTTATCTATTATGACCCGGTACAAAAGGAATTCAGGCTCCAACTGATCAAGGCAGTAAGTTGCTTAAGGCCACGAGCCAATTAACAGCTTCATTTATCACGAAAAACCGGTCGGGACGGCAGTTGTGCTGCGCAGCACTGCTCTTCCCAATTCCAAGCTGCAGCCGCCGATCGCGAGGATAATATGACAACAATGCCCTGGTATTATAAATGACTTACTCGATCGCTCCGTGGCAACTGCCCACTGTACACATACCTCACAGTCACAAAGTGTAATTTATGCGGTAGCCCAGTGGATGATTGACGATGATCGGTTTATGGTACTGATTAGTGGAGCTGGCGAATGTTATAATGAAAAAGAATTCGCCAACTGACAGATCCGACGCAATATTAATTGCATACTGACGACACGCAGACACGTTCGCTTATCGTTAAGCACACAATTGCCGGGACCACTAACCCAACGTGAGGTCAGAATCATCAAAACTACCCGTTAAGCTATATTGCGAAAATGATGGTTGCATGTGACTATCTTGTCAATAAAATATTACGAATAAATCCCAGACGAATGACCACATCTGGAACGCGATTACAGTGATGTGGGACAAAGTATTTGCAATTGGGAAAACTATTTTTTAATGAGCTACCCTAAATATATACTCTGGCTTTGCGTTAATATTAATATTGTAAGCCAGATGGACAGTCACTAGGATATCTTGGTCATCATACCGTTCGGCGGTGCGCATCGCTGTTGCGTATTGTTAATTCGCATCATTATAATTATGGTAGTACATTCATATGACTCGCCATAACGAGTGGTGAAAATAATTTTTAAGTAAACTCGCAGATGTCATTGTGATGGCAATAGTTATTCGAGCTAGAAAACTGACCATGTGTGACAACTGGTCGCAAGATAAATGCAACGATGAATTAAGCATTTGCCGCAGTTCGACTATTGTTATGCGAAATGAGAACGAGACGAAGAAGGGAACTATGCATGGGGCATTCCTACTTGGCAGATGGGAAATTTTTCCTTGTCAATAAAAACTGCCCAACCCCTTTCAAATTTCAAAACCAAATTTTAGCTCTTGTAGTAAGAGCATGTGCGGGCTCTAGCTAAAGGTTACGGATTCGCGCCGGTTGCATAATCTTCAGCTCTGTTGTACTCAACTGTATTATGTTTGCATATATTTGCAACAAACTTTTTATCGCTAAAATCGATACTTCTATTCGTAACATTTTGTTAAGGCGTGGACTGCATGGAAAAAACGAACAATTTGATTTATCATAAAATTTTTAAAAAAGTGTGCAGTGAAGTACGCTGTTTATACCAAAATTGTCGCGGTTGCCCATATAATGGTCACTTTGCTCGATCGTAAGTTTATATGTGATAGCAATTTAAATATATTTTACATCCATCTACTACAATCCTATCTGATTGACCACCTGCCGGTTGCATTTAACAATAATCAGCCCTTTATTAAAACAGCTGTAATGTATCCAGTTTTTGCCAAGACAAAGAAAACAATCTCTTAATTTACCTGTACCGGCACTGCAGAATCGCGCGTACGATACAGTTATTTGTGAATTTCATACTGTGGACTGTCCAAGGATAACTATTTTAACCTTTTAACCTAGTCGGCATTTTTTGCTGTGACACTCCACTTTTCACAATTATTTTTTAGCAATATACAGACTTATGTGGGAGTATCCAATAAAGTATTGAACGTCAAATAGTTGCTTCTACAGAGTTCGTCGACTTACCAAATGAACCTTGTCTGGTGTCCACTTTTACGACCGGTAGGTCTAATGGTACACGTTGCCGGCAGATCGCAATTTGTCCATATAAAGAAGATTAAATTTCTTCTTGACTGATTAGTTAATTTTCACTTAACGCTGCTGTATGCATTATCAAATGATCCAGTTAGAACATCGTGACGGACAGTAGTGACACTTCATACTAAAGAAAACAAACCAACTTAGCACGCTTTCAAAAACGTCATCTAAGGGGAAAAATTTGACGAGATGCTGGCCAGCGATCGCTTTCCACAAGAAGACAGAACCGATGTAAATCTTAAATGAAACGATCACTGTCAGTCTAACGAGATGTTGTGCTGTACAAGTGATGCAGTGTAAACTGGTTTCACCAGTCCGATCTGGGAATATACGAATATACTTCTATACATCGGCATATAGAAGATTGGGTATTACGGTGTACCATTTATTCATACAAAAGTATCTTGCTCAAATCTGCTGCTGAACCGCTGATATTGTGAACTAACACGGCAGCTGGCCATCGCTGCTGTTTTGCACCATTTCAAATTGTAGTAGCCGGTGTTCAGAAATCAGATATGAAATATGGTCATGCAGCTTCCGCTATAAGCACACAAAATGGTTTGCAAGATGACCAGACCGTATAGAAGCTGCACTCCAATATGTGTTGTAGATCTGCAGCACATATATACTCTATTTCGACTCATATATCTGCAATGTGCATGGCAGTTCGAGTATTCGAATTATGGAGTACTCGTATGCGATGTGGTTGGGTAATTTGCTGGTCATTCTACTCCACAACGGGTGGTCAGTCAATTTCTAGCACATTTTATTTCTGAGTATAGCATACTTAGAATAACCATAATATGCATATTCTGTATATCACTGAAAAGCATACTGAATTACTGCTCGACAGCCGGCGCAAAAGGTTCACAATTAGGACTATTAGTATTACATACATGTTATGTTGTCAAATTTGCATGAAGATTCATTTCAGAAATAACCTTTACAATAGCACACGTATGCCTAGGTGTATTGGTATAATTCATTAATTATATATTTTAGTAAAAAGCAAAGAAAGACTTTTGCAGTCCCAGTCGAATGAAAACACTACGTTGGCTTAAATCAAAAGGATCCCAACAAAAGTAAACGTTTTCGACGTTTACGAGGTTTTACGTACAACCATTATCAAAAACAATCCATAGCATATAGGGCATTCTAATACATATGCATAATTAGCTAAATTTGAACTTGCGCGAAGCTTCCCGTTGCAGTTGTAATTGTTTTCGTATTTTGCTGCTAACTTGACCGCGAAGAGCGTAATCCCGGTATTGCATTGGCATATGGACTGTCATAAACAGAGTCCAGTGTATAAATTAGTCGATAAGTGCCGTAATAATCCAGTGCGCGCGCGCACGTCCGTTTCGGGTTCAATACAGACATCAGGGATAACTGGCTTTTACATTGGTCATCTCTTCGGCGATTTGTCAAGCGGTCAGCTGCAGCGCGATGTGATGATGCCGCATTATGTGCACAAGGAGGTATGCATGCAATAACAACAGCAATATTCCATGCACAACATCGATCGATCCGACATAAACTTGAGTGGCAACATAATGACACTGAAGCACTTCGTTAATGAGACCGTTCTTGATTAACTAAAATTACTCATGTGTAAAATAATCCAGCATTCAGAAGGCGACAGTAATGACATTTGTTCGGTTACGATAAAATGGAAAAAATGGATTACATTCTTTATTTTTACCGTGGAAAGAAAATTTGCAATGTCTTGCTGGATTTTGTTTTGCAGATATTAAGAGTGAACGGAACATACCGGTTTATAACTTTAAAAAGCCTAATCCGCTGGCGAAAATTAATTGTATTACGATCAGTATTTTTACTGGGAACGCTGTTTTTTATATTGCCGAACGGTCCTGCTAAATGTTAATGGGATTCTAACGGTAGCAGGCCGCATGCCTACTTAGTGATACCAATCGTCGCAATAATATTCCTTGTAAACTGAGAACTTGGCATTCGTTGTTTTAGTAGTTTTACTGTGGAATCGTGTTTTTTTAAAATCATCTAAAGAACCATTATTCTACTGCTAATATTATTTTCGTAACAACCGAAGCGTGGCGCTGATCACCGGTTTCCAGATTAAAACAGATCCATTATTTTGCTATACTGGGACAAACAACACCGGGGCCGAGTGACCCAAATTCCTGCAAACGTCACCAAAACAGCGCGATTCACCAATGCCTCGTTAAGCGATTAAAATTCCCGCTCCTTATATAAACGCTCTAAGCTATGCAGTAAATTCGCCAGTTGCGATCACTGGCGCAAGGCTTCAGGCCTTCACAGCACTTGAAAACGGGATCATAGCTAAGACAGGATATCCGTAGTGCTTTCAGTTTGAATAAAAATTATCCCAAGTGTAAAGTAAAGAAAAGAGGCCTCCTCTTAGCTGTTTATCGTTTATATTGCCGATACAACACGCGATATGAAATTTGCTATATTGATGCGGACATGAGTCTACTTCTAAATTTCAAATTCGTTTTGCAAGATAACAGCGGCTTATTAGGTTATCCAAAAGTTTGAATCCCTATTGGGCGTTTATTTTCCTGTAACTATTTTCATCGTACGTAGTAGAGAACAAAAAGGCATGCAACTATCATTGTAAATGAAGTATTTAAATACTGTGTACCGGCTAACCTAACCTTTTTATGTTTGCCAGCTCGCTGTTGTTTTTATCATTTTATGCGTTCTAAGATCCAACCTTGTAAAACCGCACTGAATCAATTGGTGAACTGGAAATGTGCACAGGTAATTTTATTTTTGGAAGTCAACATTATTGATCCAGCTCAACCGTCAACACATCTGTCGACATAAATAAACTATCGCAAATCATCACAAACTACACTGGGCTGGTATAGCTTAAAAAGATCGATTTTCATTTCAGATAAAAACAGGTCATCCTTTTATAAATACACCGGAAACAAATGTAAAGTACGCGTAACGGACGGCGCCACGCGTTTTCAGTAATAGGTTTCCCGTTCAACAAAGCCTCCGGGATTACGTCGCAGTATGAAGCGGCGGATCTCATCATACACAAAGATGGCCACGCTAAAGGGCAGGGCCGGTAGCCACCACAATCCTTTAACGGGTTGAGTCCGCAACAGCACCGATATGCCTGGCGTGTAGGACATTAAACAGGCCAGCGCGGTTTCGAACAACAGAGCGAAATTCAGCACCCAGTTCCTACAATATAATTTGCAGGAAATATTCATGAACATTGTAACGCGATATTGATTCGGGCTGGCACTACTAGATAGAATTAGGTTAAATGTTCTAAACATTCGGACATTATCTGATAATTATATTGCCACTGCGGTCTGTCAAATGGCAAAAGCTGATAACCTTACCGATGACTACATTGACTAAATTGGCCCTAATCCAAAAAGTGCTGCTCTGCCGGTTTCGAACTTATGAAATACGACGGGCAAATTAAGAAGAGTTCTTCGGGAAGCTCGTAATTATGACAAATTACCGCTGCAGTAATCACAATAAGAAATGTCTTGTACGTTACAACCTAGAGAACCTACCCCATGCCTTGCTGGAACAAGGACTTCCGTCTCGTTTTGGAAATAATCAAATCGGCCCACTGGACAATGACAATAGATAGGAAGTATGCGGTTTGAGCAGTGTATTCCAATTCTTTTCGTTGTTTATAAGTCTGCGATACGAAAAACAGTTAATGAAGAATATCTTATTAATTTAAATTTCGATCTACATCTACATTGCTTACCCACTCTTGACCATAAGAATCAGCCAAATCGGCGACCTCTCTGCTATCCCATCTCTCTCGTTTCCAAAGTAAATCCCACGGCAAAAAGCCCATTTCGCCCATAATCACAATGTAACAGAAAAAGCCGGCAGCAGCTTGAATGGGTCCTGTGACGAGAAATTGGGATAACTGTATGGAAAAGGTTAAATTAATTATTTTTTTGTGATTGACACACCTATTTGACCGTAAGCTAAAGAAATAAGGCGCTCGTTTACGAGACGATCTCTGGTAGGATCTCGAGGGCGGCGCTTCATGATGTCAGATTCAGCCTTTTCGTATGCCAAAGAAATTGCAGGAACCTGGTAAAAACAAACAGTTCCATTCAATTTAGGGACGAAACTTTAAAAAATGCATTATCTGGTATGTAGTACTGTTGCGTTAATATCTTACATCGTTGCACTATTATAATTATTAAGTAGCTTTATGACTGACCATGTCGGTACCGAGATCGATACACAGGATGGTGATTGTGCCAAGTGCCGGAGGAATGCCGAGAATAATAAAAAGCAAGAAAGGCAAAAGTTCCGGAATGTTGGATGTCAAGGTGTACGCAATGGATTTCTTTAAGTTATCAAAGATCAGTCGACCTAAGCCAAAATTAAGAAATATTTACTTATTTTAACGGTACAATAGTAAGTGACAGCCGCAATCCTAAATATTGCCCGAATTCAGGTGCTGAATTCTTACCTTCTTCCACACCAGTCACAATGGAAGCGAAATTGTCATCCAGCAAGATCATGTCGGCAGCCTGTTTGCTAACATCACTGCCGGAAATACCCATAGCGATACCTGTAAAATAAAGGTTTATTTATAATCTTTTGCATTAGCTGCAGATTCGAGTGATTCTTTGATTTTGCACTGTATAAACATTGCAGTATTCTCTTATGATTAAACGAGAACTCCAGATCTGATTTGCAAATTAAAACCCTTTTTGCCCAGACAAATTTCCCTGGACTGATGCAGCTGCATTAACCTGACGCGTACGTGTTCCTGTTGTACAACTTTCTGTTCCTTTTAAATGGTATTATGGTACCCATAGCAAATAAAAAGATACCCATAGCAAACAAAAAAGGTGCGAATATTTAGAATATTTGGTTAAATACGATTATACGAGCACTTGCTATAAATGTTCTAGTTTATTAGCCGCAAATTACCGATATCGGCTTTTTTCAGTGCCGGTGAATCGTTTACACCATCTCCGGTCACCGCCACGATGGCCCCTTGACGTTGGCAGGCTTCCACAATGATCAGCTTCTGTTGCGGTGAGGTTCGGGCAAAGACGATTTCCGAATGATGCCGCAAAATGTCGTCGATTTCTGTGCCGGCCATGTCACGCAGATCGCTCCCGTGTATGACTGCCGCTTTGGCCTGACGCGGATTAACGCGACTGACATCGATCCCCAGGCGGTTGGCAATATCTTTCACTGTTTCGTTGCCGACGGAAATAATACCCACGCTTTGGGCGATGGCTTTAGCGGTGATGGGATGATCACCGGTGACCATGATGACACGGATACCTGTACGCAGTACCAGTGTTGCATTTACTGGATACTTAAACAGCCAGTAAATGGTTGAAAATTCATATATCAGTAAAACAGACTGACCGGCACTTCGACATTTGGCAACAGCATCCGGTACCGCCGAGCGCGGCGGATCGATCATGGAAATTAAACCGACAAAACGCAGACCACTGGTGGGGAAGTTTTCGTTCTCGGCGTCAAATTTGAACCCGCTTGGAAACTGTTCCAGTGGAAGAGTATAGTCGCAAAACCCTGAAATATGGGGAGTGCTTTTGTTGGTATAAACTGCGAAATGAGTTAAACCGGGTATGCGATTTACCAAGTACACGTTCGCCCATGCCACCAAGATCTGAATACGCGTCATTAAAGCGCTTTTTCCATTCTTCAGTCAGCGGTTCCTCTTTTCCATTTATAAAAATGGTACTGCAACGCTCGAGAATTCTTTCCGGTGCACCTTTCATAACCAATAGATAGCGCTGGTCGGAATCTTCCGGTGGTTGCTCGTGAACTGATACCTGCAGTAAATGTGCATCCATTACGACTTTTTGTATATTACACCTGCCGAACGAATGGATAACGAAAGTTCAGTTTTGTACAAGCGTAAAAAAGACCAAATTAACAGATAAATTATGATTTTCTCTGTACCTGGAATTTATTGGTAGAATTAAAAGGAATTTCGCACACGACATGATGCCGAGCACGGTATTCCATAGTCTGTCCTTGTGTGATCTCGCCAAACTTCAGCAGAGCGGTTTCCGACGCATCACCGTTGACTACTCGTTTAGCAACGGGCAGGTGGTCCTGTCCAGCTTGAAAGGCTGCGCGGTTGCATAGTCGGACCACCCGAAGAAGGGCCTGAAACGTGGGAGACGAAGTGTTCATATCAGTACCTGAAAAAAAAATTGTAGGAGTAAAATAGATGTTTGAAAACCACTGCACCATGTAAGTACGAGCAGGCAGCCTGTTACCTGTTCGGTTTTCGCTGGTGTCCGCTGTTAGAATCTCGCTCTCGTACCACAAATGCGAGACAGTCTACAAGAAAACAGGCTGATGCGAGTAGAAGTGAATTTAAGGGATCTGGCCCGGTACACAGCACTAAATTCGTGTACATTGGCGGCAAAAGTAAAAAGATATATACCGCAGTGAAAAGCAATGAACGTGTCAATTCTAAAACGTTTCTCAAGTTTGCATTGTTCAGAGTAGTTTAAAACTCATATCTGTTGGACCATGAGCAATTTATGAAGCACGTACGTAAATGGCAAGAAACCGTGCCGCTTATACTGATGTCAACATTCTAATATTTCCCATCATATTTATTCAAAACATTACTTTCGTTTGAAAAAAAAACCTGTGGAAAAATTACCATTCTGTTTTGGGTTAAAGTTCCAGTCTTATCCGAACAAATTGTCGAAGTAGATCCCAGAGTTTCCACTGCTTCTAGATTCTTTACCAAACAGTTTTTCTTCGCCATTCTCTTAGCCGTCAAGGTCAAGCACACCTGTTAGAAATACATCAGCAATGTTCATCATGGTTGTCATATAGCTTTCATGATGCTTGTGTCAAGAATGTCAACACTGGAAGATGAAACGCTCAGCCGTGTTTTCTCACCGTTACGGTCGCCAGTAATCCTTCCGGTACATTCGCCACAATGATACTGATCATGAAGATGATGGTAGTCAGCCAGTGATAGCCCATGACAGCGGAAATAATTAAGAACACTACCCCCAGAAAAACGGCCACGGACGTAATGATCAATATGAAATGGTGAATCTCCTTGGCAATCGGTGTTTCACCGGAGTCTAGACCAGTGGTCAGCTGCGCAATACGACCCATCACCGTATTGTCACCACATCGGATAACGATGCCAACGCCGGTACCTAAGAAAACAACTAACTGATCAAACGAAAAAAATAGATACAATTTGCTTACAACAATGAAGCAATTAGTAAAGTAAATGTGGTCGATAAAGATAACTCACAGCAGCCAAAATTATGATACAGTAATCAACAGCTTTAGTAACATTTAAGAATATTACTATGTATCACTTACCTTCCACAGCGTTGGTGGAGAAAAATGCAATGTTTTTCGATTCCAAAGGATTTTCATTGGACTCGGTCGTGCGACTTTGAGGTTCCGCTTCGCCGGTCAAAGATGAATTATCCACTTTAAGACTTTTTGATTCAATAATTCTAAGATCGGCTGGAATTCTGTCGCCGCCTTTCACTTCCACAAGGTCACCCAAAACCAGCTGGTCAGCAACAATGCTGCTCTTCTGACTATTTCGTATAACCAGTGCGTGCTGCGGTATCATATTCTTAAAGGAATCCATAATTCGTTCCGATTTTGCTTTTTGGTAATAGGAAAAACAGCCGGTAATGAAGACCACAGCCGCCAAAACGATTCCAAGATAAAGCTAAAAATGTGTAAAAAACATGCGATATACGTACATGTCATAAGATGCTTGCTTTACAAAGGTAAAAGCTATCTTAAAAAAACTGTAGGCATACATTATCTCTTTCAGGAAACGGATTTGTTGCCACTTCGATCCCATAAGCTATGAAACCTAAATCAGCAAGCAGCACAATAATGTAAGGCAAATGATGGTTTTTTTTGTACAAGGGAAGGTTTCATAGTTATGTAGAATTTACGTCGGTTATCTCGCACTAACACCTGTAAAAAATTAGGTGAACTGGTAGGAGAAGAAAGGGAGTTCGGCATCATAGCCATAGCGAAGAATGTACGTACTGTAATTCTGCGAAACACTAAGCTTACATAATATTGCCCCAGCCCACAAGAGAAGTGAGAAACCGCCTGACATTTCCTTTAGAAACTTTATAAACCCACGGGTGGTTTTTGGAGGGGTCAGCGCATTCGGGCCATCCCGCGCCAGTCTTTTCTTTGCCTCATCCTCGCTTAATCCCTGCAACAGCGAAAATGTTGCACACACTGGGCTAATGGAACATAATTTATCCTCATATAATTCAAAATTCATTTGCTATATTTCGCGTAAACAGATTATTGTTCGTGCCTATTCGATACTCTGCACGAGTAGGGAGCGGAAATTAAATCAAAATCCATTCGTGGCTATTGAAATGCCTTTTTCGATCTTGAAAAATCCTCACGTTTTTCGCATCCGTCTGCAGACGTCGGCATAGATCAGACAAAGATATGATATGGTCATCCTAAACAGCGCAGTTCAAAATTAACGTTGTCTTTCCACATAAGCGATGTATATGAATTATGAAATATAAGCCATTCAATAAAGCCAATGTTGCATATCATATACCATGGCGGCTTCCTGTTTGAGGTCTTCCATGACCTTGCCAGCTTCCTTCCCGTTTGGGGCATCTAGGATAAAAAAACATACATAGCTGAACTGGCAAATATACCCACGTACGTATAAACTGCATTAATTAAACAATTCTCACTTCTTTTCTTTTGGTCAACCGGTTCAGACTTATCCTCTTTATCCTGTTTGTCCTAAAGGTCATTAGAAAATGATTATTAGCTATCTATCTCCTCTCATTCTGGCTGTTCACAACAGCCTTTTGTAGTGGCTTTACGTTTCATTTGCAGTAATGATACCTGTGTCCAGAAATCTGATCATGTACTGTAGAGACAACTAAATCTGCCATTTTGAAATTGCTAACACGGTATTGATCGTAGTGCGACTTCGACCAGAAACGAGTATAGCCCACTTTCAGCTTTTGGCATGGTAAAAGTCATCAATTTTGCATTAAAATGAGCAATCTAATTTTCGGTAGCTTGACTTCCCTGACTTTTAACACTACTCGTACCTTTGTGACGGTCATGATTAAATCGCACTACTTTCTTTGGAGAGGAGAAGAAAAAAATCACAGCGTGATTCCGGGAAAAATAAATATCAGAGCAACATGATAGAACTTCAATTCCGGCAAACCTTCCGTTGAAAAGGAAAAACATCCAGTCTCAGACTTCGACAGCCATGATTGACAGGCACTGTAAACCATACCATAACGAAATCGGTGGTGTTAACATGCCGATCTGTACAAAAATTGTGATAACGTTCATATTCATGGTGCGGTATTACCTTCGTACATGAGAAACCAACATAAGTGAAAACAACTGATAGTTAAGATGATTTTACGACATTCGCGAACAAAGCAAACACAGAGACCGACAAAAAAAACTACAGAAGCAAGCAGCCAGAATCCACAGGTGCCACACCAACGAGCTCGCTGGTTAAGGGCCAAACGCAGAGCGTTGTAAGGGCAAGCCCCCAGGTTGCTTCGGGCATAACACCAGAAAAATCCGATCGCAAACGTCCGCGCTTCCTCCATCCGTCTCCAGAATCTGGGAGATCCACGTTCGTTCCACGATAACCCAATGACATGAACAACGGAATGAAATGATCCAACGCGTAGTGAGAGTTCCAGAAGTCAGCAAGACTCCACAGCACAGATACGCGTTCTTCGGCCGCATTTACCATAAAAGCAGGATTTAGGGGTTGACCGAGTGCCGCGCTGATGAGATCACTGGTTAAAAGGGCCAAACGCGAAGCGTTATAAGGGCAAGCCCCCAGATCACTTGAAGCACAACATTCAGACGCCCCAGAACGTCCCCCCTCACGGCGCATGCAGTCGCTCCCGCAGCACAGGCTCCAGCGTCCTGACGACTCCATTAGACAAACAAGAATGGGTTCCAACGTATGTCTCGAGAAGTTTGAAAAGCTGAGTAGGAATAGTGAGAGAAATAAAGTCACGAAAAGATGCTGCGAGAACCGAGGGCAGTTCGTACACTGGAGAGTGTATTATAGTTCCTCTGAACAACTTGTCCCTGCCAATCTGGTACGAACCAGAAATGGCAGGGCTCACTATTAATTCACAAAAATTCCCAAGAAGAAATCGAAAAACAATTGTGATAACTAATAGTTGTCAAATAGTTTGAATAGGGATATGTTCACTGATTGCTCCAGATACGACGTTTTGTAATCAACATGCTAACAGTAAATAACATTTTATCCACTACGCCATAAAACACCCATGATTAGAGATGGGCAAACTAAAATTAGTCGACTAATTAGCGGTTAACTTCGGTTAACCTGACCAAAACTAAAAAAATTAGTTTAGCAAACTTTGGTAACTAAAAAATTTAGTCAGAAGCTTTTTAGTGACTAAATATTTTAGTCAAATCGATTTTAGTTACTAAATCTCCACGGTTAACCGGTTAACAAAAATTGTGTGGTTAGGGCCCTAACAAACCAAGCCCAAATGTACAAAACAAATTCATTGGTGCATTACACACCTTCCCTGTACTCAGTACTGCTCTAATAATCGCCTCAAGTATGACCAAATGACGAAACTACGGGCGGACGACTGCAGCAGTACCAGGAGGTGTGTAATGCATCTGATACGGCTATTATTCCAGTGTCTGAGTGAGCCGCACTAAATGACTGTTTATATACGTTTACTGGAAAGTTTAAGCTCGTCTGACTCGACAACCATAGGCGTACGGCGAAATGAGCAACATATTTTTACAAATGACAATAGCCTGGACGCAGTAAATTACACTTAATTTGAAAACCGAAAAATTTAATTTTAGTCTCGGTTAACTTTGGTTAACCGGTTAAAAATTTTAACCAACTCGTGGTTAACTACTAAGAAATTTAGTCGCCAACGTTTAGTTGACTAAAAGTTTTAACCAAGTCAGTTTTAGCAACTAAAACTTTTAACCGAGTTTTAGTTTAGTTTAGTTTAGTCAGTTTTAGTTTGCCCATCTCTACCCATGATCAGAATACAATGCCGATTTATCGTTCAGCCCGCTGCCATGGTCTGTATATAGGGGGGAAAACCGTGACAGTCGAAGCAATTCACGGCACTGCTGCCGTCACCCGGCTGGAGTGTGACGTTACGGCAGTACGTATGGTTAAATCAGGCGCGGCACATAAGCACCCCTGTTTAGCCACAACGTAAAGTACCAGCCGGCTGACGGCAGCAGTACAGGGGAATGGTTCGAGTAGCCTGCTTTATACAGACCATGCCGTTGTGATTGTGAGCGGAACGCCGGAACTGCATGTTAAGTACTGTACTTACTAATTTTCCCAAAACTCTTCACTTAACGACACACATACTGTGATGTAATTAGTCTACATTAACATCGTCACATAACTGAGAATACAACTACGGTGCATATACCACCCTGACCGGTGATCTTGGCTCCTTCCACCACTCTGAAGTCTGAATACTGAAAGCAGGGCCACAGACTGCGAAAGAAATAGAAAAAAAAAGAAAGAATAATAGAAAGTCGCTGCTGATAGGATCGTGAGGACATTCGCGGCTACAAAAAAACTACTCGTAGGACTGCAAAGGCACTGCACGTATAGTGAACCGATATTGCGAAAATGTATAAATATAATCACATACAGCTCGATGCAAGATGTCTGCGCTGTTTTCAGAGCACTTAATCGCTATTTTATTTTTGCAGTCCTTGAGGTACGCCAACTGACCAATGACTTCTGGCCGTTAGCATGGCGCAAAGCCGTACTTAAGAGTACAGTACATTTACGTCCGATGGAAGTTACCCACGAAATTACAACATCAGCGACAAACAGAATATCGAAATACGTTATACACTTGTTATTAAAATGAATGTACGGTAACTTTCGACATACAGCACCGGTGACTACTGTATGAACACGGATACGAGTAATCAGTGCCAATCATCAAGAATCTCGTTTAACGAGATTCTTGGAACGGTAGAAAGGACAACACTGGTGGCGTGCACCTATCGCAGCAGCAATATTAATTCGCGCCTCTGGGCACTCGTAGTTCATTCCAAATAAAAGGATCACCTACATGTACAAAGTTAGAAACCGATTGGATAATTATGACCAATCATGAGAACAATCTGCCGCATCCAGCTTAATGTTGTCAAAGGTAATCCAAGCGAATACTGTTGCTCTTTTTGCAAGATGAGGTAAGATTTTGATGACTTGGAAGCCGAATACAGTAATAATCACTATACTTATATATATAGTATATATACGAGTATTAATATAGTATATAGATATAATAATCCTCTAAGGCTTAACGAAATTCCAACTCTGTCGAGTTCGTCAGCCCGATCGCAAGTCAGGTTTTAGAGAAAAAGAAGCGTTTGAAACATGGAAGGCCAATGAGAAAAGCTGAGAATCCAACACTTCAACACTGACCAACCCACCTCTGTTACAACAGCTAAAACACGTTTTGGCCATCTTTACTGGGAAGTTCTAATCATGACCACCTACGATTCTGTAGTCTTGATTAAAATAAGAAATTTTCATCAAAAAATGGCTTCAGAAAAAGTAAGATTTGAGAAGACCTGACATTGATACCGCAACCTGCTTATGTCTGCGTGTATGGATCTTTGCTCAAAACTTTCTCAAGATGCTGCCAATCGCAGTGGTTTGACCAGTTTAAAGTTGCACGCGTTCCTCACCAGTGCGGGAACATCGCGATGATTGGCTGTGAAAGCCTGTGATTACAACCAACAGAAATTGTGCAGCACTGTATTATAACTTTAGTAGCACCTAGTTAGTGGCACCTAGAAATAACTGACTATGTGCTGTATTCAAATATTTAGTAGCACTAGCACCTAATGTGTAGCACTCAGACTACCGTTTTAAAATACAGCACATAGTGTCTAGGTGCTACTAATTAGGTGCTACTAATAGTTTAATGCAGCACAAAGAACATAGTCAGTTGTGTCTAAGTGCAAATGAATAGGTGTTACTGCACGTTTTAATATAGCACATAGTCAGTTATGTCTAGGTGCCACTAATTAGGTGCTACTAAAGTTTTAATGCAGTGCCTTTGTTGCACAATTTCTATTGGTTGTGATCACAGTCAATCATCGCGATGTTCCCGCACTAGTGTGGAACGTGTGTTGGTGGCTTTGCAATGTTCCGTGCGAAATGCCAGTTTCTAGAATAACATTTTGTTTGTTAGATTAACTAGGTTTCTCATTTCTTAGATTTACTTAACATATTTTAGGGATTTTTTAGGTTACTTAAACTTCATAGGGTTTCTTAGATTTTTCTGCGTAGGTTTATTAAATTTTTGTTTATTTGTCATGTAATGTAAGATTTTAATAAACAATTCATATCAGAAAACTCTGTATCCCCGTGTCACGAAACTGAAAACAAATAAAGGCATTTAGTGTACTTGAAAAGGTCATTGTTACTGATTGGTAAATGATTTTTTTGCTTGCATTAAGGCTAAGACATGGTTTTTAAAACTGTCATTTCGCTGCAGTTTGCCGAGCAAAATTATTAATAAAAACGCCTCTTCGGCCATTTTGCGGCATAGACGTTGGTTCAAGGGCATTTGCCATTTGGGTAATATAGCCGCACCCTTTCCCAAGTAACAGCCAGCCTCTTAGAGCGCTGTGAATGCGAGCGGCCAGTAAAATGTCATCGCGCGTATATGCAAAATGGCCGACCTGCTGTTTTCGTCAAACTGAGCGGGAAATGGCTTTAGAGCTGTTCACGCCCCTATTGTAATACGCAGTTAAGTAGTCATAGCCAGGCGATAAGATGCCCGTTTGAACTGAGGAAAAGGAATTAAAGTCTGAGTTTTTAGTTTCGTTTTCATTCGTTAAACTAAAGTTCAGATTTTGTCGTCCATGATAAGTTATTTCTCCGTGATTATCATTAGCGCTTTCATTAGAAAGCTATGACGTAGCAAAATCCATTCAGTTTTTTGTTCTAATGAAGTTATACTGATCAGCATCACAATGTCCGAAGTGACGTTTTCTACTACAAGTCGCAAAGGTAAAGTTTTGATCTTCAATGGTTACGAATAAATCGAAGCACGAAAAAGAGGAGAACGAAAACCGAAGCGTGCGAACAGTGGCGGTGCCGAGAAAAAGATTACTGCAAAGCGCGGCTGCATTATGTATGTCGGCAAACCAGTGGAACGCGTACAACTCTCATCCACCAGACATTGCTAAAGCAACTGGAAATGTTGTAAGACAAGAATGAAAAGCCCGTGCAAAGGCAAAAGTGGAGAGACCCCGTCAGCTTATTGAGGAAGTGAGGAATGCAGTTTCGCTAACTACCACGGCGTAGATGTCCAGTTACGGTGCACTTGCTCAGGTTGTGCGACGGAAGCAAAAAGATGCGGGTGTACCAGCGACACGAGTGCGTGACCTAGCGGACATTGATGTGCAGTATTTCAAGAACGGCAACGCTCGCGGCAGTAATGTGTTCCGGGAAGATACTGGCGCGCATGATCAGAATCGGATCATAGTGTTTGCCACTGATGCGAATATTACACATTTAATGCGGTCACCTGTTTGGTTAAGCAATGGAACGTTCAGAGTTAGCCCCCAATGTTTCGGCAGTTATATACCATACACGGTGATGTGTTTGGAGTAGAGCCCCCAAACAGTATACTGTACTGCCGTATACGGCATACTGTACGGCACAACAGTACGTAACCGTAGTGAAAATTGGTACTGTAACGAAAGTGCCGTACGTAACCGTAAGTCAAAAACACGGTTTTACAATGGGCTTGCCGTATACGGTACTGCCGTATACGGTATACCGTACGGTCAATCCAGTTATTTCTGCCGTAACCGTACCGTAGCCGTAGGAGCCGTAAGGGGAAACCGTACGTAGCCGTACAAAAATTTGTTACTGTTTGGGGGCTCTAGTTTGGAGCCACGACGCCGTTAGTATACGTCTTGCTGCCAGGAAAATGCGAACTGCTCTACACAGGGTTGTTCCACGTTGTGCATGACGCTATCGTTCGAGTCGCCAGACAGGGCAATGTCGGTCCAAAGTACATGATTATGGATTTTGAACAGAGCGCAATTAAAGCGTTTGGAACTGTATTTCCGGAATCAGTAATTGGCGGTAAATACTAATTATTAAAATCTTAATCATTTAGGTTGTTGTGCGTTGTCTCGTGTCATTACGAGCTTTCTTGTGATTTTTGTTTCTTTATATTTTCTTATGTTTTCTTAGTTTCTTTAGGCTACTTAGTTTTCTTGGTTTTCTTAGTTATCTTACTTTTCTTAGCTTTTTGACTTTTGTACTCGTAGTTTTCGTACGAGTACTCGTAGTTACCTTGGTTTTTTTAGGTTTTTTAGGTGTCTTAGTTTCTTTGGTTTCTTAGGTTTCTTAGTTTTTTTTAGCTTTTCTAGCTTTTGTAGTTTCACTTGGAATAGTTGTCTTAGTTTTCTTAGGTTTTTAGGTTTCTTAAGCTTTCTTTCGATTTCATATTTTTTCTTTGGTGTTGTTAATGAGAAACTTTTTTAAGGGTGCAACTTCCATTTGGGTCAAAGCGTACATCGGAAGTTGGTTGATCTTGGTCACAAACTGGCTTACGCGAACGATCCGGAATTTAGCCTGAACTGCCGGATGGTACTGGCGCTTGCGTTCGTGCCACCAACCGATGTTGAGCGTGTATTTAATGAGCTACTTCAGAAGCCGGGTTTTCCATTCCGTCCCACGGATTTGTTTGTTCAGTATATTAGACCGTCATATATCGGCAAAACCGTCCTTACCGCGGCAGGGTGTGTTAATAAAGCACCGTTATGCCCGATCAGAATGTGGAACTGTTACGAGCGGCTTCTGCAAGATGTTCACCGAACAACAAACCGACTGGAAGCATGGCACAAAACGTTTGCGGAAACAGTGGACAAGGACCATCCGGAGATTTACGGATTTTTTAATCTTTTATGCTGAGATATATCACACCAGGAAACTGAGATTTCCAACCGTATGGCAGGTGAGCCAGTCCCTAAACCGCGCAAAAAATATGTTGAGGTGACGAAACGACTGAAGAACGTGGGCGGAAACTACGAAAATATGACAAGTATGGAGTACCTAGAGTCGATCGCAAAAAATCTGGAAATTTTGTTGAAGAAACGTGTCGATATTCAAAAGCAAAGGCGTGTGGAAGCTACTGAGTAGATGATGTCGTGATGATGTGGTAAATGTGCAGTGATTCGGAAGTTTAACTGTTTCTGTTTTCCCCCTTTCGCCTGGTTGTATATTTTGTACTCGTATAAGCTGATCCCAACCCACCAGACCGTGTTTTTTAGATATTTTGTTTCTGATTATCGTTCACGCTGTAAATATTTCTTCATTATAGATGTGGTTTCCAAACAACTTCATTGTTAGAATTAGCAATTTGGTTATTAAAAGTCCGTACTGGTAGAAACAACCCGGAAGCGGCGGCCGCAGTGAGTCTCGGCCGAAGTGAATGGCGGCCGAAAAACTTTGGCCGAAATGAGCGCGGCTGAAATGAAAACGGCCGAACTGATCGGTAGCCGGTGTGAACCGATTACAAAACAAGCGCGAAAAGGTTCCATAATTTTTGGAGTAAGGTTGACTTCTTTAATTTTCCTTCTGCGCCTGATAGAGCGGAGCAAGAAAGAAGACAGCACCGTTACAAAATCTGTGGATACCGCTCCGGAAGAAGAAGAATGGGAAGACATTGCCACCGCTATGCCGCCTCCTCTGCGTGTTGGTCCGAAGAAATCGCCTCCTAAGAAACAAAAAACGACCGCTGTAAGGAAGGCGCCAGTCATAGTTAACCCGTTGACGGGCATTGGCGTCAGGACGCAACACGGTCTTCTGAATTTTTTTCCCAATGATTGGGAACAGTTAATGAGTATCAATTAGCATAATTAGCAATAAGAGGCTTTAAAGCAGCAGTAAAAACATGATTCAAACTTATATCTCAAGTTAATCACAAATGACCGTTGCCCGAAAATGGCTAATTTCGGACTTTTCAAGCTCTCGTAGATCTTGCTAATTAACTAATTAGTGGATGAATAATTAAACCAGAGATAAATCAACAAGGTACAACTAACAACGTTCTATCCAAAATCGATTAACACAGGTCTTGTAAGTTGAACAGCAGAAGACCACAGTCCGTCAAAATCTTGTGTTGCGTGCCAACACCATTGCCCATGAAGGGTCTCAGATACACGGGCGGGTGCAATTTCGACTGTTTCTCTTTATCACATAATCAGATCAAGTTACTGTCGGTTCGTACGCAAAACATGCGCCACGCGGTTCTGTTGGTCGGAAGCTGGCAAAAAACGCTTTTGCGTATCAACACCCCGGGCGGTCGGCGAAAACCAAAATCGCCTAAATTTGTCTGCTTCAGGAAAACAGAACGCAGGTAAACCGAACATGGTAGTCCTGATTGTAATTCTACCGTCGTTGCAATAACACTGTGAATGACGGCACAACACCACGCGCTTTGCCGCGTTTCTACATATTGATGCATCGCTTGGGTAAGCTAGGCGAGAGCTTTTCAGAAACTTTCAGCTTTTCAGAAACTTTTCAGAAGCTTTCAGAAACTTTCAGCTTTTCAGAAACTTTCAGCTTTTTAGAAACTTTTCAGAAGCTTTTCAGAAACTTTCTGCTTTTCAGAAACATGAATTTTGTGTGATCATTCTCTGGCTCTCGGTCGGTTAAAAACCACAATAACTGCACACTTACGCGTGCACATTGGGGATCTTGACGCTGAGGCAACTAGTTTCTTCCGGTCGCTAATGCGTTCAGAACGTGATAGTGACCAGTGACCATAATGTCAATTTTGCGCCAATGACCACTGCAGCTGGACTATCCGCGCCGCTTTTAGATAGTAGCACTTGCGGCCACACCGAGGAAAAATGCAAGCGCGAACAATGCGGGCAGTATAAAGGTGGCTAGGCGTGCCAGACATACAGGAAATGCAATGTTAAACTTCAAAAATAATGCTTCGTGCAGTCTCGTGTGAGAGTATAATGAAAGTTATGGGAGAGAAATATCGCTAGCATCGTTCATTTTCTGTATTCCATCTGTTAATAGTGGTCAAAATACATGGCAACGGGATTTAGTAGTTTTTAATTTTTTGCTGACCAATGGTCAACTTGTTGACCACTGCTATGCTTTTGTTTAGAAGTGCGTTTTTTGTACTATTTAATGTAAATTATTGCTTTTATGTAATTCCCGTTCGTCTAATTATCACAAAATTAAGCGTTTGTAAGGTGTAAACCGTTCATGGGCATTGGCGTTGGCAAACACCCTAGTCACCACGGCTGACCTATGGTCAGCACAAGCTTACGAAAAATTCCCTTTCTTAATTGATTTTTTTCATTGGGAAATCCCGATTTTCAAAATGAAACTCGCACTCCTTCGGGTACCGCCCGCTGGAGGGTTAAGGTGACTGGCGCCTTCCTTACAGATTTGTTGTAGTGATGTTTGACGTTTTAGATTTGTTGTAGTGATGTTTGTTTTTCTTTTTTATACTAATTATCCTGAGTTGCTACGTGTACTAAATCCAACTGCCCACAAATATGTATCAGCTATGGATCTAGTCGCCAGAGCTTGTTATAATGCTGCTATGGACGCAGCAGTCAACTGAGTCAAGTCATGTCAGGAGGGAATTTCTGTTCTGGAATTGCTGTTCTGTGACTTAAAATTGTGAAGCACTATGATCTTTTAAAATGTGGTTTGAAGATACGATAAGTTTTTGTGGACCGTAATTTGTCGAAACAGACGGTGAAAATACTTGGATATAACATTTTTGTCAAAATAAAATTTTCTGTAAAGTTAGTTCCCAGGTGTTCATCGCACCCTAATCGTGAAGGGTATGTTCACAGCACCCAAATGTCCTCGTATCCGACGATCTGTTGGCGGTATTGGTAGGAAGCATTTATTACGAAAATTCAGACATCTTTCTCTGTTGGCTGGTATACGGCCAGTGCAGCGCACTATGGTGCATAAGTTATGATTCATAGAGATAAGGACGGGTATGTTGAAAACGGGCTGTGCAGCGCGGTATCTTGAATACGTGCGGTATAGTTGTTTTGACCATTCGGAGCGCAGATAAGCTCCGGATCGTGATGACACACGTTACCCGTCGTTATCTACTGCGCATTATGCACAAAAAACCTACATAGGCGTTGGAAGATACCCGAATGTCTGAATCTGAGCATTATCCTTTGCCACTTTCTGAAATTGCCTTGCTGTGTTTGCTTTTGGCCCTGTGATTTTTTCACTTCGGCTTCGCACACTCAACTTTTTGTTGTATTTCTGTTTCTTCTTTTGTTGTTATGTCTCAGAATGAAATTGGGATGTGAGATCAGAGACGCTGTACGTAAACTTCTATAAATAATTTTTTGTAAATATCAAGTAAAAGATCACTGAAAGTACGCTGGCATTCAAATTTTGAATCTACGAGTACGTAATGAAAGAATCAATATTATCCTCAATATAAAATAATAAAATCAATATTATTATTATCAAAGAAAAAAATCAATATTATCTTATCCTCTAATCAAATTCTATTTCCTTATTTGCAAGGATTTCTACTTCAGCATCGAATTGAGCTGCCATAATTCATACATGCGTAGAACAAGCATTGTCATTGAAAAATAATACATTGAAAAATACTTACTTTCGGCCACAGCCCACAGGGGCACAGGCCCATATATAGAAGTATATGTGATAATATGTGAAATGCGGCAGAGGTGCTTGCCACTTACAAGTTGCATGTAAAAATGATTGTAAACAACATTTTTTTTGTGGCCTCGAGACAAATTTCGCTGCTGGCTTTGAATGACATGCCACGCCCTCGGCAATCGGAAATCGGTTTCAGACATAGTTGTCTTTCTTTCGGTCATAATCTTGCCAGTCGAATGGAGAATATGGTTATGGAATAAATAATAGGGCTCTGCGTGGTCGCATCATCTGCTCCAGATATGTGGAATATTTAACGTGATCTGACCTTTTTCCTTAAAAGTGCCACGTACAATACGTGTCCTGATAAGCATGGTGGAAAAAAGGCGATGGCGCTTCCTTGCGGCTACTAGTATTACGTTTTTTGCTTCGGAGTTTATCGTTGAACAGATCACCATTTTGAATGGCCGACTGCAGGGTACTGCCGACAATTGCCAGAACGGCAACGATCCCGACTGCTTGCACTTTTCCTCTGTGCAGTTTAACGGTCTGTTCGTGGCGCATTTTTGGGCCGGAGGAACTGCCGCACTGTTGACGGGATTTTTCGTTGGAAGATTTGGGGTATGGATAGCGAGCATAGTGTCATCGGTATTCCTGCTCGTCGGAATGTAAGATTTCGTTTCCATACTTCAGTGCATAACTGGCATCCTTGTAAGTGTAATAGAGAGCCGTTGAAAATTTTGCAGGTTGTTGATTACAGTTGGACCGTATTCCGTGTCAAACGATGCTGCATTCGTCCTGCTCCTCACCGGCAGAATTTTCTATGCCATCGGATATTTTGGCAATATTACGCTGTCACACGAAGTGAAATCCCACTGGTTTCTAGGGAAAGAACTGGCTTTGGCTTTTGCGCTATATATGACTATGTGCCGAATTGGATCCGTTTTGACATTCCTCGGAGTCGGCGGTAAGTGATAATTCTTTACCGGTTGTTGGTAAAAAAAAGTTTGACCGGACATGAGCCGGTTATATGTTAATTTTGGATTTTATTTCTCATTTATGCGCGGGCGCCCGCAGTTCAGCTATAAACTGAACAACTTATTGCGCAGATATGTATAGATGTATGTATATTGTACATAATACACAGATACGTACAGTATATTATTCTAGAAATAAAAGTACGTATGAAAATCAATAGAAGTACGTATAATGAAGTACACTACAGATAGTATTGTGTAATACTCGTACTTTGTACTTAATCGCATGGTCGTAGAAACTTGTTCCCACTGCCATGAAAATGTCCATAATAATTATTATAGTGGTATACAGTTCCTTGCTTTTTTTATCTATTTAGCTGCGGTTGAAGCGACCGGACTGCAGAACACATTGTGGATTACATTTGCCATAGGACTACTCGCACCAATTTTCTCGATTATCGCCGGATGTATCTATCGGAAATATGCTCCCATGGCTGTAGACGTCGGTATTTCCGTCCATCACAATGTTTCCCGGCAGTTCCAGTTTAAGAAAATTACCCAGTTAACCAAGGAATTTTGGGTTATTTGCGGGATAATTTTTGCTATTTTGGGGTCCTTTTTACGTTTTTAGCTGATGGACCCAAATTTTTAATGGTAACAAATGGCATAGTTTGTTTCGCAAAACAATGAAAACATATTGTTGAATGTTTTAGCATTTTTTGTCCTAGGAAATGTGCAACTATTCGGAATCTGCGGCCGCAATCGTAACGGGCGCTATACCGGATGTGGCACTTTTGGCGCCGCTATTTGGATTTCTCGTGGACAGATACGGGCACAGGGATATTAACACGCTATGCAGTTTAGTGTTATTAGCGTTGCCATTTATTTTGATCGTTTCCCTTCGGATGTTCCTAATGGTCATCATCTGTATTTCAATTGGCATATCGTACGCAATTGCAACTGCCAGTTTCTGGAGCAGTATTCCTTTGGTTGTGCGTCCGGATGTAAGTGAATCATTTATTGTACCACAATAAATAATGTATCACAAATTGCGTCATGAACGTATACAAAATTTAGGGCGTACCCGTTCATTTTGTTTCATTTAAGAATTTTATTGTTAGCTTTATTTGAAGCAACTCGTTTCTCACCTTTAGATATTTTTAGGTGGTAGGCGTGGCGATGGGGTGCGGCTTGGGAACACAAGCCTTCAGCAGTGGTTTGATGTTACTTGTTACAGGATTTATTTTGGACAATTACGGGATCCATATAAATACAAGATGGAAGCGGTTTTATGAGTTGATGGTAACATTGGCCGTCCTGGGCTTAGTTTTATCGGCAGTATCCATGCTTTTGGACAGTCGGTCTCCTGATAGAGCACTCCGCTCAAAACATACACTTCCCGCCATCGCAGCGGAAGCTAACGAAGATGTCAACGAGTGCTCGCCTTTGCAACCACACCCCACCATCCCTGACGTCAGTATTAGCAAGACGCCTACCGTTTTGTCTTTCGCTTCACCAAATTAAGCAGTTCTCTTTAAAATTTACGCATTTCCCTAGTCCCAAAAACGTGTTTTAGACAATTTTAAATTTTTATTATTCTTTGTTCGTGATCGAGTACAGATTTGAATTGTTCAATAATTGGATGTCTTGCGGTAATCCATATGCAGTATGACCTTTGAGAACGTGTTTGCGCGTTCCAGAAAGATTTTTGTTATTTTCATTAATGCTTTACATGATCAGACGATCTCATGATCATGCTTGGGTAAGTGGATACGGTACTATTGTGTTGATTCGGCTTATTTATTTTGAAAAAGTTAGTATCATCGAAATGTTATGCATCTTTACTCATTAAATCTTGAACTCCGATACAATGTTGGTTTAATTGCCAAGTTCCAGCGGCCTTTCAAACTCACGTGCATTAACGATAACTTGCATCAGCGCCAACAAAAATTACAACGGGTGATCGTATCGGTGTTGTAATGTACAAACGATAACAATCGCGTGGACTGTCCAGACTCGCATATAACGAGTTGATAGTAGACGACAAACCCGCTGTCTTCCTCGTAGTGGATATTTTACTGTACACAAAGCCAGAAACTGTCAAGTAGCCACTAGCCACACAGAATTAGGCTGGTCTTCACAAACCTGCCAATTTACTGTACCAGGCAGAACCACCTTCTGTCTGTCTCTAAAACTTTCCGCGATTAAATGCAGGAGCAGATTTGTTCAACCAGCTCTTGCAATTCCTTCAACAAACCGACATCATGTGCTTGCCGAAACGATGGTTGTTTTTGGCGTTTGCTAGTCTTACCTTTTTCACTACTGAGATCGTGGAAGATCAGCTCAGCTTACAAAACGGACGGCTTCAAGGAAGTGTTCCTGCTTGCAGTAATGGCGATGATTCTTGTTTGAACTTCACGTCCACAGAATTTAATGGACTGTATGCAACGGGTTTCTGGGCTGGTGGCTTAGCTGCGACCTACTCGGGATTTTTCATAGCCCGTTATGGAATCTGGATTGCCAGTTTGACATGTGCGGCTATGCTGCTGATTGGAACGTAAGTTTGTGTATTTAATATGTTTATCTATTGTACATTAACGGGTAGGTTATAAATGGAGTGCAAACACTGCACAGTACGTGTAGAGTCTAGACTACGTATACTTACAGATCTGCATTTTCCACAATTCTTGTGTCATCGTTTTGAACACAAGAATACAGAATAATTATACAATAAGGGACTGTAATTTTTAATTAAAATGTCCGCTAGTGGTTGGTTTTTTATTTGGGTATTCCATAAAAGTAAGTACATCGAAGTTGTTGCATTCTCTGCACTACAGATACGAGTACTTACAGAATTCCATTAATGCTAACTATGATACTCGTATCAGCTGATTATCTGTGAAGACTGAGGTCTATTCGTATGCAGGGCTATGAATACCGTTGCGCCGTATCTGGCCATTTGGGGATCTGGACCAGCATTTGGACTGATGTTGGCTGGCCGATTTCTGTTTGCATCGGCATACTTCAGCCACCAGGTCGTATCCTTAGAAGTTGTTTCGCATTGGTTCTGGGGAAAAGAAATGGCACTGGCTTTCACGATTTACCTGTCCATGAGCCGGTTAGCGACCGTTGTGTCGTTTGGTTTTATTGGAAAGATCATCGAAGTCTTCGCTTTGCAAAAAACGCTGTGGATGACGTTTGGGATAGGCGTGTTCGGGCCTATCTGCGCTATTGTTGCCGGGTACAATTTTCGGAAGAATGCTTCCGTCGGTTTGACCCATGTCGTCACGATGGATCAGACTAAACCCAAGGAATTTACTTTCTCACATATCAAGAAGCTCAGCCGGGATTTCTGGGTTTTAACGGCTATTATCTTTTTTTACTACGCTGTGCTTTTCACTTTTTTGGTGGACGGTCCAAAATGGCTTGTGGTAAGACCTGTTTACATAATTATTTGCTATATATGGTATTGCTAATCAGAATCAGTTGAATCTTGCCCATCTGGTTAGGATGTGTATCACAATACTGAATCGGTTGCCGGAGCGATAATCGGAGCCATTCCTGATATTTCCCTTATGGCGCCGATTTTCGGATTCTTGATTGACAAGTGCGGATGCCGCGATATCATCACTTGTGTCAGCACGGCCATGTTTTTTGCCATATCACTGATGATACTTTTTCTTAAAATGTTGCCTCCATTGGCGATTTGCATTCTTATTGCTCTTTCTTACGCCCTAATGACCGCCAGCATTTGGAGCAGTATTCCGGTGGTAACAAAATCCGAGGTACGTACATTTTATAAATTATGAAAATTTGTTTCTTCTGAAGGTCTTTAGAAACCGCAACTAAACGAACTAAGCAGCTAATAAACAAGTTTCAACCTGGATTTTGAGTTTTTGCACTCGAGCTCCACTCTCTGCCGTGTGAAGTTCTGTCTCCATGTTGGTTACAGACTTCGCTGTGGTTATTTTTTACCGATTGCCAGTTTGAACAAGCTCACTAAAAAATAATAAATAATTCTGACTGTAACAGTACTATCATGTAAATCTGATAGGCAAATAACAAGACAATAAATACTAAATAACCATCTAAAGAGTTTTAAGGACATGTGGAATAAGGTCGTTGAAAAGCAGTAATTGCTGTACAATATTAATATTAATATTGCATTAACCGGTACAAAAGGGGGTGTTACTTAACCTACATGACGCTTTTTGCCATTTTAGGTCGTGGGTGTGGCCATGGGAATCGCCACGGGAACACAAGCCCTGTCCACGGGACTTATCTTACTGATAACTGGCTTTATCTTAGACCACGACTTAACGGACCTTCAAAGCAACTGGATGATATTTTTTATTATAATGACGGTTTTTGCTGGCATATCCTTCTGTTTGTCTTTGCTGTCGATTTATCTGGACACCAAAAGCGGGTCCAGCAGTCTCCGGAAACGTCAAAGAAGTGTCATTTTGTCTCACTCTGATTTACTTCGGAGCATCAACGAGCACACTCCATTACTCTCCGATACAAAGGCATCACCGGTGAAAATTCTTCCAGCTGCGACAACGACTGGAGTGGGTCTTTCGTTTTGACAAAATCTTTATTAGCAACACTCTATAAGCTCACTTATTTTTCTAACATTTGTTACCGTTTATTAAGAATTAAGGCGTGACTTCTGGTTTCGTTTTCTGTATAAAAAGATGCTTTTCCCTTTCGGTGTCATTTTGATAGTGTGGACACTGTTGAGCCTGTGAACTGTGAAAATCAGTTGTCCTGTTACGGACGCCTTCTCGTAGTAGCTTGTCTTAAATCACTTCGGACGGATAATTTCAGTGGGGGAAAAGTGCAAAGGAAAGTAAAACATTTTCCGGTTGACATAAAAGCAATGATTGTGAATATTAGAGATTAACAATTTCGGTCGAAATGGAAAACACAATATACTGAGAACACAAGCTGACTTTCGTACGTGAAAACGACGATGATGAAGGCCTTCAGTTTTATTATTTTTGTTCGCGAGTACAGCAGTATATTGTGAGATATCAGTTCTTACTGTCTGTCTGCTTGACTATTTCGTTATCCAAGTATCCGAATAGGTCTTGACCATGAGTGGTAAATCGGCTGTCGGAAATATCTGCAGGAATCTGGTACTGGCGCATTTCATCCGGTTGGATGGATAAATAAGAATTCACAAAACGCAGCAATTCATCATCAGCTACGCTATCGACGCTGAGCAGTTCATCCCATGTAAAAAGAATAGCGTCCGTTATTCGATCGAAAGGATTAAAATCCACTAAAACAACGCCGGATGTAGCAGAGTTTTGTATAACCACATCAAACACGAAATCCCCGGCGGGGAATCTTCCGCAAATCTTTCTCGCAAAAAACTCTTTAATTTGGATTTTTAGTCGTTCTGGGTCTTGAGCAATGTGGGGATAGTAAGTGGTGCAATAACGCTGCGTGATTCCGATCAAAGAGTTCCCTTTGACGAAACAGCGAAATTCCCAGCCTGGATTGATATCAAACCATTTGCGCAATACCAGCTCCGGTTTGGTACGAATAGCTGGAATAAAAATAAAAAAAAGGGTATACCAAGCAAGAATCTGAAAGAAATAGTACGTACACAGATTATCTATGTGCGTAAAATTGTTTTTAAATCCTTGCCTACCATAGGCATAAACATACAGTAAATAAAAAACCATAAATGATAAAACTTATGCAACTACGTAACACAATCCACAGAAACACAGTTAAAAGTACAGTAATAAAAAACATCTTATAAAATCAAAATGCAAAACTGCAAAAGGCTCAATCGCCCAAATATGGTAAACAATACTGTATGTACTTCCCGCAGAACTTTACTGGCAGCTAAAATCTAAAATTAGCTCAAATGCTGAAAAGACAGCTTAAACAAAATTATGACAGCTGGTATTACGCAAAAAACACAGTTTATCATTACCGGAGGTCTTTTGTGAAAGCTTCACAACGTCAAAGGCAATAAATGTGGATGCTTTCAGCAGCATAAGCACATCGGCTACCGAGGTACATTTGCACTGCCGATTTGGCAGAATCCAGGAAGCATCCTTCGGTGCGGACCAATTCAGTTTAGGAATCACCTGGCCGCCTAATTCGGCTAGCGCAGTGTTCATGGCCAAACGGAATTCGGGGACCCATTCATAGCGCTCCACTTCATCATCCTCATCTGAAGAAAACCCGTTTCCTTCATTCTCGTTCGCGTTCTCTGCAGGCTGACCTAATTCAGGAGGAATAAAGATCCCATCTTGATTTAGGTAGTTTAGGAAGTCTTCGGAAAGCTCGATAATTCTGCTTTCAAATGTCACGTTAGTAAAATCGCCATACCACGAGGAAAAAGAAAAAATGTCTTTGGTATCCGGAACCATGTCGAAAAAACGAAAAATCAATTTCCGAAAACTGAAAATACAGATACATACTTCCAAGGCTTTTTAAACTACGCTTTTTAAACTTCTGATGTAACTTTAACTTCTGATGTAACTTCCAAGGCTTTTTAAACTTCTGATGTAACTACGCTGATACTTCTATGGAAAAAAGCTGACTGTACGAGTAGTCACAGTGTAGTGAGTACAAAACGCTGCTCAGTCGCTGACTCGCTGACACTACTGATGCCTTAATATTACTTACACTGAGTCCCCATAAAACGTAAGTAAGTATCACCCTACTAAAGGTGGTCGTATTCAATGAGATCCGCATTTTCAAAATTATTATAATAAAAGGGTGAAAATTAGGAAAATCGTATTTAAAATTTAATGTTTATATAAAATTTTATCAATTCTGCTAAAGCAATGCACATTTAACACCCCCAGTCATCAACAAACTACCCGCACGTCGACTGCAAGCTAGGTTGCATTGTGCTAAGGTTTTGGCACTTGTGGACATCAAAATGGATAGAAGTACTGGTAAATTCTTCGAAGTACGAGTATATTTATTAATATCACGATGGCAATTGACAATTTTTTGACTCTTGTAATAATTAATTATGAACTATTAGGTTTGTAGTTGACTTTGAACTTCTCCATTTTACGCGCTGGATATTCAAAGAAGCCGCAAAGCCATCAAAGAATCAATCGATAATGACGGATTATTCAAAAAACTGTATCGAAAACCCGTTAATATCTAACAGTTATCACTTTACTAATTTCGCACTGTTTTCGAAAAATGATACACACAACAAGCCAAGACAGGCCAGATATTCCTACAAGTGCAGGATCCATCGCCTACCGTAGGTCACAGAAGCGTTAATAATATGTTGTTAATTACAGGCACGTACAGCAAAAAATCGAACCGAAAAAGCCAGATGTTAATTCATAAGTTAACAAATGCCCGTGTATCAAATAAAAATAAATTTCACATCATTTTAACAATTCTTGGATCTTGTTGTAGAACTGATCCGCTGCAGCAGCATCCTTGAATTTGATGACGTAGGGGTACAATTTCTTGGGGTCAGCACCTTTAAATGCTGGTTCCGGCAAGCAGACAATGTCCACAGATTCGCTTTTGTCCCTGCTGCTCCGCGAAACTTTCGTCTCCTTATTGATTCGAGCGTTAAGCAGAATGTTTCCCAACGCCGTACCGGCTCGTATCAGCAATTGCACAGCTTTATCACTAATAACCTTCAGATGTGCCATTCCCGTGCCGCGCACATTATACTTGCCCGCATCCAGGTAGAACACCTTGCAGCGCTGTGACATCACCGCGTCCGTCTCCACAGCGTCCCGCTCCTCTGGAGGAACAACCGGCGGTGCTTCCGCTTCCTCTCCATCATCACCATTTTCCGCTGCGTCCTCCTTATTATCCGAAGCAGCCGGTGGAATATTAAACGCTGGCATTTTAAAGCTATTAAAGCTGAATCCACTAAATCCCGACGAGGGAAGAGATCCTGCCCCTCCAAAATTTCCAAATATGGAATTAGTTGTAGCAGCCGGCATTTGCTTGCTACTTTCGTCTTTGGCGCTTTCATTCACAGGAGGTTTTGAGAAACTGAAAAATGAACTACTGGTCTTTTCCACAGGAACCTCCGCGTCTTTTTTCAAACCTGCGCGAAAGACAGTGCGATCGGTGGTTTGCGGGATGGCTGACAAACCTTCGTTGAGCGTTCGGTCCGCGACCACTTCTCTAGCAACCACTTCACCTCCCGCGCCAACACTTTGAGCAAATGATGTCTTGAATGTAGACTTTCCAGCGTCCGATATGGGTTCACGATTTTCGTCCTGCTTGTTGTCTGTAGACTGACTGAAAATGGAGGCAAAGGACGACGTACTGGCGCTTGCTGCAGGCTGACCGAATGAAGTCCCGGCTTTGTTAAAGTCAAACCCGGCAAAAACGGGTTTTTTGGCACCTTCGACAGGTTTCGACACAACCGCCGGTTTTTTAATCTTCGACTGAAACTCGTCCGTGCGCGGTGCGTCCACCACGCTTGTCACTGTTGTTTTCCCGCGTTGAAACGGCGGAATGCTCGACGGCTCCACCGATTTTTTCCCTTTGTCAGTCTCGTCGTCAACCGCTTTTCGTTTAGAGGGCCGAGAAGATACGTCAGACTCTTCTGAAGATTGGGCAGTAGGAGTAGGTGTGGCTATTTTGGGTTCAACAAGCTTTGGGCTGGCTGCAACACCAGTGGCGGAGTCCAGTGACGACACAGAGCTGGAGGGAAGTGGTTTCGCTGGCAAAGTGGGGCTCGCCGCCGAAGTAGCCGATATGGAAGAGCCCGCCGGCGATGACTGATCCGGAAGAATAATTCCGTATTTATCTTCCAGCGCACGTTGATACTTGATGTATTCATGCAAGGTGTCAGCCAAAGGAATGCACGGGTGAATAGACAGTGCTTGATTCAATCGCTTACGAAATACTGTGTTCAACGCCCCAATCTCGTGGAAATATCTGGATGTGCTATCTCGGCCTACAAAAAACAGAAGAAATTTGTTAACTGAAGAAGTTACAGGTTGCTTTACTTTGATGCAGGGAATGCAGAGGGCTGCGTACCTGATGTTCCAAAATCCTCAAAATCAACCATCCGCACACGGAGTTCACTGTGAGATCGCGAGGGCCTTGCCATTTTTGGAAATCGGAGTATTCGAAGGCCAAGCTTCAGAAGCAAAACCGAAAGGTACAAAAACCAGAAATGATTTCTTGACAAACCGTGAGATCCCTCGGCCCCACTACTCCATCGTATGTCGTACAGTGTACACACAATCAAATTTTTTGGATCTCGCTTGGTACGCTTAAAATATTTTTAGCAGTGTTTTCAGGAAAAGTTACCAAACGACAAAAACGTGTTTCGACATGAATGTGCCGTGATATCAGTCGGTGACGGGTGAGTGGTGAGTGAGGCCGCCGAGTGACTGAGTTCCGGAAGTATGAGACCTGACGCCGTACATGTAAATTGCAAGCAGCCACCGACACAGGCCTTGGCCCCTTGCGCTTGGACTACCGTAGTTTTGCAAAACTTTTGTCCAAAATGAAAAGCCTCGCGGGCGGCTCTCTCTCTCTGGAAGAGAGCCAGGTGGCAGGCGGGTTAAGGAGCTAGGATCGTCACCTGTGGTCCTGTATATACAGTACATGTGCGGCATTTGAGCATTTGAAGAATACAAGATTGACTGTTGGTTAGTGCTGCTTGTTGATGTGAAGTATTTTTATGTTATGGAGTCTTCGGAATGTTTTTGGGTTCTGGTTTTTCCATTCGGTTAGAATTATTCGAAGTTTGCAGAGCATATATCGGCAAATTGTTACAATTTGCCGATATAATATATAATTATAAGATAGTTTGTACTTTGTATACTTTATCGGTATATTCAGAACCGGTATCTCAAACGCAGCAAGTAACATGCACGCTCACAACCGCTTAAGGGTGGCAGTAAATCTGGTTGGGCGCGGTTGGGCGCATACTTATAACATAGTACCTAACACTAATAGTACTGTACTGATTTTTATATTGCATAACATAGTATTGCGTTAAAGCTTTGTTTTATTACTGTCCGCGAATCGGTAACAGCGTTCATGTACTCCTTTTTCTCAATTAGCGTAAACTGCGTGTTATGCGAACGTCTTTCAAACGCGGTGGGTGGTTGTGCGTTTTAAATGTTTCTTCAATTTTCAGTTATTTATTAATAACAAAAATTATATAAACGATTTACGGTTCATTATTGAGAAAATCTGTAAAAAGGGAACCAAACCTCAATTACCGAGATATATACCAGGCCCTTAAAAGATTTTTTAATTCATTAAATTTTTTTCATTTGTGAGATAAAATCACCCAAAAAAGATGAACTAAACCCATTTCGAACATACACCCAGACGACTGAAACAAAAAGTGGAATAGAATTCATGAAATCAGCATTCAATTTTTACAAAATGAATACCTTGTATTGCTTCAAAAGTTAGCGTTTACATTGAAATGCCTTTATATTACTGGATGGCTATGCACCATCTTATTCACTACTTACACAAATAGGAAACACATCGGATGACTGCACACACTTGTGTACATGTAAAATGTTTTTATGCCAAAATGAAACTTTCAGTTTTCCAGTTAATTAAGTCGTTACACAATACAGTTTAGCCAAACTGTTTTGGCGAATTACCATTTTACTATGCCTATACTCATTTTCTACACTTTTCTACTAATTCTACTACATACAGACAAATCTGATAAAAGGGCGCCAGAAGTCTTTGCCAAGCACACAGTCATAAAATTATACGGATGGCTGTATCTAACTGACATTTAAGCTTGATTTTATCATGGCATACTTTTTCATGCTCCAAATCTCCTAATTTATGCTCTTGAAATAAATATCCAACAAATCCAACAGAACAATTTTAACCAACAAACTTCCCAGCAACCACCTCACCAACTAACTTCTCACCGCACTCCGACTCTTTTTATATACCCAAACCACACTATGGTAAAAAAACTACCAATCCCAAAGAAATGCCAGCCCCTTGCATTTTAAAACTTTCAATCCAAAACCAATTCGTCAGCTGACTTTGTAACGTGGGGCCTTATGGGCGCCCACGTACCTTTGACGGCGAAACAGCGGCGAACCCGGATTGATGCTTTAATGCCGAAATCTAATGTGCGCACCGTGGCGCAGCAAACACCAGACTAATGAGATCGGATCCTACAGCCAGCGCAGCTGTGCTGTAGATCCGTCAAAACACAGCAGCAATATGTGGGATGGAAATCCCCAGAACAGCAAAACACAACGGCGAATGGCCAATCATGAAGGCGGAGCTATCGGCCTTCACAACTCCAAAAGCGGCCTCATTTATATCGAAATACCCATGTCGAAAATTGTCCTTGACAGGAGTCCTAGAGTCCGTAAATCGTCACAATTTTGGCAGCGAAACGAAAAATTTTGTCGTACTGAGCAAACGTAACGAAACTTAACTGCACGCTTCCTGTCCCATAAAATAACGAACCTTGACGAATTTATAAAATATTTGAGCGCAACTTAACGATAACTTTCGATATTTTTCCGTAAAAAAAACTGAACGCAACGAAATCGCAAAATACAAATCACGGTAGTAAGCGTTCCTGGGATTAATTTTATTTATCTGAATTTTCTATGTCGTTCCACATCAAAAATAGTAAGATCAGATCATCAAGCTTCTATGAAATTGCAGCTTGCACTTTTGCAGTTCACTAGTGCCGTTATGATTTGCAGTGCTGTGAAGCTATAAACAACATGTGCTTGCGAAACACTAGTGCAGTGTCTAGAACTGGAGTTTCGCAAAGCGTCAGATTCACTGTGTACAATGGGTTGCAGCTTCCAGTGTGCGCTTATGAAGGAGACCCTGTTCAGGGCGCCCAAAACACTGAATTGTTGTCCAGGCGCAAGAGACGCACGCACGAGTGCGGCTGGCGTCAGTGGAAAATAATTTATTTTATTTTCTAAATTCCACATCGGTATCTTTTGACGAAAGCGACTCCAAAATTTCAATATAACTTCGCGAAGCAGAATACATTTTCTTATAACGAAACTTAACGACGGTGCTCAGAAGTCCGTAAAACATGCGGGGCTTGACGATTCGTTTCGTTAACGTTCGTTAAGCTTCGTCAAAATGACGATTTACGGACTCTAGACAGGACACATATGGGCAAACTATAGCTTCTACAAAAAAGACTACCTTTACAAATTCTACACAACAGAGCCCATATGGTCCGGGTGCTAAACACCCTCTGTCGCGATGGCGACCGCCACCGCCTGCCGGAAAATCTTTTATAGAAGCATTTTGTATCGCATTTTTTACCATAATTCCATAACTGATAACGAATTTTAGCTCTACCAGTTCTAAGAAAGTTACGGGGTTATAAATCACAAGTATGATCAGTTTCCAATTGCTGTAGTTTTTCACTGTTATGAATGTTTTTAGTTGAGAAATCAGTGGCGCGCGAGATATGGATTCTGCACTATCGCCGCCGAAAGGTCCGCTGCAGCGGTCCACCACTCGATGGTTGGCGGACATCTGCAACCGCACAACGAACCATTCGCCTCTTCCCCTGATATGGATTTTTCAGAGTGTCTTCGGCATTTCTTCTGTAAGCTGGCTATCATTATCCGGGGCCCAGGTTGCTGCTGAAATTGAAGAACGCAAGTTTCGCGCGCGTCATCTTCCCAAACTCCATCACATCCTCGGGCGACTGGTTTTCGTTTGGATAATCATGGAAATGTTGAGGCATTCAGTGTTGTGGTTTCTTGTTAATTTTGTGGATCCTCAGAGCAGATTTTTTACCTACATTTCAAGTCGGACTTTATTTTATGTGGCGTATGGATTCGTAATTGTAGTCGGGATTCTCGTACTCACGGAAATTGTTCGGTAAGTAATTTACGATTAGCAACTTACCGTAAGTTTTAGAACCACTTTTACACTTATCCATTTCGGTTTCACGCAATTGTAAGCCACAAGTAGCTAGTGATTGCTGCTTAATACTGTAAACAGTAGCTGACAAGGGAGTACGCAATGGAAACTGAACATTAATACTGTGTAAAAGTAAAAAGCAACAGTATCGTTGTGTGCAGTACTTAATTAATTCAGTATGTTTTATGTGATTTTCTTTAACAGTTAAAAAAATTATCCTGATAATATTAATGATTGTCATAATCATAAATCTGATCGTTTTTTAGGTATTCCTATATTGGCGTGCTCCAAGTTCCTTTGAACATTCTCCAAACGTACCAAGCCGAGCATCTCGCCAACACCAGCATGTTCAGCGTTGCGCGAGCCCAGCAAGAGGATCCGCGAGATAAATTTGCTCGAAATCTCCGTTTGCGACAATCAGTGAAGCAAGAGCCCGATCAGCTAGCGGATTTAAGTTTTTCCCAGTTTAGCGCAAATGACAACAACAACTACATTCGCACGCCATATTCAGACAATTCACCATTCCAGCGTCAGATGTCGGGTGGATTCGGGCGTTCGAGTCCGCGGCGACATATGAACGACAGTCTGAACAAGTCGCTTAATCGTTCTTTCGGGTCGAGTCATTCTTCCGGATCAAATACATCGAGCCCTTCCTGTTTGTTTGCGGCAGTGGACTGGGATCCAGTTGATCGTTAGTTTACAGATAGTTTAATGCATCCTGAGATTTAGGTTTGATATCAGTGGTCTTTGTTTGACTAGGTGATGAAATTGAAAATTTTTGTGGCCAAGCGGCGCTCGATAAATTATTGGCTCAGGAGCAGCTATTCGAAAAACAGCGACGTGAGTCGAAAAAATACAGTAGTCTTTTCGATTACAAAGAATTGTTACTGAGTGGTGCAATTTTCCATTTGGCCGGATAATTCTGTAGTAATTGGGGATTGGTTGTTTATTGTTACGCAAAAAATCATTCTTTTTGCAGTTACGATGTTGGAAGATGAGAGCATGAACTGGAGTCCGCAGATACAGTCGTTGCGAGATCAAAATTATCAGACATCGAGCTCCTTTCACATCCCCTCTCCGAAAAAAAGCAAGAAGACCGGGACGCCGGACATTGATGAGCCGATGGAAAGGTTGACCCGACTGAAAGGTGACGATAAAGTTTATCCTTTAGAAGACCTCTCCTGGATTCAGTTGAAAGTTTCGGTGGAAACGCTTCATGTGCGTAAAAGTTGGTTGCTTTGATTGTGTGCGTTCCAGAAGTGTTTGTTTTGATCTCTTGTTGTAGTTCTGGACTGAAAACTTGCGCATGTGGATCGCTGATACTGTGATATCGCCGTTGCTCGTGAGAATCGACGAAGTTAATCGCAAGCTACATGAAAGGATGCATACGGAAAATGTTGTTGGGGGTAATTTTTTAAGGTCGTTTTTTATTTGTTCGAATGTTTGACTCGCCTGACTAGACTTAAAAATATCTTTTGTGAGTGGTACAGTTTGCTTTCTCCGCTTGGTAGCTGTTGTTGTTCTTATAGAATCTTCTACGCCTGATTCGTTACGTCAAACAGCAGACAAACATCGCCAGAATATTCCTGAGCTATTGCAGATCATTCCATTTTTGGACATCAGCATGCAACAGGATTATGTTATTAAACGTCTTAAAGGTGAGAAATGGTGTGCTGGTATAGCCGTTTTTCTGGCATAACTTACTAGTTAGTGTTTGTGCATGGGTTATCCGAAGCGTTCTTAGTTTGCTGCAGATTTTAAGTTATATAAAAATGAAACGTTGTGGTGTTATAGAACTAGTGAAAGATGGAATATTGGGCGATTATTCTTGGAACTCAGGTTCTTCTTACGGCGGTCAACCTTGGCAGGATTTTCTTCCAACTGATGCCGCTGTAAAAATGCAGAATCTCTTTCCCTGCTTTAAATTTAAATAATCTGTTTTTTTTATTCCGTAGTTGGTAATGCATTGCTTCATAACGTTTTTGGATGTCATCCTGCCACCCGATCCCCATGCAGCTAATTGGCGAAGCTTTTCTCATCGTTATGTGCTTCGGAGTTTGGGCTCTTGGAAAGCAGAGGATCCGCATAAACCAAGTATACACCAGGCGGTGTCCAATCCACCGAAATATGAAATTTTGTATGGAGGCCAGTTGCTGCAGGTAGCAGAGGTGAGCAAAATGTCTGGATAGAGAAGATGGGCGTTTGGAGTTTTACATATGCTTGATGCTTTTTATTACAGGGGAAAAATAACGTGTTTCACACAATCCTGTTATTCGCGCGTCTGATGCAACTTCGTGAAAAAAACGGACAAGGGTAACTTTTATGATGAACTTTTTTGAGAGCCTTTCTTGAATCCGTATTAGTAAGTATCCATACATATAATGGATTGATTTTTCAGATATGCTAACCTTGGACCGGGACGAATAATTTTCCGTGTCTTTGATACCTATAAATGATGAAAGACGGCGACTCATATTCTCTCCTCTGGATCTCGAACTGATGTTGATGCATTACTTGATTCTAAACTAGTACTGGTGGCCACCTTTTGAAGTTAACTAATTACTATTTTAGGACTCGTAGTGGGATTTGTGAGACATTTAATTTTGTTTTGTTTTAATCGACCTTTGAAAATTTGAAATCTCCCGCTTTGCCTACGTATTTTGTTGTTGTTGTCTAGTGTCTTTTATATCTTTTAGGGAAAGTCAGCATTGTAAAGCAGCAGGCCTGTATAGTAACTCATAAAAGGTGGGCATTACTATGAATGTATTATTAAAATGGGATCATTTAAGGCAATCAGCTGCCGCGGTTTTCATTTGCAGAATAATACCTGCTTTAAAACATTTCAAAATTCTAACAATGAAAGTCTGACAAATATTCAAGAACCCGCCAAAATTGTTTGTGTTGCCCTAGTGTGGATCTGTTGAACAACTGCTCAACAGGTTCAACCGATAGAGTGATACCTGCCAAAATTTTTATATTATATTTCTACTCGAAAGGTGTGTAGGTAACAGGTGTGTAACATAATACGCAATTGAATTCCAATTTCCTACCCAAACCATTGAAATGATTTAGTCTGGCTCATCACAGCATACGTTTATCGCTTGAAGTTTAAACCATGCGGGACGCCGGGATCATAATGTTTTTACAATTGAAAAGACACATGTACAAACTACAAAGATATAAGTATCGGTTCGATCTCGCTGAAAATTTCACAGTCAAACCTGTTGCTAGCACACCAGCAAGCAAGCACAGGGTGCCTGTACTGTACTAATGGGCAGTTTTCCTTTAATATAATTTTAATTGTATGAAATCGTTTGTCGTTTTAGAGTTTTTGGTTTCGATGATTTTGATGTGGATTTCGCTAATACGAAAAAATATTCCAAACCTGCAACGTTTCTCACATGCCGCTCGATGATAGTAATCAATAGATATGTGGCTTGACCACTGGTCATTGGATACCTCTGGTGTTATAAAAGTTGCATCCGTTTTAGAGTGGTATGAGAAAGCGTAAGAATATAGCAATACCAGGTCCAGATGAATATAAAAGGGAGCATTTTCCCACTTAGTAATTAGACCAAGAGGAAAGAAAGAGACAGAACATCTTTGATACTGATCGCTTATTAATTGTTAACTCTTCTGCTTTGTGCAGATTTCGAATTTCGATCAAGTGAAATGTCATTGACACGCCTTTTATGACAAACCCCGGCATGTTTGGTGTCAATGGATATTCTGCGCTTATAAGCCGGTGCACTGTTCGTATCTGCATGGATAGACAGGCCAGAACAAAGTAGTCGACAAGGTTATCAGCATTCATAGAACCGAGTTAGTGCGCGGTGTAGAATGGTAGTTGGGCATGCTTATTTGCTTCTGCTTTGCTTAAGTATTTGGCTGGTCTGCTAGAGCCGTTTAAAGGGAGGTGGAACAGGCTGTGTTTTCAGGCAGACTGGCTGAAACTGCTGTATCAGTAGCTGCCTCAGCGTTCGTTCCAGTCCGTACTCCTGCCGAAATTCATTCTGATTTTGTACATGCTGGTGGCGTGCTGTTTCACACCATTTGCATTTTGGATAGTTTATTATACTTCTCTAGAGCCAGAGGTGTGCACTGTTGGAGTACTGGATTATTTGCAGTTTATTTGTATTCTTGGATTCATCAAAATGTCTTGATCTACGCCAACTCAACCAGGATCTGTTAGCTTTTTTTTTAAATTTTGGACACTGCAATTTGTGTGTGGTACGGCCGTATCAAAATATCGCTAAAACATAAACTGGGAATAATATAGCAAACAGCGTTGGTACAATTATTATAATGCGGTAATCGAATTTTGCAGCTGGGTGGGCTGTCGACTGGAAAGTGGAAAGCATTTCAGTTCCATTCTGCCGAGACGGATTAATTATTGTGATTATTAATCAACGCGCCAATGCACAATATGACGGAATACAAGCTCGTTGTTGTCGGTGGTGAGTGAAGCGGCGGCCGTTATTATCTAGTTACTGGACATTATTTAATATGGTTTGAGAAAATTGATTGTGAATTACAGTTCAATTATTCGTAATTTTCCACTGAGGGAAGCAACTTGCTTATAGTCATGCACATCCGGGAGGGTGCACGTTTACTACGTATTAAAAGGCACTTGCTATGTGTAATGATATATAATCATATACGTACGTTATCAAATTTTGTGATTCCATCTAATACTTGATTAATTTCTTACTAAAAAATGCAGAATAATAATAGCTGTGCCAACACTGCTATTTGTTTAATTAGATTAATGCACTGCGTGAGCTCAATATTAGAAAAGTTTTGCATTTTGCACTCAAGGCTGTGCTACGTACCCTTCTATCTAATTTTATTGTTAAAACTGAAAGGTACATTACAGCAGATACTTATATTTCTTTTTATTTGTAGCCGGAGGTGTTGGCAAAAGTGCCTTGACGATACAACTAATTCAAAACCAGTAAGTTCAGCTGTTATGTCAACTGTTTGTCCACAATAAACGGGACGCCGGTATTGTCTTCGGATGTGATCCTGTGGACCATGTTGATGTGGTCATCGATCTCACTGAGCGGCCAGATATTTGATACTGAACTTTCCGCCTAAGATAAAAACTTAAAATACCAGTTGATGCTGCTTAGATTAGGTTAATTTATCAATCATGTTTAAATTAAAGTATTAAGCATTTCGAAGCGTGGTATGTAGTATGTACTGTGGCTTTTCTTCTTTTTCCGTCTCCTAAAATATCCATGCCAGATACTGCGAAGATAATTTTATTTTTATGTCGCTGAAATCTGATTGAATCGTACTCTTTGCTGATAAAATTTAATTTACGAGGCAGTTGCAGTTGCGAGAGTTTACAGATAAATGGCTTGTGGACTCGTGCTTCCACTACGCTACTCCAAAAATCAATGCTGGTTTTATCGTTCTTTCAGTTTTTTATCTCTGCTATCGGCTAATTTGCTACGAACTTTATCCCCCAATTATCTGCGTTCTTGCGCTAAGTTTGGCTCGATGAGTCTGACAAGTGAGTACGGTAGTTGCTGCTCAGCGATGCAGACGTTTTACTTACTTTGTGCAGCCTGCAGTTGCGCAATTTAAAGATCGTGTTATTAGTCATTTGCTAGTCCGATGCTATCGATTTCCTTCGGGAAATTATGTTAAAAAACCTAATAAAAAGAGCGGAAATGCCACAGAACTTACGCGTGCATGAGGCTAATTTCAGCCGAAAGGTCTGTTGTATTAGCTGGTTAAACGCTGCTACATTTATTGGCCTGGAAATTGTTAGTGCTTGCATTTGCGTAGGCAAGTAGTGCAGTTTACTGGCAAGTGGACAAGTGTTCGCACAGGCACATTCCGACATTTCTGTCTGCTTTTGGGTTCGGTTGTCCTGACCTTCAAATTTTTAAACAAGAAATAGGTTTTCATGAAAGAAACTTGATGAAGAAGGAAAGTAAAAAATACGGCATTCTGAGAATCAGTGTGTGATTCACAGTGTTTCCTTATTGCGGTGGTGTTTGATTTGTTGTGTCCTTATTTGCAGTTTCGTGGAAGAATACGATCCGACCATAGGTGAGTCATATACTTTTAATGATGACGAATCTGAACATTTAATAATTTTATCTATGGTACGGGCACTAATATCAAATATGCGACGTTTTTAACTGTACAATTCTGCGGGAGCAGTATCATTGAATACAGGTTCAGTAGAGTGTAGACTTTCTGTATTTAACACTTTACAAATTAATAACTGCTGTATTACTTATTAAAATGCACTGTATTATTACATGCGTTTCACCGCTATGTGAAAAGAACATAAAAATTGAACAGGCTCGCGATTTCAGTTTTTGGTATCCGATATAAATAACCTAAGGAAAGATCAAAATTTCTTGGCTGGAGACTGCAGCTACAATGATTGTTCGTTGTAAATATTTATTGTCTTGCTTTATCTATAGAGGATTCTTATCGCAAGCAAGTGGTGATCGAGGGAGAAACATGCTTGCTGGATATCCTGGACACAGCTGGCCAAGAGGAATACAGGTGGGAAGCCAACTTCAAGCCTTGATGCCATCTTTTATGGTTTCCACCTTTTTTGATCTGTGCAGTTTATTGATTTTTTTAAAATGCTGCAAAAAGTTTTTGTGTACATAAATAAATCATCAAAATAGTTCTCTGCCTTTTTAAAGTGTTTTTATCCCTATAAAACTGTAGGCGTATGTGCAGGTGTACCAGTAATTAATAACTCAGTTACTCAGTAATACGCATGTGATTACTTATTGGTGTAATAATTGTAAGTTTTATCGTACATAAGTATATGGTATACAAGGTGTAGAAATGAATCAGAATAACTGAACTACTAGCGCTATACCTCCGTAAATCTGATTTCTGTGGCATTCAGAATTTAAGTTAAATTGTTAGACCTCTGGATGATGGTGATTTAAATGCTTTTTCCCGATTTGTAAGCTTAACTATATGTTGTCCTCGTTGACGGCATGCATGCAAGCAGTGCATACTTATTAAAATTCCTGGAGTAATTTAATCATACTTGAGAATGCAAGAGTCGAAGGGCTGGTATGGTTATTTTCAGTGCGATGCGCGACCAGTATATGCGAACCGGCGAAGGCTTCCTGCTTGTGTTCGCCCTCAACGGCCCCAAATCATTCGAGGACATCGAAACGTACCGAGAGCAGATTAAACGAGTGAAAGATTCTGACAACGTACCCATGGTTTGTAAGTGGCCTCTCCAACCGACTAGTTATACGTATGTGGTGTCAGCTGGCACAGGAAGTGGAGACTGTTCGCTGTTGATTAAAAAAATCGGGAGCTGCTCCCACGCTGTGCAAACTGTGGTCGTAATGAAGGGCGGATGTGCAGTGTCACGACATTGATATTTGCATTTATATTGGCTTTATTAGGGAATGTGTCGGAATGTCCTATCGGTTACACTGTTGAGGTCAAGAGAGGTTTTTTCAGAATGAAACAAATTCAACAAAGACTATTTGAGAATGAACTAGTTCGGGAGAAGGTAGCATTGTGCTCGCGAGGGCGGCATTTAAATACTGTAATCAAGCGGAAGTAAATCTCAAACAGAATAATCGTATTACATTATTCAAGCACAAATACCGAAGCTTGAGAAAATTGACTTCCATGGTAATACGAACTTTTTATGTCCTTCTGCTTGCTTTTATCTGTAATAGATGTTATTAAAAAAATGTGTCCAGCCTGACACGCCTTATCGAGTTGCTGTACGTATGAATACATTAACAAACAATAAGAAAGCGCCCGATTTCCGCTAAAATTGACTTTATGGAATGAACCGGAAAAGGCAACTGTAATGGTTGGCAGGGAATGTCTCGCTTTGTTGTGGCACAAGAAAGCGCAGCTGACACAAATAATTCCCTGAAGTGCGGTCTGTGTCTGGCCGGCATGACCGCGAATCCGCACCCTGTTAATGTCTTGCGCTGTTGCAGTGGTCGGGAATAAAAGCGACCTGCCGGCAAGGAATGTGGAATCTAAACAAGCCAGCGATTTAGCCCGCAGTTACGGGATCCCCTATATTGAAACATCGGCCAAAACGAGATGTAAACACTGGACTGATTAAATATCCATGACAATAACAAGCGTTAGTGACGGATTTTCATTCTCTTTTCCAGCGGGTGTTGACGATGCCTTCTACACTCTAGTGAAAGAGATACGAAACGCGGTAAGGGATATTCCGGGATCCAATTTAGCGTTCGATGACAGTACCGTAATTGCTGACAAAATAGTGAATAATACATTACGCTACTGCATTTATTTCAGCGGGAGCGGGATATCAAGCATAAAAACGGCAAAAAGGCATCCAAGCCACAGAAGCCTGATGGGGGCACTGGGTGCTGCTCAATTGTTTGAATAATTACTTTGGATGTCTTCCTTTATCTGGTAAATACTGTAAATTTGTTCGGACGGATTTCGCTGTAAAGATAAAATTTAAAACTTAAAAATCCTGAATCATCAGGATGGAGAATACAATATCTACTGAACATTATTTTCGTTGCAAAATTTTGAAAGTAACAGCTGTTTCATTGCAGACTTTGGATCGGCCTTTGGCGGCTTTTGGTCTGGATTTCCTTGGAATTTTGTGTTTTTATCCTTTATGCACGGGCTTGAAGTGCTCTTCCTGGTATTTTAAACCGTTTCCTTTTTCCTATGATATGTAATGTGGACACAATGCGGAATACATCAACCGGCGGAGTGATTTCGTAATGCAGTGTCCACACTTTGCACAGGGTCGCTTCAGTGAATGCTTGACGACGTTTGCAAATTTTATCGATGTTTTGGTACATATACCGAAGTCACTGGTGTTCCAACCCGTTAATTGTGTGTGTCAAATTTTCATTGCGTCCAATTTTTTTACATATTTTTTGTTTTGTATTTTTTTACTGCATGCTTGCTGTGTAATGCATTATAAAACTGCAAAATAACTGCCTACCATCAGATACATTTTGTACCTGTTTTAACTTTTGCATGTCGCAGAATATAATATTAAAAACGGCTTACGGCGGGAAGCAGCACGAACTGTACAAAATGCAAAATACCCACGACTCTATGAGTGATGTACATATTTATGTTAAACAGCGTCGCTCAAGCACACCCGAATATCGGCATTGCGTAGCATGATCCACTATTATAGCTTATTTGATATTAAACGGAACGTATTGAATACAATTATAAGCAGGCTGCGTTTTGCACGGCCATGAGATTGACGACAAAATTAAAAATACGAGCATGTATTTAGTCTGGCCAGCGTTCCTGTTCTTTGGTTGTAAACTACTGTAGACTGCACGGTGTGTACGCAGGTTTTACTGTAGCATCAACGAAACCATTTTTCTCGTTAACAAATAACAATAGTCAAAAACTATACTGTAGTTTAAATGCAGTACTGTAACCAAACAAAACCCTGACATTTTGGGGCTACAATAATCACGAATTAACAAATTAAGCATTTACAATACATAAGTTTATGAGTTGGGGTTCCAATCAGTATGGCGTCGTTATAACGGACAGCCGAACCGGAAGCGATGAGTTGATGCCCGTCATCTGCATAAATTTGCGTAGACTCCAGAAAATCTCCTCCACGTACGCGAACACGGAGAACCTTCAGAGATTCAGTTAAGTGACTAATTTAACGAACCGCTTATCAAGGTGCTCTTACCAAGCTGGGCGAAACAGACCCGACCGGAAACATGACCTTAAGAAAAATTTTGTATCCGATAGGATGGCTGCCGATCCACAGATCTCCCGTCACCTGGTCGACATTGACATTATCCACCAATGTGTCCAAGTACAGAGAATTCAACTTTTCTAATGTTTTATCTGGTAGAATCACGAAAGATGTGATGCGCCCTGCTCCAGACTCAGCGACATATACGTGCCTGAAATGAGTAACACCGCAAAGTATGATTATACAATTTTATAGTTGAACGTTAACTGGTAGTAACAGAATAGACAATTATGGAGATCGAGGAAAACTGAGATTAACACAGATACTGTTCAATGGTTTCGGCAACACTAACCGGCGATCTGGAGAAACGCTTATACCATTCGGACGTCGAAGTTTGGTGGAGGCTTGGTAGCCATCCTCGCCATCAAAATAAATGATGTTATTAAAAGGTAAAAGGAGAAATATTCCAACCGCCGAATCCAGTTATTACGGTAAACATAATCATTGGTCACATAAAACTGGTCTTCTCCAACCATCACCAAATCGTTAAGTCTGCAAATAGGTGTCCATAAAACTGTGCGCGATGGTATATATACAGCACATGGCTACGCAGATGAATTTCTCGATATTTGATAGCGTTGGCTAGCTTAATTAATTATATTACAAGCTGTGCATCGGTTTTACGGAATAAGTGATCAGTTAGTTTTTTGTTCTTACGAGGTGAACAAGGGATCTTTAATGGTGCGAAGGTGCGTGAGCTCCAGTTTGGAGACATCCAAGCGAAATTTTTCCACGCTTTCTTCGGCTCCGAGAGTATCGTCCATTCCGTGGTGGATAACGTACACATAAATCGAATCTGCAAAAAATATAGACACCGTACTTGCAATCTAAAACGGCTATCATGCAATTGTTTGATAACTGTCATTTCTTACAACCTACGTCATTACAGTCATTTCTGACATAGATAGCTTATTTTTTACACCAATGTGTTCAAATGAAAAATTTAGAACATGGCGTATAATATAATCGTAACCAATAGCAGACCACATGGTCAGCAAGGCCTTTGCTTATAATATCCGGAAGCCGCACTTGAGATCTTACCGGAACTGTTCCAGATGCTGATTCCATGCGGATTCAGTTTATCCTGAAAAATCATACTGTAATCGCTGTTTATATATGCCCAATCGAATGGCCATCTTAAGCTTATCGTGATTCTTCTGGTTTAACTACAGATCGGTTACGGTACCTTGCGACGTTAACATCGCAACTTGCTTGAAACTGTAAATACCAAAATTAATTGTATGCTAGTATCTAGATACTAAAAAAAAGAGATCTAGTATCTAGTATCTAGAGATCTAGTATCTAGTATCTAGATCTTAAAAACTTGTTCAACGTTTTGCTTATCTGCTTCGGTCTTGCCTTGAATCCTTTTATGATGAGAGATCGTGCTGCACTTTCTGGACGGTTGAAGTCAAACAACATTATCCTTCCCGGCACATGCTTTAACGCCGGATTGCGCATATAGTTAAGCCCCTAAAATATCAATAATTATTATAGACAGATGGAAGGTAAACTGTACTAGCCTTGCACAAATAAATCAAGGTTGCAGTCTTGCAGACGTACCGAAGAGAAAATAGCTAGTCCACTGGGTAATACTTCCACATCTTCCGAGCCTTGGCCTTTATCAACCAAATTAAATTTTAAACATGAGAGGATTTCGCTACTTTTCTTGGATTCCCTCTCGTTTAACTCATGAATTAACCTTTTAATTTAATAATTCTATTGCTTCGTATCTTTGCTCGAAAATAGTCAAAATATAATTACGTGCCTTTTCATAAAATTAAAAGAAAATTATAGGAAAAGGCATTCAGGATCAAGAAAATCACAACAATCGTAAAGTCACCCGGCGTTATTAGATCCAAAACATGTGAATACAGTACAGTACGCATACCTCCGTCGGCTGTTTCGTACACTCCTTCGACTGCATGGCACGGTCCAGGCTGTTGACTGTGTATCACACGAAAGAAACCGCCCCATTTTCTAAAAGTAAATTACACTAAAACTAGTAGGTTTTTAGTAAGACGCATTTTATAAGTTATTTTGGAAATCGAATCCATACGAATAAGTAATAACCATAATAACCATACTTCCATAAGAGCCTAATTAACACACAAGCGTAAATTTCATTGTAACTACGGTAGGCACTAACTACACAAATCCTCGCTATAACAAATGCCGATGTATATTGTATTGTACACGTATATCTTGTAGACTACAATCAGTTGGTACTTTAGACCAAATTTTCTCTGTGATTAGGCCGCCGCTGTCGATTGATGCTTAATGAGTGATAGTTTCCGAAGCTTTTGTTAAAAGTGCTCGTGTTGTAATTTGTAATAGTGCTAATACACATTGAACACTAATGAAGTTAAGTAAGAAGTTGGTACTTACGTGAACAGACAAAATGTTTGTGAAGTACAAAAATTTTATCCCCGAAAAGCACATAAACGTTGTTTTGGGAATAATGCATGCTTCTGTTAGTTCTTACATGATTTCCTTGCCATACCAGACGACTAGGACGAGCAGCAGCCCAAAAAGCGCACTTTTCAGCATTTCGGTAATGTTCGCGTGATTTACTGGAGTTTCTCTGCAAACCGATGGCGGCAAGTTTGGTATTGTAACCTATCGTGCACTTCAAGTCAATGCAAACTTATTCATATTTCTAAGCAGCTATCCATACCGTTGAATTCAAGGAGGAAACTTGTAGATATAACTGAATGTAAAATACGCTAAATGCTTTTGTATGGCACTCGTACTATACAGCAAAGTTTCTTCGACTACGTACTCTAGGACGCTCTACCTGTAATGTTAAGTATCTTATGGTTAGACATGCAAACAATGGTACGAAGTTTGGTTGATAACGGCAATCTTTTTAATAGTAAAGGTAGAGTGCGGCTGAAGTGCGTGCTGTAATTGTAAACTCCCCGAAGGCAAGTCCAGCCAGTTCTGAAGCCGGAAGCACCACTTCGTCTCACTACTATCCGGCATTTTGAACCAATTCTTCTCATTTTTTGGCGTTCTGCATTTTGTTACACTACTGAAAAACACATTTCAGCAGTTTGCACGCGAATGATACTCTGTTAAGTTCGTTGATGATAACCGAATGAGTAAGTACTTGTAGATTGGAAAGATGTTTTCGAATCATTTTATGCACTATCAGGTGTACAACACGCATTTAGAAAATTAAAAACTTCCGTATAATTTCGTGAAAGCCCCACAACCGCAGTACTAAAACTCCCACCCTCTATAAAACTCCTTCACCACTAAAACCATTAAGCGAAATGTATTATTGAATCACACATCAAAAACTGCCAGAAAAAGCAGCAATTCAATCACTTGGGACATGTCAGGCACTTGCAAATCATAGCCTTATCATCAACTGTTCCAATAAGAAAAGCATTTGATCCTTTGTGGAAAGCAGCACTGGAGCTTGAGCTGATTTGATGACCATTATCAGCGAACACTTGATAAGTTTCCAGAAATTTTCCATCTTTCGCTGTCACTCGAATTACCTATTAATCCCCAAATATCACAACCATGCTTGTTCGTTATCATCAGAATTTATAAATCAACATATAACATCTTTCTCGCGATTTTTAATTGCAGTCAGCGGTAACTAACTCTTTCGTTTTACTGAAAGTCAAAAGCAAAATATGGCAACAGACAGATTATGTACAAATCTTCCTTATCGTCCTTGTCAAAGTCTGCTAACCATAAGCGGTGTTCTTAATAATGTATGCGGAAAACAATTTGCCTATCAAAAAACACTAAAACCCCAAATCAAAAGTATACCATTACCTGGCTCGAACTGGGATATCGCTCAGTAGGATTGGACAGCCTCTTCGACAACTGCAAGATACTGGGATGTGCTCCAATCCATAAGTCACCGGTTCCGTGGTCAACGTTAATATTATCTGGACTAGAGCCCAGATATTTCGTATCTTCCAGCACAAGAGTAGTTGGATTTTCGATGCGATAAGAGCTAATACGCTTTTTAGTTACTTCCGACACGTACAGAAACCTGTAACAACAGAAAACATAAAATGTACGATACGTTTACCGTACGCAGAAAGTCAAATCAGTTTAGAAGTTAAAAAGGTACGATGTTAAACTACTATCAACATGAAAACTTAAAAAATATAGCATATCTCATACTGCAAAAAAGTGTGCCCGAATTCTGTAAGTAACCAATAAATTTAAAACCGACAGAAGTTTAAGGAAAAACGATGAAAAACATTACAAAAAAATTCGCAAAGTACGTTGCCGCACCACACAGTGTGACACAGATCGAGACGGCATAAACAAAATAAAAAATAACTAACAGGTCTCCCCTAGCAATAATAATGGAAACTACAATAAAAAACCAACTTCTGATCGGGTGATACATCAACTCCATTTGCTCCAAACATTCCCGGCAGCACCACAGTAGCCTTTTTGCCATCGTAATATAACACATTCTGAGCGGGAACGAAGAAAAGATATATTTCGAGTTCGCGCAAAACCTTACTCCTGAAAGTCTGCATATTGGATATGTAAAACTGATCCATTTTTACGACGACCAGATCATTAAGCCTGCAAATCACCAAAGGCACGTTTTGTTCACCACTCTAGTTGCGCTTCATTGTAAGGGAGCTTGAATGAGCGGAAAGAAGGAACGTGCAAAGCGACATAATTTTCAGCGCAAACGGTTAATAATGTCGTCACTAAATGCATAGTATACCCCACAAATTCCGGATCGCTGAAGGTTTTTTCGTGGTTAAGAACGCCTTTGTCCACGTCCCAAAGGAATTTCTCCACGGTGTCAGCCGGCGGGTGTTCATTGAAGGGAGGATGATTCACCGCATACAGATAAATTTTACCTGTTGCAAAAATATTTACACGTTATTAATTTAGCTGCGGTTCAACGGTTTCCATTCAAACCTTACCGTCTTCCACGAACAAGCTTATTCCATGGAAATTAAGGTGTCCCTGTATTACACAGAAGTGACAGAACAAGGAAAATTCAAACTAATAAAACTAAGAACAAACAGTTCAAATAAAATAAAAAAGGCAATTTTAAATGACTTCTATTAACAATCCAGAGAACACAGCAAATTATAGCCAGCTAATGCAAAACGTATGCAGTTCAAACAGTTTTTCTAGTGTGTAAAATATCTCTCGCAGCACGCCGAAAACTTTAAAATCGCAAAATCTGAGCAATACCAATTCTTTTTGCAAAAAGAATTCGTATCGCGTAGCCGTCATAACGTAAGTGACAATCTTTACCTTGTAGCCATTAATTTTTAGTTTTTTTGACGGCTGTTCGGGCTTGGAAAGATCTAACGCTACAAAACCGGACGGCTCTGCTGTTTCCGGTTGCGTTTTTGACCATCGAAGACCCTGAAAGATTTTTCGAATAATTAGCCAACAATTCGACTTATTTAAGTCTCACACGTTACCGCTTATACCACTCGTGCAGCCGTGCTAAGAACACAACTGAAGAGCGAAGGTAAATTTGCAGTAAAAAAGATTCCCAAGAGTGCACACTGCACATACCGTGCTAAAACCGCCAATCCGTTGGGAAGGATATCCACATCTTCCGAACCGTCTCCTGCAACAGGTTGCCACCGTTCACCACAGCTGTCGCACACAGCGCTTGACAACGCCATTACAATGCGAAACGTCCCTATTTTTTATTTAAGCCGTACCTATTCCGGGTATGATGTGACACGGGCCGGGAGTATGATTGTGGACAACCCTGTATACATCCAGATGACTCCTACAACAAAATGTAACAGTACTGTTCTGTCGTAAAGCTACGCTTTGAAAGCGCCTTGATAAGCTTTGTAGTCTGATCCATGGGAGTGCTTACAAATATGACAGCACGAGAAGACTGACAGATGAAACTACACTTCCGTAGAGAAACAGTCTGAAGAAGAACCCCATATCTGCTGTTCTTTGTAAAATCAGAAAGAAAACTTAAAAAATGACGAAGTATGACACCGGTAGAGTCTCATTCGTTAGATGCCCAAAAGAACACTGTAGAGTGTAGACTCTACACTCTACACTCTACGACTCTACACTCTACGGTGTTCTTTTAGGCTTCACTACTGCTGACTGTGCATAATGTTACTCGTAGTCTCGTATCATATCGCGTTTGGAAAGTCTTTGATAGTCGGATGCCTGGAGGAATTTCTGACGTATGCGCGAAACTCCATTACAAGCTCCATGCAGTAGGCAGTCCCTTTGTAAATACACCGGTTGTTCAAGCAAAACTGTGCTCAAGGGGTTAGTTCCCCTTGAGTACAGATTTGGTTCAAGTCTCACAATAGAAATCAAATTCGTTGTTATTACGATTACTTCTATTGCAGCTAATAAAATTGTGAACTAAACTATATTTCTAAACTATTAGTATTAGTCACTATTACGTAATTACTTTAGTTGTTAGTTTTAGACTTTAGTACACGGTGCATTATACGGTACGTTTTTTTACCTTAGTGCACGGGTCATTTTTTACGCGAAAACATATTGCGACTCGTGTCACATTGCCAGTTACTTGTTTCCCCCAGGATATGGCTTCCTTTATGGCGAACAACGCCTGACCAGTAAGGTTACATCAAGTAGGGCCATTTAATATCGGTGAACCGCCTCATCGCCGTGAAGTTCTCCCAACCGGAGGAAACCAGAGATAGTCAAAATGCCTTGTCATCAGTCCCGAGATACGAATACCGGCATTGGAGGCAGTTTGTCGCTTTGTGGCACCGTTACTGAACCTCGAGCACTATCTACATCATTTCTCCAGCACTATCCACCTTTTGTGATAAGAATATTTTTTACAACGTACGAGTGCACTTTACTTCAGCCAACAAAAGCCTGATTTATTACAGCACGAGCGGCAGAAATTTCCTTTCTGCAGGAATCTGTTCATGCTTGCATTTACTTCCACACAGAGTAACATCCACGAATGAAAATTCCCTACTTCTCACAGAAACCCTTCACCACTATAGACAAGTTTAAATGAAATTTACTGACCACGAATGACACATAGAGAAAGCTACGAAACAACGTCCTGTCACTGTGGACATGTCAGGCACTTGCAAAACAAAGCACCACCGTCAACTGTTCCGACGATAAATACATTTTTTCCTTTGTGGAAAGCAGCACTTGAGCTTCCACTAAGTTGCTGGCCGTTATCAGCGAAGATTTCACTCGTCTCCAGAAATTTTCCATCTTTCGTTGTTACTCGTATTACCTGTCAAAAATTGTGGTACCCTTACTTGGCTACTAAAGACTGCAGATTACGAAAGGAGGTACCAACCCAACTTTTTTCTTGTTTAAATCAAATCTCATCTCGATAAGCTGCCATTAACTTTTGATTTCATAGTAACTCAAGAAACGCAGTAAACAAGAAGAATATCAGGGTATGTTCCAACATGCTATCGGTCTACGAGAAGCTTTTAGCTAACTGCTAAGTTATATTTTACTTTTAGCTGTTTCGTGCTGTTTCGATTACAGAAAAAAATTTTAAAGCGTTGAGTTAACTTAAACTTATAACCGTATTATTTGAAATGGAGTTACTTTAAGCAGTACATACCTGGCTCGAGCTGGTAGATCGCGGGGTAGAACTGGAGGCCAGTCTCTTCAAAAGCTGATGAAGGCTGGGATGAGCTCCAATCCATAAATCACCCGTTCGATGGTTGACATTAATATTATCTGGGTTCGTACCCAGGAATTTCGAATCTTCTGGAACAAGAGTGGTTGGATTTTCGATGCGATACGATCTAATCCGTTTTTTTGTGAACTCCGCCAGGTAGAGAAACCTGTAAAGAACGGTGCGTGAAATCCTGTACTATTCTTACAACAACACATGAACTGAATTAACGACAACAATTCGAGTAATCGCACCGCAATTCGGAATTCAAAGTCAGAACTACTCTGTAGTACCGCACTTCAGTACTTACTGTACGGCAATAAAATTTTTATTTTAATTTAAAATCACCTTTGACGATAAACTGTCTTAGATGAATATAAAGGCAACAGTCTCACTTTTTTTCTTTAAGATTTAATGTCTCAATGCTACAGATAACTGCTAAATTTGAGAAAAAAGCTGCGATCAACATAAAATACAAAAATTTCATCAACAAAAAGCGTTGCCACATATAAATATTACACACCGGCACGGGTGAAGGGACTGCAGCATAAGGCAACAACTAACAAGACAGAACAAAATAATAAGACATTTAAGGGAGTTACGTACTTCTGGTCAGGGGATACGTCCACTCCATTGGCGCCAAATACTCCCGACAGTACCACAGTGGCCTCCTTACCGTCGTAGTACAGGACGTTTTGAGCCGGAACAAAGTACAGATAGGTCATTTCGAATTCCCGCAGAAATTTATTCTTGAATGTCTGCATATTCGATATGTAGAACTGGTCCATCCTCACGACGACCAAATCATTGAGTCTGCAAAGGAAACAATAATTAAATCCTCACCATTTTCTTAAATTTTCAAGAAAATCCGGTGGGGAGAGCGAATGTGCATAATTCACCCCACAAATTCAGGATCGCTGAAAGTCTTTTCATGGTGAAGGATGCCTTTATCTACGTCCCAAGAGAATTTTTCCACGGTGTCCGCCGGTGGATGATCATTGAAGGGAGGATGATTCACCGCATACAAATAGATTTTGCCTATTAAAAAAATCAAACGTGATGAACACGGTTCACTGTGAATAATTTTGGCATTTTTTACCATCTTGTACATACAGGCTTATTCCATGAAAATTAAGATGGCCCTACAATGCACAAAATCAGGAAACTGAAACTATATACACCTCAAAGGAACATAGCCAAAATAAACTCAAGTTTCCACAAACTTCAGGAATACAGTAATCGATTAAATCAGGTCAATTTAATAATTGTCCGCACCACCAGTCTACAGTGGATATCGTTTCCATGTACATACAGAATAGAAACAGATTTTTCGGTGTGGAAAACACTACGCAGTTCAAGTGCAGTATATCGAAAACTGAAGAACTGCAGCGGTGTACCGGCTCATTCCAATTAAAAAACAGCCTGACGAATTCTATGATAGGCTACGTTACCTTATAGCCGTTGATTTTTAGCCTTTGTGAGGGTTTTTCAGGTGTCGAAATGTTTAGCGCCACAAAACCCGACGGCTCCGCTGTTTCCGGCTGCGTCTTTGACCATCGGAGGCCCTGAAATTAATATTTAGTCAGCGATTCGGCTGTTGCAGATTACCGCTTAACGTTAAAACCTATGGGAAAAACACATAAACTTTTGCAGTAAGGTTAGGTGCATTCCACAAGCACGGGCAAATTATGATATTATTTGAGACGGCATACCGTGCTAAAAATAGCCATTCCATTGGGAAGAATATCCACATCTTCCGAACCGTCGTCTGCAACCGTGTACCCCATATTTCCAACCGTAGCGCCCAGTTAAGAGATTACGAAATGGAACATTCATGTACGCCTTACTTATTCCGGGGATGATGTGACACGGACCGGGTGTATGATTGTGGACAATCCTGTACATGTCCAGGTAATTCCTAAACAACGCACAAAATCGATGTACATTTTGTTTTGTTGTCCTTCTCGAAGGCTCCGCTGACAAGTGAAATGGGACAGCCTATAGTAGCTTACAAGTAAGATAACACGAAAACAGTGAAAGATGACAATGCACTGCCATAGACAAACAATCTGAAAAAGAATCCCATATTTGATAAAAAGAAAGCGTTTTTGTATAGAACTTGGGGAATATCATTCGTGGTAACTTCTCTAACTTGTGAAGTGATCTGTAAAACCAAACTCAAACTTTATTAAAATAAGCTTGCAGGGCGCACAGGATCACAGCTGATTTTCCACTATTCACCAGTACACCGGAAGCACCGGTGTATTTATAAGGAACCGTTTACCGCAGGGAGGACGAAGTAACAACTGTTTCCGGAATTATCCAGTGCCATTAAATGACTGGATATTTCCAAAATCCAAAGAGATGTTGTGTGTTCTTTATGCTGACTTTTGAGGTTTTTCCATTCCGCTTATTTTGTAGGTCTGGTAAGGTTTGTGAATTCTGTTACAGGTTAGTAAGAAGAATCAATGGATGTCACTGTTGTGGTGACTTGTGGTCTCTGACTCTCTGTACATGTGGACACTGGGCAGGAGCTGCACATTGGCATTTTTTGGCATCGGACGGACTTCAGGTTCAGATTAACTTAGCCAGTGCGGCAGCATATTAAAAGCATGAATTATTTTAATTCCTTTTTCCATGGAAGTCGTACTTTACGGTATTGCCAAAGCCGGAATGTATTTGTCCATGCATCATTTGATACGGATTCACGACGCGTCAGAACATCAGCAGTTAGTGAAACCAGCCTCAATTTTCTTAACGGGGAGAATCAAAATAACAACAAAATTATCACAAAAAAAAACAAAAATCTTAGTTCACAGAACTTCCATTATTTGTAGGAAGTGACAAATCACTGGGCATAAATTCATGAGTGACGCAGAAGTTTTATAACTTTATAACACATTCCCAATTCAAGTTACTTAGGACAGGTATCACATTTGCAAAACATCGCTTTATGGTCGATTGTTCCAATTACAAACATGTTTTTTCCTTTATGATACGCCGCGGCTGAACTCCCAACAAGCTGATGGCCATTATCGGCAAACATCTCGTACGATTCCGTAAACTTTCCATCTTTTACTATCACTCGCAAGACCTACAAGACAGCATATCATAGCGGTATTCTCTTAAAAAGATTCGTAATTTGGTAAATAACTAAAGAGTTCAACATAAAACTGAATGCTTCATCAAAAAGGTAAAATCGTTTATCATTGTCTCCGGATGTTAAAATATTTATATCAGAGCATGTATAAAGTCAACTAGTTATGGAATACCTGGCTCGGGCTCGTGTGTGTTCCTGATGGAGCCGTGAGTCTCATTACTAATTGTAAGGCGGCAGGATGGGCTCCAATCCATAAATCACCTGTTCGGTGATTAACGTTGATATTGTCCGGTATCGTTCCCAAGTATTTCGAGTCGTGCCATATAAGGTCGGTCGGACTCTGAATTCGATATGAACTGACGCGTTTCTTGGAAATTTCCGAAACATACAAAAACCTGTAATCAAAATTAATTAAAATCCATTCCATTGTGTACGAGCATTAAAGAAAGAAAATGTTATGCTCTAATCTGAAGAGTATCATCAAAGAATTTTCTGGATATGAATCAAGAGAAAACTACTGCAGAAAACGCTGTTCGAAAGAAAATATGGCATACTTGCGATCTGGAGAAACGTCGAGTCCGTTTGCTCCGAACATTCCAGGTAATACCACACTGGCCTTTTGGCCATCGTAATAAACAACATTCTGTGCCGGAATAAAAAAGAGGAACAACTCGATTTCTCTTAATATCTTGCTCTTAAACGTCTCCGCATTAGATGCGTAAAACCGATCCATCCCCACGACTGTCAAGTCATTCAACCTATGGGCAGCACACATTTATAAATGAAATGCGTGAAACTTCATAGTATATTTTCACACACCCCACAAATTCAGGATCCGTAAAGGTTTTTTCATGACTAAGCACTCCTTTTTCTATGTCCAATAAAAACTTTTCTACCGTGTCGGCGGGCGGGTGTTCGTTGAATGGGGCATGATTTATTGCATACAGATAAACTTTCCCTAAAGAACACGAGCGACGAAACTAAATTTAATCTGGAGGTGTACTCAGCAATTTTGCAAACACATACCGTTCTCTCCGTATAAACTGATGCCATGAAAATTCGGATGTCCCTACAATCCACAGATAATTCACCATATTTTAGGTCATAGCCTACCGGCACTTTTTCCACAATTCTTTAAGCAGTAATGAAAAGGAGAAAACTTTTATCCGCTATTAGTTATCACATCTTAAAAACACAAGCATTTTAAAAACACATCTTAACACATCTTAAAAACCATTTGAACGTTTTCACAGATACTTTTATACTACCTTATAATGCCGAAAACCAGCACAATGCGCAACGCGCTGTTTAAACATTAACATTTGTATGTCTTAAACTCACCTTAAAACCATTTATTTTAAGTTTTTTCGCTGGTTGGTTAGGTGTCGAGATATTAAATGTTGCAAATCCAGATGCTTCAGTTCTTGCACTTTGGTATTTTCGGGACCAGGTGACACCCTAAAACAGAACAAAGCGGCAATGCTTGCAACTGAAGCTGACCCTCAGCCGCATGGAATTTTAACAAACGGAAATAAAAAAAACGAAGTATACCGTGCTAAAAATGGCTATTCCGTTCGGAAGAATGTCCACATCCTCGCTACCAATTTCTGCATTATTTTGCAGCCTCTGGTTAATACCCAACTCTTGAATCAAGTCAACACACCATTGTTCGCTTACGGCTTACCCATTCCATCGATTAGATTACAAGGGCCTGGAGCATGGTTGTGAATGACTCTGCAGACGTCTGAGAAAGTCCTGTAAGAACATATAGCTGCCATAATCGAAGCAGCACACCAGGAAGTGCATTCCCGAAAAATGTCCACGTAGAGCAGTATTAAAAAACATGTCGGTAACTGTAAAAACTCCTGCGGCAGGCATCCATTAAGCTTTAGTAGCCTTACAATAAAGACAGCGCCAGAAGGGTGATGCCGGAAATAATCGTTCCATAGAAGAAGAATCGGAAGAAAAACCCCATTCTGGTTGCAGCTGGGTTCCCGAGGATGTTTCCAACGATAACAGGTCTGGAATACTTTACGTGGAAAACGCAGAGAACATTTAGGGAGTACTTGCAAGGTAGTTTTCAATGTTCTCACAATCAGCAGATTTCTGCGTTATTTATTACAGCTCTGATGTCTCAGTGATAGCGCAGAGGTGCTAAATTAGAAGTCGCTGACAAGTCATACGTTAAACGCTTTTGGAAATTGGGATGACTAATTACTAGTACATTTATACCATGCAACCCGCAACTGCAACCCGTAAGAAGTGTGCCTTAGAGATAGAGACAGCTGACATAGGACATAGCAGCATCCATGATACGTAATCAAGAGCTCCAGGTAAGCACGAGCTTACAAAAACCAAAAACTAACCGAACACCGAACTCGTACTATCAAAATTCACTTTAACTTATTGTACAGCGGGTACAGACAACAGAAATACGTATAACTTATGTTTACTAATAAGCGCTTTATGACAAGCGCGTATAGTTCTGTGCGTACAGTTCTGTAGTGGGTTTTAATTAGCACAAGCTTGAAGCCACTCACATTAACCAAGTTTACTTATTTAAAGTACTTTTTGTTTTCGTGTATGAAACGGTTATTATAGTCACTTCTAATGTAAGATGCGATAATTGTCGTCAGTACATATCGCCACACAGGTTTTCTGGATCGGAAGGCCTAGAACAAAAATACCGAACACTCGATCGACTGCGACTAACTAATGTCTGGCTCGGTTGGAGCGGCAGTTATTAAAATTAATACTCGTATTACTTTCATTTCCAGTCTGCAAGGCCGAACTCCGAAGGTGTCTACATTATCAGCAGCTGGCACCATCCCTGATTTACCTTTTTTATTGCATTATTTTTTTATTGATTTATCCTTTTTTTTTTATTGTTACATGGTCACGGAATCGGTAACTCTTGGAAAACAAAATCTAACAATAATTCTTAATTGGCGTTGTATTGAAGCTAAGGGTAGGAGGCGGATCATAAAGTGGTAAAGATCAAGACAGGAGATATGTTTTATTTTTCATAAAATTTATTGTACCGCATTCGGTTTGTTGAGATTTGCAGATGAAACATCAATTGTCCATTGTCCAGTGTGGGATCGATGATCATTTAGTAGAATCGTACCAACATTAAATTAAAAACAAGGAAAAATATTAACGCAAGAAGATTGATCGTTGAGTTATAATTAGTTGTTTGTTAGAAATATAACACGTGGGAAAACAAAACAAAGAAAACTGGCGACAAAACCTTTGGAATACAGGTAGTAATTAAAAAATTAAATGCCCTTGACGTGCTTCTCCCGTTTGCTAAAAGTGACAACGTCACCGGGATATTAAGGTGTGTGCTGCCGTACGCATATCTTTGGTAGGGGAAAGCAAAAAACCAAGGGTTATGGCAATCAACTGGGTGAACAAAATGGGAAAGATCAGGTCTGCAAAACAAAAATAAGAAGCATGTACAAACTACAAGCTAAATTATGTAAGATTGTCATATCACAACTAGCGCTCATCAATGCTGCATACTTGACGGCAGTCATCGTAGAATTTCTTATAATAGGCAAATGTGGGGCTATCACGTCCGGCGCATGTGGAAACAATTTTCATAGCTTCAATAAAATGGACAAGCAGATTGCGATGCTGCAATGGTGACTGCTGCACGAGCAGTCCGCGTGTTGTACACTTCATCAGAATCTCTGAATATTGAAAGCACCACCGGGAAAACACTTGGGGATACACAATGGCCAGCTGCATAAAATGGAAAAAGGCCTTGTCGTATTGTCCGAGAATGTCGGCGGAGGTGGCGACTTGAAGGGATGTGGAAATCAGCAGCGTGTTGGTTGGATGCATCACTTTGCGCAAAATTAAATACAGTTCTTCCGATTCGTGCAGTACTTTTCGATGCTCTAAAAATAAGAGATAGCGCGTAACTTAGTCATTCTAAATTAAAATTTTGGAGATCTTATTGTGGAGAAATTTGTTTAATTTCGTTTTTAAAAAACCGGTTACTGATAAAACCAACATCCAGGTACCAAAAAGTTTACTCTGTAATTATTGCCACAAAGAAATGTCACACAATTCCCACGCACAAATAAAGCACCTACAGGAAGCGAAATCCATAAATAAATTATATGTTGTTTTAAATATAGTTCTCGCTTCAAATAAAATTTTCATTATTACGTAGTATAAAATTCTGCCTCCAACTGGGAAGTGCTATAGTATTTGCAATCTTAACGTACAGTGATGCTAAACAATGGCTTTTACCATCGGATTTTTTTGCTTCCGCCACAAGAGCTTGGGCTTCGATCCCGTTCTGCAATGCTCTTTTTATGCTTTCTTTGGATATATCATCGGGCATTTCCTGACACACGGAGCAGGGATCAGAATCGAAGGTGTAAGGATCCATCAAAACATGACCTTTACAACTTGGCTTGGTGCAGCGAACTGCATTCATTTTTCTATCCAATCTATCGTCTGCACAACCTCGACAAAAACAATCAAAATAATACCGTTGTCGCAACATTTCTCGCCGTGGACGAGAAAAGTAGGTCTGGTCCAAATAGCTCAAACGAACCTGCCGATACAAGTGAATTTTATTGTTTAGTCAGTTGCAACACCAAAGCGAAACCACCTAATGAGTATAAGAAAATAGTTGCAATTAGCCACACAGGCGTCTACGCCTGGAAACGTTTAATATAAATATAATTTTTTTTTTAAATTTTAATTTTTAAACCCTGAAATTTGTATGTTGTAGGGCAAAAAGGCCAAACGGATACAGATATTCTGAAAATTATTACTTCTTCTTAATTTTATTTATCTAAAACGTAACACTGAACACAATGCGCAAAATGGCAGGCGGTGATTTTTAATTATGTGCTTGCATAAAAGCTTACATTATCAAAACAGTCCACATCTTCCGTTGCATGAATGTTTATACGAATTCCCGAAAAACTGGGGCAAGCATTTGGAAGGCAGGCATGGTCAATTGCGGATGCCGACAAGTACAATCCAACACCGAGTTTATCTCCTAAAACAAAAGCACTGCGTCTTATAATGGCTTGCCGGCATTTGCGAATACTCAGAGCACATTTTAATGTACATGTGTAAACCTCACCGTACGTCCCAAAAATAGTCATATTGTTGATTCGCACTTTGCCGTAGATTACTCCCAGGACACTTGGCTCAATGAGATCGCTATAAAGATCCTGACCTTTCCATATTTTCTGGAAATAGGAGGACATGAGATCGATGAAATCCAGTTCTTTCTGATCTTCCCGTATTTCCTTCCAATCTGAAAACCGGATGTGTCGATGTTAGGTACGCCGACAACATTTTCGTACAGGACTCTGGCACCGTACGGGACATTATATTCGGAAATGTCCGATGAGACAGCTCTGGAAATCCATCCGCCGGTCTGTCCCAGTCGGGATCGTTCTGAGTCGACACCAAGAAACGTTAATCAAAGAAAAATTGAGCAACATGGATATGTCGGTCTTTAAAAATTAGCAGTTTCTACAGAACTTATTATAGAAGTTTGATAAATGCGCTTCAATACCACGTAATGCTGCTGCTGCATAGAAAAGTGCAGCAGTTTCAGGATGCACTGGTTATTACTTACTAATGCATAATACATTACCTTCATCCGAATCATCGCCTGCAAACATAAACGAACCGTTTCCACGGTCAGCGGAATCGCGGTTTCTTCGGTTTCCAGAGCCTTTTTGAAAAATTGGCATTCATGCTTATGCACGAACTTCCAGCTGGTTTTCTGCAAGATCAGTCAATTTATGGACATGTTGCTGCAGAAATTTCGCTCTTAAGGGCGACTGCAAATTTTTCTGAAAAACCTTTGGCTGCCTTTCCGGTGGAGCGATTCCAAAATTATTTTAAAATAAAAACTAAAAAAAAACAATTTAAGAGAATAACTTTTCCATTTGCTTACTTGACAATCTTTTCCGCAGTACCAGCTAAATGCACACCCTGTACAGCGGCGCAGTCCTGGTTTCCTAATTAAAAGCGAATGCAAGAAAAATTTAGGTGAGCACGTACGTTAAAACGGCGTAAACAACATGACAAAGGGAATTCACACTCGCCATGCAGGAGGTATGTCAAACAACATGCTATGGTGCCACTGCAGAAGACACACACATGGTGCGGGAAACGCGGACGAGGATTTCCGGTTGGCAGGGAAGAGACGCTCCGGTTGATGAGTGCAGACTAACAATACCGGTAAAAATTTGGATTACAACATTTGCTAAATGCTAGAAATATTTCCGAATTCAGTATTGCCTTTCTTTCAAACAATGAACAAAATGGTACTTTTACTGCTTTCAGAAGGTGGATATCTACTAATTGATGTTACTTTGTACTAATTGAAAGGTTATAAGCGCATGAAAGGCAGAGAAAGTTTCTTATAGATATTAGACATGAAAGTAAAAATAAGAACTGAACAGGCGCAAAAGATAAAAAAATGTTTTAGCTGGAAATAGTTTTAGTGAAATCCATTTGTGCGTCCTAAATGGAAAATGCCGTTCCTTCAACTTCCTTGTTAAAGAAACGGCTTATATAATATATATACACTTCTATAGATGCAATACGCTACTCTAGTCAAGTTACTATATTATAGAGTAGATTTGCTAGCTATATGCCATATACGATACAGAACTGTTTTGTAACTGATCATACCTTTCGAAACAATGGTTGCAGATCCGTTCCCTGCACTTTTCCGACACCACGAAGATCCATGGCTTTTCGTACAAAAGTCGGTCTCCGCGTTTGTACGGTCCGTGCATTTTAGTTTCCACGCTCTGAACCGGAAACGTAAGATCCACTGCGCTATCCTCTTTATCTGGACCAGCGGAAACGGTCCGCAACACTGCCTTTCTCGCCGACATTGTGGACGTGCGATATTCCCTAATATATATACACGCAATTTTTTGGCCTCTCGGCGTTGGAATGTTTTCCCAAGGGTACTCGATCAAATTATCCTTCGCGAACGTGAAGGGTTGCGTCGTCTACGGTCTAAACAATATTTCAAGGTAACTTTAGACGGTGTGACATTTTCCAACGCTGCACGTCGTTAACTCAAAAACACCAACTCAATCGTCGATTGATCTTATACGGGAGCGTGTAAAATACTTGACAAACCATACAAACAAGTCCGCAGTCGTCGTCAGCGCGGATACTGCATCAAGATCGGCGGAAAATAGTCGGCTAAGTGTACGATTGTTGAACTGGATTGGTATTTGCCTATTTGGTTTTCCTATAATAACTGTATGTTCTGATAAACTCGTAATGTGCTAAATACTGGTGTTCATATTGCTTTGGTGTGCTATTACCAATTCAGTGGCCAACAGCCATGTAGCGAACCCCAACGACAGCACTTGAACGCGACAGGAGACGCAGTGAAACGTTTTATTTATAACTGCGCAGACTCCTTGTCAAAATCATGTTATTGAGGAATATGTATCTGTCGTCTGTGGAAATTCACTTCATCAGATGCTTGCAGTAAATGCTGTTTGTATGGAAATGCGATTTATCCAGTGCACCAGAGTGGTACTTAAATAAAATAACCGTTTGAAGAGTTGAGATTTACTCGCATTTCGCGTTAATGTGTGTGGGCATTCAAATCGCGGCTGAGGAAGAAGCCGCTGCGTGTGACCTTTAATATCTGCCCGCTGCAGTTGCACACAATAAGTACAATATGTTGCAATACATTCTTTTATTCTGTGAACCAGGCATACAGCGCATTATTATTATTTTTAAAACAACATTTCACGGATACGCAGCGCTTCGAAGGCGTCATGCAGTCAGCAAAAAGACTTTTGTGGCCATATGGATGCGGTTGTAGTACAGGGGGGTGCAATGCAATTCACCATGCATAATGCGGATAGAGTAGCACAGTTTTAGAGCAGTAACTGCAAGCATTTGAACACCCGAATCAGCTGTAATTATGTAATTAAGAACTAAGAAAGAAAAATAAACTACCTGATGTAAAATTCAGCGTTTTGCGTCACAGTGAGTCTCCTAAACAATTGGCGGGCATAACAAAACAAGGCGGGTTTCTTTTCAAACAACAAAATGTGGATGAAAACGTCCGAAGTCTCTTTTCTTCGACAAACGAGTTGATCCCAAATCCACCGGTAAGTACATCGATGCTATCCGCTGGGACAAACAAATACAAGTATAGTTAGGAACTATAATTCGCATTAAAATTGCAATCACAGCTCGAGCCCACAATATTATTGTGGCACTAAAACATGTGACGATGCATGGCTGAAAGAACTGCTAGAATGAGCGGTTTATAGGGGTAGGGTCTGTGTAACCCTATAGGGTTACACAGACATCGCCGCTAAGTCTTTACCTTCTGGAAATGGATCTTGGGTGTCGAACTCCATCAAAGCATCATTCAGTGTGAGCGCCGGCAGTTCCGCAGCAGGAATCAGTGATGGCAGTCTATCAATGACCCGACCGAAAATTTCCATTGTCAACAAGAAACCGACAACACAAGTCACATTAAAAATGACTCGAATATTTCCGCTCATTTTTCCTTTGTGTTGACCTGAACGTGGGTGAACCGTAATCGAGCTTCAAAGTACTATACAGTAGCTACTATGTAGCTATAATTTGTAAACAAGAAATTCTTCTGGTTTGGAAAAAAAATGCCGTAGATTTAAATTACACGTATGCGCACCTTGAGTATTCAGCGTTGTAATCTATTAAGCATAACAAACCGAACCGTTAAACAATCGTAGATGTCTCTGTGGATGTCCCAAATCATTTCCAGATCCGGATGTGCATACAACATTTTTTATCAATGACACTGAATGCATGAATACGACCAAGCGGATCACGCTTGTTCCGTTTCTGATTGAAGCACCGCAGACAGTCATTTAAACAAAAACCCATCAAGAACAATTGCAAAATAAATGCAGCTTACAGTATATGTCTGATGTCACTATATGAGCAGGTACGAGAATATACAAGTACAACTAGTGTCACTTGTATCACAGCAGACGGAATGCAGATAAAATATCGGCGCCGAAAACTAGAACATGCACACTGAGCGTGCCCCCAGATTCTTATTAAAGGTATTTTTGTCCCGATGTGCCGGACGAAGAAAACCGGTCCCGTAGAGCGGCCGCCCGTTTGGAAACTTCGTCTTGGTCCAGTTTAGTCACTTTGCGAATCCCAAGGTCTCTTTCACGATCGAACTCTCTTCTTCCCGTGCTTTCCACTTGTTTCTTATCTTTCTGTGCCATGCTCACCAAACTTTCGCCGCGTTTGTCCTTATTATGCTGTGTAATTTCCTGTTCCAGCTTGCGCTCCCTCTCTACGGCTTGGTGATACCGCAGCTCGTTAGTATCATCACTTTTACCGGCGGATTTTTTGTGCTTTCCATCCGGCCCTGCAGTCCACCCGGAAAAATCCGCCTCATATTCATCGGCACGACGCTTGAATGTTCTGGGACCGGTAGGCATCGTGGGTATGGAATTGCGTCCTAGTAACGCCTCTGGGAGGTCAGTCATCCTAAAATTACAAAAATATATGAGCAAACCAAGCCTATGCCATTCAAACTAAGACAGTTACTTACTGATGCAAATTACGCCGATTTCATCGTTTTCTTACTTTTTGTAACAAAATCTGCGTTTTAATGCGTTCAAGTACATCGAAAACAGACATTACTTCAGGAGAGAATTCTTTTGAAAATTAGATCAATCTTTGTAAAAGCAGAGAGAAAAAATGTTCAACGGAAAAGGAACGAAGACGGAAGGAAGGTGGTAAAAACACTTCAGCTCACCATTCCTCGCGTTGGACTTGCACCGGTTCGTTCGCTTTTCTTTTTTTCTCCGCGTGCATATGGTACCGTCGGGAAACTTCATCCGCAGCGGAGTAGTCGCCTTCCGCTGCCATAAGAGAAGCGGAGGGCCCAACAAGATCGTCATCATCTGAACCAACTAAATTATCTTCAGCTGATTTTGTACTGTCCGTGAAGAGGCCGGGAGGGAGAGTCGGTCCTATAACTTTCTTCGGCATGGCTTTTATCTCGGTAAGTCCACCTGCAGTGGAATTTATGGTCAGAGCTGTACTGGGAATTACAGGTCCGATTATTATTGGAGCGCATTTTTGAGTTTCGTCAGCGGAAGATTTGGTCTGGATGCCAGGAGGTAAAACAGGCCCGTAAACCTTCTTTTTGTCTTCTGTGTAACAAGAAAAAATCTTTAGACCTTAACTGTTGGTGACTGATATCATGCAACATACGCGGCAAAAATCCTCAGTCACTCGTCTCACAAGTCAGAAACAAGGATGCGCTAAAATACCACCATTTTTTGCCGATGCAGACTCTAAATTTCATACGCAATGTAATAACTGAGTAACATATTGTAATAAGTAGATCAACAAATCTCACCGTGTCCGCTGTGATCATCCTCATCCACAACAGGCAAATGTTCCTTCTGACGATCGCTTTCTGCATTGCTTTCATTGGAGAGATTAAAACCAGGAGGTAGCTGCGGACCATAGTTTGCCATATTCCAGAAAATGGAAATCCAGGAATACCAATTTGATAAAATTAATGGTAAGACGATAAGGCAGATAAGAATCATAAGATCATAAAAGATAACATAACAACAATAGCGCTGGTTCTGCTGCCAGGTTTCACACCTTTACCAAGACAAGTGTTATTCGACAAGTATCTAGCTATATTCCATAAGTTGGGAAATGCAATTAAGTACGTACTTAATCCCTGAAAGCCTAAACATACTTCAAAACAGGCGAACCGCAAAGGATTAAAGTTCAAAACTTCTGAACTTGCTAAAACAGTTAAATTTATGTGGGAGTAATAATGGGAGTACGAATGTGGAGACGGACAAAATAATGCCCATTTAATATAGGATTGTAGATTTCCTTCCGCTCTCGAACGGCTGTCAGGTGCTGAAAACATACAACGGTAAGTATACTGCGTACACCCGATACCGGACGTCTGGTGAATTTCAGAATTTTTTGCCTGGCACTTGTTGCTCTCCAGCAGCCGAAGTGCTCCCTAATGTCGAAAGAGTTGTTTAAAAGTCCAGTTTCTACCCAGTTGTGCCACAGAATGATGCTTTTTTCTGAAATGCTTCGGCTGTGATTGCTTGAAGTCGTCTTGGGTTACTACCTAAATCGTAATGCCTAAAGATCGGCTGGAAGAGTTGCGGGCAGTAAGTGCAGTACGCTGTCGGTATATGAGCCACTGATATGAATTATGCAGAAACAGAGGGACTTCAGGTTTTTCGCTAGTTTTTTTTTTAACTTTTACGATTATTTATATAGGCCCTCTGTGTGTTATTGTGAAAATGGTGTTCTGTTTCTGGCCAGAGCCAAAAGGTGAAATGGAATTCGCAGGCAGACGAACAAGTGTCGATATCTCGCCAAGATTCGACAGACATGTTCCTAGCGAAGGTGAGATTCGGAATTTTGAATTACTCCTACTGAATGCTTTATGTTTTTATTGGTTTTTAACACTCACACATGCACTATACGTTTTTGACTTGCGTACTGTGTACTCGTACTGTAGTTGATTTGCTGGTTGCAGTACCATACATACAGAACTCGTACAGATATTTATTTCGCTGCTTTAGTTTGTTGGCTTTCGTAGGTGGAGAACGTATCAGACAGTTTGGATTCTCTGTCCACTAAAATGGATATGTTACAGCAAATACACCAAAGAATCCTGAATGGCTTGCCTTCCGATCCCGTGGGTAAATAAGTGGTATATTTCTGACGAACGTTTGGTTTGTTGTTAAGTAGGTAGCAGAATTATAAGAATTATAATAATTATAATTATGAGCCAAACTCTACATTCGTTTCATTGTTCGGCATCCAAAATAAGTGAGTGTCTAAATAGCTAACACTCACAAAAACTGCCGCTGCATTGTTTTTTAAAGTAAATAATACATTTAGCCGGTGTCCAAAAACACTGAAAAGCTGCACTTGTACAGGCGTATTCATGATTGTATTATGTGCTACTCTAGAATTAAGTACTATGTTGACGCAGGCCTTAATTCGTTTCGAATTTTAAATATTGATAATTCTGATGCAGCGGATCACGAAGACCAAGAACACTTGCTACACGATATTATCGTGATCTCAACAAACATTCGGGCAGAACTGCGAAGTAAGTAGCATTTCATGGAGAAAATGCTGATGCTGTAAATGCATAATTTCTGACTGTAAATTGCAGCGTTGGGCGACGATGTTGCGAGAGCTGAAAATCGTCCCAACAGGAGCGCAACTACAAGGCTTCGCAGAGCCCAAGTACGGTACTTGTTGACACTTTTGTGGTGGTGTGTTCCTTTTCAGATCTCGCCCCTTTTATTTAGCATAGAGAGCTTGCACGGAGACTACTGAGCTTGACTAGTCAATATGACAGGGAACAAATTACGCACCGCGAAAGACTGAAAGAACGCATGCGCCGGCAACTAAAAATTGCCGACCTGGGTGAGAAAATTGCTGGGACGGTTTTAAGTGCCTTATGTTAGCAGATTAATCTAATCAGTATGAATTTTGTACGAATAACTGGTTGCAGCACAAGGTGAATCATTAGTCACGTTACGTAGGCAGAGTGGCAGGTCTGCGTTTTTCAAGTAATTAATCCCCTGAATTTTCCAGATTCCAGAGTAAGGACGGATGCTGAAATTGAGGAGCTGTTAGAAAATAGGAATCCCATGATATTTTCTCAACAGGTACTTGTTTAATATTATGAAATTCTCGTGAACTGGATTAAGATTAAAAATTTCTGGAACGTTTTTGCATTATGGTCGACATAAGGAACGAACCATATCGAGACGACGTCATAACATCAACAAAGGAACGTTTTTTTTACAGATTATTGCCAATTCACAACAGGCTAGAGATGCGTTAGCAGATGTTGAAGCGCGACATCAGGATATCCTGTCTTTAGAGCAGAATGTGAAAGAAATTAGGGATTTGATGTGGGAAATCACTAATCTCGTGGAGCAACAGGTAATTAAGTTGTCTTTTTGTCTTTGCAAAATGTTTTCAAGGCTCATACTTTTTACAGGGAGAAATCTGTGATCGCATTGAGTACAACATGGAGGCAGCTGGTGGGAACATGGCTTCCGGGAGACAGCAAATTGAGTCTGCCCGCGTATCTCAGAAGCGAGCCAGGCGGGTAGGTCTGATGAAATGTGCAACCACTCAGTGCTGACTATCGATAGTTTTGACCATTATCGATATCGCCTGCCTAATTGTACACCATTCATACATAATACAGAAATGAAATTCTATAAGCGTTTTTTAGTGCAAAATTATTGCGATTTTGGTTCTGGTTGGAGTGTTGGTTGGGGTGGCAATTTATCTTGCGGTGAAATTTAACGGATAAGTGTCGACTGAATGCAACGAACGTTTGGCCAGCACTGGTGTGGATTTCTCTAGCAATGGTCATCCGGCTGTGTGTGGTGCGTAGACAGATTGATTTGGAACGGTTTTAAACCCTGAATTAGTCTTTACGATTTCGGCTGGAGCTTTGAGCAATAACAGCTTGCTTGATGCTACTTTGAGTGAGTGGTTTTGTAATATCTTTGTTACTGCTTGTTCCGGATTTATGTGATTTTTTCGGTCCTGTGTGGTTTTCTTCCTTGACGTTTTTTTATTGTTGTGTCCTTGTATGTTTTGCTGGTTCGTTGCTGAATTTGTACAATGAGGTGAAAATTCGTGGTACTATATTTTTGTATAAAAACGGACTGTCATGACGCACTCACGTTTTGTTACTTCCTAAACAATAAGAGATTAGCTTTTCATAAATTACTTCAACAGGATCTTTCAACCTGACAATTTGAACAGTCTAGGCAACACCCAACTTCATTCAAATCCGTAAGACCAAACAAAGTCGTTCAAGTTTGCAAATCACACGATACCAATACACCAAGAATAGCGCTTTAGAGCTCAAAATTTAGGAAACTGATGCTACGAAAGGGATCCTGGTAATATAGGAATTTCACAATTAAAATAAATTATAGTCCAGTCACTTCTGTTATCTGTACCATGGTACTTACGTATTGTATTTCAGACTGCAACACTAGGCAAGACAAAAACATAAAATGTGGTTCTCCAAACTCACTACAAAGTCGAAAGACTTTATGCGTAACACAGTGCACAAACTATGAACTTAGAAAAAAAAAGTTTACAAAACCGGCTGGAAGAACAAAATGTAATACTCTTGCTACTTGAGCGACTCCTTGCTCTCATCAGTGTCCAGGTTTAAAACTTGCCTAATACGCTTTGCACAGAGATCAGTGGCATTCGCTGCTTCTGTACTAAGCAGTGAAAAATTTAAGAATCCGTGCGGAAGATGATTCATCACATCGAGATGCACCGATTTTTTCATATACAGCAACCTCCGAGCAAAGGCTACAGCAACAAAAACCACCTTATTTTTAATTTTATATTACTTAAACATTAATTAAACATAAATAATTTTGTTGTTGCCATTTTTTACTTTAAGTACAGATACTGCAGAAAAATTAATTCATGCAACAACTTCTAAGTCTACATAGCCCGTTGGTTGGGCGGCCACTGAGTACTAACTATACTTACTAACAGAATCATCCAACAAAGGGTCCAAATGGCACGCCTGTAACAAACGCAAAAGGTGAATCACAGATCGACGGCCGAAATAATGCTCTCTTACCATTAGATAAATAGGCGGTAAATGCTGCAAAATATGGTCTTCCGCTAATAAGGGCGAAAGAAATGGATCTTCCACTGAAACAGCGGCGAAATTAAAGCGTGGAAGTGGAGGCACTCTGTCGGTCCGCTGTATGTTGCGCTCTTCCTCAATCGGCTGAGACGATTCAGGGTCGACAGGAGTATCTTCGTTGATGATCTATAATTACTCACAGTGGTCATTAAAACTTATGTATGTCGACAGCGGTGAATGCGCAGCTTGTTAGCAAAACGTTCGCTACCTCCATAGGTTTCGCCCTGATTTTATTAAACAAAGTGGCGATGCCCTTTCCAAACCATCTGCTCGTCTTGGTGTCCGGTTTCAACTCATTTTCCGCGGTTTTAGGTATTTGCTGAATCTGATCACCCATATCCTTTTCTGCTGTGTTGTTAGGCGAACGGTCGGAATCAAGGAGGTTGGCCGTAGACGAGGACGTTGTTCTTAAATTTCCAGGAGCATCTCCAATCTCATTCTCTGCGGCTCTAAAGGGTCCGGGTGATTTAGGAAGCGCTGTGTTCGATTCAACTTTATCGTTAGCGCCCTGTACTTGGCCGACACAAGTTGGTTCAGAAATTCCGGCGTACGCTTAAATCAGATGAACTTTTGTTAATTACTCGACCTATTCCTTACAAAATACTCCAATTTGAGACAATTAGCTTGGTTACGTCAGACATTTATTTATAATAAATCACAGTCATCACAGTAATTACCAGCGAGACAGCGTGTTAAAACGCCGAGAGGAAGAATAGGATCCATCAGGGACATCAACCGACTAGGCGACGGAGTGTACTGCACCAGATAAGCACCATAAGCAGCAACGATACCGTCCGGAGGTTTCAAATTTTTCAGTGCGATTTTCAACGCCGCGCCCACAATTAAATTCGCTCCAGCTGAATCCCCGACGAAACAAACCCGCTCTCCTGTCCAACCTAAAACAATATAAATTATAGAAAGGGAAGGCATCAACACACGCTTTACACAAAAAGGTGACCCACAGCGGCTGTACAGATTTTACCTAGCTGCTTCGCATTTTTAAGCGCCCATGCGTAAGCGTAGACGACATCATCCAGTCCTTTAGGGTAAGGATATTCCGGTGCCAAAGCATAATCAATGGAGAATATAGGTATCTGCAGGTCTTTCGCCCATTTCAGCAGGTAGACTTCATGAGCTTTGCTCGACTGAGCAATAAAACCTCCACCATGGCAATGGAACAGCAAGCAAGGGGATAGTGCTTCTGGTGCGCCATTAACCTGGGAAAAAGGAACATCATTTAGACCTTGGTCCCAAACGCTCAGCACAAACAAAAAGAAGCAGGCAGCTAAAGCACATTACATTTCCTTGGGAACTGCGGAGCAGATGCGGTGCTTTACGCTTTCCCCAACCTTTTCGTCTAAGTAATCTGCGCAAGCGTTTTTTCTGCTTTTTAATCTGCATGTAACACAATCACAGCACAACATGGGTAGAGCACAGCAGCAAATGGCGCATCTTGAAATCTCCGCATGATTAAAATTTAATTAATATACCCGTCTGTCATAAGCAGTATCGCTTATTAATCGGGCATAAACAGGTCGGTCGGTAAGTGCCGGTTTGACAGGGATATCCTTGCCATCACGATCCGCAACGTAGATAAGTTCCGGTGGTATTTCGAACACTTTATTGACCGCTACTGTCGGTAGTATCCAGTTGAATCCTGACTGAAATGACACCCGCAAATTACTGGAACGCCCACTAATCGCTCGAGGCAGCTAGACAAATTGTACCTGCAGGTAACTTGCTTCGGTCAATCCCCAGAACTGTTTACAAAAGTTGATGTCCGCATTCCGGGTAGTATGGACAATTTTTCGTGCTCGAAGCCGAGGATTGATGATAAATTTCGTCGTACTGAACATGTTAGGCATTGTTGTGGCTAACTTGGCTGAGCCGGGTTTCCACTCCTCCCATGTCCGGTATGTTTCCGCACATACGGCCATTGCCAAAGCCTATGATAAAATCATAAAAATGTTAAATCTCTTATAGAGACACTCACTTCTCTCACTTTCATCAACTTTTCCAAACCGGTACTTTTTTTCGACAAAAATTTACTCGTATCCAGTTTTGGTAGACACAATTAAAAATGCTTCAAATTATAACCTGCAAAACCAAAATTAAAAATGAAGTCTATTAAAAATTCGACTCACTTTCGGTTTGGGACCGGAAGTAACACAAAAACAACACTTTACAGCAGCAACTTCAACTTGTGGGCTCCACTGGAATAAATTATTTTACAATTTTGCTCTGTTTGATCCATCGTTACTTACTATTGTTTGAAGTGTGGTATGAATGGAAGGCGCAAACTGAAAGCCAAGGGAGCGTCCATAGAATACCTCTTGATTAAGTGTTTCCACATCACGGAACCACTCCTCGATCAGTTTACTGCCGTCTTTGGGGAACATCGATCCCTTCTGATCTGATTGATCGAGAATTTTTTCTGCATACATCAACATCCTATGCAGACCACCCAATACTTTGGTATACTCTTCCAGTTCCTTCAAATACGTATTCTTCCGGAACAAAATGCTGTCCTTCTGTATTTCCACCGTTCGCGATGTGCCTACCAGGTGGCACAAGCACGCATCCGTCACAGATAGTAGGCTGCGAAATCCGTTGGCAGGAACTTGGCCGAAATCGAAACGATGTTTATGTTTGCTGAGCTTCTCGATAAGGGGTTCTAATTGATCCAGCTGTTCGTTGAGGGATGCGAAGGATTTGTAGAAACGGTTTTTCGGGCGTTCCAGTGGGCTAAGGGAATCTGCGATGCTCTCCAGATTACTCGACACACTCGTACGCAGGGAACGCAAAGCGCAGAACCACACGACGGAAGTTCGCATGATGGCATCCGCCTCCTGCTCTGGACTCAAGCGGACAAGTGGTGGAATCGTGGACGGATTTCCAGGAGCGCCCGCAGTTTTGGCAGAGTTATAATTCAATGTCATTTAAAGGACTGTAAACTGAGTAAGCGCAAACAGTAAGTATTCACGATTCGCATCCTGTATCAAAGAGCGCAAGGTAATACGGCGTAGACACGATTTTGCCTTTGCACGGCTGGGTTATTCCGCACAATTCCGAGCGGAATTTTCCAAATGGACAAACACATGTTTCATTAAAGCGATTGTTCCAGTTAATCCAGTAGCCTTAAAGGCTACAAGACTACCTGCTAAGAATAGTTAAACTACGAATTTGAAATAATATAATAAAACAATTGCCAAATAAATCAATTCGTGTTTAAGTCAAAGAAAAATTAGACAAGGTACAGACAGATCCATACCATAATTCGAAAATCGGATTACTCTGCAGCAGAATGAAGTAGTTGTTTGTTAAAACGATTATTTTGAAAACAAGATTAGAAGATATCAAGAAATCGAATGTTTAGAAATTGCAAGTTACGCAATTTGTTAGCGCTTTCAACTTTCAAGTCATGCAGCTGCCAGCTGCACATGGCTGCTGCGTGGGTCGGAAAGCTCTAAATTATTACGAAGTTTTTACTGTTTTTCTGGAATCTCGATTCAAGAATTTTTCCTTTTTGGTGTTAGTTGTCCGTGGGTATTTTTTATCAACGTTAGTATTCGAATTTTTGCAGTACATCATCATTCTCCTTTAGAGAAAACGTCAGGATCAAGAGGATGTCTGTCGACAACGCAAGAGTTCTTGTGGTTGGCGATGTGGGTAAGTCAACTAATACGTGCATTACTATTACTTTTTACAGTGAAGAACGGTGCATGTCTCTTTGGTGAGTTTTTTTATTGTATTTTACTTTCTGTTGTCTGGTTACATAGACTAGCAGATGACTGTACGTTACAGCTGTTGGAAAAACGTCACTGATCCGGTATCTGTCGCAAAGGAAAGCGGTGAACGATCCCCCACCACCAACTGTGGGATGCGAGCTGGAAGTTCTTGTAAGAATCACACTGTGTTCAGTTAGTATTTTTATTTACGGACACTGCTAGTATTTTTTTAAAGAATGCTCGTTGCACTGACCTTCTGTTATGCACCTAAGGTTACTGTTATTTCACTGACCATAGCTTATAAAATAGGAAATCACTATAGGCACCCCCTTACACCCTCGTTTATTATAGGCACCCCTTCTCGCACCCCGTAATTTATAGACACCCTTTTCGGTTTATTAAATAGAAACACCCTGTCAGTGTATTTTACAGGCACCCTTTAATAGCATATTTCGGATACAGAATTCGAAAATGATTTCATGTACTGTACGTGCGTCCGTCTCATACAGATAGTCGCATACAGACAGAATCAGGCTTTCTATCCGATGATCGGGCGGTGAGGCTGATCTGCTAACTTAGATCTAATGAGGATGGCATCGTCGGTGGTAATTTTGATGTTTCGTTTCGCAATTGTAATTTCGGATGCCGGTTTTCTGTCGGTTCTTTTCGGACACCGGGTGGCCTCCTTTGGTTCTTTTCGGACACCAAAGTTTCTCCTTACCCCCAGTCTTTGTGACAGTTTTTAAAGGCGGTGAAAAACGCGTCGATATAGTGGTTCCTTTCGTATGACATAAAGCAAAGTGCAACTGGTCGACCTTTCCCGTGGCGATCTTGCACAACAACAGCTTACAAGCAGCAGTTTTCAACATTACCGTATTTAGGTTCTGACACTACAATTACAGTATAATATGCTAAAGTTTCATAGGGGAGTTCTATAAAAACAGGGTCGAAAAATCACTGCAAGGGTGCCTTTAATGCGGGCAGTGAAAAGGGATGTTATATAAACGATTATTCCGGTACCTATATGGTGTCACCCTTTTTCTTATCGTGCCGCGCCACATGATTTGGTGAATATTCAATTGGTGTCCACATAAATTTGTAGGGATTATTCTCGTTTATGACAGTACCAGTCCCAGATCGTGTCAGCGTTTGCTGTACTGGCGCCAAGAAATTCATAAATATTCTTATGAAAAGCAAGATGTACCGGACGGAGCGTTCCCGTACGTATTTATTTGTGATCCCGTGCAGTCTGGCAGTCGCTGTCAGATATTGGAGTTATTAATTTTAATTTTAAAACGTATGAAATGTAGAGTCGGTTATATTCTGTTTGCATAGGTATTCGCGAGTCCCAGATGGTGTTGTAACAGGAGACGATCGCCGGCAGTCGACTACCCGCCGAACTTCGGTGCCCGTACTGATCGTTGGTACTAAGGCGGACCAAACGAGCACGATTACTCCAGAACATCGCGGCTGGATTGATAAAGTTCTTAATGATTACTCTGCCTCGGAAATACGTGTGGTAAAAAGTTCTCTTTGTCTGAACAATTTCGTGCGAAGAGTTACTCACACATGTCCTTCACGAAGCTTCGTTGTTTGCAAGCAAAAAAAAATAATTAGTTAATTACCGTATGTTTTAGAGCTCAAATAGACCTTCAGATTTGAGTCCCGGGACAAAGAATTTTGAAGTCTTTCGGTCATTTATGAATAAGGTAAATGTATTTATTATCTGCCCAGTTAACGAGTCGTTTGTTCGGATGGTCTTCTGACCACTGGTCAGTTTGTGCTGAAGTGTTTAATCTTATTTAAATCGCATTTTATAGGTGATTGAGACGAAATTTTATGGAAGTATTCCATCCCCGCACATATTGGTAAGCGTGGAGCTCTACTATAGTAATTGATAAATAAGTTTTTGCAATTGTGAATTTATGAGTGATTGAATGCTGATGTCAGTGCCGCCGCGGCGGCGCTGCAATGAATGAGAATTCATTTTGTGAGCAACAATTTGTTTGCTACGATACAAGTATGTACGAGTACTCAGCAAACCACGGCATTGATGGTGCACTACTGTATCGTTCAAGGAAGAACGTGTGACATTGTTGGTGTTGGTCTTGACGACTTACCGTGCACGAGGAATTACTGAATAATAAGTTGAGTTACGAGTATTCGCTTTTTTAGGAGCCAGCATTAATACCTTAAATCTTTGTTTGTCTTGGAGATTCTTAATAATTATTGTTATAGCTCGCTGCCGGCTCCTGTTCCGGGTATCATGTTTGTGTCATTCTTGTTGCAGCCTGTATCGCCTACAATGCGACCAAGAGCACGAAGTTTTAACACGAAAAACCGATCCGCGGCGATGTAATTCTTTGAGTTCAAAATACTTACGATATTATGATGTATCGTGGATGTTTGAAATTTGAATGAATGTGCCAGTTCCGGACACTTTCTGAATGCTCGTGATTGCTTGTTGATTCTCAGTGCCACTCGCACACTCTCAAGTTTTTCGTTCTGTCTTCTAGAGTAGGCTTTAAGTTGCGAATTTTGTTTTCATGCCTGCCTGTAACTGCCTGTAACATCACTAACATGCCTGTAATTCGATTCCCGGTCCCCATTCTTTAAAGCGGTTTATTATCAAAATAAAAACGGTCGGTAACAACTATTGTACTAACAAGCAGAAAATAAAAAATTACCGTTATAGATCTGTTGTGCATAATGCGTATGGATAGTTGCAGAATTGGCTACAAATGCAAAACAAAATCGATCAACGATATCTGCGTCGTGAAGAATGTGACAGGAATGCTTAAAATCTGCTTGCATAGATAGGCCGACGTTAAATAATGACAACTAAAATTAACTAATTTAAGCAGTTTTCCGCTTTGGCTGCTTATCCAGCTGCGATATGAACTGCTCCAAATACTCCTTCACAAACGGCCAAATAACATTACTTTCCGTTCCCTGGAACTCTTTGAGTACTCCCGCTTTTCTGCAAGAAAAGGAACTGCGACTGTCGCACTTGACAGGGTACGGATTACAATTATGGTTTATAATACAAAACTGATAAAATTATATAGCAGGCTTCAATAGCAATTATATCAGTAGGAGGCTTCTGGGTTCCAACAAAGCTAACACAGACACGAATCATACGATACAGACACAATAAATTCAGAAGTTATCTTTCTAACCGGTAATAATCCAGGAGCGGTTCAGTTCTCTCTTTGTATGTTTTCAACCTGGCCATAACAACTTCCGGTTCATCATCAGCGCGCCGTTCGATGGGCTCACCCGTAATATCATCTTTGCCCTACAATTATCGAAAATAAATGTCTGAAGCTTGTTAATAAAAACGGCAGCAAAAAATAATATGTTAATTACGTGTACTGAAAGGGAGACATTTACTGCTCTATACTCGTACCGAAACTTTAGGCGGATTAAACTCCAAATTGTAAGTTCGACCACTGGGTGCATGTATGAAGCGCCCCTCTAAGCGTTTGCGGATCACATCAAACGGAATGTCCAAGTTGACCACGCTGTCCACCATCCCAACTTCCTTGTGCAACTTGTCAGCTTGCGGGTATGTCCGTGGAAAGCCTTGAAAGCGGCGATATACCACCATCAGATCAGACTGCATTCATAATCCAGAAATCACAATTTGCGCTATTCTGCTTTCTTACCATCAAGCAGCCATTTATTGCCAACGTTTTTCATTTCATTTCCCATAATCCGGATCATTATATCGTCAGGAACCAGAGCACCAGATTTGATGTATTCCGCTAGCTTTTTTCCCAGTTCTGCAATTCGAAGTTGTTCACCGCAACCCAGTTTTGACAGTAGTTTCAGGTAAACAGCAAATGATGTACACACCTGATTGATTCTGTTGTTCTTTTCGGAGGATGTCACCAGAAATGATATGGTTCAGCTGAAACGTCTTGCAGATTCGCGATGCGATTGTTCCTTTACCAGATCCTGGCGCTCCTAGGATTATTACGCGGAATGTTGACAGCGACATTTTTATTAAGGGAAGAGCAGATAGCCGTTAAGCTAGCTGGATCTCATCAGCGGAAAATAAATGGGATAACTACAGAATTCCGAGGTAGCTGGTACGTCTGCTGGAATCAGTGGAATGGTGGCGACTGGCGATATTCTGGAGCGGTGTTGGCTGTTACCATTTAGTTAGCCACAAGGCCCAAAACGGCGGTGTGGCTTGTACGTCATCAAGGGGAAAACTAATGATGCATCGTAGGGCTGGCAGACTGATTTAAGTTCTTCAGCAAAAAATATATGCAACAGAAACAAACTGCTGATTGCATTTGCAACGCAATTTTTTGAACAAAAACTACCGCTTATAGCTTTATGGTAAATAACTTACGATAACCTTACATTTTTGTACTTAACACAGTTGTTATTTTGCACGCACAAAATGTACGTCTCATCCAGAGTCATCCAACCATCACTGGGGTCTTGTTTTGCCAGCCGCATTGGTCGGCGGTTTGTTAACATGGACTTGACAGTTTTTCTGACTTTGCCGTCCCGTCTTCAAACTTTCTCGCACGTGGTGTCAGCTTTTATTTTAGTCCGCAAAAGTTGGCGAACTGCTGGTAGTTTATGAGTTCAGGATCTGGGGTTTGTTCTGGTTTCAGTTTTTATTTGCAATGGATGTCTCCTCTTACGAATGAAGCCACAAGAAGGGAGAGAGGAGATATGCTGCGCGGATGGCCTGAGCACGGGGACAGTTTTGTAAGTTGCCGTCTAGATCGTGCGGCTTATCGTTTCCGCGATCCATTACTGTAGTTTCCTAGCGCTGGTCACGCGGCTGGTGGCTTGCCTTCCGCTGATCTTACTCGCAGAATCGCAGTTGATTGTAACTGAAGGAACTGCAGAATTCGTATTCGTTAAAAGAAAGATCTTGAAGGTAATTTATAATTGTTTAGGTGCACTTCAAGGACACCGCCGAAAGAAAAGCGTGTGTTCCGATGTAACTATGCGGGTTGTGATGCCGCTTTCCAAAAACCCATTCGCCTGCAATGGCATTTGAAGGTCCACAACGGAGATCGGCCATATAAATGCAGCATTCCTGGTTGTTCCAAAGCCTTTACTCGGCCTTATCATCGCACTCGTCATGAAAGCAAGTCTCATGGAGATGATCTCGAAGTTCCGGGGGAATTCGCTTGCCCTGTCTCCAGTTGTGGAAAATTTCTACATACGAAGCAGCTTTTGGCGCGCCATATTAAGCGCCTGCATGAATCTCCGGGATTTGTCTGTTCCAGATGTGACAAGTGCTTCCGACAAAAGCACCAACTACGCTCCCATGAAATGGAGCACACCGGTGACTTGCCTTTTCTGTGCACAAAGGACGGATGTGGAAAAGGTTTTCCGTCCAACAGCAAGCTTATGCGCCACATGAAATTGCACGATGGTTATATGTGCCCGGTGGAAGGATGTGGAAATTGTTTCTCGAAATGGTCACTGCTGAGGAAGCACAAAGCAGCCGAACACAGGAAACTGCATCGTTGCTCGCATTGCGGAAAGAGTTTTGGACGGAAAGCGTTTTTGGAGGAGCATCTGGAAACGCATAAGAACGAGAGATGTGCGGTGCAGTGTCCCGATTGTGAAACTGTTTTGATGTCGGAAAAATCACTGAAAGTCCATGAAAAACGGTGTCCAGCCAAGAAAGAAAAATTGATTTGTGGTTTTCCTGGATGCGGTAAAATTTATACGAGAAAAAATCATTTTGATAAACATAAGGCATTACATGATCTGGGCGAAAAGTTTAAGTTGGAAATTGTTGGTAGTAACAGTACCGGTTAAAATGTCTATACAGTGTATTCGTGACCAAGAAAGGAATTGTGATCACTTACTACTTCAATGCTCACAAGGATATTAAGTGCTTAATTTTGGTTTGTGACTTTGTATGGAAGAATTATTAATAAATAATTACAAGTACCTAGTTACAACTTTATCTCTTGCGGCAAGCGTAGCATCAGTTTGCGACAAAATTTGTCACTTTGAAAATTGCAAGCACTTGTTGAGCGATGGAAACAGCAAAAATGCGAGTAATGTATTGTCATACTTGTTGGTGCAATGCGTAAGGTACAATAATAATTTTGTGAGTAAGGATTAAGGAATAATTTTACTTCAATTTTTGACGATCAAACCAACAATGAATGATAAGTTACTTAATTAAATTTTTATAAATCCGAAAATCGACCCACATTTATAAATGTAACCGCCATACTTCGGCACACACCCTTAAGCGATTAAATGCATTGGCAGCCTCTGTACTCTGGTGGTCATTACGCCGTGGTGCGAACTTGCGATGAAATGTTTTCTTCGCATCAAACTATCAAAGTGATCAAACTTTCAAAATAAATCTGAAAATCAAACGATTCTAATCAATTTTTTTAAATTATTGCATAGTTGCAACCATGATCGTTTCATCAGTAATTAGGTGTAGTTGGAAAGGCTAGAATTATTAAGCTGCTCCGTTTTATCATGTACTGTTAATTTTACTATATTATTTTGCTCTTTGCGCTTTTCACAACATCCGCGATGAAGGAAGTGCTAATGGTAGCAGAAAAGCCAAATTTGGCTACGGCTTTGTCGAATATTCTATCCAGAGGCAACCTCCAACGAATGCATATTGATAAAAGATTGAGCAGAGGACTCCCACTTTTTGAATGGGATGGACCATGGCCGCACACCCACGAAATGGTTCGCTACAAAATGACTAGTACATACGGACATGTGAAAGAAATTGCTGTGAGTTTGACTACGAGTACTATCCATGGAGATGTTATACTTAATTGTGAATTTGTAGGTAATCTCTGCTACAGTTTAAGATTGCACACTACATTTTCTCTGCTAGTACTAAGTATTAATATTATGCTTATAATGAGTTACAAATGCTGTATTGTTCATTTTATAAAAATCGTGACATAAATCGATGATTGCACTATAGGAGTAAAAATTGTTTTCGAATTAGTTCGAGCCGGAATTCGATGACTGGCGCAAAGATCCGGATGGATTGTTTTCGTGTGGCACGTTCAAAAGAGAATGCAATCCGGAATCGCGCGTGGCCCAACAGCTGAAAACAGCGGGACGGGGCATTGACTATCTAGTATTATGGCTGGACTGTGATAAGGAAGGCGAAAACATTTGCTTCGAGGTGATGGACATTGTCAGTCCGGTAATGAAGTCTTTCCCGCACGAACAGAGAATTTTTCGTGCACGCTTCAGTGCCTTGACCGAATCCGATGTGATGGATGCGTTTTCAAATTTACGCTCGCCAAATCGCAACGAATCTCTCTCCGTGGACGCGCGGATGGAGCTTGATTTGCGGATAGGATGTGCATTTACACGATTCCAGACGAGATATTTTATCCGAAAATATGGAAAAGAGACGCTCAAAACAACGACCATTCCTTTCGGTCCGTGTCAGACACCAACCTTGGCCTTCTGCGTGAACAGGCATAACGAAATTGTTGAATTTCGAGGGGAATGTTATTACAAGATCGAAGCAAATGTAGATGTCCCAGGCAGTGGAACGTTACCATTGAAGTGGAAGAAAGGCCGGACTTTTGACCGGTGCGAAGCGGATGATATAGTGCGCAAATTGCAGTCTCGCCGTATTCTGCAGGTAATAATGGTTTTTGGCAACTTTTTTTCCGGTGTGGAATTACTATGAATTGCATTTTGCCACACGCTTTTTACAAAACTTTGTTGCACTTGTAAAAGGCAAGTACATATTTAAGCAATAATTTTTGAATTAGGTAAACATTTTTATCGGAAACTTTAAATTTCCTCTACTAACGAAGCAAATAAGTTAATCACAAAGTTTCGCCTGTCTGAAAGTATTTTCATTTATGTAGTTGCTTCGTTGGTAGAACTAATTTAAGACTTCTGGTGATAAATACGAAGCGTTCAGTGGACGCCGATGAGGCTTCACGAGTTCACATTATTTAGGGCAGTCATTCACTGTTTGGTTGCAACTAATTGCTCTTACGTTTGTATTAGGTTATGGACGTCACGGCTGAGGAGAAGCGAAAACTACGCCCTGTGGCGCTAAATACGGTGCAGTTACTGCGGATGGCGAGCTCGTATTTAAAAATTTCTCCAAGTGAAGTCATGGAGACCGCCGAGCGTTTATATATGGATGGGTTTATTAGCTACCCTCGCACCGAAACCACCCAGTACCCGGCTAGTTTTGACCGTTTGTCGTCTCTTTCGAATTTGAAGGGAAATAATGAGTTCAGCTCCACAATTGACCAGCTGATGTACGATATGCCGGACACTCGTCGCACCGGAAAAGATGTCGGCGATCATCCACCTATCATTCCGTTGAAAAGCGCCAACGGTCGACTGATGCAGAATGAAAGAAGCTATAATCTGTATCAAATGATATGCAAACACTTCTTAGCTAGTCTATCGTCGGATTGTCTTTACTTGGAAAAAACTGCAGTATTTGATGTGGACGGGGAAAAGTTTGTTCTGGATGGAATCGAGGTGTTGCGGAATGGCTTTACAGACATTCATCAACATCAGCGTATCCGAGATAAATTGATTCCCAATATCCGAACGGGTAGTAGCGTCGGTGTGAGCGCCTGTTCTGTACGGGAAGATATGACGACTCCTCCAGATTACTTGACGGAAAGTGATTTGATTCAACTTATGGAACAGCATGGCATCGGAACCGATGCATCCATTCCTGCGCATATTCAGAATATTTTTAAACGGAATTTCGTACAGTTGAATGCTGAAAGGAAAATTATTCCCACCCCTATGGGACTGGCACTGATACAGGGCTATCGGGCCCTTGATGAAGATTTGGTCAAGCCGCAAATGCGATCTACAATTGAACGAGATCTGTCATTGATTGCGCAGGGATCTGTAAAAAAGGAGGATGTTGTGAAGCACGTCATCGAAATATATCGGGCAAAATATCAGTATTTGACAAGCAATATCAACGTACTGGATGCGGAGATCGCCCTGCTTCCATTGATTGAGGAGTTTTTAAGAAAGCCGCAGAGTACTGGCAGCATGCCACCGTCCGGCTTCGTAGCGACGAAGATACCGGATCGACCGCGTCGAGAATTTCCAGTGATTAACAAACGGAAAATGCCTCTTCATGTATCACCAATTAAGAAACGGCGCCATCAGAGTCCAGAAGATGGCCGAAATGCTAATGAAGTCCCCGTTGGTAATCCTCCGGTATTACCATCGGCTACGCCCGCTGAAGGGAGCCTCACACAGCGGCTAATGGCTCTTGCGTCGGCATCTAAGCCAATTGCGCCCATTCGAGCTGATTTTCCTGAAAGACCTGATCGAACAATTCGCCCGGAAATTTGTAGTCCAGTACAACCGCCGAAAACCTTGTCAGTAGACAAAATAACGAAACCTGTGTTCGGAAAGGCATCATTCGGCCAGAACCGTTCGGAACCAGATAGAACTGGCATTTTGCCATCACCTGCGTTACTCCGTTGCCCTTTGGACCATAAATTTGATAATAAAACAGCTGTGGTTACTCGCTGCTGTGATATGGATGCTCCGACCGCTTTAGCTGCTTCCTTTGCTCCCCATCCTCAACAGAAAACCCTTTCGCCGATAGCAATGATTTCACCTCGTCGAAATGTGCCTGCGGGAAACACTGTTGAGCCAACGCAGACCATGACGCCGACAATTCTCCCCAGTGCCCAAAGTCATTCACGACATAGCGTACCGCAGTTGCCCTTGATACCTTCTAGGACGATGGTATCAGAGCCGACTCCGAACCGTGACACTATAAATCGTGACCATGAGCAAACAACTAATCCATCCGCAAATATTAGGCTACCTCCAGCCGAATTAAGCCAGATAGATGTTACAAGGTCAAAACTGGCAACCTCGGTTTCCAGCAAACCACCTCAGCTTTCTCAGGTAGGATGCCGGACAAGTAGTCGATATATTATTGCGTGTTTAGATTACTATGTCATTCTCAGGTGACACCAGTCGTTCAATGCGGCTACTCAACGGAGACCATCCCGAAAACGGTCATTGATTTCATTGTTCCCTCCACTCCTGTTGAGCCTTTGCTTGGTATTCCTGTGAGCAATGCCGAACAAGCTCCCTCCGAGCCGCTGGTGATTATCAAACAAGAACCGCAGACTGAATATCCCGGTCAGACGTCATCGGTCGCTTCGGTTCCAAGTCAGCCGCGCGATTTTTCATCAGATTCGTGTATTGCTGAGTACAGAAGTTATGGCTTCGTGAGCCACCAGTCTATTGCGATCAAAACAGAGGTAAGCGATCCGTATTGGACCGCCTCAGTTAAGCAAGAGCCCTTGGATAATAGCTGGAGCGTTCCGAACAGCAGCAGTAGCGCTGGCTTTATGAGGAATTTTGTTTCGAAAGTTCGGTCAGATATTATGGCCGAATTCGCACGGCCCGTCGCAGCCGTCCAAGGACAAAGCCATAAAGGTACATAGAAATAGAATTATCGATTGTATTTTTGTTGACATCGGCTAGCTAATTTGATTACTGGTAGCGAAAAGCTAATTTCCGCTTGGTTGTGACTAGCCCAACTTCCTGTCGGCAGAGCGTTGTTCGCAGCAGTCTCGGCAAATGTTGGTGGTGATGTTCGGCAGTCTGATCCAGAGTCTTCATCAATTTCATGTTGTGTAGAACAGTCATCTAGTTCACGCTGTTACCAGACAGTTGAGACGGACCACATCAGCGAGTCATTTCGGCAGACTACTCAGCACTGTATGGCTTCGTCTCCTTATTGTTGATGAATTTATACGACTTTTTTATGCTAAATTATTTGATTTCAGCTGCACCGCCGTTATTGAAAAACTTCAGCACTAAAGGTAAGAGTATTCGTTAATATGCTTAGATGATCCACCATTTTAGTAATTAGAGCACAAAACTACATTTTACGGTAAAATTTTCTTGCGCAGGAAAAACTCCAGTACAGGCAGTTTACGAGTATTGCCAAAAAGTCAAATTTAATCCACCCACATTTGATTGTATTGCCATAGGATCCAAATCTCCTGAGTTTTCATGCAAAGTAAGTTTCGTATTTTCTGTTGTAAATGAAATGCGTAATGAATCTCTCGTTCGATCGTGATTATTTAATTAATTTAAGGAGTTATGCCGATTAAAGGTCATGTTAAGGATCTGAATATCGATATTGACAAGCAAAATTTTGCCGTCTGAGAATCGCATCTTTTAATTCTTCTGTACCTACAAACACGTTGCGAACGCAAAGGCTATGATTTATGCGCAATCTGAAAGCCATAAATGATTTACTGTTATACGAAAAACTGTACTTTACTGGTGAGTGATTACGGGGAATTTGCAGTTATAAACAATTTTTTACTATTGATTTCCTTTGTAGTTGAACGTTAATGGATCAGAATATGGACCATTAAGCGCTGCTAACAAAAAGGATGCAATGAAAAATGTGGCAAGATATTTTTTGACAAAACTGGGTTTTGCTCTTGATTAGAGTATTCAGAGTATGTTTTGCATGGGTGAATTTTAGTCAGTGATTTTGTGACTGCATGTACTACTGTTCTAACGTTTACTCGGGGTTGTCATATTAATTTTCAGATGTCTTAGCGTTAGGACATATTCTAATATGTATCTGTTCAGCGCTACTGAGTGTAAACAAAATCGAGTAATATGTACCGATAGATATTTTGCGTCGAATTCTTGTTGCAGCGTACGTTTTGAAAACACGGGCAGACAGGGAATTCTGATAAAAGTTTTCGCTTTGTCATGTGCCAGTACTGGGTACACAGAAGGAATGCCAAAACACAGAAGGACCGTATACTCGTACCAAAATATCATAAAAAGAGTGAATTACAAAGATTATGAATACTGTAGTTTTGTCTCTCCTTTCTCGGTAATCAACGCCACAAGGCTACCATTGTTCGGGCGAGTTTTTCCTTCAGACCATTGTCGCAGTAAGTCAGCCACATAATCCAGAGAAGTCCACGTTGAGAAGTCAGCTGTCGGCATCCATTTACGGTTCATGGGAGTGTCGAGCATAACTCTGCAAACAATACCAAATGTCAAATAATCGTAACAGCCATGAATCAAACGTTACATATCTTAATCATAGTAATTTTAATCATATTAATTATATACTTCGTATTCTCAGAACGTATTCTTTGAATCAGACAGGATTTTGTCAAATGTTTTGCAAAATAGGATGTGTAGTATTCCATAAATGTGTGCATGAACCACGTTAAAGAAGCAGCATTTTGAAAGTTAACGCAATCACCGATCCTTCACCCCGGTACGTATACTTTTACTGACCGTGAAAAGCGGACGTACTGTCTCTGCTAAAATTCCGTGAGCGGAATGCAGGGATGATCAAACCTCATGCCATATGCATTACCGAACTCTGTACGACACGATTGTTCGTTTTCAGGCTTTACTCCAGAAACCGATCTTTGTAATTGTAAAATCAATAAAAAATAATTTCAGAAATTGGCCGCTAGATTTTTGTTACGTGGCCATACCGGTATAATAACGCTATTCTGGTAATTGATTTGATTTACAGCGAAAGTGGCACGCGCTGTAAGCACATGGACGAAATGAGTCAATTAAATTCTCACCCTAAAGGTGAACCAACTCTGATTCAGGATAAGAAGTTATTCGTGCGACAGACTAATTACAACACTCTTTCCGCACTGTCAACCCGTACGGCACACGGTGCAACACACTTTAGAGCTTTACCATCACGGAAAATGCCATCGATTGATGATTTGCAAAAAACAATAATAATATGATCTGAGGTGCAAAACTGAAAACAGCATGATATTACTATTGCTACCTAATAGTAATAGTGTTTGCACTGCCTTGACCTTATACGAAAAAATCCATGTAATTAAATTACTTACTATACTTAGCTTAACACCTAAGTAGTTAGCGCTGCAGAGTAATCAGTTACAGCGCCCGCTTTACTGAACTTTTACAGCTATATAAAATATCTTCGCGAACACTATAGTAGTGGGCCTAAATTAAGGGATTTGGTCCGGTACATAGCACCAAATTTGTATGCATCCACGGCAACTTTCGCTGTCGCGCACTCCCAAACACTTTTTTGCATTGCTTTATGATATTTTGTAGCCAAAGGATTCGTATACATAGGCGAAAAAACCGTTGTGCGCGCAACATCCGGTTCGGGAGATATTAGTGAGATAAAATTCCAAAAGTTTAAACGCGCGGAGGTGTACCAAAAGTCGCATTATGAACCGATGCTCTTCAAATTTTGCACGAAAACGCACATTACCGTGAAGATCGTTTTGGTACGGAACCAGCTTTCTACCATTTTTTTCAAATTTTAAATTAATTTTTAAAATTTTTGAAATTCATTTTAAAATCTGAAAAAACTGGTAGAAAGCTGGTTCGGTACCAAAACGATCTTCATAGTACATAAGTTTTCATAACTGTTGTTCATTTACCGTTTACTGTTTTCTTAAATTGTAGTGTGAGATACAGTGCATAAATTGATTTTGGTAGAAGTATTTGCTCAACTGAAATAAAAACCGGGCACTTCTTCAAAAAAAGGTATCCCGCGATGTTGCATTTGCATGACGGTTTTGGCAAGAAAAAACAAAAATAATTTATTACTATTTAAAATGCCCAATAAAATCTCTAACAGTTAAGCAAGCAGCCTTCTGTTTTCTAGCTAGCTAATTGACAGCTCACAAGTCAGTGAAACCTTACATAATCCGGAGCGCACTGATACATATTTCGCTTCTGACCTTGCCCTCAGCCAGTCTGCATCGAGACCGGAATCAGAACCAATTATTTACCTTGCGCCGGGAATATCAAGGCACGTTCCACTGATAGCAGTTAAACGAGTTGGAGTACCGCAAAATTAGGATGATAATACCACTCCGTAATTCATTTGCAAACATTAATATGATATTTTATGCTACCTTTATTGATGTACTTACGGAAGTATTGCCACGGCCGTGGAGTTTTCTGGAAGCCCGCTGCCTTTAGCACCCAGAGTTTTCACCAGCTGGTGCACGGCAGCTTTCGCTAAACCGTAGCCAACAGCACCGGGTGTTGGCTCGGTAGCAGAATTAGCGCCGGTCAGAGTCAGCAGTCCTCCAGGTTTCAAATACGCACTGGAAAGCCGGCACGCAATGACAGACGACCAAACGCTCTGCTTCAGTACCAGATCGGTATTCTTCACGAAATCTGCAAATGGATTAGAAAGAGATCCTTTTCACTTAAATGTGGAGCAGCCACCAGTCGTGAGTGGCATACCGTATACAACGTACTACCGAGTACCGAGTTACAACATCTTTTGACGTAGTACTATCACCCAAAAAAAATTGCACGTAATATCCGTAACTCAGGAAACTTTTAGGGCGAACATTATCGATCGACCTGTCAGCGTGCCAGTTCACTATGATTACATTAAGCAAAGTCAACGCCGTTTGACTTCCTCGTACCGATACACAGTGCATAGTGCGATACAATATCCCCACAGCATGGTGAAGTGATAAGAGACTCCTAATTATCAATTTTTAAAATCTCCAATCAATGTCCGAATAAAAATAGCGTGTCAACGATTGTCGTACAGCTGCAATTATAAGTAAAAGAAAATCGCAAAATTAATATCTTATTATGCTCCTAATAGAAAACTTATAACGGAAAACTGTAGGTACAAAAAACTGGAAAAACAATTTGCATTGTCGCCTACCTTTATCAGCTATGTTGCCGCCAGCCCATCCACCGGCAACGCACAGGATCCTGCACAAACAATCAAACTCGGACTACATGCCTGTCTCCAGAACAGCCGTTACTAAGAGCAAGCACAAAATGAAATGCAAATACGTACGCGTCGACCTGCCCGTCACCCACGAGGTTCTTCACCCCGGCCAGGATTTCCTGTTCCTGTTCAAGAAGGGAATCATGCTTGGTGATGGCCACATTTCCGTGGGCTTCGTCGTTGGCATGAAGGTCGACCGATCCAACCCACTGCAGTGGCAGGAAACACACGAGATAAGGAAGTAACTGAACTTCTGTACCAGCTGTAGTAATAAGATGCATACCCAACCCTGCGCTTTGAAATGCTGCACGATAGCGTTTCCGAGGGCGCCGCGTCCGCCGTAGACGATGACCTTTTTGGCGCTTTGCGTTGCCATTGGGATGCGCAGATGATGGGGCGCGTAAATAATGCCGATTAGCAAAATCAGGAGACAACAACACAACCAACGGTGATCACAGCGACAACTGCAAGTGCAAGCCAGCTTGGGAAAGTCTCGCGTTAAATTCAATCTGCTACCGTAGAATAGTGCGCATGCTACCGTAGCTGACAGCTGACTACGCTTGCGATAACACGCATACCCGCGATTGCGATTGTGAAGAGACTCACCATACATAGTGCGATATCAGACTGCTATAATCACTTTATCAAGATTCCACACACAAACCAAGCTACTGTAACCTACAGCAGATTTAATCAGGCTAATTATTATAAGCGGTGATAAGCGGTACAACCGGTGTCGCCACATACCGGTAAAATTAATAGTGTATCCATAAGTATCGTACTTTTGCACAATGCACTTGCATAATACGAGTATAATATAACGGTGATTACAATTATGATTATAATTATAATTATTACAGTCTTTGTCATGTTCCAGATGAAATGGTAAAATTCGCAAGGCGCTTTCTGTTCATGCGCCATGTGAATTCAGCAGCCGATGATTCGAAACATTTTTATGAGGAATAACAAAGATAATAACAGCACTTACTAATAATATTATATAAATGAGTATTTGTAATAAAATAATTATATGATCTGGATTACTCATGCGTTGAAATAATTACTTTCGGTATTTAAAGTATGGGAGCGGGTAAAAGGGAAGCGTCACCTTAATAATATACAATGTGGATTTTTTATTACAAAATATACTATGCCTTAATTAACTAGCAGAAACACGGATACGAACTGGAATTACGTACAAGTTCACAACTGCAGTTATAGCACTAATTTCAGGTCACTACCATTGCTATGCTTATTATAAGTCCCACAATAACCGAGCAAGTATTGTGTTTCCATTTAATTTGGTGTTTGGTACGAAATTTGACTTATTCGAAGTGTTTTGAATCAATTGGTAAAACATTTCATAACTGCATGAAAATTTGTGTTTTATTCGTTATTTAAGCTTAACAGTTAATATATACTTAGTGAATTTGTTGTGTACTAGCGCAAGTCAAAACTCGAAAATAATTAATTCATTAATTCATTCTTCTAGTGGCAACATACGAGTATTAACAACAATATTATGTGTGCCACAAAAAACATTCCCATGCTGTACTTCTAGACGGTAAATAATTTTAGTTTAAGTGCGGAATAGAATTGCAACCATAACGTTTTTAATTCGCCTAATTTCGGTATTTTGAGAAACCCAAATATATAAATATGGACATCCAGCAATGTACAGATAGCGGCTTCGGCCGGCCATATGATGTACTCTAGAATCTATTTTATTGCAGCAAGCGTGGTACGGACAATGCTACAAATATAGAGTTCAAAGTTCTATATTTGAACATCTTGTTGTGCTTATTGTGAGTAAGGAGAAATCAGAGGCTATGGTGGAAAACAATAAACATGGAGCGAGATCCATTAAGAAGCGCGGCCTCCATCGTCCCCTACTGAAAGTTGATTCTTGGAACTGAAGCGAATTAATCTATTGATGACGGATTAGGAGTGATACTTGTTCAATTATCGGCACCTTTTTCGGCTTTTCCGGTTGCTACACTTGTACTATTCAAAAGCGAACACTGCGTCAATCCGATCACTTCAGCCACTTTTAACAACATCATTAGAGATTTGTTGTTTCACTCTTGTGAAATGAGAGCGGTATCAGGCTGACTATGCCCGCCCGTTCGACACGATCCGCGATAAATCGCAAAATGATCCCGGTTAATTTCGTATCATGTTCGCGTTACAGAAACGCTACTGCGACATGAAGTATTTTCTGGTTTCGCCGTCCAACCTGCAAAACTACTCCACATGTATTAAGACGTTCCCGGTTTTATTTTTACACAGTTTTCCCATGTGGACGCTACATAAATTAATTTCTGCAAAATTTGGATGCAGAATGCCGACAGGCTGGATCTGCACCGAAATGTCGCATATTATTCGTATTTGAGCTTCCTTGTGAATTGAGTTTTGGGTGTGGTTAACGTAGCTGTACACTGCAGTGGTTTACAGCAATGCGGGATCTTATACAGCCGCGGCTAATCAGAATGTCAACACTATGAATGAAAAGCATTTCCCCGTGAATCATTCCTGTTCAACCTATTCGGGCGCTATCCCAGTCGCGTATATGGAACCAGGAAAATCATTTTTCTGATTGCGAAGCTCTGTTCATGCGTGAATGCGCAATGTCTGTATATGTACTTTATACCAATTACGTCCAACATTTTCAATACCATGTGTCGGAAAAATGAATGAAATGTCAAATTCGCGAATGTCGGCGCAACGTACCGCTGCATCACTGCAATCGCGTGGTAGCCTGAATGCTTAATATTAATCGGGTCAAGGCGCTTGGAATTATCCCTATGCTTCCCGCCAGATTCCACAGATTTTTTTTACGCGGCAAATACTGTGGCAGCGCCGCTGATGGACAATTTACAAAAATTAACCGGAATAAATGGCATTTATATATGATAATGTTATAATACTATATATATTATTGTGAATGTCAGCGCCGACCCGGAATAGCTTTAACCCGGTTTACAGTTACATTATGGATAATGACCATCGACAAACAGATGGATATTTACTGCGATCGCAGAATCTTACGCCCGCGGATTACAATACTTCCGCTGATGGCAACTGGACTTACCTTATCTTAGAGGAGGATCCCGTAGAGAAGGCTAATCGTCTGGTGCAGGTCTATGTGTTATTAAGTCTGGCTGTGCTGGGTTTTCTAGGAAATTTCCTAATTATTGTCGTACTGTGCACTAAGCGATTGCGTGAACGGCATTTTTCCAATATTAACTTTCTGATTTTGCAACTGGCGTTTTCTGATCTTTTGGTGGTGGCATTCTGCCTTTTCGCCGATGCCATTTGGAAGGCAACGTACACGTGGCTGGCGGGGGATCTTATGTGTAAATTTGTCAAATATATGCAAATGTTCTCGTTATATGCCAGCACATTTATCATTGTGACAATCTCCCTGGATCGATGTATTGCGGTTCTCTTTCCCATATCGCGTTTTGACCAGCACCGTTTGGTCAAGGTTTTTGTCAGTATTGCCTGGGGGTTTGCTGGAATATGCAGTGTACCACAGGTATCGTATTTATACACATTAAGTCCAGGCTTAAGGTCACGCAAGGGTCAATTGTTGATTGTTTGAAATCTTGAACTATACTGCTAATTGACTTTTTATTGGAAATGTTTGTGATAGTAACCACCTGCTGTTTTTTAGATTATCATTTTTAGCGTCCAGAAAGCGCCCTTTACGCTTAGTGATATTGAGGATTTTTATCAATGTGTTACGCACGGAGCCTATTCAGCGGAATGGCAGGAGCCGGCCTATGTGGTCTTCACCTTTACAATCATGTTCGCCGTGCCCCTGCTCCTCATCATCCCAAACTATATTCTTATTTGCGTGAGAATTACTCAAGAATCAAGGTTAAAAGCTGGCGGAGCCGCAGGTATTCACCCTTATAAACCGTAGATCATATATAAGTTCTACACTTCTACCTAATTTTTTATTGATTACGGCTACTGCACGCTGCATTTTTAATAAGTCAGAAATTTAGACAATTATACTAGTGCAAAACAAACTGAACCCTTATCCGGATTTATGACACTGAGTTCTGACTGCCATAACGTATACTAGTAACCGGTGCTAGATAGAACTACGTAAGACAGGTACATTTTACAAGTTTACGGTATAATAAGGGACTTTTTTGGCTAAAATGGAGTCTTCACAAAAAAAATGCAGTATTTTGCGTATTTGATATAGTGCTAAAAAACAGTTGCAGCCAGCGTGTTTCGATCAGAGAGGCTAAATTAGGTGAAATGACAATGATATCTGAGCTCTTTCAACATGACGACCTTTCTGCTGACTGTGTGATCTACATCTTGTACAGCTTTTCGCCCACTCTGTAACTTGCGCTAGTTACAGGGGGATGAGGATTGTGATTGTCTAAATTTCTGATTTTATTGATTTATTTTGCGTATTTGATAAAGTGGCGCTGCGAGCTAATTGGAACCGTACTTCCTTTCACACATTTAAATGGCCTTTCTTCCGTTTACTATGCCGCTACGTCAACTGTTTACGCTGGCGTTGACGAGTGAATGAAATCAGAATATCCTGCACGAGTGCAGATACTTTACAGATTTAAGAAAACACCGGCCTTAATTTAATAAAAAAGTATATTGCTCTGTACGGAACTGATCATTTTTGTTGAATAAGGACCGTAAGGTGGCAATATCCAATAATCAACCAAATTTAAAATTAAAGCAATAGCTAATTTCAATAACACGAGCGCTATAATTGTCGTAAGTAGACGAGGCCATCACAATAGTATTAGCCAGTGCGAAGAAAAAACATTGGAGCATTATACAATAACTTCTTCGAATTTTTACAGGTATGCCTCGTAACAGAATTAGAAAAACACTCTGCTAAACATATTTATGCAATTATATTATCAGTCGAAGTCCTAATGAACAATGCATTCATTAGAAAAATTATATGCGATACATGCGCAAAAACCTCTGGGTACAACAAACGCTAATTTTTTAAAGATCTTATTTTTAATCAAAAGATTTGGCCTATATAAGTTAGGCTAGAGTCGGATTTTCAGATTTTATGAACGTATATAATATGAAAGTAAGTACTAGTATTACTGTCTTTACAGAGGATCCCATTGATACTTACAGTGCTGGTGCATTAGTTTTTATGGTTATACAGAAGTGCTTTGCTACTGACGATTGAGATGATTGCATTAGTCCCACTTCATATTGTACAGATGTGCCGGCACCTCCAACTAATGCCAACATACGCAACGGATCAGGATCGTTTTCTGCTGGCCACAAAAGGGAGCTGCTTATGAAAAAGGCAAAAGCCAAAGCTTTGTGCATTTCGGTGATGGTGATCGTGACATTTGTTGTCTGTTGGGGTACGTAGAAAATGGCAGTACGTCTGAAGTACTGTTTCTAACAGTCAAGAAGTACGAAAAGTTAACCATAAGAACAACTGAGCTTTATTCCGAAAAAAATCAGAGTCTGCTTAAAAGTATAGACAACACCCGTATTACAGATAAGTCCTGTTGGCCGAAATAATTCATTGCGCTTTCTGTTTTACAGCTCCCTATTACGTCTGCATGATATATTACGTGATAATCAGCAAGGATCCAAGCGACTACATGTTCCAGATTATTTTCTTCTTTGGTAAGCCAGATTTGCCATCCATTCGCAGCATTGTAATAATACTGTTTTGCCGCGTAAGCCGTGTACGTACGCATAGCTACACAGTATATACTGTAGTGCGCAGAATAATGTCAGTTTCATAAAACCGGTTCAAACTTCAAATAATGTGATTTATATTGATACAATTTTTCTCATGCCTGAGCAAAGCATTAGTGGAAATCAGAATACACAAGGGGAGTTTTGAAGAAAGTAAGTAAATACTAGAATCATAAAATATAAACAATACGAGTATTAATGCAGATAAGAAGTAATCTAGTACCAGTGGGCAGTGCTGCTTAATTACTTTGAGTACATCCGTTAAAGAATTATGACAATCAGATATGTCCTTACCGGAAAACAATTCTCTGATGCAATAATTTTGCTGCCTGTAAAACAATTGCATTGCTAAATTTAGCACCCATTAAGCCGCTTGCAGATCACTATAATGAAAAAAAATCGGATTGGTTTAAGCTAGCTCCCACGTCTGCGAAATTAATTACGGTCGGCAAAGCACATTGAATTGCAGACTAGCGGGAAATATTTACGGTCAGTTTCTGGAGAGCCGAGTATTAACGATTTGATAAAAGTTGAAGAACGTCATAATTTGTATTTGTACGGATATAAATTGGGAGTCTTCCCCTGCTTTCCGGTTATATAAGCCGACAATTCCCAAGAGCACTCTGGACTAATTTGCTTCCCCATGCACCACGTGTACAAATGTCTTTTATTGGGTTACAATCAAAATGACCACATTATCTTGCTTTCCTTGCTGATCGGGCGGCGGCTGCCGAAAAAGGCCAGTTTACAACTGTACTGATGACTCTGTTTTTGTATCCTTATCTAGGCATGTCCAACTCGGTAATAAATCCCGTTATTTATGGGGCCTTTCATATGGCACAAAAATCCCAGACAGCCTGGAGGAAACATTTCGGCCGGCCGCGGGCATCATTTGCTTTGTTGGTTAACCCTGAAAATTGCTCAACGGCTCGTTTGGATCCACATTTTGTTAACCGGACCGAAGCTAGGCTTAGCAACGCCTCCATATCGCGACGGTTGTCATCAATGGACGGCTCGTCGTCTGGAGCTAGACGGCAATCGTCTTTACAGATACACCGACCAGTGATTTCAAATTCCGGTATTTCTCTTTGACTCAAAGATTACAAACCCGATTGTTATGCTATTTTTTTATTGCTAAGACTAGTAAGAAGTATTTTAATCTGCGGGAGTCGATATATGCATTTGGCTCACCCGCATTTTTTATTAGTAGAAAATTTTACGCGGCTCCATCTAGGGGCAAATGTCTGTAGTGTGACCTTTGTAAGAAATTATTGGTACGTATATGCCGCTAGCGGACTGATGAGGGTATGTTAAGTACGTAAGAATGAATTCTGTCTGACAGCTGACTAAAATATCGTCGGCCTTGGCCGATCATTCATCCATCTTTATTTTCTGCTGGAACATTAAAACAGGAGGAAACGACATTTATTAACCCGATCAGTAATCCCATTGGGGGATAGTTAGCTGAAAGACGCTCTGGATCAATTCTTGAATCCTTCAGTATCCTTCTGTCCAAACCAATCTACCGTACTTCCACACCACAGTAAAGCAGTAGTAGCGCGTGCTATTCTTTTGTTCCGCCATTAGCTATATGCCGCGACCTTTTAATGTATTCACTGAAGAGAAATTTCCGGGCAGGCATATGATTCGCAGGTGGAAATCATGTGCTTGCACAACAGATTCACATACCGATGACACCACCAAAATGCGTGCGTGAGACGGAAGTGTGCAATTTTCAGTTTTTGTTTTCAATCGTCTCACGTAAAAGGACACCGCGTACATTGAAATCAACACCACCGATTTGTTTTACTCGAAATTGGCTTCGAACGCAAGCACCGTGTTAAATTGGCGCTTTTCATGATCTGCTGTATCATGAACAAGAATCGAATGTTCACACGCAGTAAGTGAACAATGCAACCAAAAGCCAAAATAAATAAATCGGACAGATGGCGGGAATTTAAGTTCCACTGGATGTTGCGTTAATACACACCTTATCATGACACCTCTGGCACCGTTGACAGTGTTGCCAGTCGCCCTTGACACACCGTTTGCACTTGCGGCAGTGCCGCCAGACTTTGCCGTCTTTCCCGGCGCATTCACCGCATTGAGGGCAATGTCGTTCCTCGCGTGATGAAAACTTCCGGCACGGCTGACAAAACCAATAGCCTTCCTGCGCCGGCAGTTGGATAAGTTCCGGTTGGATGTTCGTGAAGATTCTAATGGGAGAGCCACGAGTGAGCGCTGATTTGTCGCGCATCTTGCCGTGATTGGCATACTCCACTTTATAGCTAATCATTCTGAGATACGGTGCTTCGCGACTGATGTGTTTTTCCATGTAGTATGGAAAGATCCACAATAAGGAACACTGGCCACCGATGTCCGCAAAGATACACTGCAAGCTGTTGGCCAGCACTTGCACGATGCCAGCAAAGGGTGGATCCATGACGATAATGACATCATCGGGCTCCTTTTCTCTAATGAAATTCAAGTAGGCTCGCCGGTCGGCCGGTTCGAAAAAATAATGATTGAACATATTGTAGTGAGCGAAAGATTTCCGTGGAAAGAAGGTACTGAAGCGAGCATCAATGTCAAGTAGGAAACTGCATAATCCACTTGTGCTCGTTGATGATGCCAGTATTTCTTCGTGCAATCGAGGGCATCCTACGCAAATCACATTCTTTGCCTACAAAAAAAGCCATCCTGTCAAAATAAATGTTATGAACTCGTTAAACGAAAGTACGAAAATATTATGCGGACGACTGTACAATTGCACATTCGGATGCTAAACTGCAGTACCTATTAATGTGCGCATTACCGGTAATGGGGCTACCAGTACACTGGTAGTGAACACAAAAACCGGGTTGCCGAAAAGGATATTGACAAAGCTACGTGGAAAACAGAATTGCGCAATTTCGTCCCTGGAGAATAGTGAGTGGACGCACAAAAACGAAACACCGTGTAAACCTCGACAGCAACAAAATACAATCCTACGTCAAAAGGTAAGGGTACAGAAAAGCCGCAGCCCATTAAAAGCAACCGCGATCGCATCAGAAAATACAATACATATTACACCGTACACAGTACTACATACAGATACTTTATCGTTCCAGAACCATTATTATAGCACCTAAATCGAATTAACAACAACCAATACGCCCATTAAAAACATTATCTAGTTCGGTCAAAAAATCGGAAACATAACAAACAAGGTCAACTCTTTTATTAACGATTAATTAAGAAACAAAATCAATACTTCGCAAGCAAGCACCGCTGCGTACCTGGAGATGGTTAACTCGATTAAATAAATGGTACGCGGCGTATGCCCAGGCAGCCCAGCTGAGTCCCGACCAATCTTATACAGTAATCTGTTTAAGGCACACAGCAGTTACAATCAATTTATAAAAATTTGGTACAAAACTCGTTACAAACTTTTTCGTTCATTGTACCAGGCTTACAACTTATCAAATTAAATAAAATATACAACCAGGACTTTTGACAGTAAGCTTCCACCCCAACATTACAGCGACTAACGGAAGTAATAAAATACCTTTGGCAAATTAATCACGTTAGTGGCCGTATTAAATACAACACTATAATACGAGCTTTAGCATTTATTAATATTTACATTAAATATGTTAGAGCTACTTGAATTACCGCTAACAACAAAGTTTTTGTCTCATGGCCTAACAACAAGTCTAATACAGAAAACAAAAGGATCGAATTTTTTAGACTCGCATTTCTTACAAATGTATAAAATGTATAAGTAAACGGACTTTCTTCTGTTTTACCTTCTGCGACTGCAGGAAATGGATGAAGAATTCTTTCGTCCTTTCACTGAAGAAGTACTGTGCTTCGGCAGGGTTATCTTCCATTGCTGGCAAGAACCTAGTGGGAAATCTTGTATCCACTTTTTCCAGGTGATGTGGATGACCCGCAGTCCGCTCGAAAGGGACGAGTTTCTGACAATGACCGCACCAGTCCTTCGGCAAAAGGCTAGCATCATATTCGAACTTCGATGCAGCTCCCGATTTTTTCTGGCTTTTCCGGGATGGAGCGCCGAGATCACCGTCCACTCTATCCGCTTCAGTCCTCTCCGTGATCTCCTGCACTTTACGCTTACCAGTTTTTTGTACACCCGGAGAACATTCCAGGTGGAATTTGCATCGTTTCTTGTCCCGAAACGCTGCACAAGAGTAAAATGATTTCTGTAAACCTGTTTTCTGTAGAGTTCGATGGAAAAGCAGGGTCGGTCCATGTGGACACCGAGGGTTTTCAGCGAGATGGGTCTTCAGATTGTCAGCATCCACCCGGAGGCTTTGCTCGCTAGATTTCCCATTGGTAAAGTGAGCTTTCGTCTTTTGCCCCATTAAACTGCTCTTGTCAAAATCAAGTTTCTGGAAAATACAGTCTAATAAGAAAAAGGCAAAATTAATGCTCACTCCTGGCCGGAGACCTGTGATTGCTGAACTTGACAGTTTGCGCTATAAGCACCAAACACCAGCTGGCTGCGAGTCTGCTCCATGTTTTCTACATGTAACTGTCTCCCGCGACATTATGCTCTTGCAACAGTACGAACTTTAAACGGGAGGCGGAAGCGTGGAAAAACGTTTTCTAACGAGGGGACTCTTAACCAACAGGAGATCTGAAAGGTACGGTGAAAAAATAATACGCAAGTTACAAGTAGAGTTAGTAGACTGTAAACACGGATGACGGGCCATAACAAACTGAAGGTCTTTCCCAACTTTATGTTTTTGTACGGCCTGGAAAACTGAGAACTTTACATCTGTTTTCGAAAGAAAGGTACGGCCAAATGTACATGTTAAGTTGTTAACATTGTATGGTTGAGCTCTGTTGCTGATTGGATCGGTTGAATTGCATTTCTTTCATCCGAAGTCAAGAACTTGGCTGCTCCTACGGACATGACAGCCCTTGGTTTATCCTTAGGCTTGACGAATATTCCCCTCGATAATCCTGCGTAACGGAAAATTTGCAATTTCTTTCAGTGAATGATCCCTGTCATGGCAGCGGTTGGCAATATTCGTTTGGCGTCCCGATTCCTGCGGATGCAGTTCGTGGCTCGAAACAGCGCACGACTCAGCTCCTGTGCACGTGTTCTCCCTGTCCCAATTATTCGGATTCCCTCACACTTGGGACAGTCGACGGGCTCTCGCTTTTTAGACAGTGCGAAGACGTTTGGCATTGCAACGATCCGCTTAGCTTCATCACGGCCGAAGCTATCGGAAGAGGATGTGCGGGCACGCGTGATGGTTGTCTGCAAGGGCTTCGACAAGATTAACGCGGACAAGTTAAATCTTGAGACCCATTTCATGAATGATCTCGGGCTGGATAGTCTGGATCATGTCGAATTAATTATGGCTATTGAGGATGAATTCGGTTTCGAAATTACCGATTTAGATGCAGAGAAACTGGTGCGACCTGCGGATATTGTCAAATATGTTACTGTCAGATATAACGAGATTGAATAGCAAAATAAGGTAAGATTTGTTAACTCGCACTCTAATTATTTTATTTATTGTACCTGGGCTGTGTTGTACGCAGCGGAAACTGCATAAATTCCCTTGGCATTTATGTCTTAATATCGCTTAGGAGAAGCTAAGGATAGCTCATTTGACGTCGGGAATTTTTGACTGGAATTCTCGAGACCACAAGGGAACGCCCAGTGTGCTTGCAGTGTCAGCGGCATTGCTGACATTCTACTGTGGATCGTGGTCGTGTTTTCTTTGTATCCTGCTACAGTTTTTTCTTTATTTCGAGCTTTGGTTGCCTGCAGTTGGTATTTGTGATGTTAGAGCACCGACTGTTCACGTTTTGCCGACATGGAAACCGGTAGTACGTAATAAAATGAAAACCAAAATTAATGTCACATTGTCGCTCCAGTTGTTCACTTTATTAAACGATCTGGTTTGCACTACTGATAGCCCTGGTACGCACAGGACTCGTGGTCTCATATTCGAATTTATCTGTACAACAAAAGACGCTATCTGCGAAGAGTAGCTATTATGTACAAATTAGTAAGGTATCAAAAATAAATACCGTACCGTACATCAACATGCGGCGGAACACCCTTCAGAGTTACTGCTAACAGTAAGTTCGTAGTATTACACCGCAGCCGCAAACTTTTTCTAAAACTTAGTTAACTCAGAAAACACTGCGGACATGAAACATCCATGTGGTTTTCTAATCGTAAATCAAAATTCACGTATCCACATACGTTAGTCTACTTGCACCACAAGAAGAAAAACACTCCGTATTACGGAACCGGCGTCAGCAGTAGAGGTGCATCCATCTGCATTGAACCGACTACTTGTTCACTTTTTGGCTGCGATGATAATTTTCCATGCATGTGCCAAATTTTCTAACATCTTCCTGGCATTTTCTCCAGTCCTGGTGCTCCGCCATGCATTCCTGGACGGCATAATGAAGCTGCAGACATCCGGTTTTCTCGATTGCTTTGGTTACAGGATCCTCTTCTTCCGTTTCTGTACTTTTCCGCTCTTGTTCTGCCATCATAGATATGCTTTGCTTTCCGATTGTCTAAATAGCAGAAAATCCCGTAAGAAATATCTTGACCAGGAATTTCTAGAGGAAGCTCGTTTGAAAAACAGAATCGCACGCCGTACAATGCGCTCTTTCGCATCAGTACAATGGTGCTCCTGTACAGCGTCTGCCCCACGGCGGCAAGCGGCGTGGGGCGTCGTGGTCCAGTCTCTTGCATGTTCTACTGATTCGCCACTGACAAAAACTGCTAGCTCATAATTTTGGTTTCTGATCCGACTGATCTTCACAACTTTCCCATTTTTTTACTGAAAATTTATTTTAAGTTCTGATCCGACTAGAAACAGATATACAACGGTAACTGCGCCGTCTCCTTCGTTATTCCTGTGGAATTTTCAGTTTTGGATTAGAAACGGAAGAGGAGAACAACAGTAAGAAGTGTGACTCTTGTGTTAGACCAGGACCCAGGTTTACAGACTGCAGCAGAGTGAGCAGACACGATGCTCGTATCTTACCGTAATGGCGTAATTTTAAATTATTTACCTTTTGATTTTTGTTTATTGTTTACTTTATAGTTCGTATATTCGTACTATAAAGTTACAATAAATCTTAAGTGACACTCAGTTACTTCAAGTAAGTTCAAATTCCTTGGACCATGAAATGCATAATGTGAAGCTTTTATTCAGCTTTTGGATTCGTTTTGAACTTTTCACTTTTGAGTCGTTTTCTTCCATTCCGCTGATTGCAGATAACGATGGCATCCGCGAAGACCCTATCAGTGGAACCGGAGCGTCGTGGCTTCAACTTCGAACTACACGCCCGCAATCAGCAGCTGGTGAAAGAAGGGGTGAAACCCCCGAAAATGATGAAGACTGGAACGACCACAGCCGCCGTGGTCTTCAAAGACGGAGTCGTGCTGGGCGCCGATACACGCGCCACTGGCGGCAACATGGTGATGAACAAGAACTGCGCCAAGATCCACTTTCTGGCCCGCAATATGTACTGTTTGGGAGCGGGGACGGCGGCCGACACCGAGTACGTTACCAGACTGATGGCTGGCAAGTTGGAAATGCTGTCCATGTCAACACGTCGCGTGGCGCCAGTCAAGGCAGCCGTTCGTATGCTGAAGCAGATGCTGTTTAGGTATGTTCGCGCCGCGAACTTCGCGGCATAAATCAAGTTCAGCTACCATGTTAAAAAATCAAGTCACAAAAAGGACTTTTGAGTTTTGAAGCAGCTTGATTTATAGTATATTGCTTTAGATTTTTTCCCACTTTTTCTTCGATGGGCGCGTTTTCTTTTCGTTTTTTTTGCGAGAACATTTTAAGAATTCTTGTCCGGGATTCAAGCGTCGTGCTTGTGGAAGTTAAATTATTATGTTTTACATAGCATGTGTTTTTTTAGATATCAAGGACACATCCAGGCAGCATTGATTGTCGGCGGAGTGGACACATTGGGTCCACACATTATCAGCATTGCTCCGCATGGTTCCAGTGACAATGCGCCCTATCTGGCTATGGGATCGGGCTCCATTGCTGCCATGTCAGTGCTGGAAACCTATTTCCGCCCGGATATGACCAGAGACGAAGCGGTTAAGCTGATCCGGGATGCCATCAACGCCGGAGTGACCAATGATCTGTTCTCGGGATCGAATATCGACATTTGTGTGATCACGAAGGATAAATCCGAGGTCGTTCGTCCGTATGAGCAGAACCAGCCGGATATTTTGAAGAAAGAAAATTCCTATGTTTTCCAGCGTGGAAAGACAACAGTTCTTAGTCAAACTGTGAAAAAGATCGATTACCAGGTGGTAAGCCAAGAAACCAGGAAAATCACGGAAGAACCAATGGAAACATCTTAAGTAGTTGAAGGGTAATGAAATCACTATTCCCTGTGTTAATTTCTTGTTTTGCGCTTACCGATTTTTTATAACTAAAACAATCGAAATTATTGAAGAGAGTTTCATGTTACCCAATGTTCATTAAATCTCGACTAGTTTATTTCCGACTGCGGTAGCACTTTATTTTGTCCACTCATTTTCCATACATTTGGATATATGAGATAACACAGAGCTTTTCTTTGATAGTTCTAACGGATAGGCATGTAAAGGACAAATCGAGCGTCAGTTTGATGTAATTTACAAATGCATACATTTCAGTAAATTCACAGTTAGATTCTGGCATCGGGAGATTTATTCTTAGCACTGTAAAAGAAGCCATTTTATTAAATCAGATGTGTAGTGACATCTGCACACATGATGCTGTTTGCGACATGGAGATCGGAATTTCATCGTATAGTGAACCTCGACGTCGCAGTTCGTTTTTGGCCGCATTCGGTTTCAGTTTGAGATCCCGCACGACAAGAGCCGCTTCACTCCATTGCGCTAAAAGAGATTATACCTTGCAGTCCATTATTCAGTTAACACGCTCATTGACGAATTAGAACATGAAGTGAGTTTTACAAGCACCGTACCGATTTCTTGTACGTGACCCTGCAGTAAATGCAGAACGTAATTCCGTTCATCGGATGTTGCCAGAGTTAAAACATATGATCCAGATTGATTGGCTAGCTGGAGACTCACGGAATCGTCTAATTTCTTGAAGGATGTTTCCTGTGTCAAAAAAGTTTAACATTACTGCATGCAGAAAAGCAAATTGCAAGTGCTTTTCCGCACGCAAAGATTTGGATATTTGACCGATCGCGACTGTAGGCTATAGCGGTGCATTTTCCTATTTATTTTTGTACGTGGACATCAAAACGGATGACGATGTAACTATAAAATCTTAAAACATAAAAAGTATAAGCAGCGAATAAAAAACAATTTGTATGAGCAATGAGCAATTTTAAACAGTAAGTACTCGTATCATAGTTACAATATCTACAAAATTAACTCTTCACTTTTTTCTTGGGAGTGTGTTAGAGCTCTTTACTGAAAATAATAAGCTTCTTCGCGTCTGTGACGGTCTGTCCATTCTTATAGATAATCATGTCAATTCAGTAATAATTATAAGTTGTCAAAAAAGCACGATGAAGAAGAATGCCGTATTATCTTCATACCTTGTCAATCCGAATGGCCATTTCCATCAGGCGCCGATCTCGGTCAGCATTGTAGCAGTACAAATATGCATTGATGAGTGTACAGAAATATTGGGCATTGGTCGTACTTTTACGGTTAAGCTTTAAGCCGGTGTCAAGTTCACGGATGTTGACTTTGCCAATCTGTATCTCTTTGGTGGCGCAATACGGTTGCACAGCGCTCCTGCAGGCGAAGGAACCAAACAGCGGAATGTTGAACGCAGCCGCAGACTTCCGGTCCATTCCTTAACAAAACAGCGAAACATCAAAATTAAAACCTAACGGTTTGCGTCTTCACTGGGTCTGAGTCACTGTTATGCTTTTTAAATATTTTATAATCAAAATTATCAATTACAGAAGGTCCTAAACTTTAAACGTACGTATTGATTGTGTATTATAATTCAGTTGGTCCAGATCTAGCGTTTTCGGTTACTACTTTTTGCATTACAAGTTATACAATCACCTAAACTACTTTGTATATAAAACGCGTAACCTTATGTTGTGCTTTTGCAACATCTTCGGCTTCATTCATTGAAAAATTTGATTATTACGTCAATAATAATAAACAGCGCAGTTTTCGAAGAAAATCTGACAATAAGTTTGATATGCAAACGTGCGAGCATATGGTGACACAAGCGTAAAAAAACAACGTTCAACAAATAAATTGTCATAGATCACCATGGTTTTTCCTTCCAAAAATGCGTTCTGCTGTTTGCATTATTACCAAACTGTTAACCACAACACCGATTTCTTTCTTAATAGAAAAAGCTATAACATCTGATCTCATGTTTTTGAGGACGCGAAGAAAACATTGCAAGATGCTACAGTTACAAATGTTACCTCAGCGGTCACAAATGCACTAATTCATATAATAATGAGCTGAATTGATCACTAAATGTCAGACTATACAGTGCAGGTCAAGTAAAACAAGTTGGCCATTGAACAAACCTTTTTGCTGCATTCTGCTGGTCAAAATATGTGACCGGCCTTCCTCACAGGAAACCAGTTCATCAATCGGCAGCTGGCAGTCAGCAATCTTGGTAAAGTTAGGTAAACTGCTGATTGGTAACTGGTGTTGTTGTTTGTACTCGGCGGCATGTAAATCAGCATGAATGCTCGAGGAGTGCTTGAATTAAAAAAAACAACTATTGCGCCATTTCTTCGACTTATTTGAGCATTCCAGTTACAAATTTGCACATTGTTATCAGGCTGAGGTGATCGTTTAACCAGTAACGTAACGACTGCAACAGCATCAGTACTTGTTGCTAATAATATTAATGTTAAGAATGTTGCAGAAATTAACAATTCACAATCATTAATTATCTACAAGTAGTCGCCCATTTACGATCCATACCTCATATATTAATTCCCAGCACACAAATGAACTATTATTTAATGTACTGTACATGTACATGTTTCATGATCACTGGTTTGTATAAGTTTAATATTTATGCAGCGTGCACTATAAGGCACGCGTTCTTGTCTATTTATATGCGCTGTGCGACATAAATAATTTTGACTGCTGAATACATTGAAACTTCAATTAATTTAACTTTAATTTATGTAAACCTTTTTTTAAGTATTAATTCAGCCTAAAATTTTCGGTCAATTTAGGCATGTTTGTGCACAAACAAAACCTGAGATGCTTAAAAAAGCTCCCTGGAGTTTTATCGGCAGACCGTCTTTCCTTTACTTAACACAGTGATTATAATTCGAAATTAAAATTAGTAGTACCGGACTCCGTCGTAGCGCAGGATTTGTGAGGCATCGGCGACCAAAAGCGCGGGTCAGCGATCGGCTCAGTTTGCGTGACAGTTTTCGTACGGGGGAATAGTTTTTATTTGCGCCGCTTGAACAAGCATAACTGAATACTTCCATGTAAAGAGTGGTGCTTGGAGTGATATTTGAACTAAAAACGACAGAGTTAAGAAAATGTGTTAGTAGTGATAATAATGTTTCACACCGTCACAGGCAACCGTGGGAATCGAATACGCATCGCAGGGCAAGAATTACGCAGTTACTTATCGCTAAGCGGAAGTAAAAGTTCTGACCTTCATAACGCCGTTGCATAATTAATTACTCACAATTCCAGGAATTCGTTAAATACCACGTCCGCCATACTTGAGTCCACCATCACTTTCTGTGTGCTCTGCATGTCATTCTCCGTGTAAAAAATGCAAAATACGACATATTTTTTTCCGTTGTTGGCCAGTGGTGTTTGTTCAAGTGTGCGCGTCTTGAAATATTGGCGCTCGTTCCACACGAATGGTATGCGAATTTCTAACATACAGAGTAGTATGAAGTTAAGGAATTAATTTGAAGTGTTACACAGTCTAACATACTCGTATATAACGTTCTTAGTAATATCGCTGACAGAACGTTTAGAATTTATCACGTAAGAAATTCAGTAAACATTGATTTTGTTTCAGGGGTGGTGCAGCACTTTTACCAAAATATAATTAAAGCAATCTACTAAAATGCTATTTTTATCAAACGAAATTTTTTTAAATCGTATTTTGAGAAATGCAAAACAAAATAGTGTAGGTTGCAGAGCAAACTAAGTAGCTGATTTCGCGACTGTACAGTAACTAACTGATTCGAAATATTTAAAAAAACCTCTTAACACCAAACATTTTTTTTAAATATTTCGAATCACGTACGTATCCTTACAATTAGCTAATCACGACAAGCAAACAATAGTACTTGTACACTCATCACAACCATTGAATGGTTGACGCTCTGGATGCAAATGCAAACATGAACGCGCGGGAAATTACTGTAACTGATCTGCACGTATAAACGCCTCTCCTAAAATCGTACTTATTAAAAATATGACAATGCCGAAAAAGGTAACCGTTTATAAGGAAAACCAATAATGAATTCGGAGCTAATCGTGCCCGTGCGTGCTAGCTTGCCCGCTGCGATTATCCAAAATATCGTACTCAAGAGTCATGACTGAACTAACGTAAATTTAATACGAGTACTCACGTACAGGAATTGCATACTTATTTTTAAACTAAAGAAACACTTCATTTTTAGTTACTGCAAAATATCTGTCTGTAAAAACAGAAACCGTAACGCTGTTGCAACAAATTTGTAGGAGCCATACAGCACAACTGTTGACCGGAACAAGCTTTTACCGTTTATGTGCCGGCACTACTAACTGCAATACCCAAGGTGCCGCATTGGTTCGATTGGACTTTTTCAGTAACGGATATCGTGATAATTAGCACGCAACCTTATGGTTAGAATGACGTAAGTAGCTGCTATATGCATGCTTTAGGAAGCTTATGAATTTTTGCTGTGGATCTCATTTTGTCACATCGAAATTCGATATAAATAGATCCGAAAAAAATAAATTTGAAATAAATAAGCTGATCCGTTATAAAAACCAAACAGATTTTGTGTACCACTTCATTATACGCCGTAGATTTGTAGTTAATGTTAATTAAGTAATTACAGTTGTACAGCCAATGCGATGTTCGCTGTCTTGAGTTAATCTTCATAACCGACCGTAATTATCGCACCGATAATCGCAATGCCAACAATTGTGTTGTGGTTACGTTTACCACCTATTTTAGTCATTCAGAAGGGTATACAAGTTCAAAAGAACGGTGCATACCATACCACAGAGTTTTTTTCCACAGTTTCAAAGTGAAATAAAAGTAGCCTGATTCCGTAAACATAATTCTTTCGAACTCTGTATTTCACAAATGTCGTATGATGGTATATTCTATCGGAGCAAGTTGTTACAGTACCGTTTGCCAATAAGAAATTATATTAGTTGAATCAATTTCGATTGTGAGCAACTCACCGGTAATTAATAGTCGACCGCGTGGTGGTCTTTGTGGAGCAAGTCGAGTCTTTTGTCTGTCGAAAAAACTTTTCGGCTGAACAACCAATGACGTAAAAAACAGCAAGCCGTTTTTAAAAGTACTTAAATGAAAGAAATGGTTCGTATATATCACCAAATTTACCGAAACATTCCTTCGGAAAAGGAACCGGTAGTGGGAGCATCCATTGTTGCGCACAGATTTTGGTTCACTCAGATAATCATTTATGCAGGAAAACTTCATCAAGCGGCAAACATAAAACAGATACTGTCGATTAAGACATTCAATCCGCCGGCAATGTTATATAGACTCAAGCAGCATCAACTGCTTCGCAAAAATTAAAGATGCTCTCGAGTTTTCTATTGGCTGTGTAGCGCACGACATATGACAGGATCTGTTAACGATTTAAGTTGAAAATTGACCCGCTGAGTTTGTTGGCAAAGTGGTATCGAGACGGTACAAACACTGTGCAAACTTTGGAAGTGATGAAGATAGAGAACGGATTACGGTCACTATTGTAACTTTTATTAATACGAATTACTCTCACTGAATGCCGCGAACACCGGACCATATAGTGCGGGGGAAATTGTCGCACATAAATATGTTTTTCTTCAAAAGAGAAATTGTACCTACTCCTCCTATCAGAGCAATATTTCGGCTTTACAAGAGGAAATCGTAAAACGTCGTCCGGCCAATGCGTAAATGGTGCAGTTAGGCGATGTTTACCGTTGCTTTGATGCTTCGGTGCAGCCACGCCTGCGTCGAAATGATTCCGCCGGCCGAGCACGCTTCTGTGCGCATATTAATGCGCAACCATGAAACCGATTATTTTGAGAAAATAGGCGATATGTAATTAGTTACTATCTGTCAACAACTGATTGAGGCTACGTAACATATAATTTAATGTTAACGCTATAAGATGCAGAAAAGATAGAAGTATGGTACTTGTGCAAAACATTGTTAACATGATTAACATGTTGTAAGGTTTGCAAATGCTGTCCATCTACTGTTCTACGCAATATAAAGCTTTGATTCGGGCAACCAGTAAATCGTAAAAACAAAAACTGCTGTAATTATTTTGTTTTGTGTTAATTCTTCACGTCTTATTGAAACAGCTACACTTAAAAGATGGCAGTCCGGTCGAAAAGCTAAAAAAAAGTTGTTGCAAATTAAGGGCGCTTGATTCCTTGGCTGAAAAAATTACCGTACGAAATTACCGAAGCAATTATATATGCATCTTTCGCTGAAAAAAACGCCATAAATATAATTAACGGAACAGGTGTACGTTCTAGAATTTCCAATACTTCTACGCATTACAGTATTAAAAACAGTAACAGTATTACAACACTAATATTGAAACAGTTAAGTTACTATATCATGCGGATGGAATAAACTGTATAATATGGAAATTTGTGCTCGATTTTCACAATCAGCTCGAAATGCAGCTTAATATAAGACGACGTTGTGACGTTGTCCTTTGTCAGTCTTGCAGCGGGTCTCCATTATTCCGGTGGATAGTAAGGATATTCGGTGGAATGCTGATAGTAAGGATATTCGCGAAACAGAAGTCAAACCTAATGTAAGAATATTTTCTTTTTTTTATATGTAAGTACTTTAGTCCTATAACGTTTTCCACTACATTTAACAAAATATAAATACTTCCTTTTTTTCCGGTGCAACGTTAATATTAATTGTGCTGCTGTATCTGTAACGCTGTAATACAAGGCTGGTTAGATACAAGCACGGTGGTTTTTTTTACTTTTTCGGGTTTGTGAAAATTACAAAAAACAACAGATTTCGGTCACAGTTTAAATCTTTCGAGTGTCTTGTGATTTCTGGCGTACGGTAGTCTGGTACTGGCCTAATGAGCAAGAATGCAGATGGCCATTATCAATCTTTGAAGTTTAAAGTTTATGACTTGCGTGTGTGCCGAAGATATGCACTCGTACTACAAGGGGTGGCAATTACGATTATCACAGGATTACATCAGCGCTCAACATCACCCATGGGCCATGTCGCGTTGGATGAGTTTGAATTTTCGGATAACATCATAACGTCACAACGATAACTCTATTTTGTCAGTTTAATACTGGATACTTTCGGTTTCTTCGCAGGTTTTCAAATGCTGTAGATTGTTTTCTGCTTAAGTAGGTAAAGCCATCCTTGGAGGCAGTTTGGAACTTCGCACAGAATGGCAGCGGCTGTTCGCCGCGTGGTGGCTGGATGCTGTTGATCAACCTTGTCCTTGCCGTCTGTGCCTGTTGGCGGAGCCTACGGCGGTATTATTCACCCGTAGTCGGTAATCGCCCATCAGATTGTGATCGGTCTGGACTTTGACGATCACTTTTGATGGTCTGACGTTTGCTTATCCAATCAAACGGGAAACATTTTTCGTGTGATTTTCGGAAGCCATACATCGGCCTTGCAAAACAACCTTTGTTCGCAGGCTTCGAACTGGTGACTCTGGTGAGGCCTCCATTGGAGGCCTACATTCGGGTTTTTTGGTTCACCGATGAAGTGGAACGGCGTTTCGATTTCGAACACCATACCATTCAAGATTTTCTCTGCTGACTACCTCACATCTTGTGCGCATGACGGAGAAGGAATTTGTTTTTGCGTTTTTTCAGCGTATTATTTCCTGAAAGATTTGGAAGATCAAGCGACTTCATCATGTTGTCGACGATTTTCTATAATCAAGCCCTGTTTTGTACCTCCCATCCATGGGAAGTGATTGGAGTGATCCTGACGCTGACGGTGTCCATGATATCCGTGGCATTGAGTGGAGATGCTCAGCAGTCGAAAATCTGTGGCTGGAACTACGTCTGTTCCTTGGAAAATGTGAGCACGACCAGTTAATAGAACTCCAGAACTGAGTAATTTGTGCTGGTGTTTACTGTTCACGCATTATACCGCTCCCTTTCAGGATGTTCTCAGCTCCGATGTCATAATCCTTTCCATCGCGCGCTGTCTGGCTGCGGCGTACATTTACCTCCAGTTTCGCAAGCTCGACGCGTTAGGCTGCAAATATCTTTTGGGTGGGTGGAAATTAGTTTAATTATTGATAAATGAAAACGTCTAATTGAAGCACAATAAAAAAAGGATGTTGTAATTACAAAAAAACTAGATAAAAATTGGCAGGATTGCTTAGAAAATTGGTCGTTTGTGATTTGCTAATTGTAAGCAAAATTTTCATTCTGGTTGTCCGGTTTTTGGGATTGTGCAAATTTATGTTGCAGGCTTGGCTGGTTTGTTGTCGGTATTTTTTTCCATGTCATTCAGCGCCGCTTTCATACACCTTTTGGGATACGAATTGCAAGGATTAGCGGATTCCTTGCCGTTCTTCCTGCTGTTGTTGGATCTGAGTAAAGTAACCGCGCTGGCCAAATACTCGTTGGCAAACTCATCTCAAGATACGGAAATTAAGGAGACAGTAGCTAAAGGAATCGCTATTCTTGGACCAGCGATGACACTGGATATTGTTGTGGAAGTTTTGTTAATCGCCATCGGGTGCCTTTCCGGAATTCCCATGCTGGAAGTGATCTGCTGTTTTGGCTGTGTATCTTTGTTGGTGCATTATGTCGTATTCATGACGTTCTTCCCGGGAGTACTGTGCCTTATCTTGGAGGTAAGTTGGAAAGTTTTGAAGTTATTTAGCGAAATTCAGTCTATCAAAGTTGTGCAGCTCCTGTTGTAATGTTAATCATTTTTTTGCATGAATCAAATGTTGTGCGTTCGTAATTGATCTTCCCATGTAGAAGAATAATTTTAAATGCTAGTTGTAAATGCCGAAACTATTATTTACTGAACTATAGTATTTGTTCTTGTTCAATTTTCAGTTGCTTATCCCACTGCTTTCCTTCTTGTAGTTAAATCAGCTCCGTAGTCTACCCTTGGCATTAAAGGCTAAAAAAGTAGACATTGACACTCCGGTTAATCCCATCGCTCAAAGGGTGAAACTGGTGATGTCGGCGGGTTTGGTCCTCGTTCACGTTTACAGCCGGATTGTGGATACTCCAGCGGTATCTAACGTATCGAGTCTGTTCCAGGAAAACCGTCGTGTTGTGCCTGTTCTGCCTTTGTGGCAGTTTTATTTGAAAGAGTAAGTTGTGAACATTATGAATACGTAGCTTGGTGGTTAATAGAATTGATCGCAAATCTGTAATTAAGGACGGAATATACAACACGAACCTCAAATCAGTCAAATGTAATTGCAATTCCGTGTGTTAGATTTTGATTGTTTTCAGGTTTTTTGAAGTTACGCCGCAGAAGTTGATCACTTTTGTTTGCGTATTGGTGATTTGCCTGAAATACATATTTTATGATTCCGTGAAGAAGACAGAGAAGGTGCCTACTCCGAGCAGTTCTGGTTCCGAGAGTACCAGTCCTATAAAAATGAATGGGAGCGTTAGTTTCCTTGCCGCTCCCGGCCTTCTCGAAACGCGATGCACTAGACGATTCACTGTCGGAAACGGTGATGATGACGAATCGCTGGAAATGGATCTTCCTCCTAGAACGTTTGACAAACAAATACAAACCGATAAGGATATGGAAAATGATGCCATGAAAAGGCCAAACGCACTCGTTCCCCCTGCTTCTCTGAACCTTATATTCCCCAGAAAGGTACTGCTCATTTGTTGTGCCAGAACTACATATTGTTCATCTTTTTCTTAAATTTAGTTGAAAATTGTACTACAGAGTATTGAGTTTTGATATTTCAGGGAGGGATCGAAGAGTTGACCGACGAGGAAATTCTTCTGTTAATTAAATCCAAAAAATTACAACAGTATAGACTTGAAGATGAGTTTCGTGATCTCGAGCGTGCTGTTCATATTCGACGGTCTCTGATTTTACAAGATCTGGTCAATAAAACATCATTGGAGGAATTGCCTTTTCGGAGTTACGACTATTCACTCGTAAGTGACAGAGCAGGTTGCTTCAGTATGCCGGCTGCCGCAGTCTGTGTTTTTCCCATAATTCAACAATTAGGCTGCTTGATTTTTACGGGAAAAACTCAGAGAGTAGGTTCGGATGAATGTTGCCGATTGCAATCCCCGCGTTTGGTGGGAATCAGTTCGTAAAATTTTGCTAATTTTGCCTTCCACGAATATATTGGCGATCAACAGTTGGACTGCTTGTCCTATGCTGGGTTTATGTGCCCTGAAATATGAGTAAGGAAACCGCGAAGTCTAGCGGAGGCTAGCTTCATGCCCGTGAGGGCGTACAATTTTTCAAAGGGTATAGGACTCAGTTTGGCAAGGCGTCTACTTTGCGTCTTGTTAGATTGGGAACTGCCCTGCCAAATCAGAAAAGTTCAGAACTGTAAAAGCGTAGCGTTCTGTCTATGCACAAGTTTAAATTACATGCTTCTGGATACGTTTTAAAGTTAAGTATGTTGTGTTCCCATGTCGTGCGGTCAAATCCGGCAATTATTAGAGTGCACTATTTTTTGTGGTGTAACTGTGTGAGTACCTTCACTGTTTTAAGAGAGTGTAGAAGATTTGGAGGATGACATATTTTGTTTATTTGACTTTCTCAGCCTTTTTGGAAATTTGTGAAGTTGAAAGTTATTCGTTTACTTTGTCGGAGTAAGAATTTGTATGACCTCTGCTTGCAGGTAAAAGGTACGTGCTGTGAAAATGTGATCGGATATGTTCCCGTGCCGATTGGTGTTGCTGGACCATTGTTGCTGGATGGCGAGTCCCATTGGGTAGGTTAAACCTGATTCGATTTGATGAACCGGCGATCCCTACTTGAATTTGAAAATTTTTAAAGTTTTAAATGACTTCAGGTCCCGTTGTCAACTACTGAAGGTTGTCTGGTAGCTTCGGCTAACCGCGGCTGCCGAGCCATTACCATGTCGGGTGGTGCTCGAACGCGATTAACTCGAGACGGAATGACCAGAGCACCGATTGTGGAATTTTCCAACATCGACGAAATGGATGAAGGTGCCATTCTGTTTTTTCCATTCTTTTCACTTTCGTTTACGTACCCTTCTTTTTAGCTAAAACGTGGGTAGTAGGAGAAGGATTCGCAGCCCTGAAGAAAGCTTTCGATACAACTTCCAGTTTCGCCCGATTGAAAAGTATTTTTCCATCTGTTGTGGGAGACGAACTACATCTGCGTTTCGAAGCTAAAACAGGGGACGCCATGGGCATGAATATGGTGTGCAAAGGCACGGAAAAAGCATTGCGTGAGCTTCAGGAAAAGTTTCCAAAGATGCGGATAATATCGTTAAGTGGCAATTTTTGTACGGATAAGAAGCCTTCCGCTGTTAATTGGATTTTGGGGCGAGGGAAATCAGTTGTGTGCGAGGCTATCATCACGGAAGATGTACTAAAAAATGTCCTGAAAACATCCCTGAGTGCGCTTATTGAACTGAATAACAAAAAGAATTTGGAGGGCTCTGCTTTGGCAGGGAGCATCGGCGGATGCAACGCTCACGCTGCAAATATTGTGGCTGCAGTCTTTTTGGCCACTGGGCAGGATATTGCGCAAGTTGTCGAGAGTTCGGCTTGTCTGACAAAACTGAAACCCGACCGTGACAATCCAGTGAATCTAAAAATCTCCTGCACAATGCCGTGCGTTGAAGTTGGTACGGTGGGCGGTGGCACGAACCTGCCAGCCCAGATGGCATGTCTAAAGGTAAACTTTGTTAATTGTCCGCTCTCAATTTCGATAATCAATAATCATGTAAATATGTGTAGATGTTGAATGTGCAAGGGCCCTCGTCAGTGGTACCTGGAGCCAACGCACAAAAGCTGGCGCGTGTGGTATGTGGTGCTGTGTTAGCGGCGGAATTATCTCTGCTGTCTGCATTAACATCCGGTGATTTAGTGAAGAGCCATATGAAACACAACAGGTACGTTTTGAACAGTTTTCTGTGGAATCATGAAATGCATTCTGTAGTCTTCATCAAAGTTAATCCCCGTTTAGATCTAAATTGAACGTGTCTCGTCCAACTCCTGTCGGGTCGCCATTGCATCATCCAGTCGCTTCCTCCCCGGAGGTGCTGTGCCTACCCGGGCATTTACTGTCCCCCTGTCAGGTCGAAATTGCTTCGAAAGAGTGATAAGCAGTTGCGATTCCTGGTGAGCTGCATAAAGATTCTCTGTTGTAAATGCATTTAATTTACTAAATTAAATTGGTGTGAATTTTTAAATGCTGTCGGTGTTTGCTCAATGGATTGTTTTGCTTTTGGATTGTTGTATTGTTTGCCCTTTTATTTTTTAAGTGTCCGCTGTATGAGTGTGTTTCCGGTTAGCTTCCCACTCTCATGTGACATAGGTAGAGTTGTGATAGTTTTAGAGCTGTCGATAGCGTATACAAGTAATTTGTCTCAAATTGAGAACGTTTGTTGTTGTTTGTGTTTTGGTGTTATGGAATACATATTAAAATTTATGTACGTAACGAAAGGATATTACGGAAACAGTGCTTTCAAGATTCCACAATTAGTTGGCAAGTTATTGCTTGACATTTCGACGGGCCGGTGACTATGTTCTTTTCTTCTTGAGTCTGCGAAGTTGCGAACGATAGGACTCTGAAGTCTGAAGTATAAACTTCAGAAATATTTTGGTAAATAGTGGCATCCGCTAGCTGGAATACAAATTTGTAACCCATGGAGTTTAAAAGCTCTGTTTACTTACTTTTAATCCGACATTTTTTCAACATCGGTACACCACAATAATCCACATTTCTGTTTCAACTTCCAAGCTGCTGCAGCCTACAATTAGAAGTTGGAACAGGAAAAGACTTTGCGAGTAATGATCATGCACATCAGCAAAGCATAGGGTAACCGTAGGCGGTAGGATTTAACCCGTACCCACCGCCTGGGGTGGCGTTTATAAAGACGAACTTTCCGATGATTTCTCTGTTTGTTGGCTCATGTATTTTGGCCAGTGGCTTAAATTAATACTCGGCGTAGCGGATAAACTTGCCCGTATAGAATTCGCGTAAGCTTTTATGTCCGTTGAATTTTCCAACGCTACAAATACCCTGGTACGGTCTACGAGTAAGTAGTAAAATTAATTTTGTCGTGTGAACTTGGATGTTTTTGCAATCACTTGAAACCTTGAAATCTCACGAAGTCATAACTTTGATTATTCAGTTATTAAACTTTATTTTGAACCATATTTCATTAGCAAAAACTGTATAATATCGTTTTGTGATGAACTGTGAGCATAATAAGGATTTGAGTCTTACGTCAAAATGAGTGAGCGGATCTCGGGATCGACTGACGACTTGAACGAGCAAAATGAAAATCTGAGGTTAGTTACGATTACTGTAATAGTTCCTGCTCGCCCATACTTTACCAAGTTCGCAAACAGTATCAGTCGTATCTGTCGACCGTATCTGTTGTCCAATATTTATCGATGGAAAAATACCAGATACTTGCGTGCATGGTAAAGTTTGAAAAATTTGCAGCCGAGGGCTGAAGAGGGGAGAGTTCGAGACTCCAGAATGCTGACTTGGTAGAGAACTTGTTTTGATTGGTAGCAAAAAATTTTGAAATTAGTCACCCTGATTAGTATAATTAATAAATAATGAGCCCGTGGACACTGTGGAAATAATTGTCACTGTGGACATTATGGGCATGCAGTGTTGTCGGAATTGCATGCATAAAAGTTATAAAACGTATTTATAAATAAGTACGAGTAAATAATAACTAAATATCACTATAATTATTTAAATAATTTACAGTAATTTACTTACATGAAAATCCACATGTGACTGTTGTGCGGAAGCGGATGGAATGTCGTTGACTCTGGATTTTCCCTTTGTTTTATAGAGATATGTTCCGTTTGAACACTGAGGAAGAGAACATTATTACAAAGATCGAAGAGTGCTGGGATGGAATTGGCTTATCGGAAGACGATCTTCGCAGTCGTTTCGACATGTTCCGGAAGGCGTTTCATACGTCGACTTTGTCGGTGCTCAGCTATGGACTTCAAGCTCAACAGGAGTACCACACGGCTTTGCAGAATTCCATCGACAATTCAAAAAATGAACTGATTAATCTGGAACATCGTTTAGGAGTTACAAGCGATCGGAACGACGAGGTAGTGATGATGTTAGGAATTTCTGAACGGGTGCAACATTGGCGCGAACTGTTTACACGTTTTTGATTTCATTTTTGTACATGTTAAACTGCTGGGTTGTACCAGCATGGCCGAAAAAATTATGAACTGTTATACGTAGTCATGTTTCGCTGAAAAGATGGCTGCTTTCTACATGTTGTAGTTGTACTGTTGCAGAAAACGGGAGAAATGAAACTGTTCGAGTTGGAGAAGTACTATCGCGAAGAGCGTCTTCAGCCTTTGCTTACGTTGAAGGAAAACCGCCGAAAAATGCTGGAAAGACTGCTGGTATGTTACCGTAATGTTATTGGTGATGGTCTATTTCGCAGTTGTTTTTTATTTTTTACTGCAGGGATTTTTTTACTTTTAGTACGGTTACTTCTCATGCTTTGGATTAGGGAAGCGTGCAAGCTAAAACTTATTCTTAAGAAAAGAGCTGGTACGCCACAGTATACTGTTGTGAACATCCAATTTTTTCGCATAACTAAAGAAGCTGATGCGGTTAAAGCCCCACGTAAGAAAACTTATTTTGATGCTGGTTTCTCTATTCTGTTCTCTACTTCTCATGAGATATGAGTCTTGGAACAGGTCGTTGAATAGTCTGTGCGGAAATGTACTGGATGATGGACTGCGCATATGCGCGGACATCCCTATTTTAATAGCCTGATTACCCTGATATGCTTTTAGCAGAGAATCAAAGTGTAAAAGATAGCTTACTGATTTACTGTTCCCGCGGAGTTATATTGGTATTATTCGTAAAATTCTTTTATTTTCTTGTTTCCAGGACGAAAATCACAGTTATGTTACTTCATTGGGCGTGGAAAGTTTTCACATTCCAGATCCTACTTTACGGTACCGTTTGGATGTTCTTGACCGACTGGCGGCGGTCAACGACTCCCATTTAACCGTTTCGGTAAGAATCTGTTTTTGGGGGATTTCTTGCTTTGGTAATTCAGTAAGTACGGTCATGTTTTGGTGCAGAATGACCGTAAGAGTATCATGGCCGCTAGACGAGCACGTATAACGACAATTGCAAAGGATTTGAAATTGGACATATCGCATGTGGACTTCAGCGACATTACTGGACACAATATGGCCCTTACGGAATCCTTGGAAAAAGAGGTGCGACATAAAATTTGAATAGCAAACTCAGCCCAAATCTGCACATGTGAGAAAATTATCGTCGTACATACAATCTTTGTACATTAACTTGCATTTTTCGCACCAGATGGTAGAGAAAAAGCAAGCTGCTGAAGAGCTTGGACAGTCGCTGTTGGACCGCATCATATATTTGTCAAAGCGTATGGAGGTCCAGTCTGATGTTTCTGTACAAAGTCCAGATATTATCCACCGCTTATTCGACCCCGATCTTGTGGGAAAGGTAACAGGCAGTACAAATTACGTATATAAACGTAAAATAACTTGAATTTTATTGTCAATAAATTTGAATATCATGGATAGGTGTTAATTGGAAAGTGTTCTTCAGTTTTAATTTATCACTCATGGTCAGGTTTCCTACAATTTTTTGCGTAGCCGCAACGGTTTTCCTGTTTTAATGAAATACTGTACTTGTAATATGCACTTAAATCAGCTAAGAAAACATTAAGTAGTACTTTGCTCGTAGCTGCGAAATGAAGTGCTACGAATGGAGCGCGAAGTTGCTGCGCAGATGGAGAATATGATCGGAAAACATCGCGAACGGATCAAACAGTTGTGGGAAGTAATGCATATTCCTGCGGAAGAGCGAGATTTTCCGGCTTTATTTTCCGGTACCTCTTTGATTCTGTATTTTGCTTTATTGTGGTTAGAATCTCAGCAATTTAGTGTGTGGTATTAGTGGAATTCTCGGAAGATACGCTTCGCGTTCACGAGGAAATGCGGAAGCAACTGGAAGACTTTTTCGACGATCATCGACAGATTTTTGACTTGATAGAGGAAAGAAAAGAACTGACGATGAATAAAGTTCAGCTTGAGGTAAACTGAAATACGCAGAAATGGTTATTATCTACTTTGGTAATTGAGATACCGTTTTGCATATAATGGCTCGATTTCACTGAGTTTTCCTCCACACCCACTTGGGTTCACCTTTGGCCTCTTTGATGATCGTAAGAATGTGTATCACCCTTTCCTCAGTGGCTTCGTTAATTTATAGGAGCGGGAAAGAGATCCTGTCGTAATGCAGAACCGTGGTGGCATTCTGCTGAAAACGCAAGCCGAAAAGAAGAAAGTGCTTAAGCAGTTGGAAAAGGTAAATAACTGGAAATATGCATCCTTCTGTAATTTTCGGTTGTAATAGCATAATTGGCCAACAGTATCTGTTTTGCATCTTTTTATACAAAGTATTTGTGTTTCGTTGAAAACGGTATGTGCTTACGAATGCTTATTCGTGTTTGAGTAGAACGTGGCGGAGCTCCGCGCTGCTATAAAGAAGAAAGAAGATTCTACTAAGAAGTCGTTTCTGATCGGTACCATGACGTTGGACGAGTTTTTGGCCAAAGAAAAAGTTGTTGTTGCTGCGGAAAAGGTGGCTCGTATGAACAGTGCCAGTGCAGCCAAACGGAAGGAAGGAAAGGGCACGCCATTGTCCAAGCGGTTGAAAACTGAAGTAAGATTTCTGACTGTTCCCATTATTTGAAACAATAATATATCATCGATTGTGTCTAACATGTTTGTTTGCCGGATGTGCCTGGTAGAACGAGAACCTTAACCGTTCGGTGAGTTCTTACACTGCAAAATGTGCATATAAAAAGCACCAGTTCTGAAAAGCACCAACTCTGTTTGAAGTACCAGTTCCTGATTTGTGATATTTTTATTATGCAGAACCGTGGATGTGACAGCGTAAAGCGCGAATTGACCTTTGGTAGCTCATCTGGTAAAATATTTTCACCGAAACGCAAGGTAATAAAGGGATTAACTGAATGCTCTCTGTACGATGCGAAAGGATATTAGGGTTAACTTTTTATTTACAGTTTTAGGCTACATTGATGAGGCAGATCGCATCATCGTTTTTCCTGTGACGGGAGATACGGGTGGTTTACCGTGGTTTAAATATTGCACCTTTTGCCTTATTATCGTTTGAAAGAGAATCTCGGTTTCTAGCATTCTTTGTTGTTTTTAAATCGTTGATGTACTTCTCCTTAAGTGTATGTATATGAGAGAAACTTGATCTTGTTCAACGATGAAATTTTTCGATGTTTACAATCTATAGGCTTTTAAGCATTATGAAGAAAGTGAAAATGTATAATTATGGTATGTGAAATGCGTTTTAAACCGATGCAGTGGATGTATGGCCAAAGAACTGCAATTAAAGTTTTTAAATTTTATTTTAAGCAGTTCCCAGGAGGTACAACTCTGGATGTTCGTATTGTATTGTTATAAATATAATTACCGCTTTTCGGCGAAAATGGAAAATGAGAATTCTTTACAGCTGAGCTTTTAAGTTTTTACGATTTTTATGTGGTTAATTACTTTGTATTACTCGTAAGTCGTAAGTACACTTTTACGGCAACGTTGATGCCTGACATCGCATGAATTCGCCTCGTTCTTGTGCGAGTATATCAGTCAAAGTAGTAAACGTTGACAAAATTATGCCGCGATTTCTCGAAGATGAGTTTACTTTACTCTGTTAAAGTATGTACAATAATAGTAAAATTTACTATTATTGTACATACTCGTACTTTAACAGAGTAACAATAGTTAGTAAGTACTGTAGTTTTTTGTGTAATTTTAAAATACTAAAACTTGCAGCACCTGACTGCTGGCTTTGCTTTTACTGCCTTTTTACCTTTACACTGGCTGGCTAGCTAGCGACTACAGAGTGCAAAGACTGCACTTCAGACATGTCTGCAGTCACTTGCTGGCAAGTTGGCAACTTGCTGCTATAAAACTAATGCAGCAATTAAAAGAGCTCTTATTACTGTGTAGTGTGTACGTTTCTCCAGATAGTTAAACTGATATTTTCTGCCTCACAGTTTCTTCGACCTAAGCGGAGTTTATTGATTGCAGGATTAGACATATTCACAGATTTTGCAGCACTTTCCAGGCATGATTATCGATGTGGAAGTGGATTAAATCCGCGCTAGGATATGTGAGCGCGCACAGTTCGCGTATTTCGGAGGCGCCACTTCGTCGGACATCGGATCCATTCGCTCCTTTGAATTCTTCCCGAAGTGGACCAACGATGAATCCACCGACGACACATTCAGCAGCGACGGTGCCTGTTGTGGTTGGCGCAGATTCGCAGGATGCAGTGTACGCGAGTCCTTCCTCGACCAGCCAGTACGAGGTTGTTCACTTGGGTCCGCCTCCACAGGCAGGTACTGTTACATGCACGACAATGCTTACCGCATTTAGCACTGCATATCACCACCGAGCCTGCTAATTATCGGTCGTTAAGGTGGAGCCGGATAAGAAAATAAAGCCGAAGAAAGGAGCGCGGAAGGTGCAGCTGAAACCCGGACATTCCTTGGCGCACTGGGTCGAGCGAATGAAATCGGGGGAGGATATGACGGGAGGTGCTGGCAATTCACAGACGCGTCTGATTACCCCGGAAGAAATGGCGAGGCATCGTACTGCGGGTGATGCATGGATGGCCATCAGAGGAAAAGTATTTTTTTTTGTTTCACCTTGTTTCTGTCACTCGAGTTTCGTCCTCCTGTGTTTTTTTAAATTTTCTGCTATTTTATCAGTATTACACTAGTAGTTTATGGGAATAATTTTAAACAGTGGGTAATTTGGTTTTAAAATTGTCTGTATGTTTTATTTCGCCAGATTTTATTTTTAAATCCTTTCCACTGTATTGATTTTTACGATTATTACTTACACCAAAATGTTTTGGTTTTTCCATGGAATGCCATTTCTGTGCATAAATGACTTGCCTACGATCTTTCGATAAATAGGTAAATACCTAAATTATCTTTTAGGATTAACCGTAGTTACAGAACGAAAATTGAAATTTATATTCCACGCTGCTGCATCTTTTTTGTACTGACATGCAATGTGCACAGTTGACATCGTTAACCTACTCGTAGCAGTTATTGATTGATCATTGATATCGTTTTCGAAGATGCAGATAGGTAGCTTAATGATAATCTTTGTTGTTTTTGTACTGCGTGGACAGCGGATTAAAGGCCTAAATTGATGAACGACAGTATTGGTTGTTGTAGGTGTACAATATCACGAAATATCTGGATTATCATCCTGGTGGGATCGATATCCTGATGGATGAAGCCGGCAAAGAAGCGACGAAGCTATTTGATGAAAATCATCGCTGGGTGAACATTGAACGGCTATTGGGACCGTGTCAAGTTGGTGTTTTAAAAACGTTGTCCCTAGCGATATAGTGTTTTCTGGCTTTCCTTCCTTGAGGATTTTTTAGCTCGGTGACTGACATTGACAAAAGTTTCATGATTGTATTCCCAAAACGTGGCACAAAATTATGGGTTTGAACTGATTTGATATCAATTTCTGAGCGGTTGCTACCAAAAGGTGCAATGATAACTTCCAGCTGAAGTTAAAAATAAACTTCATTTGCTCGAGAACTTGATAAAAGAGTGTGCTTACTGCATTTTGCTGTTTTGTGGTTCTATTACAGCCCTGCTACGCCAAGTTCGGACAGTAACAAATATTTCTCATATACGACCATTAATATCTAAACTTCTTATTTATTTTTTTTATGATAGATTACAATCAACAGCAACTTTTTAAATTATGTTTCTATGCAAGAAGCTACCATGCCGGGACTGGGAGCAAAAGTTTTACTTGGACTTTTTTCAAAAAAAACGCACTGCTTACGAGAAAATCACCATGTTCAATCGATAATAGTTTAAAAATTCTGGAAAATTGAACTTTCCAGGTGGTATTGCGATTTACTAACGGTCCATTTCTAACATCTGTTTAAGCACTAACATCTTCCCAAAAGCGATCAACGCACTAGGCAACCACTGTCTTCGGTAGGTACCTTTTAACATACAAGTATATGGGTGACAGATCTTCCTTCGAGCTCACCTGGCGCACCGATCACGTAGGGCTCTTTTGTTAGCCCGTGCTAGAGACCTTGTCGGTCACTGAAAAGGTTTCGATAATGTTCGCACAAAACTACTGACTGGGGATTTTACGAGAGCTGGCGATATAAGCAGCCCAGTAATGACCCGTACCCCAACCCCTTAATTTGCCCCTGTTTCCTCACTGACAGATCGGAAGATTCCGAATTTGATATTGCCAGATTTACAATAAAAAGTTACACTAGAAAAGTTGAAAAAGCGACACAAGACGGGAAATCGGATATTTTATAATTTATTTTCAAAAGTGTCCGAACTTGGCGTAGCAGGGCTGTATAATGTTTCCGGTTTTGCACTTCACTTTTATTATCCTCCATTAGAAACGCAGTAGTGAAGGTGGCACGTTACCTGATTTTATGTTTAATGCCGCTTTGGTACTTGTTGCAGCCGATAAGCTTATGAGCCGCTGATGAGCTACTTATTCTTAATAAAATATGAAGTAAGGTTCTGACTGAAAGGAACCCAGAAGGATTTCCTGATTGCTCACTTGGACGGAACGGCGCGATCCCGCTAAGATAATGACGCCCGTCAGGACAAGTTCGCCGGGTAAAAGCACCTCGCTATAATGTGCACCCTGGGAGTAGCCTACATAATTGCCTCTCCCTATTTTGTGGTCAGCTGTCGATGGGGTCTCCTGGGTAATCTGCTCAACTAGTCCACTAGGTAAATGAAATTATCCGTGCCACATTACGCTGCTTAAGCCCCGAATAAATGACGGACTATTGTGAGGCGGACATTCGGGGATTACTTGGCTTTTTGTGGGATGCACCCAATAGAGTATAATAGCGAAACTGGGGAAGGAGGCTGGTTGCACTCTGAGTCTGGCATCACAGCCTTCTCAGCAAAAAGTATAAACAAGAGTTTTCTTTTTCTCAAGAATCCAGTGGTGGAGTGTTCCTGCACGGAGAGTATCACTTGAACCGCACCGCGCACGCAATAAAACATTCATGCAAAGGGAATTCGAGTGAATATGATACTTATTCATCTGTGAATCCTTGTGCTGTATACATCAACTGCATTTATGATCAAATAAATAAATTCAGCTGAATTTTAAACGGCAATAATTTGTATTTGACTTGGAATTTAATGACCTTTAATTCAGTTTGCATGGTGCAAATTGAATTAGAGTACAGTTAAGGATATAAATATGGATCATCAGTTTGGTCGCAACATCCGTCGCGGAAGAGTCCTTAGATAAAGCGTGTCGGTGATCGGATTACTTACTGCGGTGTATAGTTTAGTTGTAACCTAATTCCGTCAATCATTAGAAAAATATGTGGCAAAATTAATAATTATTATTGAAGTTTCCGTTCAATCTGAACGTGCAGATTTTCTGCCTTCAGAAGTTTATTCGCGCCATTGTAATTTAAATTTTATTACCTCGTAAACCGCATGGAATGGCTATTTTTGTTATCATTACTTTTAATAGATGGAGCAGCCGCAAAACTGCATTAAAGAAATGTTGTGTTTGATACCTCGTAGCGTACATTACGCAGCACATATTACAGCACTTTTTGCCGTGATTATAATGGTGTTGGTAATCCGATATGTACAGCATATCAACTGCTGCGCGGAATTAGCGCAACAATTCCAAAGGCGGAATGCTCCACATATAATTTGCCTGATTGATAACACGGAGCTTAAATATTAAGCAGGTGAATTAATTTGCCACTCGCCCAACTGGCAATTTTCAAATCGAAATGGGTGTTTGATAGAGTATTGAATACAGTAGTGATATCTGCCGTCTCCCTGCTGATGCCGGCTGTTAGCCGGATCGATACCGTGTGGGATAGTGTGGCAACTACTTTACAGTGTAATTGCACCTCAAAGAGCCAGCAGTTGGCTGTGGATGTATTCATTCGCTGGGGTCCTTTTCGACGGAGCCAATTTTGACATGATGAAAAGCGACGCGCTTGAGTCCCCATGAATGCTACTTTGCGTCCTTATCTCTATCGCATTACGAAATGAAAGTCCCGTTAACGCCGGTTTGGTATATTCTTGCCGTATGACGATTATTATACGTACACGTATACTGCACCAGAAACAGGTCGATATTATGCGCAGGAAACTGTGAAAACGCTGTATCCTCAACGGGACGAACTTACAAGCGGAAATTGATGCTATTCAGGGTGAAGAATTAATAAAGACGTCCCAAACGGGTCAGTCTATTTGCTCTGCACTGCGTCCATGGATAAATGCTGCATCCTGCAACACTGGTGCTCGGCCAACGTGTGGTGCGCTCCCAAACTCCAATGCGAAGTGTTCACTTGATCATCGTTTTTACACTTTTAAGTATGTATACAAGATCCTGCACGGTGCAAATAAAAAACTTATGCATTAATATTCAATGCGCGAGAATTCTAAAATATCCCGACATCGATACCGTCCATTGCATAACCCGGTTCTACGGCAAGCAATTTTTTGACGTGCTTTAGACATCGTCGGAGCACAACACTGCGTCTTTAGAACGGCATGTTTCAGTATACTTATGGAGCCCCTTTTTATGTACATTTAGACGTCTAATATACATGGTCTACGAAACTATATTATGGCTTTTTGAAACTCAAAAAACAACCATCCAAAGGACATCTTTTGGATGAAGAAGACATGGGCGCTTTTTTCTCGAATAGAACCGGGTAACTATGCATGCATCTGCCGGTGCATTGTTCTCTTCCGGTAGTCGGCACTTCCGGTAGGATGACCTTAAGCTGCGGCAGGCAGTACGACCCAGTTACTTACCAGAAAATTTATTAGCATGCGCAAAGGAAGCAAAGCATCTGTGCTGTTTCGGGAATGAACCTGACAACTGCGAATATTTCATAACGAATAATTACCCAAATAATAAAGAGATCTTTTTTAATTTAGGCTAGGCAGCTTTACACATGTACGATTTATCAGCGTCTAGTTTTATAGTTGAATTAGCTCGATTAGAAAATATCCTGCCGGTTTTTCTGCTTTTCGTTCGATCGTGGAAAGAAAGAGTCTTGGACTACATGGAGATAGTCATTAAATTACTTTGGGCTGGAATATAAATGGCTGCGTCCTGTTCGTCAACGCCCTTTGGTGACTTAACATGTTTCGAACGAAGCATTAGTCTCAACACCAACACACATCACATCTTGTTGCCGATGTCTCCGAGTTTTTGCTTCTCAAGTTTTGACACATGTCTGCTTTTAGCTGATTTCTGTTCGGATAAGTGTCCGACGATTTACGGATGCGTTCATTGGTTCGCAGTGATTTTTAATCAGAAATAAATATTCCCACTTGCGCCATTGCGCAAATGGACTGACGTGTGCACAGGGGTTGATAGGCCCAAAAATACGAGCTTAATTACAAAAAAGAATTGGCTGATTACCAAAGACGCACTTACACGTACGTTTTGGTGGCATGTAATGTTCATTTGGAGGGACTGAAAACACGGAATTAACAGGCAGCTTAATTTGGCGTGGCACAATCTGAATACGCCCCTTGAGCTGGCAAAAATGCCTATTTGCTGAATGATACACGGAAACCATTGCCACGGTTGTGGAGTAGTTTTGATAGTGTGTGTCGCGCCACGCAGTTAGGCCGAACATAAATGGCTAAGTAATTTTCTGTTTACGACGGCTTAGAAGTCAGATTTGTTGAGGTTTCATCAATCAATCGGTCGGAAGTATGCAAGCCATTTAATTGGCTCATCGGAGTCTCTCCCAGGCTGGCGTAGTTGCGTGCGGTATGTTTTCTCGATCCGATCCTCTCCAATGCCGCGCTGGCGGTATCGCCGATTGTCAGTGTATTCGTCGTATCACTTCCGACGTTGTACATCGTGGTCGAGCCATACCTTATTGTTCCGGCATTATCCTCCAAACAAATGCCGCATTTCCGGAGTGCCGACTTAATGATGCGCTTATACGCGGCGCGAAAATCCGGATTTAGTGCGTAGATTAGCGGATTCATGGCGGAATTAATGTAACCCAGCCTAAAACAATTTTAGCCAAAAAAATAAAGATATCTTAAAGTAACTAAGTTATATTACGAATCACAGATAAACAAAAATTGTCAATTTGATATAAAGCTGGTCAGCAAAAGTATCTTTGCCCTTTTTTGTAAATTAGGCCATTAATTGTGAGTACAAAAACTTGGTGCACTATATATGACGCACGCTTATCGAAATAATTTGTCTTGAATGGCGATAATTGAAAACCAGATCATCGGGGATTATCCAATGACGATTAATAATGTATTGCTGACAGCTTTGTACACGAAACGACTTTATTACGTGCACATTATATTTAACTCCTAGTTTACGCTGTTCACAGGACACACGCATCTACACATAGGAGCGTTCAGTTTCTCTACATAACACAGATAAGTAGCGAAAAATAATTAAATTTTAATGAACGGATGCTGCAAAAAGCCATTGAATTATACATTTAAAGGTTAGGCATCCTGCGCAGGGCAACAGTAATTTCCGCCGCAAGATAATTCCTTTGGTCAATATTGTGATTAGGCATACGCACCTTATACGTACGCAACACCTACTCTGTGCATTAATACAGTGGATGTGTCTATAATTAATGAAACATTGTGATGCGATACGGACAGACGTTACGTTGCAGCTGTGAAATGGAAAACGCTGATATACGCATGCATTTCCGTAAGGCAATATTAAATTAGATTTTAGACTTTCTTACCACGTAATAGTCGACCGGATCCAGTTGGGAATATCCGGATTGGCCGCGAAGGCGTAGATCCAGTAGATGATAAAAAATGGTTGCCAGCACAGATAGAACATGCCAAAAATAATTCCTAGTGTCCTAATTGCTTTCCGCTCACTAGCCAGTGATTTGGACTTGTTGGTTAAACACTGACTGTCTTCGAATGTCTGTAATTGGACAGTACGCTGAATTTTTTGGATTTCTTTAGCTTGTTGGAGAGCAATCGACAGGATCTTCAGATAACAAATGGCCATAATAATGAAGGGAATGTAAAAGGAGACAGTGGCGGATATTACAGCGTATGTCATGTTTATGTTCAGGAAACATTGTCCAACGGGTGTTTCGTGATTAAGTTTCCGGTACCAGCCCATGAAGATGGGCATAAAGGAAATGCAGCTGCTGTTTATCCATATAACAATCACAATTACCACGGCTTTGCGACTGGACATACGTTCGTAGTAATGCAGCGGATCATGAATCGCCAAGTAACGGTCTACCGAGACAGCGCATAAATGCTGCAAACTGGCGGTGCAGCACATCACATCCCAGCTCATCCAGAATAGACAAAATGTTTGCCCGAAATGCCATGTGCCGACAATATCGTATACTACAATCACAAGCCATTAAAGTTATTAGCAAATTCTTCATACATATATAACATGCCGGCAATTTTGCGCCATAAATTTGTTTCATTGACTTGTGAGGTATCCTGCGATATAATGCTAGCGATGATTGGCATAAGTGCTCGATAGAGTGTATATATTATGTACAGACATAATGCACTTGCAGTATAGTGCACTCTTTTTTCGTGAACAGTGCTTAAGGACAAGCTAATTTTCAGTATTTCTTCTGGTAAACTCACCAAGTGCGTAGGGCATCACAAGGACCTGCAAGAAAATTATAGATTCCGTCAACTCAAAAGTCAGGTGAGGCGATTGACACAGCAGCAAGCGTGACGCGACCACGTTTCGTCTACAATGCTTCCAGAATAAACTAGTGTTACGAGTATCGGTAGAAAAGATATCACGACTTGACTACATTCCCTACTTTTTTTTCTTGACCTGAAGTGTAATATTTCTGCTTTCAAAAATTTGTTTGTCAGAGACTTTCAGGTTTTCTAAATTGCATTGTTGCCCGGCGTACCGCATTTCGTAAAGTTTTGTCAAGAAACTACCGTAAAAATTATTGTTCTTTAACGGGATTGTCAACAGTCGCATTTAGGGTATTAGTACTCCGTAAATTAAGCACTCGACCGGGTGGGCGATGTTTACCATTACAAAGGTCACACAAAAGTCATAATAGTAATGGAAATGCTAAGCCCTTCGTGGAGATCTGGGGGAAACTCCTAAAGGGACATTAGGGTGAAGTAGCTGTAACCTCTACGTGAGATTAATTTGATTCTGAGAGGCGCATTAGTGCCAAATACTGAATCGCATAAAACTCGACGTTCCAGCGATTTGTACTCGTACTTCGATAATCTGCACCATGCATATTTTATAATTCTGCAGCGTAAAGAGTGTGCGATAGATAATCTACTCTCACCACGGAAACTTTGATGGCTAATTCAATTGTAAAGTGGTAGTTAAAGGTTGTTACGGTCCGAAAAGTATACCCAAAACTTATTAATTAAGATCAAACCTGCATACAACTTCAGTGTATAGTACCGAAAATTCCTGGAAGCGAATACTGGGCCAACGTTTTAATTATGCGTTTTTATCAGCAGGAACAATGTGCATACAGTCTAATTTGTTGTTTCCAATTAAATATCCAAAGTGATCAGCTGAAAAATCTTAAAATTTCGAGGAATACTTTGGAGTTTTCAGTACGATAATGCAGGAAATCCGTTTAGATACTAGCGGCGGATTACGCTCTGCTTGCTTATCGGTTTAGACAAATGCGCTATTATTGCACTTATGCTGAGACCGGAAATTTCACGTGGATAATAACTACAAACGTTCCGTGTCTGGAATGTATGCTAAAGTCGTCAAATTTCGCTGGAGGGTCTTTTGGGAAAGCCACAGGAATACTGAGAAGTTCCCTAGCTAATCCTTAATGCCCGATTAAATTACTGATTCGTGAAATGAGCTCGTTCTTGAAATGGGATTGCGCCGGGCTTCCCGTTCTCTGTATACCGCCACATGTATACGCTTCACTGCATCGCTACCGCAAACCACCTACCGTGACCGTCAAATCAGCTACCGCCAGCGACATTAGAAGATAGTTTGTAATGGTTTTCAACTTGTGCGTCGTGGTCACCGCAATAATCACCATGGCGTTACCCAAAAACGAGATAATTATATTCAGCGCATATAACGTCCCCAATAGAAAGGATATCAAAAACGATGATTCAACGACTGTGTCGGTTGTATTATTATTCAGGGACATTGGCGATGATGCATTGTGATGTGTCCAATTAATGCGATGATCGGCAACGGAAACAAATAACGGCTCAGGTGAATGCGATAACATGCCCGCCATGCGGAAGATGACAAAAGAACAATCCGGTGTGCTGATGATGGATGAATGTAATGAGCGAATGCATACACCATACAGATGCGCACCGGAAACAACGGTTTGTGATTAGTGTGGATTAGTCCGCTTCGGCATCGTCAGCGCGGATGCGGCTGCACGGGATATGGCCGAGTCAGTGTTGCCGATGGCGCTTTGTCTGAAGGAACAAACATAATATCACAGGGGCTAACTTTTTCAATCTCCTTATTGCACTGGGGATCATCAACACTCCACGATGGAGAACGGAGGAGATAGTCCTCTTCGCTCCATTTCACTTTAATTCCATTGACAGGACTCGACAGTGGTTCTTAAACTGATGTTGCCGATCATCTAAGTAGTGCGACATTGACTAAGTTTTTATATAGCGCGCGCCTCTAGTTGGCGTACAAAGAAATCCGATACAAACCGGCAGAACACGCAGCTGTGAGGGGAGAGAGAAAGAGAGAGAACCGGGCTACGACACGGGAAGACACGTGATGCAGATGTACGAATCATTGCCGGTAAGATGCATGTGTTATATTCATCATTCTATCCGGAGCTTGGTGTGGTGTCCGCGGAAAAACGAGTGCCTAATTTCCACATCTCCGACAACAAGAGTAACGATTACCTCCGACCACTGCCGGATCGAAATGCATGATATGCAGATGGGATGGAAGAACATTGACCGACACGGGATAATCGGTGCAGTTACTACAGCTGACGTCGTTCCACTGCTAGTGTTCCCATTGTGCAGGATATTGCTCATTTATGTAACCTGTGTCAGTGCAACTGGGCCCATATGTTACCATTGATTTTGATGTTGAAATAATATCGACATGGGTTGTTTAACGCGGTAGCGAATATTCCCGCGCGATGATGTGTATTCCGGTTATGAGTTGACATTCGGATGTTAGGCTTATGGAAGCGATCAATTGGTTATAAAATGCAGGGGAATTATATTGGTTCACAATATGACGGAAGTTGCATTGGGGTTTTTATCGCTGCGAGGTAGTGGCGTGGTTCAATCAAAGGGCGCGGTGGCACCATTTACAAATAACTAGTACTTTGAATGCCCAAGTACAGTTAAACGGGCTGCAATTTAGATACTGGCAAGTACTTACTATAGTGTGAGGAGGACTGGTAACCTACCGTTTGACGTCATCACTCTCGCATACACGAGAGGGCGGCTGCCATGGTGACAGATGCGCGTTTTTTACGGTTTTTGTCAGTTTTCTCAGCATATTTCTTTTCTCTTCTATTTCTAGCCCCTCATGTTTGGGTTTCTAAATTCAATATGATCTGTTAAAATATCAGAAAGCTTTAGAGGAGAAAGGAACTGAGATATCTTTTAAAAAGGCAGTCAGCAATAGCACAGCAGTGAATTTTGTATGCGACAGTGATGACGTAGTGCTTTAGAGGAGAAAGGAACTGAGATATCTTTTAAAAAGGCAGTCAGCAATAGCACAGCAGTGAATTTTGTATGCGACAGTGATGACGTAGTCGACCGTTGCAGAGTCGCTTCCCAGTCCTCTACCTATAGTAAGTTCTTGATACTGGGCAACCCGGATTATACGGCATGAGACTCGGATTTTTTAAGCTAATGTTATTGTGATGTTCGGTTGTGTTAGCAATCGATAATAGCTACAAAAAAACAAAAAACTTTAACGACACGAATAGGTATTATTAGGGAGTGCTAACATGAAAATAAGATTTTTTGCAATTAAAATCACACCGCACACACTCATAAGTTTTTTATATTCCGATTGCACAGTGGGGTATTCCAGTTACTGTACTTTGGGTTATTTTTTATATCCATTAGAGCGGTGTTTCTTGATAATTTTATCACCTTGTTTTTATGTATGTATTGTACATAGTAGATATCGAGATAGGTACCTATACTGTATTTAGATTGTATGTTTACAGTAAACCACTATTGTACAAAATACATTACTGTATTGCGAAATACGGCGCGCATATTGAACTCCTACTGCAGTTTGTTAGTTTTTTTCTGAAGTCACGACATTTTTAGTAGCTCAGCAGTCAGTACCACATGAAATTGTTGTAAATGGCGTTTAACATTTGTGATAGGATCTTTAATATCGCATAATAATTAAAGTATAATAATATTGCTACAATATGATAAGCGAGTTATGCATGAGTACGATCGCGAGTACTCATAGTGTAAATATTGAGAATGACTTACAAAATTAATTATGTACATCTAGCACAGCACAATAATAAACTACTAAGTACATTGTGTTTGTTATGCCGTGGCAGTAGTAGTATTGAATACCACAAACAAAACAAACAGCAAAAAAATGACAACAATTTTGGTACAGAAATTGTCAAAAGAATTCTTATCACAAACTGTGCCTTGAAATACTTAATGGCACTGTTGGCACATATTAGAGTCTTGTACAATTACAAAATTATTCAAATATAATTTAGTAACAGAGTTACAGAAGATTTTTCCAAAGATTTTTTCGTGTTTTAAAAAACTACGTATTTATTTAAAGCGTTATTGCAGTAACATGCGAAAAAGCAAAAAGCTTTTCTAGGCAAGGAATACAAACATACAACTCATCTCAAAATTAATGGAGAATGTAGTTCTACTAGCGCAAGCGGCTTGCTGAGTTCACGCAAGTCATATGCCATGCGAAGATACCTTCAAATATACAATACTTATAGTTTATTGTACGCCATTACAACTGTCAGATGTTTGTGAGCGAGTATGTAATATGCAAATAATTAACAAAATTAGAGTATTTCATCCATTATTGAACTGAACTGCAGAGGTGCACCATAATATTGGACTAAAGATTTGGTCTCGAATATTCTACGGAAGGGTTTACCGTACCGGTGTATCGGGCCTACGTTGCTGGTATAAACTGGTAAAAAAAGTTCAACAGCTTACTACGGTATACCATGGAATACTGTTGAATTTTTTCTTACCAGTAATATTTGTGCACATTAAAAAAATAAAAGTGTCAATCGCGCCGGTTTTCGTCAGTCCACCAGTTAACTTTACGCAGTACGGCTTGACAGCCACGCACACTTTTGCTGATATCGTTAATTTCTAATAATTAAGATTAAGTGAGTGTTTCTTGCTTAGCACCGACGTTATGCCAATTATTTTTTATGAATTATTAAGCAACTCATTCGCACACTGTTCATGCATGCTGATGATTTATTAAAACTGTTGTTATTTTAGGAAAGAAAACTTATTACTATCCATAAGCGACATATGGCGCGACATTCACTAAATTTATGACTTTCGTTCAGCATTAGCATTTCTGAGCATTGGGGGAGTCAACTGAATCAATAAAACAACGACAATTTATTTGATCCATAAATACACGAGCTATGGCCAGTTGCTTAATTGATGATTTAAAATTGAATAATTGTTTTTTAATCCGTAATGTTTATAGGCTTCTGCATGCTGCAGTAATACGTACGAGTATAATGGTAGCTTACTGCGAATCCATGTAAGGAATGCTGCTTTCGATTGCGAGAAACACCCGTACCAATTCCGACTTTTCTTTACAAGATCCACAGATACGTAATTCTGTAACGCATCATCTATCCAATATATACCGCTGTTTGTATACACTGCAATATGTGATGTACGACGGTCACTCAAGGAGTTTTTGAAATCGAACATGTAGTAAAAAAGGAGTATTTTAATTTCTCATATGAAAATAAATTTCTACGGCACATGCAAATGGGATTTTTTCCCAAAAGATATATTAATTATGTACACTGGGTTTTGTGAAACTGCCGGCCATGTGCATGCGGCGTTGGCGGAGGCCTCCAGTTTCCAAAGAAATGAAGAATAATCGGATCGGCCAGTAATACGGCAACGCAGAAAATTTCTAGCCAATGTAATTATCGAAATTTAACTCATACAGTTAGCATTCTAGCCCGTTTGCACGGTGTGCCGATAATATAACGGAAGCCAAATGTAAAACATTTTGCTTGCCGCTAGGATACGTTGCTCATTCAGTTTCAAGGAAACGTAAACTGATTACTGAATTAATGTTGCAACAGCTGCGTGTCCTCCTGGCTCCACAGATCACATAAGGGTCATCTGGCTGGCCGACTCCGAGAAACTGACGCTTAACCTTTGTCGTCCATCGGCATGCGACTCAGAATTGCGATCCCGCGACATATTTCGCATGTAATTGGCTCTCACCGGGTTGGTCATACGCAGAAACGCGGCAACCTTTGGCAGTCTCCGGAAGACGAGTAACTTGAAGCCCATTCTGTAACTCTTCTCCAGCAGAAACAGCAGAATAGGATTAATAAGGGAGTTCAGTAAGCACAACCAGAGCACGCAGAAAAAAGCAAAGGTCAAACGATCATCATTTCGCTTGTATTCTGGATTATCTGGATGCAAAATCTGGTCGTCTGATTGTAGAAAGATTCCATAACAGAACGCCTCCAGTAGCATCATGACGAAATATGGCGTCTGGCATATCAGGAATACCAAGAGTATCACCGCGCACAATCGCACTACTTGAATATCTTTACTAAAAAACAGTACGCGCGATAAACGCCGCGTGGGCGGTGACTGTGATTGTCCACTAGTTGCAGCTGTGTCACCTGACTGCGACACCACACTCCTACGGTTTTCACTGCTGGCGGCCAGTTCGTGCAGATTGGAGTTGGATGCCAAGGAGGCTTTCATTTTTTCGATGCGATTTGCCTGCCGCAATCCGATGGCGAAAATCCGAGCGTAGAAGAACAGTATAAAGAACATTGGCACAAGATACTGATAAAAAAAGGTGACGGCTGTGAATTCATCCGACGCCCAAAAGGAGCATCTGCATCGGCGGTTACCAGTGGTCATGTCACCTTTTCCGCAGCGATTATAGTGTTTCTCTGTAGTGTTTCCCACGGCGCGGACAAAATGACTTTCTGGTTGATGCAGATTGAAAAATATGGCAAAGAATGTGCCGGGAGCAGGAATGATCCAGAATACGGCTATCACCCAAGGCAGAATTTTACGCACCCATCGTTCATAGAAAAATGGATGGGCTAAAAAAACAAAAATACCCGCATGCTATTAAAATATCGCAAATTCAAAGATCTAATCGGACTGTTGATCGGGCTTACCGATTCTCACATAACGTTCAGCGGCGACCTGCAGGCAAACAACAACACATCGCTTAATTGGCAACTGAAACTTGTGCTCATCGTGATTAACGCGGCACTGCACATACTTCTATCTGTCTTGGCTAATAATAATTATATATGCAGTTTCAGTGTTGTATTACTTTACAGCACATATCAGAGTTAGTATGTGTTGTTATGGCTATTTTAGGAGTTAAATACGTAAACAGATATTGTACATAAGTTTAAATTTAAGTTATGGTAATGTGTATGCTTGCAGATAACTGGCGTCGCGTCGTTTTCGTAATTTGTCGCTTGTACGTCAAAATCCTTTGTAAGCGTTGTTTACAGTATCAGGCAAGAGCCGCCAGAATAATAGAGAGGTGCAATGGCTGTGACATCACTTTATAACAATTAAAAGACATTTAAAATTCCCAGCCTATCCTTTCTCGGGTTAAATGGTGAAGTTCTTAAACCCGGTGTAGCACGTTTCTTAACAACAGCTCTTAGCTAATGAACTAAAACATTACATTTTTTAGTACCGTATGTTGCAAGCTAACACCCATTGACTTACACCTGTAAGATGGAAAACGCTCATACTCGTCATGTGTATATCCAAAGACTGCAGAGCTTTGCAGGAATTTTGACCAGATGACCAGCAGGTGAAGTTGATCCATCGCACTATGTGAAAAGGCATCACGAAAGCACCGACAAGAAGATCTGTAAAATTAAACCGGATCTTCGACAACGTGTTCGACAACGTCTGGAGAGAGACGTAAGCAACATCGAGTGTGAAAGCATGTGGACTCTTCCTTTTTTGGCTAACAATAAAAACCGCGGCAAATATAGGCAAGTCAAAAAATGTTTGAATAATTATTTAGTAATACAGTACGTCATTATTTAGGTTTACTTACGTACCAACAATTGCATTCGACACCTGAAAAAAATCTGAAATTAGCGCAACGTACAGAAAACTCAGTCAGCTGAAAGTAGTTCGTCACGAGAAGTTACATGGTTTTAGAAGGTTATCCAGTTTTATAAGTGCATACCAAGAGCTTGTTTGTTGGGATAGCGTACAGCTTGGCATTGAAAAAGACGGTGATCATAAAGGTGAAGTTGGATAAAATTGTGAAAATACAAACGATTGTAAGAAAGCTATTCAAAATCAAGTATTCAATGGGAGTTTTTGCCGCGGTACAAACTGGACAAGATTCATCCAAATCCGAAAAATTCATGTTGCTGTGATATGGTGCGTGGTTCACATAATATGAATCTTGTATGATTTGGATCATAACATCATTCAAAACAATGTACAAACACTCAAATAACACGGAGAGATGAATTTTCGATGATTTGTATTTGCTTCGGGCATGACAAAATATAATAATATCTTCCTATAATTATCAACATTTGCAAATCGTGAAAGCATTGGATTCGTACTCGGTAATTGAGGTGCTCTTTGGGACCTGATTTGATAAGGAAAAACGTCGTCATATGCAGTGAGTCTGCCGACGTTTAACGTGAGCATAAATACTGTGCTAACATTAGAAATGATATATAATCAAATCTTATCAATCTCAAGGTTATGATTACATGCTTACGGATGCACTGCGATAAAATATTAACATATATATATAATATACACAAAATGTGTAGTTGCTTTTGCTTGCACTTGTACACAAGCAGAAGCCATATTGGCAGGCTGATCCGTATTTGTACAAAGTACGATACCAGTACAGTATACGTGTACTCCGGGTCAGTATCAAACTGGATAAAATTGCGCTCTTTTTGTTGTGATAGAGTAAGCTACAATATTATTAGCTACAACAGCAAACGGAACTCAATATATACATGAAACTGCTTGGTTAACTCCTACTGATTTGTATTTTTTTCGTTTATGAATAAAAACAAGTTCAACTGGATAATAAGTACTGAACATATAACATACTGAAAATAGCCCTCAATTATTGTAGAAAATGAATGCAAACTTTGTTTTTTAAACTTTTGAACTCCATCGAAGTGTTGCATATGCAAAGATGCACTAACTGGTTGAAACTGATTTAACGATGTTGGTAGATTTATCATCACTATTTCCATGAATCAAAACATAACTTTCACCAAGGGTACAGTGAAGCACACATCCAAAATTTGTAGTTTATAAACTATGATGATCCAGGTCTTGGCGGTTGGTTCCAGCCCTCAAATTTGCCAGTGCTGGTTTCGCCTGCATGTAAGAAACAGAAAGTTGCAGAATAGTCAACGGTGAAGTTTTTTTACCATGAGTAACATTTTGTGTTGCAGAAGTGAGAAGTCACATCCCAGTACCAGCAGCAGTATGTACCCCATGGTGTATTCAGTAACACAAAATATAAAAGCTGAAATAATGCATAGTTTTTCTTTTTTGTCCGTAAAATTTTATGAAATAAATCGTATTATGATATATGTGGTGAAGGATAATATTATAAAAATATTTTGTACTCTCCCAACAAGCTCGAGCTAGAAGCCCAAAAAATCGTAATAACGTCACCATAATAACGTATTAGCTATGACCTTTTCTTAAGTCGGTTACTTATTCGAGACGATTGTCCAGGTTTTATTCAAATTAATGTAGGTACATTTCGTAATAACTTCTGTTGCCGCTACAATTGCACCCTTGCGTGTTACAACACATCACAAAGATCTGATGGGACTGGGTTTCTCCACGACATCTGGTAATTAAGCAACGTTGCAGTTTTTCCTAGTTGGCTAATAGCATCTGTAGTGTGTATATTCAGTGCTGTCTTAAGTGCTCTTTAATATCCGTCTGGACGTATTGTGAACTAAGCGCTTGATCCCGTCTGGATTGGTTGGAGAGCAGCTATAAAACTCCACCGTTCATCCATTTTACCCGGGTTGTGATTTATCACTAAAGTCGGCACGCGGTCATTCCCGGCTCGAGTAATTCTCGGGGAATTAAGTTAGGCCCACCCGTGTAACTCAGGTGGATTAAAAAGTTAACCTGGGACAGTTCTGGTTTTATGGCCTTTGCTACATTACTGCCGTTTGCTGTAATCGTTATGGGCATGCAGCCGAGAAACAGTGATTAGAGACCGGCGAAGCGAGAAAGCATTTTAATGGAATTTACAGGACGCCGATGCGTGTATGTGGTACAAAAAATCGATTCCTAATCAAAGAAGCACTTACAGCCTCTCAGTAAACATATACCCGATATCGGACACTTTATTAAGGATCTTTTGTTTGTACACCAGTTCTTACCGGCAAGTCTTCCTGTTCACTTGATCATGTGATATAGCCTATCCAGTTTATGAACATAGTTTCCTGGATTCTTATGCATGATAATTGTCAATAGGCCTAGGTCTTTGAATCCATATAGCGCTTGCGTTATTAGCTGCTTTTTCCCTTTTTTTAAATGGGACTAAGAAATACCAAGCCATCTGCCAAAAGCACGGAACACCTGGAAAACAACGCAGTGGAAAAGAAGAAAAGAAAAAGTATAATTTTATTGCGGAGAGAATCAACTTTTAACCCGGCAAACAAGTCCATTTCGGATTTCGATGTTGCCGCGACACCCCCTGTTATAACGGATCTACAGCGAGATATCTTAGTCGAGTCTTTTTCCACTCTCAAACTTCACATCTCTCAAATCGGTGTTCTGCTTTTTATGGGGTGAGTCGGCAGCAAATGTTTGTGTACGTATTGTACAAAGAAAACTTTGTAAGTGAATTTTAATTTATCATTCCTGTTACACTAAATCGTTTTTAGTAATTTTTCTTTCAGTCAAGAAGAGATTTTTTATGCAGCAAGAGCTGCGTACTTGAAGTAAAGTTGTACGAGTACGCAGTTAAAATTTCGGACTTCTCTTATCAAGTACAAATTTAAAATTTTTACTTTTATGAGAAAAATCGCTTTACAATAGTTTTAAAATATGACGCGAAGCTGGAGAACCTTATTATTACCTGAAGAATACAGATAAGCCTGGGACACATAATGACTTTTGTGATGTTACTTATTTGCTTCTAATTTTTTAATCGAGACCACGCATTTTTACAAGAGTCAATGCTGAATCATATGTAAAAGGGGTCTCAGTCTCAACAGTAAGAAATAACCGAACAGTTACAACAAAAAAGGCTCATAGCCAAATGTGGAATACTACATATAAAAGTCACGATCGCGCGTCCTTTTTGTTGACTCCAACATGATACCCCACTGAGACAAAGGGGAGAATGACGCTGAGATTGGGATTGAATAGGATTTTTATGAAATAAATTTTCCTACTACATGACTATTACTCGTTGACGTTGAACTTGTTATTATGGAGTAACGAACACGATGACAGCATGTCCACTATAGTTTTGATAAGGAAGTTCAGAAAAAGAAAACTATTTTCAGTGAATGCACAGAACAGATCTCAAGTTTTAATGAACTCGAGTCGCATGATTAATGAAGACCAACAAATGTGGCACCTTTCATTACTATTAACACTGGCAGTCGACATCCATACAGTAATAACATCTGTGGCGAAGTTCAGTGCATTTCATCGGTGTCCTAAGCCAGCTAGTTTACATTTATCATTTACCGGGAAAATCTACGTTTAACTAAAACACACAATATTATCATACTTGATTATTTATCATAAATTGATATTTCATTTTGTATAAGTTATTTTGATTTGATCTTGTGGAATGATCACGTGTTTGCCTTTCTAACCACCACAGCACTGTAATTTTAAACTTTAAACGCTTCCGCTCTTCCCTTAGGTTATTTGAAACACACCCCCAAATTCAGGGATTTTTTGGCAATTTTAAAGACTGCCCACCCGAAAATCTTCCGGAAAGCAAAGAACTGCGTCAGCATGCACTACGCGTGATGGGTTTTGTGGAGAAATGTATCAGCCGAATATATATGACCGATAAACTGGATGCTATAATAAAGGAGCTGGGTGAACGCCATGCAAGTTACGGGGCACCGTCAGAATTTTTCCCGGTAATGTTCGTAGTTAAGTTTTTAAGCCATCGCACATACTATATTATATGCGATTACTCAAAGATAAACCAGCATTTGCTGGTGTTGTGTTTACCCTAAATTTTACAGTAGTTTAAAAATATCATAATACTCCCACTGACCAGTACGTAAATATTAATGATCGTGAAGTATACATATCTTTCATAAGTTAAATAACTTATAACGGCAACTTTACTGCGGTGTGCAACGACCACTTTCTCTCTTGACTCGTTCCAGTCTTTGCATTTCCGCAAGATTGTTCGCATCGTGTATTGTGTAATGATAACTCTATTTCTTCAATTTAAATGTGACATAACTACCTAACATTATTACTCAGTAACAAGTTTCGTACCTACTCTACACCGGGATAGTTTGAGGCTGGTGTTGGATGCCTGTACTTGTAGTTGATCTTAACGGAGCGCTGCTGTTGACATGCCGTAATCAGTCGCTGATGAATTTAATTTATTTAATGAATATGATACGAACAGCGCTCTTTTTTATATTGTTGATTTTACGAAGTGTCAAATGTCATTGCAGTTTGTCGGACCTCAATTTATCTGCGCAATTCGCCTATCTCTGCAAATGAAGTGGGATGATGAAACAGAAAACGCTTGGTTGGCCTTATTTACTTACATCGCCCACGGAATGAAACAAGCAGCTGCTATCTAAGCCAGATGCACACAATATGAAGTACCGATCCTCATCCACTTAAATTTGATAAATTGCTTCCTCCTATGAAGCCAATTGAAATTGAAAATTGGTGCACAATTGAGGATTTATCTTTTTATCACGTTGCTTGATACTGTGTGCGTTGCAGTAGTATGCACAAGATCACAACAAACACACTTCTTTGAGTAATTTTGTATTATCATTAGTTACGATTTCACTGGTACCCGATTTAAAACAGTGAAACTTTATGCTAGTTGCATACAATAAAACAAATTAACAAAATAATTTATTGGTGCAAAGACCGAAAGACGAAAGTTTAAGAGTGCACGCACAAATGCTGTATGCTGAGGAACTGTAAGCATCCAATTTCGAATTACCGTCAATAATCACTTCAAAAATAATATTGAGCATGCAACAAAATAAAAACGTGAAAAGGTAAATACTATGTAATTAGTTAATACTATATAATTAGGTATATACTATGTAATTAGTTATACCATGACGTAGTTAACAAAATAAACAAACAAATAAACAAATTAACAAAATAATTTATTGTAAAGACCGAAAGACGAAAGTTTAAGAGTGCACGCACAAATGCTGTATGCCGAGGAACTGTAAGCATCCAATTTCGAATTACCGTCAATAATCACTTCAAAAATAATATTGAGCATGCAACAAAATAAAAACGTGAAAAGGTAAATACTATGTAATTAGTTAATACTATATAATCAGGTATATACTATGTAATTAGTTATACCATGACGTAGTTAGTTTATTTACCAGGGCACATTTTCCGGGTCCAAATTCATAAAATTCTGATCTTTGGCATAAACATAGTATACCATCGTAGTATATTTATAAAAATAATTTCAGCTGCTGACACTCAAAGGGCGTGGCCAAACAAAATTAATAAGAAAGTAATAGTACATACTATAGCACGGTTAAAAATAATAAACTTTAGTATTTATCACTAGTGTAGTACTTTAACAGCTGTTTGTATCAGTGTAACAATAATAAATCAAGAAATTCATCTTTTCCCGAATGACAGTGTACGACTATAGCACGGTTAAAAATAATGAACTTTAGTATTTATCACAAGTTTCGGGAGCAGACTACACACAGTGAGGAAAAGCAAAATCCAAAATGCAAATACAGTGGCAGTATGTGGTACGTACTGTTGCACTACTGCAAAGAATTGCAGCTACAAAATGGTTTTTCTACTGTGTCGTCTTAACGTTTGCACATGAAAATTTTCATTAATCATAATGTGGCAGAATACTACGTTTCTACAAGAGGTGAAAGTTTCCTGATATGCTGTTATTTTATAAAAAGCCTGTGCGGATATAACGCTACTACGCTAGTGCATTGTAATAACATGCAGTATTACTTACTTATTAATTTTGTTTTGGCCACGCCCTTTGAGTGTCAGCAGCTGAAATTATTTTTTTAAATATACTACGATGGCATACTATGTTTATGCCAAAGATCAGATTTTTCTGAATTTGGACCCGGAAAATGTGCCCTGGTTAGTTAGCCCTCTTTTAATTCTATACCGTAATTTTAATAATCTCCTTAACTAAACTCGGTTGCCAAAAAAATAAAAGCATCGATCTACAGATACAATACATGCGTGCAGAGGCCGACACAAATCATGCCATTGTACATGTACTCGTATGAGGACAAGGTGCTGGTACGGTATTACAATACATGTACGTACAATATGTACCATGCAGAAAGATATTATGACTGTTAGTACACTTTAAGTGCGTTTAAATATCGGTGTCTTTAAGGCGCGAGATTTATAATGAAGCAAATATAATATTTTGCTTTATTATAAATCTTAAATTAATTCGGGCTTATTAATATTATTAATAAGCCCGAATTAATTTAATACTTCTGCCTATAGTTACGAGGAACTGTAAAAGACCTCGGCCCAATGAAATACATCCCACTACTTTAATTTGATGGGGAAAGTCGAACCAACGATTGCGGAATACCACCAACGTGAGTTTGGCTAGGTTTAGAAAAGGCGGTACCATTTGAGCAGTATAGTGTACGTTGATTCGTTCCCGCCGATTCGTTGTAGTTTATGAGCCCGATAAGTAACAAACCCTTTTCCGGACAAGCTCTAGTTTACAGTATAATGATATTATTGCATATTACACATTATAGTGCAAAATTTAGGCTGTTGCTTTGCCGCTTTGCCCACATCTGCGCACGTACCTTTTATTAGCTCGAGTGACAAACAATTATAGGACCGATAGGTCAGTTTGGCACGAGGACTTCATGGCTGTTCCATTTGAATAAAATTTCCAATTAACAATTAACAATACGGATTTGCTTCATTTCACTTTTCAGTAAGCGAGTTTGTTACTACTTTACAGTCTTTACTAACTGTCATTGCCATTCCGAACATGCTCGTTTAATTTGCTATATGGTAGTCACAGCGCAGTATCTTCTCTTTCCAAAATTAACCATACTACCTTGATAGACGCCGTACACTTTAATACAGCAGTCTATTTTATCTTTAACCTACCTGTGCGTCCAAAGTGTGTGCAATCAACTGAAATTACTTCAAAATCCATTTTACTTTTACAGAGGATTAAATAACATTTGCGGATGCACTTGAAATAAATTAGGAGTAGTAAGAACAATGCAAAATGTTTACTATTTATTGTTTATTGTTTTCTCAACCAAAAGCTTTAGACAATTCACACAAAAGTGCAAATTCATGGCGCTCCAAAGGTCACAGGTAAGCAGTTGACTCTGACAAGGGCTGCATCATGCACCGCGAGCCTAATCTGTTGAGTTTTGTACGGTCTACGTGGATTCTACAAATTTATTACTATGGTGGAAAAGAATGCTTGGAATTTAAAAAGCAGTATATATGGGGAGCTTTAAAACGTGAACGTGCGATAATGAGACAATTAAATTCTTTTAACAGCAATGATAAGGAAGTTGCGTCACCTACCGGTCGGTGGTAAAGAGATTTGATAGTTATAACTTATATCTATAGTATATCTGAAAAGAAAGGCGGCAATGATTGCAGTTGTCGGTCCGGTGCATTGCACTGAAGACGAACAATAAATACAGATTTTCTGCATAACCAGTTCTGCCAGACGTGATGTAAGAGCCGAAATAAAAAATTTATGTGTGTACATTCATGGACACTTGGAAATATTCTCAACATCCGAAAAGGTAATCGGGTACCTGTTCCAAAACTCTTCGGCGTCGTATGAAACAAATTCGAAGTAGCAAAAATAATGACTACCTGCATAATATAATACAGTGATTCACAATATATTATGAGAATAATAAAACACACCATTAATTTTCCCTTTTCGAGAGTAAAATGCGCCACCTCGCCATATATATACCCATGCACAAACGGTTAAGATCGTATAAAAACAGAGCTACTCGTATATTGTATTTTATAAGTATTGTACGCTGCTCAGATTATTTTTGACTTTTGTTTTGCTATAATTAATTATCTTGCAGCATTAGGGAGCGCTTACAACAAGTATTGCATTGTATACCGTAACATATTTGCGTCGGCTTTCATTTACGGACAGTGGAAGGTAAGTGATAGCGCAAACATTGTTTTTTAGTTTACTCATGGCCATGTTACTCGTGTCATGACTTTTCTTAAAGCAAGTTAATAATTAAATTAAATACAACAAAGCTGTTCTCGTTACAAGTTGAGCTTGTGAGGTGCACAAGCTATCGGAATTTAGAAAGTACATAATTGCAAAATATATTTAAGAGATACAGCTACCAAAGGTCACAGAAAATGTATTCGACCACATGTAAACATTCATATGCAGAAAACGAGTGCGAATAAGTTTTGGCTATTTACGTCCGATGTCAAATCTGATACCAAAGGTGATGTCACGGACAAGAGCGTGCAAGGATGTTATGGAGTGCACCTATGTGTAACTACACGAGTTTTTCCTGAGTTGACCCAAATTCAGATAAACAAGGTTAATGCTTAAACTAACAATCCTCCTGTTGCGTTGTTCTGGAAAGCAGTTTCAAATATCACGTTCTTCACACACCCACGTCCGCGTCGCCAGTGCGACGACGTGGAGACTGTCTGATGTGGCGAAGAATGTTGCGGTTTAGGGAGATAAATCAAATCCGGCGCTACGTAATCCCGGTGAACGTTTTGTTTGATAAGTCTTGTCACCTGAGTCTAAATGTAATCAATCGGAATGCATATATGACTGTAATCGACTCCTTACTGCGAGAAGGATACTGTTACTGATATATGTGAATTTGTTAAACTTGTACAACAGTTTTTGCATTAATGGTACCGCCGACCGCATCCGAATTCAATCGTATCTTGCGCCATCATTCATTTGCACAAGTCGGCGTTACATGTCGTTGTCGTCACTTAGAAAGCGATTCGTGTAATATTAATATATATAATCTACTTTTTAATACACACTGCACCCTTTAGGTGATACGTCATGATGTCAAACCACTTACTAATACTCTGTGGAGTTGGTTTATGATATGGTTTCCGGATCTCCTGGTTGGCTGGACCAACATTTATATACCCACAGCGCGGCACTCGACGGGCGTTAATATTCGTCTTTGGTATTTGGTGTTGCCGTTTCCACACTTAAGTACGGTTGCTTGATATGGTGGGAAACTAACTTTGCACCTTGATATTGCATCATTCCTTACTGGTGGCTGAATCAGACGCGCATACGAAGGTCAGCATCGTCTAATTTGGCGACGTTCCTCCGAGTAGTGATCAACATCTGCATCTGTATATCGCGGGGCGATAGTCTACATTGCTATAATCGGCACCCACCCCGTCGACCTACTCATTCGTCCGCTGCACGGTGTGAAATTCGGCTGCCTTTTGGTCGCGTGCAGCACTTTTTACTCGCCGGCCGGCAACGTGCACGCAGCTGTGTTGTTTTGTTGGTTGTCCTTCCTTATCATTAAGGAAGCATTCTGATCCATTTGACGATCGCCTTTTTTGCTTATGACCTGGATAATATGTCAACAGCATTACGTATACTAATATTAATACTAATCGTTCAGCTGTTTTCTCGTTTGGCACTCGGCCGATCTCTGCCTCCCGGTGCCATGTAAGTACTTATGATGTGCTCATCGGAACATTTTTTTATCCAGCATATAGATAATTAAGTATTTCTCATCACACAGAATGCGAGAAAAGCGCAGTGGAATATCGGACCAACGATTAGCTGAAATCGAGGCTTTGTTGTCGATGGCAAAAAGCAGAAGTCGATCTGGTTCAACAGGACGATTGCATCAAAACGCCCAGTATGGATATGGAGTGCTAAATCCGGATGAAATGTAATATCTGCAGCAGATAAGCCATGATCTTAAAAAATAAAAATAAATAAATCATTTAATTATGACAACGCACTTTTGTAAGATAGGAAATGCCGCGCAATGATCATGAAACTTCGAGATATACCTTGTCTCCTGATAAAAAGTCAAATTTTAACTCCAGTTTTATAAAAAAACTTTCACAGCTGAAGTGGATAGCAAATACCTAGATACAATACTTGCTTGTATGCAAAATTTTGATTCGAACCATATTTCTATTCAATAACGCAAAAATCGAACCGGTATTCATACTACTATGTAGTTATTAAAAAGAATAATACGATACATTCGGTAAACATATTAACGAACAGAATTACGTTAACGAATGTATTGATAACGTTAACGAGACAGCCTTTCAATTTCCCATTATGAAAAAAAGTATAGCAAAATATGACATGATTATTTTTAGACCGAGCCATCCAGTTAAATTTAAAAAAATGTTGTTATTACTTATTAGTAATCGGTAATGAATTATTACTCAACGTACGCAAAACTTAATAATTCATATGCAATAATATTTACTTTTAAATTAAATTTTATTCAAAGCCTTATTACCGTACATGAACCTTTTATGTGAATACGACGAAAACAACGACTGCATTTGTCTAGCTAGAAAAAGTGACAGACAGATAACAACATACATAATCACAACGAATTCTATCTTTATAGAGGGTGAAAACATCGCATCACGCCCCTTGTTATTAACCAGGATGGTAGAAATACCGGAAAATCTTTGCTAGCTTGAGTGCTCGCACAGTTAGTGGACGATCTCAAACATGACGCCAAACCAATTTCCATGGATTCTATCAGGTTGCCTGTGCTTGATGGAATGCCAAGACTGATTTCGATACAATCGTACTTGTTTTTTGGGATTGCCATAATTCCAGCTCCATCAAAGAATTACAGCGCTCATGCCTTCGGCCAAATCTGTGACTTTGTCTCGCAATGAAATCTCATTTGACTGCTGTTCCGTTGTTTTTTTTTATTTATTTTTTTATTTATTGCTTTCTGCGTTCTATGCAGAATGTTTATTTTTGGTGCGCATGAGGGCGGTTGCATATGAATAAAAGCCGGTATCATATCTCGGCGATCCGCAGATGTACTATTCGCATGTGACGAAATATAAGTGCAGCACACTAATCCGTCTACCCCCGAAAGGATTTATTTGTAAAATGCGCGGCTATACTTCTAGTGTTAATATCAACAGATGGATTTCGAACGAGAACAACGTTCGTCCTTCAGGATCTCGAAATGTTTGTCCACGCTGAACAAATCCCTTTTCAGGATTCGGCATCTGCTTCCATATACGTAACAGTGATGACAAAGCACAACATGCAGGATACGCGCAAACATATGTTACCGTACTCTGTATTCTCCATCTCGCTCGCTGTAATGTTGATCAAAGAATTTTCAAAATTGGTGGACCATGTTTTCGTCATAATTGTACGAGTAATAATAGTTTTAATTAGACACTATAGTGTAGACTGTCGAGTTAGGAGCGTACGCATGCCGTACTCAAACCAGCATGTACACAATGAATATGCGGCGTCCACATCCTCGGATATCTCATCAAATCATTTCTACCCGATCTCTAGATCTAACCGTGAAATAGCTGCGACATTCAGTTGGAGTTTGGTAGTCAATTCACGAACCCTATGTGTTCAAGGCAGAAAACGTACGTTTTTATTACGTTAAATAATACAGCCTGTTGTACCATATGCTGCGGCAGAAAGCATTACAAATCTGTTCAAATCTGGCAACAGTTTTGTTAATGAGATTCAGTAAAAACCAGTAATCACCAAGTTCAGGTACCCTAAGAGCTCTGTATTACTTTATATACGAGTTTCACAAATAACGGCCCTGAAAAATTGTTCAGAATCATCGAATCCGACTTGCTAGCAATATTCTTCGCTGTTATTTCTGGGGCAAAAACGTTTTGCTTTAAATCTCACGTGATCACAAAGAACTTTAAACAACATTTCTAAGTACAATGCACTGAAAATGAACAAACCAAATACCATTAGGGCAGCTGTCTGACGCTTTTGGCGCCAACTAATTGTGCTCTTGCAAAAATATTTGCTTCATTTACAATCGTGCATTACAATATCCGTTTCCATGAACGCACCGAACTGTACTGCAGTATTGCTACAGCTTGCAATTTTCTATGGCCATGTATACCCGAAGACTGCTTTCAGCGGAAGGGAATATTTTTAAAAGTTGCAATAGCCAGATTGCAGCTGTAATAGGCATGCAGCTGCGTACCACACAAACTCCTGCCATATATTTTTGTATGGATAGGTCCAGGAAGGCTTGGAAGAGACGCTGCTTGGCCGCTAAACAACTCGACGCTACAGTTACAAAGTAGATGTCCAGACAACTAACGCCTTTCCATCAGCACTGTTTGCATTATCACTTAGGCAGTCTGAACACTACATTTTATTTGGTACGCTCGTATTTCCGGTTGGTCGAACGTTGTAATGTATTTTTGAATCCTTGAAATCAGTGCTGGAATTGTTGAAATTCCGGGTCTTTGATCGATCTCAAAGGCAGAGCCGACATAATCCGCAGTGACCTTATATTAGTTAGCTGTTCGATTCTTGTCTATAAACCCAGAGGTCGACTTTTAGACAAATCTGGCTAAATCTTGATAACTACCGCTTATAAAACTATGGTAATACACATAAAAAATTTTTCGAGTCATAGTCAGTTTTGGTCCCATACTCACACCCCTTGTTTTCGCTTTGGTGCAGTGGCGGTATACGATTAGTGAAAATAGTTTTGCTATGAAACCTGTGCACCTGTGTCGGCTAGTTTGGCCTTGAAGATTATTATGAAGTTTTCTCAAGTGCAACTATAAAGAAACCAATATTTTGACCTAGATTTAGGTATTGTATCATACTAAATTATTCTGACGAGCAGTTTTGTTCGCAAACATAAAGAAAAAAATCGTTAACCAGTATGTATGCTGGGTTTCAAAATTTTAGCCATAAGTACGGTATTGTATGTGTAGATCTTGAACAAAACAATTATAAAACTCGCATAACTCGCACAGCTTAACCGCGCAAAGCACCAGTACAACATGCTGACGTTGCTATATTGATACAGACGTACTGTATGCAAACTCTGAGCTTCCGGCTCTGTGCAAATGTTTGACACATCCTAAAAAACGGCAAATAAATAAGGACAATATGATTATCGCTTTGCTGCATCAGTGTCTCATGTGAATTGTTGTTTTTCAAACACCACATGTAATTATGCGTTTCTCTTACGTAAAACACAAAGATCGTTGACGTTCCGGCTGACGAACATGAAATATCTTACAAATCCCAGTGTTTGGAGTCGTTAACTTCATGTACTCCTGGGATTAGTATGCACTCGTATGCCCCAGTATCTGTACCGAACACACTACAAATTTAAGACCACTTAAATGCCAAACCATCAAAAACAGTAGATCATCGGATTTAAATAGACGCGTTTTGTGCGCAGACAGTGCACTTATATACCTAAATGAATTTGAATTCAAAATTGGATAAAACTATTTTGGATTGTTCGTACATTGCTGCCCTTCTAATGCTTAAAGACCCATTATATAAGTCAAAATTAATTACATAACTATCTGTACACTTCCATTTATAGCTGTTCAGCTAGGTAAAACCCTGATGATCTGTAATGTAGTTAAAGTAATGCAGGCGGCCACAAATATACTTCACCATGAAAGTTTTAACTACGTATTCAAGATAGACTTTCTAGCTTAGGATGTGATAGGTAATGTCCTCGTGATTACACCTCTTTGTTGAATTCAAATTTATGGCTGGTAAATTCCGACGATGCAACTGCTATTTAAATACCATATTACAGTACGATTTTTTAATTAAGTTTGATGTATTCCAGTAGGTACTTGTAGACAGTACCGTTCAAGATGAATAATTATGCCTGGCTGAGCTTAAGCTTATCAGCATGTGTACAGAAAGGATGTAAGATTTTAACGTTGGCCTTAACAATGTTGACACTGTTTCGCAACCTGAAGTTTTATCCCATAAGTATATAATCACAAAGTGTACGAAGGTGTGATTTAGAACTATATATAAATATATACTACTCTGTAGTGCTTGGTGCTTTACTGCGCGCCTAAAATACTTAATTACTAGTAATTAAGTATTTAAGTCTGCGCGACAGTCAAATGTGCATATGAGTACTCATATGCACATTTGACTGTCGCGCAGACGTAAAAGAAGGCGGATCTCAAATTATCGAAGCTCGATATCTACCCGCGAATATTACAGCTGTTAGTTTAAAAAGATATATGTACATACAACGATAGGCTACTTCGTAAAAATTATCTATCCGGGCCATAATCATTATCCGTGAATTGCTCGGTGCTTCATGTTCATGTTACTGAATAATATATGTATTATGCATACATGTACGCACAGTACGTATTGTCAGTTAATCGCACGGGAAGTGATAACAAACTGATTATCTACAACACAACTGTCGACAGATAAGAAAATAATCGGGTAATTAGTGCTTGTTAGGAGCTGACAGAGCGTGCATGGTTGTTGCAGTTTTCGATCGTTTATTACCAACGTGATACACAGTTACTGTGGAGGGGCAGTATTCTAGTGAGAACGTCCGGAAATGGCCCTCTTAATGCTTTTGTACGTTTTCGGGACTTTAGCCGGGCTATCCCTAGCCGAAAAAGATGTCGCTGTTATCGAAAACCCGGAACCAAATTTTAGAGGTAATGTACAAAATCCTGATTACACAATTACTAAGTAGTCTTGCAACATCCGTACATTCATTAACGAGTACATTCTCTGGATCGTGGATGCAAAACCGAGTACGACTCCCGCATTGCAAAGTTTTTGCTAAAAACTGAATTCTTATTTGCAGACAAGTCGACATTTCAGTGCTACGTATGCCACCCATCAATGCCTTCCTGTGGGAACAGAATTGACTGCTGTGTAGAACCAAACCCTGCCCATCTGCAAAGTATAACACATATAGTAGTTGATACTATAAGTTAAATAGCAAATTTCGGCAATTCTGTACAGTTTTGCAGATAAACTATGGGCTTAGTAATGTCCACCAATTGAACAATTCAAGAAGCTCTTTAGGAAATTGTCACCTTTGATTAAATGTTAATTTTAAGAACAGGTAAACTGTCCAAAACAAAAATTATAAATACTGCAGTGAGATATACTATAAATAGTAAATCCATTAAATAATTATGTAAATTTTAAGTGTGCATAGCATACGTTATACAAGACCAGCTACAAAATCTGATAACAACCTTGAACCTTATATGATCGCATAATTATTAATTTTTATATATTGTATTCATTCGCTATAATCATGGTTTAAATGGCCTGTTAACTCAAAAACCTAGCTATGTTATCATACCATAAATGGCAAGAAACACAGAACAAAAATGGTGCGCTGGATAAATTTAGTTATACATGCCATTTACTCGTTCGTACTGTTATAATTGTTTTATTTTAGCATGCGCGGAGTTCAAGCCTTCGGCAGACGGTATCACCTACGGAGCCTGCTTCAAGACTACGATGCTGCAAGACCCATGTAAGTGATACGCAAAGCATCAGCTAGTGTAAAATTGGCAGATTATTAATGTAAAGTATAATTCCGAGAGGTTACTAAACGCACATTCTTGTACCTGGAAGAGTCTACAGATACTTCAACTTTTGCAGAAGCAGTTGCATGAAGTTTAATAAATATTATAGTATATATAAGTATGCAGTTGTATGTAGTTTAATATTTTTCTTCCTGTTTATACCTATTCAGTTTATAATGTTACGCGCGGATGCAACAAACGAGGAGGTTTGACCGGAAGCGGAAAGGACGAGTGCAACACCAACCCTAGCACTAACGAAGAAACATGCAACTGCGATCACTCCCTTTGTAACGGAGGCTCTGCCATGAAAATGCAGTTCGGCTTGTTAATCGGCATCGTCACGTGGATTATCTATAGAACTGTTCCTTAAAACAAGAATTAATACCCAATTTTGTACAAATATTTTTGATGCAAATAGTGTCCATTGTCCTGCAGGGATACTGCTTCAAAGCACCGATGGACGATGACCGTTTTGTTTTTCGTTCCCCTTTTTCCAAAAGACGTCAATAAACTTTACGTACATTTTTCGAAAAATGGGTGCTGCTGTGTTTTTTCACCGTCTGTGAACCACCTAAATCAAACCCATATCATGGCATAAATAAAAGTTTGTTACTCTAAGGCTAGAGTAGAAGTCACTAAACGGATAACACTTTGGAATTTGTTCAGATTTCCTTCATACAAAGATACTTCCAGACAACAATACTCCATGGATAGCAATCTTATTAATACCCGAACTTAAATACTGGTAGTAGCACAGGAAACAAACAGCAGTTTCTTTTCAATATCACTGGGATGCTAACGATAAACCGCCAATAAAATCAAAATAGTTTTTCGAAGCAAAGCAAAAAAGGACTGCGCGGATTTATCCAGAGCCATCGCAGGTATGCAAGTATGAAGTTAACACTGCGCTCGAACATACATAACGCTGCAGCAAAAAGCGCATGCTACTCTATAAAATTTGTTTAAAACCAAAAACAACTGAAACTCTCCATTTGTCAGACAAAGTCACACAGTATCACAATTGTACCATTAGTTCCTGAATATCGACGTCACACTGCTCATCTTCCACACATAACCGCTCTACGCTTAGCGCTTCCGTTAGCCACTTCCTGGCTTCGGATTTGTTCCCCTGCTGTGCAAAACACTGCAAAGACGAAAGAATGATTGCACACATGACGTGCAAAACCATGATAATATAATGTGAGAAAGCACTTTAATAAGAGGCTAAAGCGGCATAGCATCCTGCAAAACCAGCGAACAAAAATAAGCCACAATAAACTGAAAAAAGTGCAAATCTCACAACTATATGTTTTGAATAATAAGAAGCCTGTAAGAATAACAATATTAACACTCACCTTGGCAATGTAGTACATATTGCTTTTGAACATCTTTGGCTTCAGTTTCTCCGCCTCGAGAAAGCACCGTTTCGCATCCTCCACCGTTACTTGGGCGTATTTCCCGAAAATCGCTCGCACAGCAGTTCGTTCCACCCATCCCAGTTGGGAAATCTCATAATTCCATCTGCCCAAAATATGATGCAATGACGCATCGTTGGGGCGCAAGTCCAGGGCCTGCTGCAACAAGTCCCTTGTCGCCAGGCCATAATTGATCTTCTGGGTTGTTTCGGCATAACGCGCCAATCCACCGGTCGTTAATGCGCACCATTTCAACACGTCGGGATGCGAATTGTTCAACTTGCGTGCCGCATCAGCATACTGTTTGGCTTCCTTCATTAACGCAATGCGCGATGGAACGTCATGTTTCAGACACTGGTTACCATAGATGAATGTGGCCTTGGCGAGACGCCACAAATATTCAGGATCTTCTCCAAACGTCGGTTGCTTCGATTTGATCAACTCCAGTGCCTGCGTTACTTGTTCATTGGATACTGACGCATCCAAGATCATATCGATGGCATCGAAAGGAGTTGGGCGTACCGGGGTGTCAGTCGCCTGTCCGCTATCGCCTCTGCAACCATTAGAAAGCCTTGAAAACAGCCAGCTTATAATTAGTTTCGTCATTAATTAAGCCTGTTTAATGAGGTCTGTATCATTTTTTAACTTACACAAAATGAAATGTTCATCAATTCCACACTGATAAAATCGCCAAGGCATCGGATTCCATACACGTTACGGAAATTAGGTAAATTATTAATTCAACCTCCCGATTTGTGGTGCAAAATAAAAGCGTGAAAATTACACTTACCACAGAAAAAATGAACTACACTGAATCACGAACGATTCAAATTCACAGTTGAGAGAAAAAAATTATTCACGTACAACATTAAGATATTAAATGTTAATTTTAATTAGTGTAAAACAAATAAATACCTGTTTCATGTAATAATTCCATATCATTCTTTCGGAACGAAAATATCCATTAATCATTTGTGTGAAAACAGCGGGAGCCGTGCACATTTAGAAAAATGACACCGCCCGAAAAATGGCACATTTAGAAAAATGGCACTAGCACAAAGAAAAATAACCAAAGCCAAATCTTAAAATTACTGCTAACTGCTAAGTGCTCACAGATAAACAAATTAACCAACAGTAACCAATGCACAAACCATAACGAAGAACCAACTATACACAAAACTTCCAGCTGACTACTGAGCACAGCTGTTAGAAATTCAGGAAAAACTGCCACGTACCTCATATGTTCAAACTCTTTTTCGAAAATCAAATCCTGACGTACGCCTTCATCAAAACCATCCTGAAGAGCGTCTTCGTAGACATCGTCATCATCGCTGGTAGGCGAAGCCAGCGGAGAGGCCGGCAACATGCCCGCAATGGACAATCCTTGGTTGATACTGCCAATATCGCCGTTCTCGGCTGGCACATGGAACGCTACCCCATCCACCTCCACATGTCCGTTAGAGAGACGTTTCTTCAGAATGGGTTTCAATTGGCGTTTTTCCAGTTTTTCGTCGTCCGCCGACAGGTAAACAGAACCGTCATCCGAATCGGAATCGTAGAACTGCAACCGCCGTGGTCTCCGTCGCTTTTGCCCATCCTGTAACGGATCGCGGTTCATCTGCGTCAGACTCTCCTGCACACGGACCATTCCCTGCTGCAGACTGCGCAGTTCCTCGTACACGCCACTCAGGGAGCGGGACAGAGCCTCCACGCGTTCCTGCTGCATGGAAGCCGTCCATCGGCGGTAGAAATACACCGAAGTGCCTCCAACCACCAACCCAATCCCCATGGCGGATACCCCGACCATTAGCAACTTCCGATCAGGAGGCGGAATGAGACGCCAGAATCTCGAAATGGACAGATCATCCTCTGCGCCGGTGGCGCCACTTATAGGCTCCGATGGAGCACCGAAACCGGATGAAGTCAGAATGCCGCGAACATGCTCGTGGGCCGCCATTCTGAAAACAGATCAAGACTACGCTAGCGGGCCAGCGGCATATCTCTAGTCTCCCATTCAGTTGGAGGAACCGATCAGCATATTTCGGTATTTGCTTGTGAACGCCTCAACAAAAGTCTCTCATGCTGGGCTTATTTTGTATAATGCCTGAACATAATCAACCATAAATATTAAAAAATACCGCTCTAAAATTAAACCACAAGCATAAAAAAATTAAAAATAAAATTTTCAGCCATAAGGACATAAGGTCTAAAGATTAGTGTAAAGCGAAAGCGATTCACGCCACTGTCAGGCTCCACAGAGTCACAGACCACAGACTCCGCACACATCCCTGCTTCCCTTACGATCCCTGGTTTGAAAAACAACGAAACCATTGCATCTGGTGCGGTAGCAGCAATTGCTGTGGTCGCTTAAGCAACCACCTCACGGAACACTTGCCACTCCTCGTGTGAGTAGTCGTTATACCCCCCGGAAATGGGAAGCCGACAGCACTACCGGGGTAGTTAAATATACTGGGGCTAATAATATACTCTGCACCTCTGCTGACTCGTTCTCGCTTAACTCGTCTCGTTACTTTTATAAGTTTATTGTTACTGTCGTTTGTGTAAGTACTGTTATGTAACGGTTTATGTTGGGTGGCTTCCAGTGGCTTGCTACTACTTGAAGAACTTTGTACGAGCTGTAGAAAGGAAGTGTACAGGCAGCTCACACCCTTCCTGTGTGTTGAATTCTACAATATTGTTGGATAGATCATACTCAGAACCCCTCTTCTTCCAAGTTTTGGTTGCAAGCCCCATCAGACAGGGAGAATTAGATCCTGGTGCAAAGAACATGCATATAACGAATTTTCTGGCAGTTGGTGGCACTGGCTGGCGAGAGACTCTTTGGGTGAAAGTGGTGCAAACATTGGTTTGTCAGCTGAGTTTCTTCTCATTCAGGAATCGTTGCAGTTCTACTCTTCTCATCATAATCATTGCAGTTCTACAAGTAATTGTTAATACCATAATTCCAAGCTGTCCACCCGCTATAAACTTGTTCTTAACGTTTTCAGGTTGCCAAAACCCGCATGCAGTTACAGGGCGAATTAGCATCACGCGGCCAGTACAAAGTAAGCTGTGCACTGTTAATACGTCTGAGGGCACTTGCACTAATGTTGGCTTTGTTTGCTTTGACAGTTGGTTCCGTTCAGCTGGAGTGTTCATGTAGGTGCATTACAGGAATGTGTTGCACGCCTTCTACACTGTGGGTGAAAAAGAGGGCTTGCTGGCGCTGCAGAAAGGCCTCGTGCCGGCCATCTGGTACCAGTTTGTTATGAACGGGACCCGTTTGGGAACATACCAAATATGTATCAACGCCGGCATTACCAGCAAACCCGACGGAAGCAAGAGTTTCTGGCGCTCGGTTCTTGCAGGGGCCCTTGCAGGTAATTTTGTGCATTTCGTTATTTTGACAAAACTTACTCGAAGTTCAATTTTTTCGTAGGCTGCATCGGAGCCAGTCTTGCCAGCCCTTTATATTTGGTGCGGATGCTGTCATGTTACGTAGTATAATTATTATTAAATGCCACCGCATTATGTCCGCATACATGGATTGGGTTACTGAATATTACTATTGCAGGTGAAAACCCACTTGCAAGCCGAAGCTAGTCGGGAAATCGCTGTTGGTCATCAGCACCATCACAGCAGCATGTTGCAAGCATTCCGTTCGATTTATGGACTGCATGGAGTTGTTGGTCTGTGGCGCGGTGTTTCCGGTGCAGTTCCGCGGGTAACTGCGTTTGCATTTTGTGTATCGTCAGTGCGTCCGTTTCCAGTCTATGTGGCGTTTACGGCAAAGAAGAGCAGGTTTTATTTGTTTTCTAATATACATACCTTGGATTTGTGCATGTTGTTGTTTGATCAGGTTATGGCTGGATCGTCCTCGCAGCTGGCAACATTCTCCCTGAGCAAAGAATGGCTGGAGAAGCATTTCGTAAGCTTTGATTCATCACTGATAAATTCTATCTCCTCATGGAATTCTCACTTGGCAATGGTTTCAGCATTTTGGTCCGCATGACTGGAAATGCACTTTTTTGGCCACCTGCATCTCCAGTTTGTCTGTGACAGTGTTCATGACGCCTTTCGACGTGGTTTCGTTGCGCCTTTACAACCAGCCTGTGGATGCCAGCGGACGTGGGACGTTTTATTCCGGCTTCCTTGATTGCGTGGCCAAAGTATTGAGAAAAGAAGGCCCATTGGGTTTTTATAAAGGCTGGACAGCAGTTTTTCTTCGGTTGGCACCTCATACCATCTTCAGCTTACTTTTTTGGGATGAATTGAGAAAGTTTTATTTTGCCACCTTTCCGACTGCGCCCGGATAAGGCGCCGACATGGCTTCGTTTTTCAGAATACTTAATATTTTATCCTTTGCTCTTTTAAGGTTTTATCTGTCACATTCGGCAAAAAACTTTGTATAGTGAGTGGAGATTGTGTTGAATTTTATTCTTTCAAGACTTGAGTAGGATGGATTAACGTTCATGTTTTGCTCATTGTGGAAAAAATAAAAGTGTTGTGTTTTTTCTTTGGTGAGAGTTAAAGTACCTGAATGATAAAAAATTGAAAATATTACGCTCAGTTTGCTGTTTTGCGCAGACTATAGATATATGACTCAATTGTTTTGTATCATGTAAGAAAAGAGGTTGATATTATGTGAACAAAACGTAAAACTTTTAGTCATATTGAGTTTGACTACCCTACCATTTTAACTTTTTTAGGTTGTGAGTTTGAACCATATAAATTCGTTTTATGCCGTTAATTACTACGTATTCGAAATTTCGAATGGAGTTCTGGCGCTTCGCGAAATGAGAGTGTTCGATTTCCGGCTTATGGACCTTTCTCGCTCCCATGCAGTTCAGCACTTTCCACTGAAATAGTCGAATGCATAACATTACAATTATTTTTATGACGATTTCATTCGTACGGGGTTGTCGGTAGTCTCGATTCAAAAATATATTTAGCTATACGAGTACACCATGGCAAGAAATTATGCCACTATGTCTATGATGTATTCCTCCATGCGTAGCTAGTGACAGCTGTTTAACGAAGTTTAACCATCTCGATCGTGTTGTGGACCACAATATAAAATGCCGGGTGTGTGAATAAGGCTAGTTAAGCTGTACGGATGTGCAGTCAGGTTATTGTAATCGGGCCGCCATTTAAACGTCCTCGTCAATTTGTTTGTCCATTTAGCACTATTAACAAATACACCTGAATTCGGCGGCAATTTGGATGCTGCAGACGGAATATTACGAGGAACGGGTTCGGTTCAGTGCTCAATGTGGCACAAAAAGCTAGCTTGTCGCTGATAAGGAGTGGAAGCAGCTGCCAGTTTTGCGGCTCTCTGGGCGCCCTTTTGGAAAGTCAGAGCGGAAATATAAGAAGCGTGGCAGGCATAACTGCGGTAAGGAAACCGACCAAATGCCTGTTGCATCTCTCGAGACGATAGAGTTCATTCAAACCATATACACATATTCTTTTAGGTCGAATCTCTCTGCGCTCTTCTGCGCCACGAGTAGAATGGATAGCAAAGACAATATCGGGAGCGGAGATATATGATGAAATTCCCTGAAAACATGGTTTGGTGGAAGATTCTGATTGTGGCGGTTTTGTTTGCGTAAACAAGTCAACAACGACATGCCGTGGACAGCGTGTCATTTTGCAAATGGATAATTCGGAAATACTGCCCCACTCTCATCGTGGATATTATCGGCAATGTGGGATTTCGAAGGTACCATATAAATATTGCAAAGGCAATTTTACTGATCGTGGCAGTATATTAAACCAAATTGTGTCGTTAAATTAAAGACTTGTTTCGTATTTACTCGAATAATTTCCACAAATTTACTTGGTGTCTGTGCGGCTTAAATCGATTTTATAATCGTTTCCCTTATAAAAATGTGCATTTGGAGACATATTTTTACAATAGGTTTATCATTTGGCCAACGCATGCGCAGGATAGAAAATAACGCAAATTTCAAAATCATGATTGTACATAAATAATTGTTTTACGTGATCTTATTATCCCATCATTCCTATGTACAAATACAGAGTACTGTACCTGATTCGTGACCACTACTCGGTAGAGCATATGTGGTGATAAGTTAACGCTGTTAGGTGTGTTAGCTGTGTACAAAGAAGTATTGCGTAACGCGTAGTGTTATTTGTAAAATCGCTGAATAAAGTCACGAGCAGGCCATAGATATTGTTTGGAATGTTTTCACGGCCAGCTTTGCATACAAACAAGATTTTGTAACTCTACAACCAGTTTGCACATAAATACGGCAGACACATAATTTCCAGCCTTTATACAGTATCGCTAATGCGCGGGACCGGTAAAAAACTCATGAAAAGTGCTGCTGAGTCTATTCCCAGATTTTATCTCTTATATACCTTGCCAGTTGACAGAAGTATCCCGCGACTACCATAGTAATCACGATAATTATTATGCACATATTTATGCACGATGTGTTAGATATCCGTTCTTGTTAATTTAATTTTTAATTTAGAATCGGAAAGACACATTTAAAATTAAGATTTATTTAATGCAGTCCAAAAGTAGCAACCGAATAATTTGGTTAGCAATACAATGCACAGTAAAAATGTAATTCAACAAAAAAATTATGAGTATGTGTGTTCGTTAAACTTCGTTTTCTATATATTCTTTGGCGCATTTTAAGACAATCATTTGAGTGCGCAACGTTTCTGAAGCATGATTTTAAAAAAAGCTATATAGCTGGATTTGGAAAATTTGCATAAATGATTTTGCAATTACTACATTCATTGTTTTGCTAAGAAAGGAATTCAAAAAGAAGGATAATTTTTTATTGCTTTACAAGAACCATATTCTGAAATGACATGCAGCGGTTTCTTACGTTTCTGGAAAGAAACCGGTTAGATAGTACCATAGTGAATAGTACAATACTACTTCTTCCAAGCTCACAAGTCAGTAAAAGATTCCTCGCTTTAAGATGTCTTGAAAAATAAATAAATTTAAATGCGGTTAATGTCTTCTGCATAAGGAATAAACGACCATGGTACGGAAAACACCAAAATAACTCCGACTTTAATGTAAACAACCTTTTGTTTGTGTTTTCTAGTTTTGATTAGCTTTATTATGAGGTTTCTTAAACTTGCAGCAGTTTGTAACATATATTCTGAAGTGCGAAATCGAATTTCTGCTTAGCATTAAAATTTTCACAATCTTACTGTGTTTGCAATTATGAATTTGAGCTGAATAATAACTATGGTGTTTTTAAATATTGCAAAATTGACATTATTGGTAGGAAACGCTTTCCCTGGTTTGGAAATGCATACCGCTTATGACTATCTCATTTCGGCGTCAGCAATTAAGCGACATGTGTGGCCTTGCGGTCAAGTCTGGTCAGCGTCAGGATTTCTTGTAAATGAGCGGTGCAGTTTTGAGTGAAAATGATTTCCGGAGCAGCCTATGCGATATCTTCGATGACTTCCCATCATTTCCTTTAACCAGTACGGCTAATTATTCGTTGTGTTGCTTGGCCTTCTGAATGACAAGGACAACATTAACTACGTAGAATGATATTTATGAATACTATGCAATGTTGAGAAAATTCCGCGGTCACACCGGGTTAAATTAAATGAAATCGAATTCGAAATAGCTCGATGCAAAAAACTAGCCGAAGCGTGTATTACCATCCAGCACATTCCTTGCATGATGTTTTCCTTTTTCCTTTTTATCTGAGTTGGCCTTTTAATGGTTTAAAGGGATTTACTGACCAATGGACTGCAAAATTACTGTATCCGATAACTTAAAATGAATGGACGGATCAGTGCAAATACTTTGGCGAGACAATCTGCATCGATCCTCGCCCACAACGTTTCTATGGTCTTATCGATGTTTAACATCGCAGTATTAATATTAGTGTAGAGCATATTTCATTTATAAACTGTTGACTGCCCTGTGGACAATCGTCTGCGTGGTGCGGAGTACTGCAATATGTACAGAGTAATTTTCTGCACCCTGACTTCCTGCTGCACGCGAAGCAGCGATATCCGCTTGTAAAAGGTTTACCCTGAAAACGGGCGCAGCTTTGGAGGGGGGTTGTTCCTTATTATTGTCAATATTAACGGATGCCAGCTTAAGCTTTCTCTCATCGGACCATCTGGATGCGAAAGTAAAAGGCATCTTGGCCGTTGCAGTGGACCGGGGACACTTTAAACGTAGCTGCTCATGCATTAATGGGCAGCAGCAGCTGTGCTACAGCAGAATATGAACACCACATTCTATAGACACCGCAGTGTAGAAATTATAATATTTGATAAATGAACGTAACCTTGTACATTCTAGGTTACTCCCAGGATGATTGGCAAAGAGGAGATTCTCCCGCGGGAATACCATTCTATATCAAGTAAGTTTGGTGGAAGTTCCGCGCATTCCCACTGTTTATAACATACAAAACCTGGTGGGCGGCTTTTGTTACACAGTAATGGCATCCACATCAGAAAATCCCATCAAAAGCGTATCCAGGTAGTTCAACATCGATGAATAAAAAAATCTTGTTTTGTTTTGTTTTGGTTTAGAGTGTATAACAGAGCTTGGTTCTAAAGTTGCCACAGTTTTCTGTCTTAACTCTTAACCTTAACACCACGTACCGTTATTGAGTTATTCGTATTTATTTCTTCCATGCCAAACACCGCAAGCGTAACTACAAAACTAATGTACAGAGCATGAAACTGACCAAATAACGCATTTTGTGTTTTTATCGCTGTGGCAGCTGCAACTTCTCAAGCTACAGAATTGTGTGTTGCATAAGTAGTTTTACTGCGGTCCATTTGGTACTGCTCGATAAGGCTGGTTAATTGTCAGTATGCTGACAACCGCAAACTCTTAAAGGCGAATTAAATATTGAAAAACTGAGATTTGGAAAACGTCTGCCATCTGGCTTGCATTAGATTTGTGGCGCCATGCTACAAAGACTGCGTTGAGATCTGAGAACCATTTTTTTACTTGCGTGAAAAATGTATGCGAATGCCTTCGAGTTTCGACGTAATGACTAGCCACACTTTGTGAAACTTGAACCATAAAAAAGCGCTAGCCGCCGCTTAAATCCTCAGATCTCAGATCTGTCTGATGTGGGCGTTTTCGAGTAAAAATTCAGCTGCGAGCATCATTGATCTAAATTACAGAAGATAAATTCCTTTTTCCGTGTTGTGAGCAGCAGCAGTTGTTGGTGCGGAAGTTATAATTAAGCACGGATGATGGCAAATTGCCGGCAGACGCGAGCACTGGCTTATGATGCCCGGACAGTTGTTGACCATTAATGCGCGCCGATTAGAAGATGATGATAGCACGTTTTGGACATTCGCCGCACGTGCTTCAATTATGAGCATAACAACAAAAAAATTTCCGTGCAGCTGAAAATCAGAATCACATGTGCAGGTGATATCTCAACAGTACGTACAAACTGGACATCCTTTATAATAAACGCCGTTTATGGTTATACCGATTGGTCAAATATAGCGGCATATCATGTACGGTGCGGCGCATTTGTAATACAAAGGAATCACTGACTGTACGTCGCGTGCGTATAGTAAAATACGGTACATAATATTGTAAGCTGAAACGTTAGGTAGTTACGAGCGAGTAACATTATGAGTGAGTGCATTCTGAGTGCTGTACGAATACCGGTACGGTTATAAAACCGATCTTTCGACTTTGTAAAAATAACCGTTTGGGATAGAGTGCCGACCATGAGATTCTTCAGGTAGTATGCATTTAACGGGTTGGATCAGCGTTTTACAAGTCAGTTGAGGTGTCTGATATTGTAATTTGCTGCTATATATATGTGTGTACTCGGGAAACCTTATATTACTTTCGTGTGTGTTTTCCACGCCTATAAAGAGATGCTTAATTCACTTTCCCAACAGTAGCTATATTTCCTTATGGATAAAAGCCGGGGCTGTTCATACTGACACTGCGCACTGGGATTCCATTCGGCAACCCGGCTGAGTCAGGGGATTCATATACAGGACTCTCCGTGTGGCGCACACAGGAGCTGTCTTCATTGGCTTTGACTGTTATTACACATAGGTTGCGTGACAAACGTGCTCATTCGAGAAATTCATCCATGTCCTGAGTATATATAATTCCGACTTTGTCCTAGCCCCCGAGTGCATCTTGTTATCTCCAGCATTGATTGTTTTGCGGTTCATGTTCGAGTGTATTGTACAGTTTTATTGTAAAATTATTAGACCACCATAGATATACGTAATTAACAATGGTCGAGTCGGTGCTTGAAAAGCCGGTTGTACATAACGAGAAGAACACGGAGATAATACCTACCGTTCCGTCTCCCGGCTCCAGCCCGCCCAATGAAATTGTGGATGATCAGACGATTGATAATGCAATTGTTGATGGTAATTCACCGGAAGCCAAAGACAACAATGAGTTACTAAAACCGTCGCCGTCGCGCACGGCTGTTGAAGCGCTGTATAAGAGACTTCCTCGTTTTTACAAGGGGTAAGACGAAACTGATAAAAAAGCAATTATATAGTGTTTAGTCTGTTGACAATAAAAATCTCATCTATTTCAAAAGGTAGGTTTTTATTGCGTTGAAAAACCAGTAATTCACGGAGCTGTATTCGACTAGGTGCGCTGCCGGCTTTGTAGTCAGGCGGCACATTATCAGTGGATTCGGGCTAGTAAATATTGAGATTTTGCGGTAACCGTTCAAGATTTGATTTTTAACGCTTGAATAATGTTCTGCATCAAAGTAGTCCAACTGCCTGATCTGGGCAAGCACCGGTAGATTGTTCAAATTATCGCTGAATGTGGATGCCATACTGTGTATTGACATAAACGCCTAAGATGTTCACTTTAGTAAATACATGTCAAATTTTTTCTAATTTCAGCCACAAAGAACAAACTACACACTGGGACCATCCACTTCTTACGAAAATATTTGCAGAGGATATAGGTAAGCGATAAGGAAGCGCAGCGGAAGCTGCGGAAAGTTGTCTTTTCCTTCTTAGGCACATATAGACTGTTTTTTACTCATAATACCCTTGGCGATTTAATGGTCGAGTGCTCACTGGCTGTCAGTTGCTCTCCCGCTCTTTTTTATAAAATCCTCTTGCGCTTGGATTTGGTTTGCACAGAAATGAGTGGGTATCTGGAAAAATAATGGACTGTTTGAACTATCGTTACGCCATGCACAGGGTAAATTTCGCACCGCTATGTACAAATCCTTCGACAACCTATCACTTTGCTTAAAGTCAAAACTTTTCAAGTTTTTCAAGTGCCATGCCCGATTACCACGCGCTGAACACACATAAATATATAATATAACTTTTTATACTATATCATAATAATACGATCCACAACTCTTCACCGCATCTCGTCTGTGGGACATTTCCTATCGGTCGAGTAATCCCCGGCTTAAATATATGCACATATAAGGCTATTTCATTTCTCTAAGCAAGATTTGAACTTTGATTGTCATTTTGAAGGGTTCGGTGGGGCACCTGCACTTAAAAGTCAGCATAAACCATAAATCTTCCTCGTAGTCGTTCGCTCGTTAAAGTTAAGCCGCTTTGGCTACTAAGGTCTTCGGAGCATGGTATAAACCGGCAAAATTGTAGTAGTATCTGTCAACAACTGCGATTTCAGTGAACACAAGAAAATCTGGTCAGTTTGGTGGCGCTTTCCTTTTGTACTAAGCTTCGAATTTATTAATGCTGATGGCTGGCATGGAGAGGATAGATAGGAAATACTGCCTGGAGAATGTAGAAATATTTTAAATTTATAAGGAAGATTGATCTGGTGAACGGCGCTTCAGATGTGAAAGAGAGTTAACGAAGCCGTAACGTGCGCGTCTAACGAAATAAATTATAAACTACTGTACACTTTTAACAATAACAATCTTACATATAATAAATTTAAGAAGCACTTGAAAAATTTAAGAAGTACGGGGAAAGCTTTGTGTGTTCTGTGATATAATAACACAAAACTGTCTTTGTGAATGTTGCATGCTCTGGATAATACCCGTACTTAATGCATAATTTAAGCTTGTTGTTCGGTACCTACGGTTGGCACTGCTGTCTGTCGACCTTGCAACGTTTTGTTTATTGACTTTTTGCAAATCAACGTGAGGGTAAAACACCATTCGTTGCTGCGTGCTATTACGCAAGCTCATATGTAAATGTCATTGTTCAACTCCCTGAGAATTGGTTCGTGCAATCAGCCGGCTCTTAAATTAAATTTTCTGCAGCTGGTGATTGTTCGGCGGTGCGGCTTATTTTAGCAGCCAATCTTCCAGCATATTACGCAATTGCACTCCATGTAATTATTAATAAGCCATATTAATAACTTAATGGGTGGTCGTTACAAGCTGAATATTCGACACAACTCAGAAATCTTGGACCAGCATCCGCCAGTTATTACTTATATATATGCACGTAGCTGCACTGCTTATAATTCAAACGATCAATCCCGAATTATATTCCTTGTAGGATTAAATGGTAAAGTGTGCTCTTATGGCGTAAATAAATAAATACAAAGCGTATGAAAGGCCAATAACGCCATAGCAAGTCTGCTTGCGTTTGTTAACTGACTAGCGTGCGTTTTCCAAACCACAAATCGCTGATCTGTCAATAGGGAATGTTTTCGGAGCCATGAACTTTGTAATGATAAACATTAATTTTCACAAAAATTTACGACGGCCACCTTGGTGAAGTTGATCGGATGCTACAGTTGCATTTATTCGGTATACTCTCATTCGAATTTTCGATCGGATCTGCTGCATAGATGTACGTCGGTGATTGTAAAGTGTTGAAAATATGCCGGCAGTTTAATATCCGGCCTGACATGCATACCTATTAACATACATAACTACCCAGTCTGCTTCGGTTGTGCGCAGTTACGTTGCACCACATTGCTTTTACAATAAAATTTTATGTTAATCTGGACGAACATACTTTTTGATCATCCAGTAATTTTGTGTAACTTTTCTTATTATTTGCTGATTGTGTATGCTGGTAATCATATCCGTGACAAATACGATGGCTGTATCAAAAGTTATTTTTTTCTCAGTTTCACTCTGTGGTTAAGTTAAACCTTTATTTAAATTTGTCGTGATTGACAACACTATGTTCATCGGCTTAGTGATTTCTTCGATATTCTGTGCCCTTTATGCACAGGATATTATGTCATTAAATTTCAACCGATCAGGTTTAATTTGTATGACGTGACAAGATAGCAAAACTCAAGTGACAAGTCACGGTACTATTTTGTCCATAACCGTACATCAAGCTTTCTCAGGGTCCGTTGGGGTTGGCTGGAAGTGGTGCTTAGGCCTTTTCTCAAAGTGCCCTTTGTACGTTCCCCTGGGATCCGGCAGGCGTCATTGAACGCATGAATAAATCGCCCAGTCATGCAATCTTGTTTTGGGTTTTGATTGTAATCGCTTTTCAGATCCGATTAGAAACTTGTTCTTCCATTTAACGAAGTTACAGTTCTGGCTCAAAAAAAGCGTAGCGGAGCCAGATTTTACATGGGGGTTCCACTTTCAAAAAAAAGAGCCGGTTATCAAAGTTTTAGGCCACTTAATGCATTCGAAAATAAATAAAAGCAAATGCCATACGCTAATTATCGTTTCTGATTTCAAAATAGAGAAAGTAATTTATTATAGGATATAGTTCCCACAGACAGCGTTATCCTGTTCCGTTACTGTATTCAGTGTACTCGTACAAGTTTACAGTTAAGTCAAAACTGGTGTTTGTATGAAAAGATCAATTTCTCTTATCTAAGAGCATTAATCCATGGGAGCTGTTTGCTTCCAATGAAGTAATTCTGGATCACATTCCATTCCTTTTGTCAATGGACTTTTTTAGGTTATCCGCAGCCATAAAGAAAATTGTCCAGTGTATGTACATTAATGATCAAGATCTCAGTGGGATTCCGAAATCGTTCTCTCTTACAGAAGCTTGGGCTAGTAGACGGTTTTCAATTACCATCGCGTTTGTTAGTCCGGAACTTGTAGTTACTCGTTAAGAGCCTGCGTATGTAATGGCTGTTAATGAATCCTCCGTGTCGCATCTTGTTGAGAAGTGTGTGTATGTGTGCGCATTTTATACTTCTAATCTGATCATACGGCAAATGTCCCGTGCCTCCATACACAAACAACTGACAGGGCGAGGTGCGGAAATCATCGTGTCCGCCAGTAATCGATAATGCAGAGAGTCAGCACTGTTTATGCAAATGCAAAACAGTCTTCTTCCCAATATTTCTGATCGTTGGCTGCCGCATGCATATACATATGCAGCAATGGAATGCTGAATGAACCCCGGTCCTTTTCTCTCGTGAATGCTCATCCCGAGGCGTGAGAAGTCGAACATTCATCAGAGCAAGTAGATATCCGCGTATGCAGGAGAGGCACATGTCAAACCATTTCTCACATAGAAAACACTAATGAATGTACTAGTGTGCGTGCTTTGCCTACTTGATGAACTATTATTATTCTTAAAAATGTTGTCAACGGGAAAATGTGAGAGCACCCCGGCCAAAGTGGTGGTAGATAATTTCCGGTCAGCAGTATCCACTACTGCCCAATGGTCAAAGATTGACCCGCTATTATAAAGTATTCAAGTGTGTTGCTGGAAATTGTGCTTGTCAAGCACGTCATGTTTATTCGGAAATCAAGCAGCTGAATTTGTGCGAGAGGCAACATGGAAAAATATTTGTCTACCCTTTATTTTAAAATATTCACAAATTGATTGTTGTCTGTGCGTTTCGATTGGCTTTACCTTCTAGGTCAAATAATTGTATTTGCTTATAATTCCATTTCATACGGCATAACGTGGTAATGTGATAAAACAACCACTCTGACCTAATTGTGGGAACAAATTGCATCTTGGTGTTCCTATTCGCTAATCGCTATGGGCCCGTATTTTGGCTTAGTATTTATTCCAAAAATCAGGTCGTCCAAAAGGGTAATCAAGGAAATCTTGTCGGGCTAAGTGAGTAAGTAAATTGATTGGGTTGTCCATCCTAAACAGAGCCACTTTTCCCGGCAGTGTTTAGAAGGATAGCCATTTCAAAATGCCCAATTAAAACAAGAATAGTAGAAGGGATTACTAAATGGCAGTGCTGTATGCGGTATATACTGCCGAAAGATTGTCAAGTGCGAAACGAAGAAATGTGGCCCTGTTTGCTGTCGACTGTTTTGATTACCTGCAGGAATAGGTTTGTGCATTTCATCGCCAGTATTTGACCAGTTGACCAGATGTAACCAAGCGTGTAAGGTCAGCGACGCGGTTTCTTTTCAAAATTCAGGCATGCAGTTTTGGAAAGTGATATTTTCTTTGTAAAACGGTGAAATGCAACTCCATCCGACAGACACGTTGAATGAATTGTCAAAGCCGGTGCAGTCGGCAACACCTCGCGCCGGAACCGGATCTTAGGTTGCCTGGTGGTTTTATTAGGCTGCTCTGTGTAGCATAATAAGATTGTGCAGTCTGGCGCAGATATTGCGCATTTACCCGAGACCTGCTTCTGAATCCACATGCGCCGACTCTGCCAAGAGCAGGGGACTCAGATTTCAATCTGCATGGAAAATGGGCAATGATATTCAAATAAAATATTATTATCCCGCTCGCTTCTCCCCAGAGCGATATATTGCGCATTAAGGTCCACTAAAGCCTTCAGCAGCCGATCGTAATCGCCATATTTTAATTTACATGACATACATATCGATCATTGAATAGGCATGGTCCGTATTATCTGCATGACCTTTTTCCTTTCATCTAATAACGCAATACGCTTTTTATTGCAGCATCCTACAATGACGTGCGATATGCGGCCTACAGGACGGCACTTAAATTTCGGACATTATCAAACCGGTTACAATGTAAGCCTATGTTTATTCGGTGATCGGCAAAAAAAAGCACTAAGCAAATATCAGTCGGACTTAATTAGGAGTACAAGTACAATTGCTTTCGATTTCAAACGCATTTAAACTGGAAGCCAGTAATTTTTCTCGGTTTCTAATGCTTGAAAATATATGTTTCCTACAATAGCTCAAAGTCAACTGCTTCGAGGGCAAAATGATTTTATAAAGTCACTGAATGGATTCATAGATAAAATTACAGGCTGCGAAATGTGCGCCGCATTCCAAGCCGTCCTATCCAATTAAATAGCTGTTAGAGTGTTGAGTTTAAAGATGTTATTATGTATCACTTAATAGGCAGTCTATGCCACGCTCTTGCACAACAAAATAAAGCTGACCAACAAGCTAAAAATGCTAAGGTTCACTAAAATCGGTTTTTTAAAGAAAATAATGCATATGTACTTAAAAATATGAAACCAAGAATTTTTATTGCTACATTTTTGAATTAAATGGTATTAAAAGAAATGATGCAAATATTTGATTTACGTACCGAATATGATATTGAACTATTGTCGATATATAATTATATCTGTAGTGCATTCAGCTATCCAAAAGTAAGCTAAAATTTTTGTTTCGTCTTTCATAAAGCCATTAAGGGTTTTACGAACTGTCGACTTCTAGAGCTTCATATTTTGTGCCGCATGTCTCAAATTTTTTCAACGATTGCCAATAATAAGACTTTTGCATATCACCGTAGCAATTCAGTGTAACAATATTGACTTTTCATTTCATGTTCTTTTTATGGGCTGTTGCAGTGCACCAGATTAAATTATCGACAATCCGGAGTGTCCTAAAACAGCATGGATACGAGGCCGTGTACCAGAATCATACACTCATTCCCTGTGTAGAATTAGAGACTTTAGTGGCCGACATCTACCTGAGTGCCCGTCGCGAACTGCCCAGCATTGATCAGCCCGAAGTGAATGCTGAATTATTATTATGTTTGCTGCTGAAATTATACGATACAAATCGATGCGGTACCATTAAATTGATTTCCGCCAAAATTGGATTGGCTCTGCTCGCATCCGGCTCTTACTTGGAAAAGTGGAAATACATTTTAGGCGAATTGTTCGATTACAACCGGTGTTTAAGTCGTAAAAATGCCTTTAACCTCCTGGTTGATGTGGCCCGAATACCTGAAGTAAGTGCCCGGTCTTAAAAGATTGAGACCAAAGAAAATTGCAACAATACACCGGTGCGGTGTAATGGAAAAAAACTCAAGCGGTGTGCGTTAACATTACGTCATTGAGGCCGCTTTTGTTAATCGCTTTTTAAGATTTCACGTTCATGATTCACTTGACATACCCCTCTAACCTTTAGGGACTTCTTTACTTATTTTTGCATTTTGCAATAATCCTTGTTACGTAGCTGTGCATACTTTATTTTTTATATACTTATTTTCTTATTTTGAACCTTCAGATCAATTTACATTATAAATTCAATTCTTTATCTTGATTGCAGATTTTGGGTGAGAAGCGCCTGTTCGGGACACATTTGGTTCCGGCAGCCGTTGAAAGCCTATGGATTCGCGGTCGTCCCACGAGTGTCGGACTGACAGAAGATGGCTTCCGTCATTGGTTGAGAGACGAACCACAAACACTTGTTTGGCTAAGTACCAGCTACCGTATTCGACAGGCCGAACGGATACGGCATCATATCAAATGTTCGGTGTGCCGAACTCAGCCATTCAATGGATTACGCTATCGGTATGTTAAGAATCTCTCGTGGCTATCCACGGATCAGATTCCATTTGCACAGCACAACAACCATCAAGTGTCTGTTATTTCGTTTTGTGAACTTGAAATTCAAATCATGGTCAAGCATTCTTTGTCGTATAATGATGAGAAAAGCGGCCGATAATTTAGGACGCATCACCAACAAAATAGCATCCGACCATTATCGTGAACTCACTATATATTTTTAACATTTATGCGACGCAAGAAACTCATAATTATGTAGCAATATAAATTGTTTTATTATTCTTAGTGAAGAACGTTTCGAAAGGTATTATTGTTATATTGCGAACTCCACAGCATATCGTGACGGTACCATGGCGCGCGATGAGCTCGATACATCATTTTAGCACGTATCGAATAAATTGCTTTATTCACCATTTTGCAAGCTTCCGTTTCTCTACAAATAGCGAATTATGCACTAAGTTTTGATGATTGAAAGGTCGGTCACATTATCGTCGCAAAATTGCGTTAAAAATACAGCTAATCTTATCCTTTGATACCAACAATGAAGTGGTGTCCGGCCGTTACTACTTTGTACACGCCATTTTGGACATTAATTACCTGAACATTCTTCATCTGTAGAAGCGTCACTATTATGTGTACCTGTTGGTTACTCGCTACTATGTTAACTAAAAATTAATAAGTAAAATAATGAAATATTGAGTAGTATTCTGTATACGTTGTTCAAACAAAAATATATTCGATCTAAATTTCTGATAAAACAGTTTACCACAATAACGGCTGTAGCTTCAATTTAATGAAGTCGAACCGTACCACTTGAACGCACGATGAATTCTCATGGCCACAAGCCCACTGTGTTCACAGCCTTTGCTGTTGTTTGACAATAAGCCATCTGAAACTGGAGAATCCACATCAGTTATCTTTTTTATGGCTTGTACACGCCATAAAATATGATCTGTATTTTATGAGCAAACTTTACAACTCATGCAAATTTATGGCATTTACCAGCGCCAGTATTTATGGCTTAGGTGTTTGCGATGCTACAACTACAACATGTGCCAGAACTGCTTCTTCACCGGCAAATTCAACAAATCCCACCGCCTACGGCATCCCATCCGCGAATATTCCTCCTACGTCACCGCCGGCCAGGAGACAAAAGATCTCATTAAGATCATGAGGAATCGCGTCTTTCGCGGGGAAGATTATGAGCCCAAGCCCCGCTACATGCCCATTTTACCGGATTCGGCGTCGGCGATGGAATTCGCGGCCGGTGCCGACTCGGATCGCGAGCCGGACACCGCCGATAATCGGTCGCGCTCGACAGCGCCCAGTCACGGTAACAGTACCGGTACACCATCGGGGAGTGTCAGTGCGGTGAATAAAAAAGACTTTGAGGTGGATGTGGAAGTAATTAGCGAGCTAGATAGCGCGCACGGCGGCATTAGCGATTTGCAGTCCGAAAGAAATTACATGCCGCGATCGATCTCTGAGCCCATTGACGCGCACTTCCGTTTGGCATTACAGCAGCCGCCGACTGTGCCGGAAGATGCACTGGCGGAAGAAGCGGATGGTGCAGGCCGACCGGCGGTGGATGTGACAATCAAATCTCTGGATAATCAAACTCAAATTACCACGCCGGCCCAGCCGAGCGTGGTACCTAAAGATAACCCGCCGGCTGTAACTGTACCACCGCTGCCGGTATTATGGGAACCACAGATACCCGCGCCTGTAATCATGAAAGAACGCTCAGTGAGACAGGTAAATGTTGCCACTTGTCAATAACGTGTGCAACCTTATACTCATATCAGCCTGTTTATCGGTATTTTCTACCGAATGATGATAGCTATTTGCAGTAAATTTTTAGCGCTTCGATTACTTCTCTTCATTTTCCGCTTAGAAAAACGTTTATTGTTTAAATTATCGATTTAAAACGCTGCTGTAAAATGTCATACCTTTCGAAGGAACCTCCGGCGCATCCCAGCCCAGCAACGACAAAGCGCCAAATCAGTGCAGTCACCGCACAAATTCTCAACTACACCGAGGTGGACGTCCTTCTACCGAAAGTCCAACCTTCAGTTCCCAGTATTCCCGTGAAAGGCAAGACCAAATATACAGAAGTTGTTATCAATAAACCGCCAACAAAGTCAGCAATCAGCGTTCAGAACGACCAGCAACGTGTCGGTCAGTCGAGCAGCAGTGAGTTCTCTACCCTGGACTACATTGACGCGAGCCCTCGGGGAGAACCGCCCATTCAGTATGAGCGCATCCAGCCACGCTCCTTGTATCCCAAAGTCATTAGCAAGAGTTCTGTCGAGGTCCAGACGGATGTCGCGGAGCGCGCAGTAAATTTAGATGAGATTCGACGACAGGTCCATGTTATGCAGCGGGAAAACAGGTATTATTCTTGAACGGGTTCTCATGACCTTTACTTTTCTATGCGGCTGTGGCTGCGGATGGTAATTAAGTCGCAACCAAAACAGTTACGCCTTTTTTAATTTAACCGTTCCCAAGGCGGGAGCATGTGTTGACAGGGCAGTCAAATTGAAATTCTAACCGCATGCGACAGATAATTTTTTTCGTGGTGGTTGTGTCAGATGGAAAAAAATCATTTGAAATGAGTTAAAGCAGAACGAGACAGCGGCAACGAACCGCAGCAAGCCAGCGAAGTGGATAATATTGTTGTTTGATTTATGTTATGTGATGGGTATTAACGTCAGCTTTATAGGACAACACTTAAAAGCAATTCATAAAATCTGTTTATTCAAGCGTGAACTAATCAAAACTGTTTAACGGATTATTGGGCCTGGTTGTTGTTGTTATAGAGAACTTCACGATCAGTTTGACGCCATGCATCGACTAGTCGATTCTTCATCGCCCTCACCTGAACTCATCGTCGATCGAAGTAAACTCGAGCATGCCATCTCGCGCAATGCTAATTTTGAAGCACAACTTGAGCATTTAGAGAAAGATGCTAGTGGATAATATGGGTCCGCGCACGGCGCCTAACGGTTACGACAAACGTTCACTGGGCCGGCCGCCGGTGGAGAAATGGCCCGGGATCGGATCACGACCCCTTCCCGGAGCCTACAATTACGTCGGCCGCTCTGGGAGTTTCAATGATTCACTGTACCACCCTAACGACACCCGCCTGCCTCCCTTCCCGGTTGATAATCAAGTTCCTAAAGCCATTTCGGATCCCAATACTCCACTGAAGCGCAGCGCCGCCCCGCCCCCTCCGCAGCGTCACCTGCCGGTCGCCGAGACAAACGGCGTCCATTACCATCCTATCCTCGATGAACTAGAGGAAAAGCTGCGCTTACTGAATGCTCCACTGACGCCTCGCGATCTCAAACATCCCTTCTGGCACCATCTGAAGGAGAAATTCGAATCGGTCATGGGCCAGCCGAATCGCAGTCCGGCCGTGGGCAGTGTGTCGTATCAGAGTTATGGGAAAATCGACAAAGACTACGCCCATACACCGGCCAATTACGGTCGGAATATTGCGTATAATTCCACTTTGGATGTGTCCGACCACCTAATACCGGGCATTGCCCATCCCAGTCCCAATGAATCTCAGTCGAGTGGCTTCTCCTCGGGGCGGGAGACGGATCTGAAGTGGGAGGAAGAGCGCAGTGTATCGGCTAATTATCGGATGCCGCGCAGTAAATCCCTGGGCTTAGCGTCGCACCGGCAAGTCAGTGATGATATTGCACAACTGGACAAACTGCTGGAGTGGTTGGATGAGTTCAAGAAATCCACATGAGGATATACAGGCGTCTAATTAGATTATGAATATTTGATGAACCGATCATATTCCAAGTGACAACACTCACTGCGGACGTCAAGTGTTGAATCGGATGATTTTTGTCTCTTAACAAGTTGCGAAATGGCTGTGAAGTTTTACCTTGAGAAGTGGAATTTTATGTTGACTTTGGGATTAATTTGCGGCTCCTTATGTTGCGCTTGAATGGCATTTTTTGTTGGTACAAGTGGTCTCGCGCTCTCGTTTATTGTCAAGTTTATGCTTATGAAGTTTTGTTTGGATGTTTTCCTTTATTATACAGATCTGTGAGTGTATTTGTGCTGGTTGAAGTTATAAATTTGATTCTATTCCTACCGAAATAATTCCGACTTACCACGGTGAAACACGAATTAACAAGTCACAACACACATGGATAAATATAAATTTTTTGCTCTTCGTTATTGGCTTGTAATAACTCAATGGTTACTCTAACCTCGCTATAAAAAAGACAAGACTTGGTAGCAAACAAATGCACGATAAGGCAAAACGATCCAGCGGGGCAACGCAACAAAAGAAATAAATTATTAGAAATATGTAATTACTTATATTTTCACATGCACTGCGTCCTTCGAGCGGCGGTGAGTGTAGCGCTAATATTCTCTAACATCATCATCACAAAAAACGTGCTTATGCACGTACAAATAATTAGTAAATTTAAATTAATACGGAAAAATTGCTGATACTTTCCGCAAGATTGTCAGAGTCGCTGCATTCTATCGGTAGCAATGGGGAGACCGCTCTGAGCATGATGAATTTGTAATGGCAGCACTGACAGTGCACGAGCCAGTTCGTTCAATTTGTCAACCAACTGTTGAAGCACAATTTCATGCTTTTCCAGTCGCTCCAACAAAACACTTTGTGTTGGTAATTGATCGTCCAGTCCGCCGAAGGTGTTAGCTGCGCTTACAGTAAATCCACCTGTCGCCGTCGTCAACGGACTGCCATCTAGCGTGGCACTGCCAAAGGTCATCGTTGTGGTGTGCTCGGTTGACCGGTGTGTATTGACTGATGGCGAGTCATCGCGTGGCGTTGATGGAGCATCTGTTGGTGGTGTTAGTGTTGTCGATGGCTCCGTGGTCACGGTGACAGCTACTGGGGCACTGAAGGTGGACGAAACGGTCGTCAGTGCGGTGGCGCCGGGAGAAATGCTTCCCTTCTGCACCGCCGGCGTCGGATCCGATGAAGGAATGTCCCACCGTTTCCGACGATAACTTAGGTAGTTCACTAGGTGTGGTGGTTTGATCAGTCGGTTTATTTTCCAAAAAATGTGGTTTCTGCTCCTTTGAAGTTTCGTTTGAAAGGAGGGAGTGTGTTTCGTGTGAAGTGTCCGGAATGGGCAAACCCTACAATTAATTATGTACGAGTACAATAACTTGCGAAGTGATAAATGGCCGCTTATCTTCCACCGACTAAGGCTTCTGGAAAATACTTATTACATAATAATCTTAAGTATTCTGAACGCTAATTTTATATTTCGTCAAATTTCTCCTGTTACGAGTAAAACTGTCCCTGCAGAAGCATTCGAAGCTAAACCAAACCTCTGCGTTGCAACCAAGTGGAACACCAACTGAACAATCCAGCCAACCAATCCTATCCATCCCTTTCCTGAACGGTTGCGTTTTTATGACCTTACAAAGAATGGCAGCCATTTAGTTTAAGTCTTTAATTCTGTATAAATTGCGGGGTACCTGCATTTTGTCGTTAATTTCGTAAAGCGTCTTTTCCGCCAAAAAGAACCTGCCGTCGATACATTGTCAGTTACATATGAAAGACCGAAACAACTCATAATAGCCACGTAACGTACGTACCTTCTTCCATCAGGAGTGTTAAAAGCAGTATCGATTAGCGACGGCCCACCGAAAATGTTGGACAGCACATTGGGACTATAGGCTGGATTAACAGGTGGATTGGCATCCGGCTGATAAAATACAAAACTTGGTCCACTGACAAACACATATGTATGCGCGTTCAGTTGAAAGGCAGCATCCACCGGCACAGGAACGCCGTGGAATCCGGTCGGCACGGGCACTGGTCGTGGGTAAATCGGCGGGCGACGGATAGGTCTGTACTTCATGTAGGTTGTCCCCTGACAAAGAATTTCAAAGTACCAGCTTACAGTTAATTAAGAGCTCCAGCGTTTGTGCCGTGTATTGTGTGTAGAGTATGGTATAATAATAATATGTACAGACTGTTTGTATAATATGTACAGACTCTATAGAGCATGGCATTTTCGAGAAAAATCATGAACAAATTTTCTTTAGAATGAACCGGGTACCTTACTGTTATGCGCGTACAAGTTTACATAATAGTTACAAACTATTGTATATAGCTAGGAGTACCAACGGTTAACCTAACTTTGGGTTAGTCAGAGTATCATCTAATGCATGTGGCATTAATCAATAATAAATCTTTAGAATCAGGTTGTAAATATATCTATATTAATTTACGAACGCCAGCTATATATATGCTGCATTACGAATTAATACTTACGAAAAATAAGTAAATTTGGTTTTTGATTTTCAGTGCGGCTGTTACGTTGGAGGTCGCGTCTGGAAAAATCGTTTCAACAGGAACAGGTCGTGGTATTAAGATTTCACCATTGGGCGATAGCATGTGAATCTTCCCGTTTTTGAAACCAAGTACCATTTCTTCATGCGGCAGGAAGGCTTGAAAAGGGCTCTAGAAATGTTCTTTAATAAAAGGTCATCATGTTTTAAAGATCATGTTTTATTGAGGTTGGCATCGCTTGCAAAATGAATACAAACTGATTGAGGATAAACTTAGCCTGAATATAAAGACATAAACTATTAAAGAATTAATAATTTTATTAACAACATTTTATGAATGGTTTTTTTACCAGGTCGCACGGCGGTTCAAGTGGACAGACAAGTCGCGTTTCGGGAATGGAAATTGATGCGTTTTCTAACTGGCGTTTCTTCCTTAATCTTGTATTAGGCTGTTCTAAAGGTACCGTCCAGATGTCAGTTAAAGGAGAATCTAAAATTATGGGTGAAGACAACCTCAATTTATACTCTTAGTACTATTAATATTGCCATTAATAATTTATGTATCTATATCGCACGAGCTATTAACTTATGCATCTTATCGCACGTTCAACGAATAGCGCCTATATACCGGAAGAATGAACACCAATTCAATAAAATGTTCGAGCCCTGTGTTACGCTTTCCGTACAGCTTGTGCTTACTATTCAAGGATGCCATCAATCTTGCTAATGGTGATGGAAATTTGTTGATTTTTTCGGGAGGAATATTGAAATTTTGAATAGGATGCCTTAGGTCGCGAAATCCAGAGTGGCTACCCGAATGGTCTACGCGGACTTTCGAAGGGCTTTTCGTAGTGGTCGTGGTGCCTAATCAAAATATATTGTGAAATTCTCAAGCTCTTTTCGGTGAATGCCTTACAACCGCAAAGTAGAAACATGCAAAAAAAAATTGAATTTTACAGCGTTTGGGAGACTGACGGTCTTTAGAAATGGTGTTTTACGAATCGAACGGAAGTACTGTATGATTAAACGCGTTTAATTTGGTCATAACTGTTTACTGCGGGCGTTGAATTCCTTCCATATTGGATTTTCTTGCTGTCATTCGGCATGCAATGCTGTCATGGTTGTGCCTTGTTCAGTCTAGTAAGATTTTGGTTTTTCTCCAGGTAAGTATTCTTTTGAAATTAAGTTATATACATTGTATATCAGCGAAAACTTCTCTTCCGGCTCATTCACCGGTATTGTCTTCTCGCGTTTTTTTAAATGTTTCGATGATGCAAGACACGCTCCTACATTAATCCAGTACGAGTACAGTTTGTTAGCACTGCGTTGCTCGTAATCAGCGAACAAGCACTAGCTATATATAGAGTACTTACTGAGCGAACTTCCAGAATATAGAACATATTTCAGATTACCTGCAGGTACGTATGCAAAATTAGATCAGTTTTAAACTAGTTTTCTTACGTAGTTTCCCAGTGTTTTGGAAATGTAGCTTTTGACTCAAACTCCTTGTCGTCGAGCGGGTGGAAGTCTGGGTGGTAGGCGAACTGGTCGTGGTAATGTTTTGTCTGCCGGTGTTCTGGACCTGCAGCTTCGAGTTGAAACTCGTTGCCAAATTTCCAATGGTAATAGAAATAGATACATTCTGCTCCTGCAAAATTATTTTTCAGCAATAATTTTGAAACCTGCTGCTTTGATACCTAAACGATCTTTCATATTGTAGAAAATTAAACCGAAACACAGGAAAATAAGCACGCAGTGAACAAATAGAAATCAATCTTGCACGTGTGCATCAGAAACCGAGAGAAATTAATCGAAAGGTTATCAAGGTCAAAATTAATACCACAGTTCGTGGAAAGGAAATATACCGGTATACGGCGGTAACCGGTAAACATACAGGTACCATAAAGGCACAGAAAGTAAAAAGCTTGCCTGAATTTCAAGATGAGATTTTCCTCCGGTGAGCATTGTTAACGCTAATCCATAATTAATTAAATCCAAACATAGCCCACTTAATACAAAGGAAAACACGGATACCATTTTATTAACAACGTGAAAACAGACAGTACTGCTTGTTCATTTGCCGTCTCACAGTCCGAGTGGTCATCCTAGCGAAGGACCTGACATCCTACTCGTATTTTTGACTATATATCAACATTTCACGATAATATTGTGTCGCCACGCGAAATCTGAGTGGACAAGCGTGCGAGTGTTTTTTGTTCTTTGACCGCGCTCTCTACAATTAAAACTTACATCCCTGGCAAAAGTACGGGAATCGTAGTATGCGCCGTTGAATACTGCATTGTTTAATCGTCACACAAGTGGTTGTAGATCAAGGGTGTCATGGCGCAATTCGAACAAACTGTTTTCTATCCGTGTTACATATTTGAGTTTTAAATGAATTTTTTAATATGATCTGCATTTTTCATGGGGTATTTTTCTGCCGTGGACGGCAATCTTTCCAGTACGAATCTCGTACTCTTACTGTTGCTAAAACGTTCGATGGCAAGTAAAATTCTCTACTGTTTGTTAAAATAATAGAAAATACAAGTAATGGTAGTAAAGCTAACTAGAATCGCATAAAGTTAGTAGGAAAAATTAAGAAATAGAATTTATTGGTAAATATTTGGCTGTCTCAAAAGATAGATCTTGATGAGTTGAAAAATTATGATGTTCATATTTATTTTGGTTTTTTTCTCAGGCATGTATGTACCATTCGGTAATTTTGATCCTTTAATCATGATCAAGCCGAAATTTATTTAAGCCGGCTACGCAGAATGGGAGCTTGTTGGTGAGCTGGTTACGTTTTCATATTTTTTGCAAAAATACTAATCACAAACCAATATTTATTAAGCAACTGTGAGCGCATTGTACTTATTAAAGCAGTACCGCATATAATTCGTGGGGGACGTTTTTGATTTGGAAAAAGTTGGCAGAACGGCATGAAAGGGTGTTTGCGAAATTACACAAGCCAGCTGTGCAGCCCGCACTTGAGACATTCACCGATTACCAATACAAGTGACAGGAAAAAGTAGTGCTCTTGTACATGCGGGATGAGAATCCATAAAACAACCGAATTGACGAAGTGGAAAGGGCTGTTGTCACCGGTTGGCACAGTGTGCAGTGCAGGCCAAAGGCAACAGCAGCTGTCCATATTGTGCTAAGCACGTTCGTAGTGCGGCTCCTGTCTCCCGGACGCGACTTTACTCCCGCCAAATGCTACTCTTTATTACTACTTGTACTGCACAGGCAACATAACACACTGTATATGCCCAGGGAACATTTGCTAAAGCTGATCCCAAAACAACCGAAAATCCTTAGCCTCTTTCTGAACAAGTTTCCCCGGCGAAAAATGCCGTCGATTGGACCAGGGTAGAAAATACTGTACGCTCCAACTAAGAACATCCGCCAACAACCATAATGTTTCGACGTCTACAGCACTTTGGTGGAGCAGCGCGAGAGTGGTATCAGACGAATGTTTTAGCCACTGGTGCTCCGGTTGACAGCGAGAAGATTGAATTCGCCCGGGCCAATGATTATTATGATGAACAGAATTATCAAACCTATGGCCAGGATTATAATGAATGCACAACGGGCGACAGCAATATTAATGGCAATTATCACGGGGGATTTGGGGAGTACGAAGAGTTTTCCGAGGGTGTGGCAACGCAGCATAAGATTTCAGAATGGCAAGCCGGGTGGAACGTCACGAATGCCATCCAGGTAGGTGATAGTGCAATAAGTGCCAAATAATTATACAATGACGAAATTGTACAGAACTTTGAACCTAATCATAGACGAATAATTCTTCCCATATCCGCTATGTGCATACACGATTGCCCATGATCAGAACAAAACCGGTAGGAAGATTCAGGAATTGACCTTTAGCGAGATTGTCGGTGGCTTCGGGCTAGTAGCACAAAGTGTTTTTTGGAGCTATTACTAAATGATTTTTGCGTCAGCAGTGCGTATGTCAGCGAATGAAGTTGAAAGAACTTAAAAGTATGATTTTACGGATGATAACCGGTGGCATTGCTGTGTATATACTTTATGAATGTGATGTTCGCGAGTCAGAATAATTCATTAACGACAATGTAGTCAAATAAATAGTTTTTCGGAGTCGCATATCGTTTTCTTTCCCTTTACGTGTAGAAGTCTTCATATTCTTTTATGCAGAAGACATTTTTATATTTCTGATACTTAACGGATACACGTGCATGAAGCACTCTCCAACGAAAAGTCAAAAACCTTGCATGGCGCGTAATTACAAAATCGGTTTTCCATCATCGCCAAGTTGCAGCTGGTTCATTTACCAGACCATTTACCAGATTTTCTCGAGCATGGGAATTCACCTTGTCTTGGTAAAGTGGGCAATGGTATACCAAAATAAAAACTGAGTTAGTAGCACAGGTGGTATCACGCAGTTCGTGATGAATTATCAAAGAGTTTAGAAACGCAGCCTTACTGACTAGATATCTTTAAAACATATTCTAGAATACCTCCATAAAATTATGTTTCAGATATTGTGGTACATTTCGGCGATTTTTCAACGCACAGTGCGCATACGATAATTATAAAGCGCGGAACATATTTTATGATCATTTAAAACGCCTGAAAAAGTTTACAATTTCTGATAACTTACCAGCATTAAAGTTTTATGTTTTCGATAGTCATGGTATTAGTGGCACATAATTGTGTTGCTCATCACGTTTTCGAAAGGTAATTCGAAGCTCGAATAGAAGTTCGATTAGCTAAGGTACACATAATCTACAACCGGTGATGGAATCATGGAAGCGATACGTGATACCAGTGGTAATAAACCGCTTAACGCCGGGTTTTCTGCTATGTTTAACACCGTAATCGTAAGCGACGACTCCCAGTCATAAAACCGTTACGAAAAACGTTCACAAAGTTAACATCCCTTTTGTTTGAGCAGATGGAACATATTAGCGATAGTTTGCCGAATGTATTTGTCAAATAAATTCACGCTGTAGTGAAGACTCATCGACGCTTCGCCAACTGCAGAATGTTGTGCCCACGTGATCAAAAACAATGCACTCTCCTGACAAGGGGACCATGTCGCACGCATGTACACACATATTCGGCCTTTTCAGTATAATTACAACACCGCACGACACCATGGGAAGATTCAGCATCTGGAGGCATTCTTGCTGGGGACCGGGCAAAAACTGTTTTAATTCCTTAAAGTGGTCATTTTAACAAGTCCAATAAATTTTCTTATTGATTTCTTTTGATAGCGCCTGGAGGTGCAAAGTGAAATCGTTGCCATATTGATTAACAAGTGAGAGGCTGCACTGTTGCTGCACGTTGTGTTTTCTCCGTATGCGGGAAAACATCAGCCGTCGAAGGGAGAGACAGAGTGCTAATGTAAAGTAAAAAGATTTTATATTGGACAACTCAACTCCGACAGTCCGCACGAAACTAAATGAGCGGAAAATCAGGCGAAACCTTTAATTTAAATGGAAGGCGTGGTGAAACAGACATATATGAAGACCGGGGCTATTTGGACTGATTCATTGAATTTCCCACAGGGTATACTTTACATTTTGTCAAGCTGTTCCCCATTTTCTTTACACACTCCCGAGCTATCTATCCTATTCAGAAGTTTACGCATGCTCCGACACCAATTGGCCTTGTGATGTAGTTTTAAATGAGGAGCTGGCTGACAGAATGCGTGAAAACGTAGCCGGCATCGGTGATCGGACATGGAGCCAAATCCCAGCCAGATGTTCCAATTATGCATAAAGCAGTCCCATTCGCCCGGCATGTTCGAATGCACCAACTACAATGGCTGGTGCTAAACCGGTCTGGTTCATGAAAAATGAATGCTGGCATAAAAATTATCCGGCAAATTTGATTTCGAAGAGCATCACGTCTGAAATTATCGGGGAAAAGCTGCATTCCTGAAAGTATTGCCGGTTCTAGGCCTTCTGTGCAAATATCCGGTAGAATGCGATCAATATCAAATATTAGATTTTCTTGTCGAAATTGTTCGACAATATATCGCTGTCGCAGTGCACACCCGCCTCTAGCACAAAAATAAATAACAGCCAGACGGTTTAATATGGTTAGTTGCTTTTAAATTAAATTTTGTTCTTTCGCACATACGGCTACACGATGTAATTATAGTCATGTAATCATTAGTATCTGTCAAACGAAAAACCATAATGCATACGTATGTATATTAGTGTACCTTTTTACAAAATATCTAAACAAGGCTAGGTGAATAATAATTCGTGAAATAAAAAGTAACGGCAAAAATATTACAATACCGCGTGCACGACACCAATTACATATGAAACATTTTCTCCGAATATCCTTTGCAGGGCATGTTTGTGGTCAGTTTTCCCTACACCGTTCTCAAGGGCGGCTACTGGGCGATCATATCAATGGTGTTCTTCGCCTACATTTGCTGCCACACCGGGAAGATCCTGGTGGACTGCTTGTACGAACCTAATCTGGACGGTATACCGCAACGTATCCGCGGATCGTACATGGATATTGCCGCAGCCGTGTGGGGTGCTAAATGGGGCCGGCCCGTTGTGACGGCCGCGCAGCTCATCGAGCTGCTGATGACCTGTATTCTGTATATCGTCCTGTGTGGTGACCTTATGGAAGGTAGCTTCCCGGATGCTGCTATCGGCGCTAATGGATGGATGATCATGAGCGCTGTAATATTATTATCTTGTGCATTTTTACGCAATCTCCAGTCCGTTTCTTTCACGAGTTTTTGGTGTACAGTAGCTCATATTATCATCAACATGATAATTCTGTAAGTCAATCGCGCCGGAGGTTTGGCACCTTAAGATATTGTCTACAAGTATAAATTTTTAACGGATTTATTCTGCAGAACATACTGCTTGATTTGCATCAAAGATTGGCATTGGAGCGATGTGCAATTCAAGATCGATATTTACTCGTTTCCTATTGCTCTTGGAATAGTTGTGTTCAGGTAACTAACAACTGCCAGCCTGCAAACATATTTTACCTATTAATTTTGCGGAATATGTATAGCAGAACAAAATCTCACCAGTATGAAAACGTTTATTGTGATAACACTTACGCCGGTTTTTTATATAACTGTCTATGGCTACGCTACGCTATTCGCCATTTTTTACTATACTCCATATGAACGGACAGCTACACATCGCAAATCTTCCTTCCAACACTGGAAGGCAACATGACCAAACCGAATCGATTCAACGCCATGTTAAATTGGAGTCATTTGGCGGCAGCTGTGTTTAAAGCACTTTTTGCCTACGTTGGATTCCTGACCTGGGGTTTAGATACACAAGAAGAAATCACCAATAACCTCCCGACACAGGGCTTCAAAGCCATCGTCAATCTCTGTCTGGTAATTAAAGCACTGCTCAGTTATCCTCTTCCGTTCTACGCGGCATGCGATACGCTGGAGCACTGCTTGTTCCGCGGCAAACCCGACACACCCTTCCCGTCGTGCCGAAATCCCGATGGGTCTTATAAGAAGTGGGGAATTGGCTTCAAAATGGGAATAGTAAGAAGATATGGCTACTTTACCACTGACAAGTGAGGACATTTGCTGGTCATGATACAGAATGTGCGGACTGCATTTGCAGGTATTTACGACGCTGATTATGGCCATCGCCATTCCGCATTTTACCACGCTCATGGGATTTATTGGGAATTTCACCGGCACGATGCTTAGCTTCATTTGGCCCTGTTACTTCCATATGAGGCTGAAGTGGGAAACCCTGGAATGGTACATCATTTCCCTGAATGCCTTCATTATTTGTCTGGGGCTAATCTGTGGTTGCGTCGGTAAGTTATTTAAGTTAAAAGTAACTATGATCTAAAAAAAAATTGCACCCCTTTTTTGCGTATACTGTACAGTAATATTGTACATAATATTGTACCACTATAAAATCCGTGTTTTGCAGGAATGTATTATTCAGCATACGAGTTGATCAGAGCATTTAATGGAGAGGATATAAGCTATAAACCTTTGCCGATTATCGGAAATTACACGGGATAAAACCATCGCATCGATAAAAATGTGTTGGAAATGCGTGATCTCAATAACAAGTTCTTTTTACGTTAATACATCAGTTCTTTTATTATGTACCCGTACCTCGTTGTTAATCGTGATCTTTCAGTGTTTTGTAAAGAATTTCAAAATGTGTGCAAAGGATTTTCAAGTTGCGTGTTGGTGACCTTAGTTGCAAATTCATAGTGAATATTACACTGTCTTGCTAAAAATGACAATAGAAGCGTAACCACAACAATTTAGAAAAACAGATGGCCAATAAGTAATCTTCTGGACAACATAACAAATACACAAATCTTTGTCTCGATATAAAAGCTCAAGAGCGCAAAAAAGTCGCAGACAAACAAAATTTTGTAAATGCGAGAATATCAAAGAGATGAGTGACTGCAGCAAAAGAGCAAATAAAGGCGTAATCTAAACAAAACAAAGGCAGTGTTTAACCGGAAAATGACTTGAATCCAAAACCTAACCCGCCAAGCAATTAGGATCTTTGTTGACCATCCTGGGCACCGTTTAACACGGCACCGACAAATGCAATCGTGTCATTATCATAAATGCACTGACATCTTGTAGTAGAAAAGAAGAATGAGCAATTCGTCCTTTTTTGTTCTTTTGTGTGTTAGTGATCTTTAAACAATGCGCTGGCAGACTTGACACCGACTGCAACGAGAACGGACATTTCCGGCTTTGAGCGTTTGACTCTCCGGTCGACCGAACTGATTGTTGTCATCCACAGTTGATAACCAGAACGAAAATTCATTCGCTGGAAAAGAACAAGATATAAAAATACAGTAAACCGTGGTACAGATCCTAGGTGAATTTAAAAGAATAAAAACGTACCATAGTAATGGCAAGTACCCCGACCGCCGTTACATTCAATAAAAGGAGTTGTTCGGAAATCTTCAAGGCAAGATCCAGGGCTGGCAAGTTGCTGTCCGCCACCTTCGGCACCAGCGCCAGTGTGCTGTAAATACGCGCGACATTTTAAACTGTGCGTGTTTAACCATTAAAGTCCCGCTGGATTTTCGATAAGAACAGAAAATGACCTTAACTTGCTGTTAGTGGTTATGTTGGTGCTTTACAAAAATGACAAAGTTGATTATTAGTTTAATATATCAGGTTGTTTTAATTTATTGCCATCGAATTTACCATTGCAAAGCTGTAACCAATCCATAGACCTCTCCATCCGGATGGGCAATCCGGCACATCCAGAGACTGGCTGTGCACGGCAATAACATTGGCCGGTGCCTCGCATACTACGCAGCGACTGATGTACTGCTGCAGTTCGTTGCCGTCTATAGGCATCATCGGAAGAGGTGCTGTGGTACTCAGCCAGAATGACTTATCGGTTCGCGAGGCATAATTGCACACGTTGTTCACATCACAGAACATAAATGGCATCGTGCTAAATCTCTGCAGGCACGAACCAGCTCCACCTGTTTAAACACACCACGATGACCTTTCCAGTACTCAGCAAAAATCATCAACAGTTTTACCAAGATCTTGATTATGACTCTTTTCGTTTCCTTCGATGTACAGCAAAGAGTAGCCAGTCCACATCTGTGTGAGACCGCTGGGACACATTGGTACGGCTTCCGATTGGGAGTGACGGACAAGCAAGAAGCCGGTCTGATACGAAAGAGCACCACCCGGAGCTCCAGGAACACCAGGAGGCCCTTGTAGACCTGCGTGATAACGTAAAATAAGCGATGTTGGTTTCTTTTGTAATACGTTAACTGCTATACCTGGATTGCCGCGTTCTCCTGGAGATCCCATTAATCCAGGATTTCCGCGGCCTCCCTTAAAACAAAAAAGAGTTTTCCCACAGCACAAGAGCGATAAATTAACGTACTCATGTACAGGCAGCTGCAAACAACTAGAGTAGTCATTCTAAAACATGTTTTGAACAAATAGACGTATCTCTTTTTTGATTGTTAATGAGATCTTTCTGCCTGATGTCAATGCACAGTGCCTACCGGCAAGCCAGGTGGTCCCTGCAAACCGTCCGAACCACGTGGTCCAATATCTCCCTTCACACCTAGAACCAATGATACCTTATACCCCACTGTTATTTTTGGTAAGAAAATACTACAACACGAAGTTTCCTAATTAGCACTTTACCTGGTAATCCTGGCATTCCTGGGCCTCCCGGACGCCCATCAAGTCCTCTCATTCCTGACAAGCAGCACGGTCAAATCAGAGCATAAACATTCCCATATAAATGCGTAATACTTTGCATTGTCACATAGTTGTAGACTGGTAGCTGGTCTTACCGGGCACTCCGCGGTCTCCCTTAGGTCCTAGCAACGCATCACGATGGATACCTGGTGCGCCGGGGGCACCTCTGTCACCCTTAGGGCCGTTTTGACCTGCATCAAATAATCTCACATTATAATCTGCACATAAGGTTATGAGTGCAGCCTCAGGAGTACCTGGGAAGCCGGGTTGTCCAGGTTGGCCAGCGAATCCTCTGTCACCCTTGATGCCAGGGACACCACCAAGTCCGGGAATACCTCGATCACCTTTGGCACCACCCACGCCTGGCAAGCCCGGAGCACCGTCTAATCCGCGATCACCCTTTGGCCCTTGTGGTCCAATCTGAGTGGCTGTTCCAGGAAGACCAGGAGAACCTGCAAAAGAAGGTATGTGTTTTATTTTCGTGCCGTTTCACAATCTTTAGAATCTCTTCACCCAGTTATGCCTAGTACGTTATGACTGGCTGCAAACGCTGACCTCTGTCTCCCTTCGCCCCGCCAAATCCAGGCTGACCCGGCTGACCGCGCTGTCCTGGCAGACCAGGCGCACCCGGCATTCCATTAAGTCCACTGTCACCTTTCGGTCCGGGCAAGCCGGGTCGTCCGATGCCTGGAATACCAGGAGCACCGGGCTGTCCGTCAAGACCAGGGGCACCTATTCGGAATACCAATAATTCTCAGCTTTGTTCTTCACTGTTAATGATATACTGTATTAACATACCTCGATCTCCTTTAAATCCAGCTTGTCCTGGTAAACCAGGTTGACCAGCTAAACCTGCGTCACCCTTTGGTCCGGGCTGCGCAGCTCCCGGAATACCTGGCTGGCCACGTTGGCCTGGTAAACCTAAAAAATAAAACACGTAATAGACCAAGAAATGCAATACTGGAGTAAGCCATTTTTCTTACCAGGTTGGCCAGGTAGGCCGGCGTTTCCGGGTTGACCTTCGCGTCCAGGTAGACCGGCATCACCCTTAATGCCACCAAGACCAGGCTGGCCAGGAATGCCACGATCGCCTACAAGACTTTTTGAATTAAACGAGTGAAAGTGACAGAAGATAATCTTTCTCACCTTTTGCGCCGGGGAATCCAGGACCACCAGGTAGTCCGGCATCCCCTTTAGCTCCTTCGCCACCCGGAAGACCTGGCTGTCCAGCAAAGCCTCTATCTCCCTTCGCGCCAGAAAATCCTGGTTGTCCTGGTAGACCCTATTAAAACAACTCATCCAATAAGAACAGTACCAGAATAACGCAATACAGTAAATCCATACAGGAGTTCCAGGGGTTCCGGCGTCTCCCTTTGCGCCACCAATACCCGGGAATCCAGCTTGACCGCGATCACCTTTGGCACCTGGATAGCCAGGCGCCCCGGGCCCGCCCTGATCACCCTTTGGACCTGGCACTCCCGAAAGGCCTGGTTGACCGGGTATGCCTGGCTGGCCAGCGTCACCTTTGTATCCACGACCTCCGGGCAGACCCGGCAGGCCAGCGCTGCCTCGATCTCCTTTAGCTCCGGGAGCACCAGCACCGCTAACGTATTTTAGAACACCTTTGTCAGGGATGATCGAGACGATGCTCACGCAAAAACTGAACGTATCTTACCCTGGAAGACCGGGTTCTCCAGACGGACCAGGTCGTCCGGGTTGTCCCTGTCCTGGAATTCCGGCGTCGCCTTTGATTCCAGCTTGGCCTGGCAGTCCTGGCTGACCAGGGAGTCCAGGCGCACCGGGCAGTCCAGAGTCACCTTTGAAGCCTTTTGGTCCCATAAGAGCGGCTTGTCCGGGTTCACCTTTGGCACCAGGTTGACCAGGGAATCCACCGTCTCCCTTGGCGCCAGGCAGTCCTGGTTGGCCGGACTGTCCTTCTCGACCGGGTAGACCTCGGTCACCTTTCGCACCGTTTTGTCCAGGAAGACCAGGCAGTCCTTTTTGAAAAGCAAAAGGTCATTTGAGACCAATATATAATTAGTTTCTTTAAATCTAGCACCAACCTGGACCGCCTCCAACTCCAGGCCTACCGGGTGCACCAGCATCTCCCTTGAAACCTGTAACAAAACGGTTGGTTAGCTTATGAACGACAGGCATAGCAAGCGCGGCATAGCGAATCTTCAAAATTTAATGTGATTTGCAGTAAAACATAGCCTTTTAATTGCAGTCATAGAAAATAGGAAATCTGGAACTTCATAGGCAATAAGACGTGTCTGTATGAAAATTACCTGCTGCACCAGGCAAACCGGGGGCGCCGGGTAGTCCAGGCGAGCCGGCGCTTCCAGGCTAAAAAAATCTCATTAGAACTACACTATACTTGTGCTCACTTAATTATACGAGCAGCGTAGTAGTCGTAACAGTAAGGCTAAATTACAAAATGCAACACCAAACAGCAAATTTACACAGCCGATTGAAAGCGACTTGAATGGTTTACGTCCTAAAGTTTTCTAAGCGAAACTCATTGCCGTACCGCTCCTGCGTTTCCAGGTTGGCCAGGTCGACCTGCATCACCTCTGTCACCTTTGGCCGAGACTCTGCCTGGCTGTCCGGGGAATCCGGAGTCTCCTTTTGCTCCAGGCAAGCCTATTCAAGAAGCAGTAAGAGTAGATACATAATTCATGAATATCTTGCAAGACCGTTTACCTGGCTGGCCGTTAAGACCACGATCTCCTTTGGGACCTTGTGGGCCAGGAACACCGTAGCCGGGCTCACCGCGTCCACCTTTCATACCCATTAAACCAGGTAATCCATCTTGACCGGGCCGGCCGGCGTCCCCTTTTGGCCCAGTGGCGCCGGGCAGGCCTAGCAGATACAAACACAGCACAAATTATTTCAAAACGCATCAAACATATGATAATTACAGCACCACTGATCACCCATCTTACCTGGTTGTCCGGGATAGCCTACTTGTCCTTTGTCGCCCTTCGCTCCAGGTCCACCCGGTGTTCCGGGTTGACCAGGTTGACCGATTTGAGATCGTCCGGCATCACCCTACGATGCGTTAATGTTGAAAACTTCTCGGTAACTTTTCCGTATTTCTGTCACACGACTTACTTTGTGACCTTTGGGTCCGGGCAATCCAACAACACCGTCCTGACCAGGTGCACCGCCAGCACCTGGCATGCCAGGACCACCACGATCACCTTTGTCGCCTCTGATTCCGGGAAGACCTTTAAAAAAGGAAACGTCATAATTTGTTGACATAGCTGAATCGAATATTGTATCAATGTAGTGGAATCTTAAAAAATATTTACCGCGTTCTCCGGGAGCGCCAAATTGGCCTGGTAAGCCACGATCACCTTTAGGACCAAACGCGCCAGGCAGTCCGGGCTGTCCCAAGTCACCTGAAAAACAAAATATTAACTTTAGCTTTGCCGCAAATGTAACTGTTGTGGGCCTTTCGAAACTTTCTTTTATTTACCTTTAAATCCCGGAAGGCCTGGTGTGCCAGGTTGTCCAGGTGCGCCCGGCTCGCCTCGGTCGCCTTTAGGTATCAAAATTTCTGGACGTGCGCCTCTTTCGGCCGGTTCACCTTTGTCTCCCTTTGCTCCGGGAAAACCGTTTTGTCCAGGTAAGCCCATGTCACCTGTAACAGTGATGATGTGTCACGATGCTACAGATGAAACCCATTCTTATGTACTGTAGTATTGTACAAAATTTTATTTATATAAATCCTTAGTACTTAATATTAACAACTATTCACAGCCTGTTTTTCCTGCAGTGGTCGAATAAACTAAATTTTGTTTTTGTTGTTGTTTTGTTTCGTATAATAAACATCGTTTTCGCAGTCAAAAGCCTGTAGTTACCAGGTGTGCCCGGTGGGCCGAGCAGGCCAATGCCAGGTGCTCCTCGAGGACCGGTAGCACCTTGCACACCAGGAGATCCTGGAGCGCCCGGGGCTCCTGGGAAACCACGATCTCCTTTGGCACCGCGCAATCCCGGTTGTCCGGACAAGCCGGGAGCTCCAGCCGAACCAGGTTGACCGAGCGGTCCTGGCAGGCCAGGGAAACCAATGTCACCCTTGTCACCCTTTGGTCCAGAAGCACCACGAGCGACGTCCGGTGAAACAACTGCATCCAAGCCGCGATCACCCTTGTCTCCCTTAAATCCTGGAACTCCCGGAATACCCTGGAAATTTTAAAAAAATGTTGAGATACTAAGCATTTAATAGCCAAAATTTTGAGCCGGCCACTCACCGGAGCGCCAGTTAATCCAGGCAAGCCAGGGAGACCATCTTCACCGCGTTCACCGAGTTGACCTTCTGGTCCAGGAGCACCTCGTTCACCCGGGCCACCACTGCGTCCTTCGAACCCACGGTCTCCTTTCTCACCCTTCTGGCCCGGCTGGCAGTCTTGACAACTTCCACCTCGGTCTCCCTTGGGTCCGATTCGACCATCCAAGCCCGGTCGGCCGGGAGGACCACCGGGGCCTCTGTCACCTTTCGCTCCAGGTGATCCTGGTGGGCCGGGGATGGCATCGGGTGAGTCTCCGGGGAATCCTTTGGGAAGAGATTTTTCAGATAAGACAATTTTTTTCAGGAAGACCGATTAATTTCCAAAAAAATAAATATTACATAGAATTAGTACGATATACGCACCTCTGTCACCCTTTGGACCCATGTCACCTTTTGGTCCAACAAGACCGTCATTTCCGGGCAAACCATCCAAGCCAGGAGGACCACGAATTGGCAGACCTTAAATTGCAGACACTGTTGCAAGAAACGGATCGAACAACAGAATTTAAGTAACTAACGTTCTTACCAGGCTCTCCTTTGAATCCAGGTTCGCCCTTGGCCCCAGGGACACCAGGACGACCTGGAGTGCCGGACAGACCAGCCGATCCGGGGAAACCGCGATCTCCCTTGTCACCTTTGACTCCTGCTGGACCTTCTGCTCCAGGAATACCGGGAAGGCCAGGGCCGCCAGGGAACCCTCTTTGGCCAGGACCACCGGGAAGGCCTACGCCACTCTCGCTATGACAGATGTCACTACAAATAGCCCAAAGAATGTTGCTTATTACCTGATAGACCATCTTCTCCTGGGGCTCCTCTATCTCCTTTCGGTCCAGTTAACCCCCGTGGTCCGGCTGGTCCTGCCCTTCCTGCTCCACCCGGAATACCTGGAGCACCACGATCACCTTTGGCACCTGGGAATCCGGCGTCACCCGTACTGCCGCGGTCGCCTTTGGGTCCGGGTAATCCGGGATTACCAGGGAAACCGCTATCACCCTACAGTAGCCTTAATTAAGATATATATTCGGTAATCTAAATCATCTTTACCGTACCTTAGCTCCGTAATTTCCTTGTTGACCTGGGCGACCTTCTTTGCCCTACAATTGGAAAGTAATGAAATATTTATAATTATGCGCATCAAAGGACGAGATCATTATTAGCGGTACGCAGGCGAATAATCAGTGATATAATACATGCGGAAAAGAATAATCAGTCTGCTGCACGGGAGTACAAATGTGGACTTACTCGGGGACCCACTGGACCGCGAATACCCTTCTCGCCGGTCTGTCCCGGTGAACCGGGAATACCAGGCTGACCGGGTTGACCATCAAATCCTCGTGTGCCCGGTGTACCTGGTTCACCCTGTAAAACAGCCATTTAATAACGCTTTTGCTGGCAACATATATGACAAGCAACCAGGTTACTTTGTCTCCACGCGGGCCCTGTGCACCAGGGTTGACAATACAGGAACTGTTATAAGCCCACAGTTCACCACGATCCGAGCACCCGACGCCCGGTGCTCCGGGAGGGCCAGCTTCACCTGTTGATCATAATACCAAAGCCTTGCAAACTGTCGATGTTTTTGTGCCGGTGTCGGCATTACCCATGGCTCCCTTGGGACCTTGTACACCGATTCCCATTCCTCCGGCAACGCCCGGCAGGCCACGGGGTCCCGGTTGTCCCTATTAGATAAAGGATCTTTTTGTGTGCGCAACATTTTAGCGTGTTAAAAGTGTTTACCGGTAATCCTGGCTCTCCTGCATCACCTCGCGGTCCCGCTTGACCATCATATCCCGGTTGACCCTGTGTTAAAACAATTATTTCTTACATTGCAACAATGGTTCAGTAATGATGGCATTACTTACGGGAGAGCCTGGTTGACCAGGAGCGCCTTCATCGCCCTGCATAGAAACAGTTGAAAGCGTGTACGCGACACAAACTGGATAACGCCAATGCCGCTGACCTTTATGCCCTTTGCTCCAGGAAATACAATCGCGGCTTCACCTTTATCACCTTTCGGTCCTTGTGGACCAGGCGCACCGTAGCCACCACCATTTCCACCTGGACCAGGCGGTCCAGGTGGACCCTAATAAAGAAGCATTTCAGGTGTTTATATTGCAATGCGAACATATGTCAAGTCGTTCTAAATAATGTGACTTACATCCGTGCCGTTACACCCGTCTCTTCCTGGATAACCTCTTGGACCTTGCGGACCAGGAATGCCCTATCACAAAACAAATCTTATCCTTAAGTGACCCTTCTTAGAAAAGAGTGATGCACGCAACGTACCGGAATTCCGTTGATACCAGGAAATCCAGGAACTCCTGTCCGTCCCTACAAATAAAATGGGAAATTTAAACCTTCCATTCCTCACTGTTCTGACCGTTGCTGTGCATACTCTGTCTCCTTTCAGCCCCATTGCACCGGGAAAGCCCATGGCACCCTTGTCGCCCCTCGAGCCGGAAAGTCCTTCCGGACCGGGGTGACCTTGGAGACCGCGTTCGCCTGCAGGTCCAATGGGTCCAGGCGGACCCTAAAGAACAAGCAAGGTTAATTTAAGAATTATTATCGATTAGTTTTGCATGATTTTGTGCATACCCTGGAACCCTTTTCACCGTAACATCCGCATGCGGAGCAATCCCGGCCGTTGCAGTCTCTTACGTACTCTGCCCGGCCATTTCCGGGATAACCGCTTCCGTACGCGAAATCATCTCGGTTTTGGGCATTTACCTGTAATAAATGGATAGAGTTATCACGATAATAAATGTCTGAAAACTCTATTCCAAGGAGCAGACTTACCGAATACAGGGATAATAAAAAACTCGTGGAAAAAATCCAAAATATCACGCTACTGCAATTAAAAGGTGCAAACGGTCAATCAAGCAAGCCTACCGCAATATTTATGCAATACGCAATATATTTACACCGTTAATTTTAATAACTTAACTTTTAATATCTTTCAATATCAAGATTCTAGAATGCTTTTGTGCAACGCTACCGTTCGGGGTGGAAACAGTTCTAGTAATTTCTGTCTAATCACGAAGAGTCTTAACTGAAATTTTTTATAAAAAAATAATAACTATGATTTTTAAAAAGTTGCGTCAACAGCAATGGGAACAAACCGCTAACAGCAAAATCGCCTACTTCTACACATAAATATTGAAATTATTTGCAGACTGCATTGTTTTAGTTTTTCCTTTTCTGTGCAGTGCAAAATCGGAAGCTGGAGATTTATGAAAAAGTACCGTTAACGTTTCGAGTCAAATTACATCTAGAAAATTTAATTCTGATGGATTTCGAAAACTCATTAATTAGCCTACAGTTATTAACTACCGGCGCGCTGTTAGTTACAACTTGCCTACAAGGAAAAGCAGACACATTTACGTTTAGTCGCAATTCATGATGAGGCTCAGTCTAGAACCTGCATTTGTTGGACAGCGCGTTGAAATGAAACTTTGTTGTCCCTCAGACTGAATCGATTAGCATTTGCACTGTGGATTATGCTGGCGGTCTGTTAGACTGGATATCCGGTCAGTGCAAATGGTTTTAGCATAAAGTTAAAATTACTTTTGATGGCTCAGTGGCGGCGACAAACAATTGCAAAACGACGACGGCAGCGACGGCAGCGTGCGCTAACGCATTCTGACCACTGCATACAAAACAACCTTCGAAAGGCGGAAATGTCAGCTGTAAACCCATGAACACGACCAGTGTGTGTCTGCCTTATGTGTGTATGTATGCTATGAGAACAAACAAATCCGGAAAGCGACGTTTTCGTTACATGCAATCAGAACGGGCGCAGCAGCAGCCGCTTCTGGGATAATTGCAGTGCACTTCGGTTACGTATCATCCAGCGTTATAACACACGCGCCATCATAACTCTTTCTATTCGTTACACTCCATTTTCGTCCACATGTGTGCGACGATCTGGACTAGTTTTCTTCGTATTCTCCTCTCTCTCTAACGGTCTCTCCTCCGCCGCCTCGACGCTGAGCTTCTGACTAGTTTGGCATTTAAAACAAATTTCCAGGCCAACCGATGTGCACTTTTAAACTTTCAAGGGAGGTCCAGTTAGCATGCGTTTGCTGGCGAGGTTTCATAGGCGGACGCTAATTTAGAACTGCGCTGTGACTGCGACAATCTGCTGCTACTGTGTGGTACTGCTGCTACAGCCGCTCGTCCAAGGATCAAAGACGAAAAACGCAATCCTTTCCAATTCACTAGCTTCTATTTGTGAACGATGTTGCTTACGTCTGTTGAGACTACTAAACAACCAATCCTCGATGCGATCTGCTGCCTTACGTTGTTGTGCAAAATTAGGGCGGAAGATTATGAAACTGTTTTTTTTTTCTTCTAGCAGCAGACGCTCAATCCGGCAGCGGCGCCCAAATAGCGCCTTTTTTATAACCTATCGCTCGACGCTTAATATTTACCCAGTTATTACACGAATCACTACTATTCAATGTCTTGAAACCAATCAATTTAACTTAGTAAATGTAAACCAAAAACAAAGCAGATTATGAAAAAGCGATTTGGTTATTAGTAAGACTAGTTTTCAATGGTAAAAGCAGAAATGTTATCCACAGACATATCAACAAGTGGAAACGCACGTTTTCACGTTGCATCGGACGCTGGTCAATGAAGTTATCAGTGCATGTCCGCGCGCCGACACCACAACACAAGAGCTAATCTTATCGCGCAGCGCGCTGATGATCAGATGACGTGTGAATTGCTGCTGGACGCCTCCCGGATCGTGTCACCGTACTAAAACTACAATGAGCGGTTCAAACTTGTAAAATGCCCTCGCTGTCGGTTTGGCGGCGGCGCCTTGTATTAGACAGCATCAACTAGATCCCAGTACACTCCTTACATTAATGCAGCGCTGTAACCCCATTGGTGGCCTCAAATTATTTCAAGGGTTTGTTTAGAGAAAGTTAAACTTAGCTCCATCAGCACAGCAGAATTCTAATCTATTAGCTGCTTTCCTTCCGATCAATGACATTCTCTGGTAAACGGGGAAGAGCGCAATAATATTCTCAAATCTCCTTTGTAATTAACCGCCAAGGATACACATAATGTGCGTTTCAGCAGTGTCTGCGCTCTGTCAAAATTGTTATATCGCTAATATGACAAAAGGATTTGACTGCAAACTAAACGAAACCTCGGTGAATTTTAAAAACTTCTTTTTACATCAAAAACTGATATTGAATGAGCATCATATGTCCTTATAGGTACGAGTACTATATTCTTTCAAACTCGGGACCATTCGCACAACACAAATGCAGTTACATAGAACGAGCGAACCATTTCCCATCATATAGCAACTGCATGGGAAAACCACACCCAATGCTCCTTTAAAAACGCTTTGAATGGAACTGGAACCAATAATCTTCGCGCTTCACATGCAGTAGTGACTGGCACTGCAGAAATTCGATATTATGCAAATTTTCTAACTCACAATACTTATATAACATTTAAATTTTAATTCTGCATTGTTTTTGTACGAGGATTTTATTGCACATATAGAGTTTTGATTGCATTAGATAAATTTTAGGAATGCAAAAATCATAGATAATGCAAAATTAAACGACGGTAGATGCCGCAAGTGCAGTACGTTATTTCAACTGAACCGGCGGGAAAGTGTTGTCTGCTTTCTCTCAATGGACAGGAAAAGAGCAGTAACTCAACAAAACAGTTTAAATTTATATTTATAGAGAAATTCACCATTAGATTTTATCGCTCTTCGTTTTGTAATAGCTGCCGACCATCGTCATGATCAATTGTTGCACTTACTGTGAGGCCATAAACTGCGACATCCCGAAAATCCTTTGCAAGACATGGCGTTTCATTGTGCTGGTTCCTGGAGCGGACCTGACCTCATAGTCAGCCCGGCCGCAGCAGCACGCCCAAAGATGGATCACACGCCCGGTTCACAAGTGTACAATGTATCCGTTCGCTATAATACGTGTATACGCGTATGTGGATGAGAATTAGGAAGAGACAACTAGGCTCAACAGCCGCTCACACACACCGAAGCGATATGCAGAGTCTCCGGAAAAGAAGCCAAAGAAGCAACACTGCAGAAACTTCTGTGCTGGAGCACAGTTACGAGTTTAGACTCCTCGCACAAGGAATGCCGTGCATCGTGCGGGCGCAGTCTCTGTGCGGAAGAATATACTGAGAGATGTTGACTGTCCAATCTTAAGATAGTTAGCTAACATGCAACTTTGTTAAAACAGTTTCAAAATCCGGATCATAGAGAGATGCGGCGCAGCTTCAGATGCAGCCAGCAGCAGCAGCGGCCGAGATATGTATGCAAGGCACACACATATGCTACATCAACAAAAATAGCTGTCGTCACGAGAGGGACAGTTAGTTACCAGTGCTCATATAATTGAACGCCAAAAGTTTGCCACTGGTCCTTGGCCGGATCTGTGTGCCTTGAATTATATGGATTATGAACAGTTTAAAGTAGGCAATGTGTGTAATGCACAGCATATGTGCGAATTATTCCGTCGAAGACACAGAGCCGCATTTTATCTGTGTAAAGCAGTCCAGACACTGTGCAATGTGCATCACCCGAATTATGTTAAGCGTGGTGGTGGAAGATCGTGTTCAGAAGGATGCTGGACGAATGTGTGCGACAGTCGCGGCTAGAATTAGCCAGGCGGCATGCAGCGTACTCTCGAACGATGGGATTCTTATATACCACAGCAGCAGAGAAGAACCCGGGTTGTCTAACTTCCATCGCTTGTAGATCTGGGTTTCGCATGTTGCGATATTGTTTCCTTTCCATAGTTCATCGAACATAACGGGCAGCGCATACTGTTACTAATTGCATACTAACTGTGCGAGTCTGCTCATTGAAAATCTAGTACTCGGTAGACTTTTGTTTATTAACTGGAAATTGCTGAAACTAAACATCCTGATGCATACAAAGCCAAATTCAGATCTCTGATTTATGAAAAACAAAACTGAAAAAAACATGCCAAAATAAAACTGCCTTTGACCAGTTGTGCGCCGCACGATTTGTACATGTACACCCGATAGCCTTTAAATACATGCTAGTACTAATTGGAAGGTGAACTGTATTCTTATCGCAGGGATATTCTTATAGCAGGGCATTATTTAAATTTTGCAACAATCATTTGCTGTCTATCACTAAAGGTCATCCTTTGCATGATATCTCATATGCAACAACTTTATTAGCAAAGGTTTATTAACAAGCTTTATTAGCTACACTACTTTTACGAAAAAATACCGTACCTTGCGATACAATAAATAAACTTTTTTCTTGTTTTAATGCAGTTTCTGGTTGCGCCGGCAATTGATCGTGATGGACAGTTCTGTTGATTTATCGGTCAATGTCAGTTAGTTCTGGTCATATTGACTAAACAAACTGACCTGTTAGCCGACTACCGAATCACTGATTTCAAGCTGCCATTACTTTTACCGTCCAGGCTCAAACGCTACTTGAAAACCAACGGCCGAGTTCATAATTGAATGAGTTCTTTAATTGTTTAATTTTGCTACTCTCCCGTTAAAATAAAATTGATGGGGCTGTTCGAAAACTTTAAAGCGGAGGCTCGTGTGGGTGAAGCTACAGAAAGTCGCTGGATTCTTTTAATTGCACATTAATTGGAATCCAGGGTTTTTTGCACAAAATACCCGTAATTATCGTAACTGCAGGAAGTACAGTGTTCATATTGTAACGTTTTTATTATCAAGTTTATATCATACAAAATAATGCAAACAGCGGTAAATCCGTTGAAAAGGCACATTTTAAAATTAATACAGTAGGAAGACGAAAAATAAACCTTAAAAGCAGTTGCAAGTTCCATCGAAACATTGAAAAGCCGACATGGAGCGCAGAAATGAAAACTTTAAAAGAACACATCAAAGACTAGCTACCACGGTTTGTTACTCTATCAAAGTGTACACGAAAAGCAAGTAAGACAGAACTAAGGAGAGAGAGCAATCTAAAAATACACTGCCTGAGTAAAATTTCTAAAAACAAAACATTTTCTTCTTTGCAGAAAATGGGTACATGGCTGCCAGAAATATCACGACTGGAATGAGCGCGCTTCGGTCCACACAGTGGTGTGAAGAAGAGAAAAAATGTGAATCATCGCAGAGAAAAACCAGGCGGACCATCTCGAGACTCTTCTCACTCTCACGTCTATCGTTTCACGAAATTTAAAACAGACAAAAAATTAAATCCACATTGGAAATATGGGTCAGCAAAGTAGCGATCCGCATACAGCACACGTTACACAGTAGCGATGCGGTTATGCTTCGCTACTGTTATCCTCGACCACCAGCTTAGCTTTATCATCATGTCTCTCGGACGGACTAGGATCTAGAGCGGTTGTTCGTGGGCGAGGATGGATTTTGGAAATGGTCGCACTGCTCGAAGGAGCTAATACTGCCGACGCTGGCTCTGCAATGATAACTATTCATCATTAACAGTAGCATTCAACAATGTTATTTATAAAAAAACTGAAATCAAATTTTACAACGCGTAATTTAAAAATAATAAAACTAACTGTGAAAAACAAATTAAAGCAAGCGCCAAATTTTGAATCATACGATTTACTTCGTCCTATTTGACCGGCAACAACGTACCCGCAACGCTTGCAAGGGGCTTGGGATCATAGGTCATGGCACGCTGAACTTCAGTGGGATTTGAAGCAGCAGATTCGGCTTGATTTTCCATATTTCCCATGGCTTCGTACATAGGATTCGTAAAATTCGATTTTCCACCCATTTGGAATTCATTTGGCATAGTTTCCTGAAAAGATTCAATTCCGGAGTTTCCTTGCAAGTACATGAAGAGTAGGATGGCCAACAAAATAACAAAAAGTGCTTATTATAAATCTGTAACGGGACCGCAGTTCAAAAGTTCAGCGGTCAAGCGCGGTTAAATATTTAAACATGCAAAAGTTATAAAAGTTATTCGAAACTTACCTCAACGCGATCATCAGGACCGCCGAGGCCGTTACCACCGAACTCGACATTGGTGCCGCTTCGGAAAGCCACTGGCCCGGTAGTAGCAAAAGCTTTATGATTCTTGCGTTTTCGGAAATACAAGAAACCGGCAATAATCACACCGATGGCAAGTAAACTGAGAAGAATGGGAACAGCCACAGCGGCAGCATCTATAATGGGAGAATGTCAGAATGTTTCAAGTCGCTGAACTGTTAATGTTGCATATGGTTCGATATATTAAGTACTTTCAGAAACCAAAAACAGAAAAAGGAGTCAAATGGGACTTACTGATTCCAGGATTTGGCAGGTACACTCCGTTCGGGCTAATGGTTTCGCAGTGAGGTCCGGAGGTACCCGCAGGGCATTGACAAGTAGTCTAGAAAGTAAAATGGCGGTTTAGTCTCCCGCAGAATCCAGTAACAAAGGTTCAATCGTTTGTCACTCACATTCGAGGGTGATGCGACGATGCATGATCCACCGTTCTGACACGGACACCTCAACGGCAAAGGTTTGGATTCCACTACCGCAGCATCGCACTGATGTCGAGTAGAATCGGTACGCACAAAACGGGTTCCTTCCGGACACTGACAAGTGTGACCATTGGGCGTCATAAGGCACAGATGTGAGCATCCACTCTTTTCGCACGGGTTGGAAATGGATGTATTATAATACAGCTTTTGATAGATCTTAAGATCGTTCGATACGCCTAATTTCTGCGTCACGACTGTCTTCGCACCATTGCCGAATTTGTTTTGCGAGTACACTGTTCCAGTATCGCGAGCAATCCAGTAGAGATCATCCTCAAACACGTCGATACGCACTGGATGGTCGATATCTGTAAAACGGTAAAGGTGTACAACTGGGAAGGAAAAGCCAGCGATTAAGCTCATGCAGATACTGTATGTAAAAAATAGTAAAAGGAAATATGGTGACGAAAAATGCGTTGTTGTAAAGACTCTAACCGCGTAAAGTAGTACGTACCTCTTAGAATAACTCGTCGATCAGAGCCATCCGGCCTGGATGATTCAATCTTGTTGCCCTTCGAATCTGCCCAGTAAAGGCGATCATTCTGATTGAAATCGATGGCCAATCCGGTGGGGTGTCCTAATCGGGAGTCAACAATTATTCGCGGATTGGAACCGTCCATCCAACTGGACATAATTCTCGGTCGTTCGCCAATCATAGTCCAGAACATCAAACCCAGTCTGGGATTAACCGCAATGGCAGCTGGTTTCGATTGTGGATCAGTTACAAGAGTTTTCACATAGCGGCCATCCAGTTTGGCAACGCTGAGCGTACCGCCGTTGTCACCGCTGTCGAATGCCACATCACGGCGACCGCGTGTCGTGAAAGGTCGCGTGTCGGTCCAGTAGATGTTGCCACCCACCCAGTCCACAGATATCCCATCAGGACGGTTAACGGAAGCAATATCCAGTGGTTGAGGATGGGCGCTGCGCGTGTCCGAGTCAGGATGAGGAATATACGAGCGCTTAATCGTTTTCGAAGCAGAATCCGCCCAGTACATGATGTCTGCAGAAAAAAGCAAAATTTCGACTTTCGGTACTTTCAACTTTTCAATAGAAAAAGTAGCAACGTATTGTGCCTGCAAAAACTTACCGTTCTTCACGTCGTAATCAATCGCATTAATACGGCTTAATGCTGTATCGTTTCCAATTAACCCGCTATATGTTCCTCTATTTCCTGATGCCAACGTCATTTGGCGAATTTCGTCCGCATTAGCCAACAGCAGAGATGGAGTGTCGACTGCCACACAGCTCTTATCGTGTTTCACATAACCTGGATTGCAAGAGCAGTCGAATCCAACCTTCACGTTCGTACAGATCTGCGAGCAGTTGTTCAACGAGGGCACAATGCATTCATCCAGCTCAACGCAAGTTTTGTGGTCTTTCGAGGATGGCACAAAGTGATCCCGGCATGAACAATAGTACCCTTTCCCGCTGGGCAAATTGGTGCAATTTTGTAGACAACCTCCATTATTATCGGCGCAACCTTTGATTCCTTGCTTAGCATCATCTGCAAAATCGCAATCGGCGATTATCGAATGCAAACTACACAACTTTTTAGTTCGTATGTAAGTCAGTTTAGGAAAATAAACTCACTGCAGCCGTCTTCGTCCAATCCTTCCGGGCAGTCTCGAATACGATCACACACCTTCTCTTTACCGATACAGGACCCATCTTTGCACTTGAAGCTGTCCGGTTGACATCCGACGCGACAAAGAGCCGCCGGCTCGTCTGATCCATCGCCGCAGTGATCAAAGCCATCACAAACGCGATATTTTGGAATACATTTGCCGTTGCCACACAAGAACTTTCTTCCGAGTTCGCAAGTCGCTTGCGCTGTAAATGGTACAGTTAATTATCGAAATTTTTATTTTAACTGGCTTAGACACTTACTGCAAGCTCGAGGTGATTCATCCGAATTGTCTCCGCAATCGTTATCGTTGTCACATAACCAATCTCGTGTAATGCAGACACCGTTATCGCACTGGAACTTGCTAGGTGGACATATCTCCGGCTGCAGCCTACTCGGTCCAGGCTTTTTCGTACAGTTTTGCTCATCCGAGTTGTCCAGACAGTCACGATCTCCATCGCAAACGAATCTCTTGGATATACAATGCCCACTGGTGCATTGGAACTGCGTTTCGTTATTGCAGCGGTAATTAGTGCAGTTGGTTTCATCGCTACAAATATACCACCGGTCAGAAGAACATTACCAAAAAACAAAAACTGCAAAAAAGATGTACCTCAAATCGCCGCAGTCATTGTCGTGATCGCATACCCATCGTGCCAAAATGCACCGCCCATTGCCGCATTTGAATTCCATTTCCGAGCATTCACGATATCGTCCACGGCACATATCGGGATTCTCATCGGAACGATCGCCACAGTCATCCTGGAAGTCACATGTCCACCGCTGAGGCACGCATTTTCGGTTGTTACATTGGAATTCTCCGCGAGATGTACAGTTGGGACACTGCTGCGGGGATTCATCCCACCCGTCACGACAGTCATTCTTTCCGTCGCAAATGTGCCAATCTAAAGCAGAACATTCGAAATTAAACGCACAGCAGAGCAGAAAACGTCTCCAGTGCAACATACTTGGAATACAGCGATAATTCAACGGGGTGCCTTGACAGCGACTCCAACCAGGCAAGCATGCACGTTGTTTGCAGATACTCTGTGGTTCATCCGAGCCATCGCCGCAATCATCGTCGAAATCACAATACCAGCTAGCCGGAATACAGCGACCGCTCGTTCGGCATTTGAATTCGGTTTGTGAATCGCATGCCTGAAAGAAATTCCAGGTCATATTTCTCAATGCCTCAATATTGCACAAAGCAGAGTTATACCTTCGCTTTGCAGATTGCTGGACTTTCATCACTATTGTCTCCACAGTCATCATCACCATCGCAAGACCAACCAATTGGTATGCATCGTCCCGTTCTGTTACACTTAAACTGCCACTGGTCGCACGCAACGTTACAGCTGGCTTCGTCCGATCCGTCACCACAATCATCTTTGCCATCACAAATAAATAACGGTAACGTGCAGTTAAAATTATTGCACTGGAATTGTCCCGGCAGACACCGTCGCTGGGGACAAGTCGGCCCCTCATCCGAGCCATCTCCGCAGTCCTTTTCTCCGTCACATCTGAAAATGTTCAATTTAATGAATGAATTCGTTCAAAATAATCAAAAAAAATTCTTCCAGTACGCACTTCCATAGTTTCGGGATACATTTCTCGTCTGGCTTTCCACATCGGAATTGATTCGCACTGCAGTTGGCAACGCAAGTGTGCTGGTCAGGGAGTAGACCGAAATTTGTTGGGCAATCACAAGTGTACGACGGTGTATCATCATAGACACCAGGGGATAGCAGGCACAAATGCGAGCATCCCGCATTATTGTTTTCGCAAGGGTTGTTAAATTTCGGCTGCCGAACTGGATGCCAAATCTGCAAAATGCGCCATTTGCATGCTGCGTAGTACATACGGAAACTGTTTCCCAACTCACATTGATGTCATAGGGCCTGTGCGTAGTGTTTCGAATGATTGTTCCGTTTTTATCCACGAACATTTTTGCTTTAAGAACCGCTTGGAAGTTCCAATCTGTCCAGTAAAGGTAGCCGTCGAGTGCAACCAATGAAAACACGTGAGGCACCACGTTGTGTCCCGATAACACCTAAAGAAACGCACTTAATATAACTGTACACGAGTCCTAAAAAGTATCTGACAAAACGTGCATAGCCCAATTCTGCGCACATTATATGCGTAAAATAACTAACCTTGAAGCGGTTTCTTCCAGTGAGGTCAGCCATTTCAACAACGTTCAAATGCGCATCCGCCCAGATTATTCTATTCGTGATATAATCAACTGTGATTGCGTTCGGCCAACCGAGCTTCTCCGTGACAATTCGGGAAAACATTATACCATCCATGCCGATTTTGGCAATGAAGGGAGTCAGACCCCAGTCGGTAAAGAAAACGTAGCCTACGCCAGGATGCACAGCCACCGAACGAGGCTCGCTCAAACCGTGTCGGAGCAGACTCCTGCGCCCAGTTCCATTGTATTCCGCAACGGCGAGCTCCTTCACAATACGATCGGCCCAGTAGATCTTCTTTGCAACCCAATCCACGGCCAAACCTTCCAAACCGTTGACTTGATGGCGAATAATGACTTCGACACTTCCGTTGGGATTACTAATATTGAATCGGGAGATGCGACGGGTTTCCACGTCCGCAAAAAATACGATACCCTTTGCAATATCGAAATCCAAAGCAACGACGTTCCGTAGTTCACTTTTAACAAGCTGCAGGTATTTTCCATCCGAACTAATGTTGCGGATATAATGCCGGTTACTGTAAAGAGATATAAATTTAATGTTGATTTAAGCACTAGCGGAAAATTTTCGTTTGCTTATTAATTTCGTGTTTAGCCTTTAGCCAATCGCACGTTTACCTGAACAGCAGCCAGGGCTCCTGATTATCAATGCGCTTACAAGTAGCCGGCCCACTGGGTTCATACAATGTCGTGTTGCATTTGCAAATATAACCTCCAACCGTGTTGTAGCAATACTGATCGCAGGCACCGGGAACTTCAAGGCACTCATTGACATCACGACACGCTTTGCCATCATCCATCAAAGTGTAGCCCGAATTGCAAGCGCACTTATAACCGGTAGGTAAATCCACACAAACCTGACCGCATTGATGATCTTCCAGGTGAAGACATTCGTTGATTCCACAGGTCTTCTCGTCACTGTGTCAAGAAGTTTGCTCAGCTCATAACCATAACAAAATTATCTTGCAACAGCAAAATTACCTTGCATCTTTGCATTCGTTTATGTGATTGCACACCGCCGTTATTGGGACACATTCGCCGCTTCTGCATTCGAACTGGGTATCCTTGTTACATTTGGTAACAGTACAATTCTTTTCGTCGCTTCCGTCTCGACAGTCATTATCGCCATCACAGAACCACTGTGCGGGGATGCAGCGGCCAGAAGAGCAGTTTCTTTCATTCACTGAAAAGGCAATAATTGTAACGTTAAACGTTAACCAAAATAAATAAAAATTCTTTAAAGGCTTCACGCCAAACCAGACAATAAACTGCTTAATCACCTAATAAAGATGTTGACAAATAATCAAGCTGTATTGATTTTGCTGATCGTATTACAATTACGTGAAACACCCAGAGTATGGTTACCTATGGCTATAACTGACCGTCACCTACCTTCACAGGGCTTGTATCTGCATTGAGAATGCTCATCAGATTTATCTCCACAATCATCCTCATGGTCACACTCATATTTAGAAGAGATACAACGGCCATTCTGACATTGGAATTCACCCTGAGCGCAAGGAGCAGCTGTCGGGCATCCTGGTTGTTTCTCGTCTTCACCATCGGCACAGTCCGGCTCTCCGTCGCACACCCACTGTCGGTAGATACAGGGATTTCGTCCATACTGGCGATTGGCTTTGCATTCAAATTCATTGCTGGAGCAAGTATGATTTTGGCACTGCGTGACAGATTCGTCACTTCCATCTGGACAGTCCATGTCGCCGTCGCAGACAAAGATCTGCGGAATGCAGTTTCCGTTGCCGCATGTGAACAGATTGCCGTAGCAAGTGCGTCCGGTGGAATTACAGTATCCTGGCGGTTCATCTGCATTGTCACCACAATCGTTGTCGCCGTCACAGTACCACGTCCCAGGAATACAACGCATGTTCGGGCAGCGGAAGGAATTCGAGGGGCAGGTTGTCTTCTGACAGAACATAGGATTTTCATCCGAATTGTCACCGCAGTCGTTGTCACCGTCACATAGCCAGTAAGGATCAATGCAGATATTGGTGGTGTTGCATTTTAAGGTGTTGCGCGGGCATGTGCGGTTAGCCGCAGGACAATTGATAATGCTTTCATCCGACGTCGCATTGTCTTTACAATCGTTGATGCCATCGCAAACTTGATCCATACTGATGCAGCGTCCATTATCGCACGTGAATTCTCCCGTTGCACATTTTTTATACGCACAACCTTCTTCATCGCTGTGGTCACCGCAGTCGTCTTCATGATCACATCTCCAGTTGTTGGAAATACATTTCTTATTGGCGCATTGGAATTCATTGGGCAGACATTCTTTCACTGAACAATACTTTGGATCTTCGTCCGAATTATCCCCACAATCATCATCTCTGTCACAAGCCCAGGCTTTCTGGATGCACTTCCCGTTCCAACAGTAATAGCCGGTAGAATCGCATGTCTGGTTATTGGGTGCACAGTATGTTCCGCTGTTGACCAGCTGGTAGGTGTCGTTGCATGAACACTGTACAGCCCCGTTGGCCACCGAGCATTTCTGCAGGCAGCCGCCATTAGCGTAATCACAAGGGCTTCCGGAGCAGTTCTGTTTACCACCAGAATACGCGATCAGTACCCTTGGTGCCGATGGTAACCGCGAAACTAGAGTCTGCAATCTGCTTCCCGTATACTTCTCGGCCCGGTAAATGCCCCGAAGTGAAATATCCGACCAGTAGATGTACTCGCCAAAAATGGTCAAGGCATACGGGTAAATTGCTCCAGTAATAAGGGTTTCCGGCTTCACGCAATCCAGAGCACAGCGTTCGATTTTCTCCAAAATTGCGTCTGCGTAGTAGATCATGTTTTCTTGATAGTCAATGGTTAAACCGGTTGGCTGCACCAAGTTATCTTTGATAAGTACAGTAACATCGGTACCAGTCATTGAGGCGCGTTTGATGATACCATTAGGCACCACCCAATCGGTGTAGAACATCTGCCCACGACAAGGGTGAAGGGCAAGGGCCTTCGGTCGGGTAACATCCACAATTGCAATTGTACTTGTGCCCGCAAAATCTGTCACAAAAGTCTCGTTTTTATACTTTATACGTTATCATAAAATTTAACCTAATTTCGGCAACAATGCTTACCGGTAGCAAAGATTTTCTTCCTAGCACTATCAGCCCAGAAGACCCTGTTGGATGTCCAGTCATAAGCGATTCCTTCCGGCTGCTGGAGCAATCCCGATGCTTTCGGTAGCGTGAAGTTGTCAGACTTGAAGATAACGGTTCCGTTGTCTTGGGGATTTTTAATGCTCATCCAGCGAATGCCTGGTCGCGGGCCGTTAATAGCGATTATAAGTCGCTGATTTTTCGCATCATAATCCAGTCCGGTGATCGATTGGAAAGTAACGCCCTGAGCCGAGAATGGGGTGCCGGGGAACATCGGGTTGAAATGCATACCAACAAGGTTGCCCATATCACTGTACACCAGGAATTCCTCCCAAGCTATGCAGGTAGCAAGATCCGCGGATAGTCGGCCTTGAGCGCAGGCACACTGACGACTGACCTGAGCGGCCATATCATCGGACGTCAGCACGGCAAAACACAGCTGAGAACAACCGCTTGTTTCCGGTGCACACACGGCTCTGTCAAGTAATTAGGTTTTCTTATAACTCACTCAAACGGTCGCTAAATGCACCAGCAATTATCGTACATACAATAAATTAAATTATCAAATTATCCAAAATTAAATATACAAATATTAGTCACATATGGAAAGTTCACCTTTGCGTAGGTATCGGTTGGTTAGCTTGAGCAAAAATAGCCACATCCCGAGCGGTATCCAAATCCCCAAGGATCTTGTCTGGCTCGGTGGAATTATCTGGATATTTGCTGGCTCGGAAAAGGGCCATCAAATTGCGATCCACCCAGTACACTTTATCAGAATATAACGCAATGCCATAGGGAGCAGGCAGCGAGTAGCCCGTTTCCGCACTCTTGATCGACCGTCGATTACCTCCCAGATAATTAACACTTTGAATGGCATCAATCACCGAGTCCACCCAGTACACATCATGCGTAGCGAAATCAATGGCAATATCGCGAGGTGTCGATATGCCTGTTGTTACGATCGCCTTTCTGCCGGATGCGTCCAAGAAGGCTCGTTCGATTTTCGGATACTGCCCATAGTCAGTCCAGTACATAAAGTTTTTTATGGGATTTACTGCAATCTACAAGAACCCATCCATGAGAATTTAGTCGCTAGAAATTAACGGCAAAGTTGTTGGCTTACCTGTCGTGGTGAATCCCGATCAGTGCGCAACAAAACTTTACGGAACTGCCCATCCAAACGGCACACTTCCAAAAACGTATCAGTGGCAAACACATTGCTGAAGTAAACGTTACCAGCCAGCCAGTCAACGGCCAAACCGCGAATACCAGTAATTCCAACACCGGTAGATACAATCTGCTGCATACCAGATCCATCGGGATGAATACGGAAGATACCATTGGGATATTCAGGATTTCGATCCTTGTTGAAATCAGTCCAGTAGACCCATCGTTCTTGATAGTGGAATTCGATATGCAGTGCATTGCGTTCTAAAAAATAAACATGCATTATGTGGCTTTCATTACGCACATCATTTCGAAATCTGAACCCAGCTCAGCAAGTGTGGATGTTCCCACTCATTTGTAAAAACGGAAATATAAGTACCTGGTCCACTGATGGGCGTCATTGCCATGTTGGTACCATTTAAATCTACACCTTGAATTTGGCTCAGCTGACTGACGATAATAAAGGTATCAAAGTTTTGGCATTTCGTGCTGTCCTTTAGCGTGAATCCCACACTGCAGGCGCAGGTGGCTTGGTTGGCGCCAATCGGTATGCAAAACTGTTCGCAACCACCTTGATTGTTGCGGCAAGGATGATTTTGGATTTCTATTATGCTATCTCGTTTATACATCCTGAGCTGCTTGACGTTAGAGTACTGAGTTCTCAAATCCAGCTGCAAAAGAAAATTGTCTATAACCAGAAAGGAAATCTTATAGATGGTAAAAAAATGCATACGCGATTGCGATCTTTGGCCGACGCCTCCACGCGAGAAACGGATTCATAGGCTGAATCCGCAAAATACAACCGGCCTTCCCAGACCACAAGTCCTTCCGGGTGAAAGATATTCTTCGTGACAATATCTTCTCGGTTGGTGCCGTCGATTTTTCCTCGGCTAATCTGTAGAATCCCAAACGGTTTATAATTTAATGCGGGTAGACTTAAGAAAAATTTCCGTTGCACCTTAGATAAGCGGGTGTCGCTCCAGTACACCATCTGACTCAGCGGATCATAAGTAATGAAGGAGATTTTGCCAATACCATCCTTGAATATAATAGTCGCCCCAATTCCATCCATACGCACTTTGGCAATTTTAGCAGGTATACCGGTGCCACCGTTGTCACCCCAGAACAACAGGCCTTCTTGGGGGCTTACGGCGAGTGATACGGGTTGGGATGCGCTGGCTTCCGTGCCGTTGTTGCCGACAATGACCTAGGTTGGGAAAACATTTATTTTCTAGGATTTCAACGGATAACTGCATAAGAAGTCAACGAGCATTATTAATAATTTCAATAACAAAATGATGTTACAAATTCATGTTGCCGAAAGGTCGTAAGTGCAAAGTGCAAATATGGATGTGTACCTTGTACAATTGTCGTTTTCCGCCAGTCCGAGTAACCAAAATCTGCTTCTGTTCCACGTTACCAATAAACAAATTTTTCCCAATGTAATCATAGGCTACTGAATACGGAGATCCTATCAAGCCGGTTCGCAGTAAGCGCGTTCTGTCCGAACCATCGAATGAGATCGACCATAGCGATCCCTGCAACCAAGGCACATGTAGTGAAGCAAACAACAAAAAAAGCGATATATGACCAGTAAAATTGAGGTTATAATCACTTACGTTGTCGCCTTTTTCCTCTTTTTGCGTGTAGTAGAACATGCGGCCTTCGGGGTCCACGGCGAAATCGTAACCGTTTTCAATGCCGACCGCCGAGAAGGGCGACTGGAAGTCCTTATCAACGGTTTCCATTCTGATACCGCGCACCGCTTTGTCTTGCATGGTCATCAAAAACTGAAGGTCTTCGACTACAATAAACGTTCCTCTTTAACAGATTATTGAATATTCTGCAGCAAGCAAAATTCTTACCTTCCGAGCAGGTCCGCTTATCGCTGCCCAATTTGAAGCCGGCTGGGCAGACGCAAGTGCTGCCAGTGGTCGAATTTGCGGACAGCAAGCACAGGTGAGTACAACCAGCGTTTGCGCATGGGTTCGCTTCTGAAATAAAATTCCATTGTCAGAATATTTTATTCAATATATAAGAAATAAATTTTAATCAGAACGCACCATCCGGTTGGGTGACGTTGTGGAAGACGACGATGCTAAGCGGCTGGGCTATCTTATAAGTAAGAATAGTGCTATTGCGTCCTTTGTATTTATCCGCCATGCTGACACGATTAATCTGTCGGTCCGTCCAGTAGAGCTTGTCTTCAAAAACCACCATCGAATGTGGATGATGCAATGCCTAAGCAGTCAAAATATTAAACAAAACAACAGCGACGAAACTTTGTATGCTGAACCTCACCAGAGCGCTAGCGATCACTTGAGTACGTCCAGTTCCGTCGTATTTTATAAAATCAATGAAATCCAATTTGCTGTCAGCGAAGTACAGCAGCTGGTTGGGATAATCGATAGCAATACCGTTGGGCCAAAATATTTTCATTGTGACGATACTACGACGACCCTGTCCGTCCAAGCTGGCTCGTTCTATTCTTGGACGCTCACCCCATTCAGTCCAAAAAACGTATCGCGCACTGCAAAGAAGTCATCTTCGTTAACTGAAAACATTTTTACTATCTAGTAAAATACCCTTCTCGAGGATCTACAACAATTCCTCGTGGTCGAGAAATATTCTGGCTGAAAAGCACAGAACGCATATTTCGGTCCACGGAAGCCACATTGATGGTATCCAACGACGAATCAGTCCAGTATAAATTTCGCCCAATCCAGTCAAAAGCCAAACCTTCCACAACGTCAATACCGCTTGTGACAATCTACAAACAATAAAATAAAATTTTAGCTTACAGGTCATGCTAAATCAAAACAGAAGTATCTGACCGGTTGCTTTATATCGGTTTTGTTGAGATTGTTGGCTGGCCCCTGGTAGATGAGTTTCAAACGAAGGTCCGACCAGAAAAGTCTGTTGTTCTTGGTGTCGGCTGCCAGTGCCACAACGTTGCTCACGTTACTGTTATAAATTTCGATGCTTCCACCGGTCAGACTGGTCCGCAAGATAGTCCGCCGATTTGAGATAAACACCGACGGCGGTGGTCCAATGGCTTTGCATCCATACTGGTCCGTCGCCAGCTGATATCCCGATACGCAGTCACAATGGAATCCTCTGGGGTTGAGTCCACCTTTCATGTCTGTACATATTTGCGAGCACATCGAAGGATCGTCACACATATTGTAATCAACGCACTGGTTCCCGTCTCTACCAAGACGCATTCCTGCTGGGCAGCGACACAGCGGTCCCAAAGGTGTCTGCAGGCAGGTGTGGCTGCACCGGATTTTGTTTCGATCCAATTCACATAAATTAGTGGCGCATAGTGGCCCTTCATCGTAACCCGACGGGCAGTCGCTCTTTCCGTCACACACCAGCGTCTCATTTATGCAAATGCTCATATTGTAGCACTGGTACGTTCCCGTGGGACAGGTGTCGGGTTTCGTTCCACAATTCTGAGCCTCATCGGTGCCATCGCCACAGTCGTCACGGCCGTCACAAACCCATGACTTGAATACGCAGTGTCCGTTACCGCAAGTGAAAAAGTCCTCACCGCAGGTTATGTTTGTACAACCGTTCTCATCGCTAAAGTCATCACAGTCAGCTTGTCCATCGCACTGCCATTTTTTCGGTATGCAGATTCGCGATGTCCGGCATTGGAATTCATCTGTTTTGCATGTGCCAGGCGGTCTTGAGGCACAATTTTTCTCGTCCGATCCATCAGAACAATCACGATATCCATCACACCTGTAAAGCAAATAACAACATTTATAACCGTATATCAGCGTCTTGCTTACTAAATGATTTTCTCAATCTTCCTCCACAATTCTTATGATGTTACCCAAATACTCGTTCGGCAAAAAAAGATCGTTCCAGTATGCATTGATATGGTAGGTGTCTATCCTACCGCACAATTTTTTTCAAACATAGAATTAGCGGAACTAATTCCGGTTAAGACAGCGGAGAAGGATGAAAGGCGGATCGATGTGTTGTGGTTGGGCGCTTGGGCAGTGGTCAGCTGTATCTTATGGATAGTTTCATGGGAATGTTGTGTATATAGATGTGCGATTGATAATGCTGAGTGCAAAGTATGGAAGTTACCTCTGCGGCTGCTAGAAATGAGTTTGGCAATTTCTCCCTACCCTCCCTCCCTTTTGTTTATGGAGGGGATTGTTGTGGAAATGTTGTAATGGATACGCTGGGTCGGTTACATACTGTGGAGATGACCTATTGGATCCACTGCGCCGGTTACATAGGTCATCGATACATTATTCCCCAACGTCACTGTTGGCGTGCTCGCGGAGCCTGTCTTACTTGTTAATGATATTAAACGATTCTTACTTGTAAAGCTCTCTGACACATTGCCGTCCATTATCACATCGGAATTCTTGGGGCCTGCAAACTGTTGGTGGACAGTTGGTCTCGTCGGAGTTGTCAAAACAATCATCGTCTCCATCACATTTCCATGACATCGGAATACAACGCCCAGAGGAGCAGGTAAACTGGAAATATTGACAAGTTTTCTCCTTGCAAAAATCTCCCTCATCGGATCCATCACCACAGTCATTATCAGAATCACACTTCCAGGAAAGTGGGATACATCGGCTGTTGTTGCAGCGGAATTCCGTTGACTCACATGTGACGTTGGCTATACAAATATTACAACGTAAATACAAACAGACACATCTTTTGTAAATGTCATCGTTTATCGTGGAAAAATGCCCAGCACATACCACAGCCCATTTCATCGCTAAAATCACCGCAATCATTGTCCCCGTCACATTTCCAACGATTAGGAATACAGCGGCCCGAATTGCATTTGAACTGTTCGGACGAACAAGTAGGTTGAGTACAGTTCTTTTCGTCACTGTTATCCAAGCAATCTGGAATAGACCGTAAAAATCACTTATTCGCACAATTATTCCATCAAAACCTGCCACAATATTATGATTTTCCAGTCTGTTTTACAAGAAACCTTATGGATATTGGATATCATTAAGCGCTATTTACAAATGAAATGGCAAATGAAATGGCTGCGAACTAATGCAACAGCAGCAACACAGGCGTAGGAAAAGTATCCGCTCCAGTAGTACATAATTAATTAAGCCGTGCAAACTCTTACCATTGTCGCCATCACAAACCCATCGGCTGGTGATACATCGACCGTTGGCGCAAGCAAAATCACTAGCCGACGGGCACTGCCTTGGGGCAGGTTCAAGTTTGTTCTGAACGCAAGTCTTCCCATCTGTTCCCAGCTGGTATCCGTATGGGCAACTACAGACCGATGATAGAGCGGAGTTGATATCTACGAAGAAATCCATAAACAAGGGTGAAATACTGTAACATGCAATTGTTGGCGCAATAAACAGTTAGTCCTTTGTCATGGCTCTACACTGCTGTTTTCCTCAACCTTAACGTACCGTCGCTGACTAATTTTGGGAAACAGAAATGCGAACATCCACCATTATTGGATAAAGTGCAAGGATGATTAGGCACCGTCGGTTGATTTGCCAAGCTAAACGCTTTAACGCCATAGAGTCGATCATCCGGATCAATAGTGGTCACTATAACTTGATCCCCACCTACAGCGGCAAAAACGACAATGTGCCCATTCACCGTAACAATAATTACAATCCAGTTGCAATAAACTGAACACACCAGTTCTCTTGTTTGCCCTGATGACAGCATCGAATCGCCAATCGGAAAAGTAAACATAATCGTCCAGGATCGACAAGGAGAACGGATGCAGCAGATAGCGGCCCACAATGGTCTGTACATCATTTCCGTCGAAATCTGAATGCTGGATGCGGTCTAACAGGGCATCGCACCAGTACAAACGGTCCGCTTGATAGTCGATAGCCACACCATTCGGCCAACCAAGTTGTTGTCGGCGGACTCGTTTGAGGCCAGTTCCATCGTAGTTAACGCGGGAAATATTGGCTGGTCGTTGCCATTCCGAATAGAAAATAAAGCCTTTGTTGGGATGGATGGCAATTGCCCGAGGACGGCTTAAATTACTCAAAATGGTTCGCCGCCATTGGAAATCACGCAAGCTGACCACAGACAAAGTGGAGCGTCCGGAATCCAAGAAGTACAACAGCTGTGACGCCCAGTCGACAGCAATTCCCTCGACTCCTGTAACAATAATTTTCGATAAAGGCATCGTAATTTGTCGGGTTAGCTTCTGCTCAAACATTCCAACTTGTTTACCTTCGTTCTCCGACAAAACAACGGGCTCTTTTCCGCTTCCATCAGGATGGACACGGTAAATGACATCGGCCACAACGTCAGAAAAGTAAATGTAGTTATTCCGATGATCAAAGTCCAAAGATACAAAATTTGTTCCACGCAGGCTTCCAACAACTGGCATAATGGCATCCGTGAAAGACTCTTCCTGAAATCCATCTTTAACCACCCCACGGATTGCGCTTTGTGAAGAGTAAATCAAATAACTTGACAAGCGTTCACAAGATTTCCCATTGGGCTGTAACTGGTATCCTATGTTACAGGCGCAACGGTAGCCGACACCGAGATTGTTGGCTTGCTGGCGAATTATGCACAAGTGTGAGCAACCGCCATTGTCGGTTCCGCATGGTTTCGTAGCTGCAAATGAAACAATAAAATTACCATTTCCGAATCGCAGGAAAAAATAAACATGACTGAGAGAATACTTTTACCGACGAATACACACATAGGAAACACTAATTATCTGAATTCCCAAGGAAAAATTTGCTCTCTTCAGTTTTAACAAATTTTTAGATTACTACCGCAGACCGAAAATTACTACGTAAGACAATGTTGTAAATAGTCTGTACATATCAAGCACTATAATTTTGATGTTTTGAGATTAAACGCTTGCTTACGCGGCTGAATTTGTTTCAGTGGATGATAAACTGTGACACCCATGGGGAAACTGGGGTCGTCTTTGGCTAAGTGAACCGGTATGACAGATTCACTTCCCTTGAACTTTGCAACAGCTAGAACACCCAATCTGGTCCAGTCTGACCAATAGACAAGGTTCTCAAAAGTCGCTAATCCTTGAGGATGCGGTATACTGGCACTGCCGGCTAATACCACTTTGCGATCCGATCCGTCATATTTGGCCGTTTCAATGTAGTCAAGTCGTGAATCACAATAATAAATCCGTTTCGCAATGAGATCAGTCGTCACGGACGAAACAAAATACATCCTCTCATTAAGAATGGTACGGCGTGAAGTGCCATCCATGCTAGCACGCTCAATTCGCTTGCTACAAAAAAACCATGCTGATCACTGCTGCATGATCATTGGCTACAAAGAATAGCGAATGCAGTATTGGTTTACATCACTACCTGTCGGAGATAAACATTGCACCGAATAACGGATCCAGTGCAATTGCCAACGGAGCGGTGAGATTCTGGCTAATGACAATAGCGCGATAACTTCCGTCCAGTTCCATCACATCGATGCGCTTAGCGGCCAAATCCACAACATACAACTTGTTGGCTACCCAGTCGACAGCCAAGCCCACGGGATTCTTCAGTGCAAACGTCGCTACGGTAGTGTTTGCTCGAGTAGCCACATCACCCAGCGGAGCCGAATATACGGCAGGCTGCAAAACAATAATAGCAATTTTCTGTGTTTGCAGCGGCGATTTATTACAGTAACACGTAATGCTTAAAGCAGCGTAATGTTCGGCAAGCAAAAATAAAATATCCGTAAATTCAAAAATAAATTAATAAGGACACGCACTCGTCGCTCGTCCGTGTCGGTCCAGTACAATACGTTGTTAATGAAATGATAATCGACTGCATAAGCCTTGCTGGTGTTGACCAGTTTGCGGATTTTCACAGCCTGTCGATCGACATCATAGACGCCTTCTCGTCGTGCGTATATGATTCGTAACTTGGATGAATCAGACACCCGGCACGTTCCCTGCTTTTCCAGTTGATAATCAGGATTGCACATACACCGGTAGGAACCCAATGTGTCCATGCAAATCTGGTCGCAAAATCCCCACATATCGCATTCATTTTGGTTAATACACGTGCGGTTGGTGGTGGGGTCCAATGTATAGCCTTTGGCACAGGTACATTCCCCACCAGCTGTACTATTGCGGCATTGGAATTCACAGCTGAGAAATGGGCAGCGATCGCTCCGGCATTGTATCTCATCTTCACCACGAGCACACTGTGGAATCCCGTCGCAGACCTGCTTGTTGGGAATACACTGGCCACCACAGGCGAAGAAATCAGCTGCACAGATGGAACAATTGCGTTCATCCGAGCCGTCAGAACAATCGACGGCACCGTCGCACTTGCGCTCACTGGCCACACATTCACCGTTAGAGCATCGCATTTCAGCTGTAAAACACACATACAAATACACATCACGCCACCGTAAACATCAGGGAAAAACCAGTTTTTTTGTGCCATCACGCCAGTATCAGCGACTTCGATGTAATTCGTAAACGACCATTATTTACCCGGGCCACAATCCGGGAACGTGCAATTCAGTTCGTCGCTGCCGTCACCACAATCATCACGATGGTTGCATACATCGCTTTCGGCGATGCAACGATCCCGGGTTTTACAAAGAAATTGTCCCCGATAGCAAGATGTGCGATCTGTAAACAAATCAATTTGGCATTGCTGTCACTTTAAATGAGCTATTTAACGAGTTAATCCAGAACTTACTGCATCCGCGTTCATCAGAATTATCCCTGGAACAACATCAATCAATATTTAAATACGTCACAAGAGTAAGTCTAATTTGGTTCCATATATTCGGTACAGTTATATGCTTAATTATAATTCAACAAATACAGTACAACTTTTCATATTTAGAAATAATATTATTACCGGCAATCATATACACCGTCACATCGTTTTTCTTTAGCAATGCATAGCCTTGTACTTGCGCAGTTGAAGTCGTCGGAAAGACACTGGCGATATGCTGCAAACAGTCGATTTGGAAGTTAAGCCAACAGACTTAACATTACATTGTATTGTTCCATAAGTTTGTTGAAAAATGCTAAGTTATCGTGATTTCTTTTTCATGTAAGATTTGCGGTATCCGGATTTTGTAGAAAAGTACCTTTATATAAACTCTATTAATAATTACTACCAAGGAAAAAATGCAGCTTATTAAAATTAATGTGTTTTATCGCTAATGTAACTATTCAGCGACATACAGCAGCCTTGCTCATCAGATCCATCTTTGCAGTCAGTTTGCTTGTCACACTGCCAATGTTGCGGTATGCAATAGGTTGAGTTCCAGGAATACGTTTTACAAGAAAACTGGAACGCGCTGCACGTTGGAGGAGCTAAAAGCGAAATAACATATCCATTATAGTCGAGTCAAAAAGAACATCGTGTCAAAACATATTGCGACTGAAAAATTTGCACATACGGCAGTTTTGTTGTTCATCTTCCCCTTGCGCACAATCGGCATAATAATCGCATTTCCAGTTTTCCGGAATGCATTGTCCGTTTGAACAGCGGAAATAATTACCCGGACATGGCCGAGAATCTGCTCGGTAAACGACAGAAAGTATATGTCAAGTGCACCAACGATAGACCGAGAAAAGTGGTCAAGATAGGCAACTTTTTTCCCGACCGGCGACCACACATGTCTTACCACATTGTGCTTCGTCAGAACCGTCCGCGCAGTCTTTTTCGCCGTCACATGCAAAATATACAGGGATGCACTCTCCACTTGTGGCACAGTTAAATACTGGGGGACTGTATGGGCATGATCCTGCAAAATAGCATCCTCGATAGAATGGATAAAAATTAAAAACTATTCGTTACAGCATAAGTGTTGCGCAGGCCATGATATAATTACTGCACTGGTTCATTACAGTCGGTAAACGTACGGTTGCAGATTAAAGATACAGATTTTATTTCGAAATTTTAGGTGAGTAAACGTTACAATTTGAAAACGAATTATTTAAATTGAAATTGCCAATTTTATGTCATTGAATTTTAACAGTAATGATGAGCATATCACTGCATATGCACCATGCCAGACACCGAGATATGCACGGATATGGGGAAGCAATTCTGAAGTGTACTCAAGAATTCGTTATTATTGTGCCGACTGTCCTCACACCCTTGAAAAACACTAGCAGTGGTGCACTTGGTTATTTCGTATTGTCGGGAGTGCAGGCACTAGCACCGAATTAGGACAACATACTTCCACCGATTTTTGCGGCATGGAAGAATTTTAAAAAAAACCAGCAACCTAGCCAGTATTACATCTACCACTTATGATTATTATGGTCATTAATCGCTCACCCATGTTGTTTCTTCTAGAAAGATAATTAAATTTCAATTAACTATAGGGTCCCCTTGGGGCCCAAAAATGTTTGCATCCAGCGATCAGTTATATTTAGTTGTTTTCACGCTTTCAGTATACCCAGTCTCGTGCAGCAATATATCTACCCATCTCATGACTTGAGACATTTGAGTCACCTACACTACAGATTTATCATTTTCCGAAAATCCTGCGAAATTTTGTCGTTCCACAGAAAATCATGTGTTCATAAAATTAGTCGAAATCTACATCAAATCCGAAGAAACATTCAAGTATAGGCAGCGCAAAACTACACCGGTGAGATATCGAATTACTTGGATCGATTTCTGTGCACACCTTCAAAAACATTCAACAAAAGAATGCACAGGATTATCACAGTTTGAGTAAATACAGTTACGACAACGTTGCAAAACACGTTCTGCTTCGTAGGAAAATTCTGGGTGTAGAAGCGCAGCAAATAAATCAAACAAAAAAGCAAAACGACATTCCTTTGTGCGAATTCAACTACAAAACACCCCGGCTTCTGGCCGCTTCCATAAAACTTCATAAGTCATGATTTCAACTTTCAGGACTTGTCTTTATTAAAGGGGAAATGTTATTTAAAAGAAATAAAGGACAAGGTTTTCAAATGAGCTGACCATGAAATCATTGCGATTATAATAAGTTCCAGCTGGTAAAGTCATTCCATTAACAAAGCGCAACATTAATTAATTCTGGTCCTCTTATTTTTACGATTTCTTAAAAAAACCGTTCGGAATCCTACGAAAACTTTAATGATCGCAATGCAGTTCTTGTAATATTAAACTGTATTTGCTCTGATGTTCATGGAAGCGTATCAAAATGCCGTATTTTCAAGCAACAAAGCTTCCGAAAAACATAATGTCAAACATATCTTCCGGCTAAACGGTCCTGCTGACTGATTCGAGAGATGGTTCACCAACCATAACCTCATAAACCTTGAAAATAGATTTTCATGAGTTCTGCTCGTAAAAATAATTTTTTATGCAGAAAAAATTAAATTAAATCCAATTGCCGATAACAGCCTTAAACCGTAAAAGGAAGCCAATGTGCTAGAATAATAAAAGGAATTGCAGCTCAACCGACTAGCTAATTTAGCGCATCACAATGACAACCATTTCGTCTCAAAAAGTACACAAACACTTACTTACACAAAACGAACTGCTTGTATGGTGTTTTGATTCTATTATGGGCGTATGTACTGCGCGCATGGATAATAATTAATAAAAATACTATGAATTAATTAAAGTTTAAAGTGACAGAAGTGTACCCTAGTTTTACAAAAATACTACGGGTTACGGAATGCCCTGCATTGGAATGCATGCATACTCTATAATATTATTTGAATAACGATAAATTGATCAGGTAAATGTGATCGTGATATCAGTCCCGCTGGCAGCAAGTGCACCGTCCTAGTGTACCAATTAAACGTATTTAGTCATATGATTTAGCAGCATCAGCTGCCATTGTTCGTCCAAAAAATGCGGTCAAAATAATTTCGGCACTCACTTGTCGACGATTGTGCGTGTATACGGCTGGAAAAGGTCCATTGGACCGAAATTATAAATCCTATTAATAGGATCCGCATGTTTGGGGGCAGCGCGCTCGACCGCTCTACGCTGGGAAGGACATTTGGCACTGGTCAGTTGAGGGGGATATCACAGGCTGCCCGTTACACAATCCACCGTGAGGAGGCCCAGTAGAATTCCTACCCACAAAAAATCAGATGATTTGGTTAATCAATTACTCGAGCCCGGTACAAAGTGGTGTTGACTAAGGAAGTTATTACCGATGACCCCGATATGCAATGAAGGACAGGATATGTCAAGGACAGAAATATGCACTACTCTCCGCACAATAATCACGGTCCACCGATAGGTACGCTACTTCATAAACCTGGAGATGCAAACACACACATCACGGGATGAATACATGCATTGGAGAGATGCGAGTTTCACAAAACATGCAAAGTTGCAGCATTCAGAGTTGATAGGCGTTGCAAGTTGTCGATGCTAGTAGTGCCTGTATAAACAGTGTGATAGAATGCTGTTTTTTACGCCGTATACGTAGTTGCCGTAGCGGCTACAAGACAACTAATGATGCCACGCGGCCCAGTCAACAACACTTAAACACGGTAAGTGATGGCCGCACTGTACAAGTATGAATGTCTGTCGGTACGTCGCGGCAGGTAAGGTTGCATTATTACAAAGCGTACAAAAATGTACCTGTGGCCGAAAAACTGCAACGAGATTTCAACGCAGGCATTACTCACATCTCTTGCGGCTGGTTGTGAATGTGTCCCTCTGCACTACACTACATAGACGAACCAGTACACTACGAATGACTACATACAAACGCACATCTACCGTTGTATGGAAACATTGTTCTGAGAGTTTGGTTAGTTCGGTGAAAATATGAAATAACAAAATTATTAGATGCAGATACACTTACCAACGCGACGATTCTCCGGTGTGAGTCTGTTAGAGCGATAGAGTGGCGCAGTCATGGTCCTTCGGACTGAATAAATCAATTAAATGTGATGCGCTCGTACAGATGCTCTTGCACTTGTTGTTGCCGCGCAGGTTCATACAAAAAATTAGCCAGAAGCTTTTTTAACGGATAGATTTTGATGATCGTCTTATTGTTGGCTATCCATAGTATTCCATACAGTGTACGGCTGCAACGCAACGATTTAAATCAGCGAAAACATCCAGCATTTCCAGTTTTCATCAACACTCTGACATTGTTATAAACGGAAATTTATGCAGCAAATGATGATGGCTAATATAGATGTCCTGATGTCCACATCATAAATTTACGCAAATGCGTTTCGTCTCATTTCATATTTCAACGTAGATTCTGCACGAAATAAATATACCTATCTACGCGACGAGCAAATAATTCGTAGTAAGATCACATTCTAATAAAAACTCCCAAGTCCCAAGAATGGCAACTTCGCGCTTTACGTGTGTATTAACCCTTGCCCATGGCCCTTATGGTCAGTTTTGAAGAGTACTGGTATGGATTCTATCTGTCTGCAAGACGAAGGTATGTCCTTACAGGTGCACAAGGTATCCCTTGTCAGAATTCAGAGAGTGGGCATAGAGGATGAGAGGGAGACAGACAGAGTAACAAGACTGTCTGCACCGTTGGACTGCAGAATAATAGTTCAAGCGAAATAACAATCGTAAATCGTACATAAAATTATTCGTAAAAGCGCATGTTTATAGGTAAAGGACTGACCACAAGAAGAAGCAATCCTCTCCATATTCTAAATCCTTCATGAATTTATTATTCTCAAATATCTGTAGAATATAAAATACTATGTACGTATAGTTTTACCCGGGAAGTAGAAACGATCAAACATCTTAACGCGAAAAACATACACAGATAAACATTTTCCGACTTACATAAATTAATACCGGGTCAATTTTGTCTAAGATCTCTAGTGCGACGTTAAAGTAAAAATAGAAACTTCAGATTTGTTCAAACCGGAAAAACAAAACATACATTTGACACAACTGGCAACAGGAATACGTACACCAACAGTGGTACTGCATTGTACTGACATTGTATTAAGGAATTATCAGGGTCTCCCGGTTGCGATCATAATTTTGCTACCCTTCCCTTTTCAGCTACGTATGTGGTGGGCTCTTGTCTTTTGATAGTATTAATATCGATTCTGCAGGTACAGTAGATGCAATAATCAAAATCCTTATTTTGAACCTACAATACATGCACTGTAGCGACGGACCGGTTTCGGCATTCTATGTAGGTCACTCGCTCCCATAACGGCGCATCCCGTGGAACCGGCCACTAACGCGCCATTTGCTAACCGGCGTTCACTGCGACAAGTGCCTAAAGTGGAATATTCGCAGCAGCTTTAGGAACACAACTTTCAGTAGAAGTACTACATTCTGTGCCCAGTTGTTGCAGTCTTAAAATTGTAACGTTAAATTTTCATCCTGCATTATCATAATTTTAGTAGCTAGTGTATAGAATTACAGATACTCGTATTACGCTAAAAAATTAATGTTAATATTTTTACATGGGGCCATATTGGATTCCGGGTATAAGTCTTCTGGTTTTCACTGATGCTGACACACACGAAAGACCTATAAATGCTGTATATATACCATGCACCATACCTAACAATAAGTACAATAAAAGGTCTAAAAAAAGATTATAAATTATTAATAAGTGTTTTCGATATTCCTTATGCATGCATCCATAAGCTGAGTCCAAAACAAGTGTCCTGTTATGCCATATAAATAGGCTCTATATAGAAGCCAACGTTCTGAATACTCGGATACAATAGCTGGTCCGGTATGCGTATAGGTAGGAAGTTGTGTTTTGTAGAGCCGTCAAGATGTTTGGGTAAAGAGATGTTGGGGATGTTGAGGCATGTTAGGCGAAGTGATCCCAGTGATTCCGTTGAACTGCGGCACAAGAAATTTGATGCTGTCGATGTACGCTCGCATTTCTATTGCTTGGGAATGTTCGCTTTTTAGTCATTTCTACAGTTCATTCAGAATATTAAGAACATATTTTAATTTCTTATCCTGTCCGTGGACTGCGCATGCCATCTTTCCCAACTGTCAATCTACAAAATCTATCGGTACCACACATTCCGCGAATGTTACTAATATTTATGGAGATAGCTTTGCAAAAATCGTTATTTAAATTCGATGCCTTGGAGTTTGCAGTTTCCTCCAAATTCCAGTCATTTCCCGAAGGTTTTCCTCAGTTCTTTCACTAGCGGGCTTTCTTGTTCATATCCAGGTCACCGCCATCTAGTGCGCGAAAAATCGCTCAATTTATTGTCCAAATGTCTGCGAGCCCCAGAGTGGGCTCATAAACGTTAAACGCCGACTGGCTATGTGCCGCATGATCGCTCAATTTCCTTTTTTTTTGTCATTATCCAGCGGCTACCTCCATGTATGCATTCAGTGATGATTCGTGAAGTTTCTCTCTGCTTAAACCATAATGTTCTTCTGCAAAAGAACATTATGGTTTAACATGCAAAAGAACATTCGTTAATCGATAACGTATTACATATAAATATAACAGTACGGTCCCGAGTAAAACACATGTTCGAATTTTGGCCTTTAACTGACGTTTAGCCACCGTATTTTTTACAAACTGTTTTACTCGGGGGTACTCGTAACTAGTGTTAGCTTATCAAAGATTCGCGTTCAGTTATCACGTTTTGTGGCGCACTAACAACAAAACCAACCGATCAAAAACTATACTTATAAGTCAAAATTTCACCAATATTGCAACACGACTACGGCAAAGATCAAATGACTGAACACTGGATAATAGCCATCAAAAGGCATACTCCCCGCGGGATGCAGAGATTGTACATGTTGTTCTAGGCTCTAGCGAACTCTATTCAGAGAAGCAAAATACGAAGCAATAAACTAATGTATGCAAAATCTACGAACATGATTCTTACAAAATTTTACAGAATATAGCACATTAGATAACCGGCCAATAACCAAATTAAATCAGTTTATGAACACATATAAAAGTGCAGAAGGCGGAAGCAGGAAATAATGGTACCTTTGATGAGAAACACTTTTATGTTTAGGTCTTTAGGATATCTGAGAATGCCAACTATTGAATAACAAATTTAGCAAGTGTAGCACTGATTAATGATTTCACTGGTACAAACTATACAGCAAAATGCAGCAATACACAAATGTCTATGGCAATAAGGATGAGCGGCAGTTTTCAATTCACGACAATATTGCCTTATTGTACTTAATAACTCTTGGTTAGATAATTGTTGCCAATGATCACGTGATCATGCCGACTGCACAGCATCCAAAAGCTAAATTAAAATCATTGGCAATGTAGACTGTCCTACAATCGGCATAGTAAGAGCAACCGCTGGCAATGGGATGCCAACAAACGTTATAAAACCGATTTCTAAGCATTTTTTGGACCGCTAAGCTTCGTTTTACCATGGTACTGGACGAATACAACACCGAGGTGGAGCACGTATAGCTTTCTTGCAATAAAAATCTCCCCGCTGTACTATAAGCGTTAAGTTTATAAATTGTTCCGAGTCTCGACATGCATCCGAACACTTTTGAGCAGTGATCGCCTTTTTTCCGAATTATTAACTGGGCAAATAAATAAATACCGCACGTGGTCGCGGTGTTATTGTAGCGAATTGTGTCCATGTCTGACGACGCGGTTGTGCCAACTGACCAAGTGCTTTAAGTCAGCGAGCTAGTCGCACAGTTATTTTTGCCCTGTTTATTTGCTTTGGCCTTACCGATGTCTGGAAGAACTCCGGCCGCGTGCGCTTTATCTATCCTTGTTCCTGTTCTGATCTGTTTTAACAAGAGTACCGGAAGGTATCTTAACAAATGTCGCTAATTCGCTAATACAATGAGACTATATTCACTGATCATGATTTTATGTTTGTAACCGTAGCGCCGGTGTCAGTGGTCAAAATGCCAGCGCGGAAACCGGCAACGATACGGTATTTGTCGATTTCGGATTCATTATTGGACCACAATCATTTCACACATGGTTTCGGGATGCAACCCTTCGAGAGGAAAGCATGAAATCTGAAGAACAGCTTTCGCTGTTGTCCGGTAAGATGCAAAGTATTCAGTGGACAAATATGCTTTAGCTGTTATGAGTACGTACTGGTTCGCCTTTTGGTGTACGTTAATTGGTTGCGAGGGATAAATCTCGCTAATTCCAAACTCGTTTAAAAAAACATGAAATCTTATTTTAATAGATTATCGTTTTACCAAGCTAATTTTCTTGATGGATTCATATGAATCCATCATTCCCTCTCACGCGCGTCTGATGTGGATTACCGCCTATTAACACATAGGATCGTAGAAGACAGGAAAACAGCTGAACAGCCTCGTGTTTTGCCGCTTAAACGCGCATTTTACGCAGATTATTTACCACAGGGATGATCAGCTGCATCCAAAATTCAGTGATGTCCGCAACCAAAATTTGGAAATTTTTTGATATTGTAAATTTTTCGGCTTGCAATCGAATGATCAAAATTCTGTACGCTTTCCGTAACCGCAGTGTTTCCCATGCGAGCCGGCAGACTCACCGGCGAGCCTGCATAGTATTTACATGTAGTGCATTTAAGTAATAACGGGCTTTTATTTCCAAATTAAAGCCAACAGTATCGCCGGAATCTCGTTCGGGAACGGCGCATAAAGTCAGTTAAACCTGCAGATTTCAACAGATACCAGGTGCATCTCTCTAGACATTAGTATAATGGCAAATGGCCATCTTTAAAAACTTCTAATTTTAAAACAGTTATTTAAAAACTTATAATTTTTAAAATGAACTGCAATTGCTTTGAGTCTAACCAAATGGCCGAACGAAAGGGGTGGAAACTCAAAAGCTTTTGGAGTTGCGCCCACTTATAATCACGTAAAAAATACAGTACTTAATTTCTATGTTATTTTCAAAGTATTTCATTTGCCTTTGCTATATATGTTTAAGGCAACTGTCTATGCAGTACGTAGAGAAAGCAACTGCATCTGCAACTATGAGTACTTAGTTAGTACTGAAAATTTTATTGGCTGTTTTGGGCGGCAATGCGTATCGAAAAATTGTTTGGTTTTCTTTTGTTATTTTCTGTACTTGCCATGAGAGGAGGATGTGCTCATCAGACGAGCCCCTGTTATCCATGCACAACGGAAGGTATATTTATCGTAAATTAATGTGTTTTATTCTTTAGCAAAATTTGCAAAACTTCTGCATACGATGAAATTTACCAAAATAAATGGCACCAAGAAAGGTGTTACACTGAGTGGTCATTGAGAGCATAGAACTTGCAAGTCGTTTTTATTAACAATAAATATTATCTGTAGCTCCAACTGGTCGCTGCAATGATCCTTACAATGAATGATAATTGTTGAATTTTTATTGTTCCAGCATCCCGACAGTAAAATTGAAATCGATGTAAATTGTAATAATGTAGTTTATCTGCAATTTGTATACGCTAAGATTAACGTGAGTTGCAGTTAGATGCCTGTTAATTATTCCAGCATCGGTTGACATAATAATAACGAGACGAGTACATTGCTGGCAATTATTTTGTTACTGGTGATATAGTGATAGCGGTTTTAGTTTTCAGTTTTGTGGCTGAAAACTAGAAGATGCCGTAATTTTATTTTCTTTTAAATCCAGAAACAGGCGGTTATTCTTCAACTTCAAATGCTTTTGTTCTTTTAACTGAGGCCTGATTCCAGATCATAACCAGATAGTCCGAGAAGGATCTCCGGCACATTTTGACTGGCTGACGTACAATTCTCTAGCGGATGAACCACGGAACGTAGCAGCATTCTCGCGGAAGCTGGAGTATATTTCGGCAGCTGTTGCTCAAAGGTAAATAATCATGGTTCTGGCACGTCGAATACCGTTTCCGGTACAGCGCCGTAAATGCGGTTGGGCCTTGCATAATAGATGTCATAATTGCCGCTTGGTTGATTGACATATTGTACTAATGCGTCATTCTCTGACAGAAGCGAGGGTGCATATATTATAGACCTTGACGAAAACGAGTATATACTATATGCTTCACTTACTCGTAGAAATGGTCATTCTGGTGCTGCCCCGGAAACCCTGAACGACTATAGCGAAGCCCTGCCGAAAGACATTAAAGCCAGTTGCCCCTTCCCGATTAGCACATTACCGTGCAACGCAGCGCATTTTCGATCGTTTAGCGGAGAATGCAACAACGTGCAGCATCCTTACTGGGGCCGACAATTTACGCCATTCAGCCGGACAAAAGATGGTGAATATTTCGATGGTGTATCAGGCCCAAAAACGCAAGATAGTCTCGGGCACCGTCTACCCTCACCGGTCCGCGTCAGTGAAGTGTTCAGGAAAACAGCAATCGGCGACCACAAATATGTCAATCAACTGCTACCAGTCTGGGCCATGCTGCTGGAGGATGATTTGGCGCAAAGCGTATCTTACGCCGGTGAGTCTGCGGCAGTGTCATGATCACAGGGATTACGTAAAGTTGTAAATTACCGCCTACTTGCATTTTCGGCAGCTGGCAACGGCAGTATGGCGGTCTCTTGTTGTGGGGATTTACAAACAATACATCCGGAATGCTTTCCGATTGTTGACAATGACCGGTCTAGCTGTACGCATTATATGCGCTCATTATCGGCACCGGCGATCGGTTGCCAACTGCAAGCACGACAGCAGATGAACCTGGCCAGCCACTTCCTGGATGGATCCAGTATTTATGGAACTTCTGATCAACGAGATCCGCTTGGAATTAAGAATGGTACGGTGACACCAGGAATCACATTTGCATGAGCAATAACTTCTCGGTTTAAAACTTCGGTAGTGCATTCCGCACACTACTGCTTTTCTTAGGCTTCAAGTTCTTCGAATTATTTTTGCAGGATTACTGCCTATGCAGAAAGGCCCAAACGGAAAGGGTATACTTGTAAAACCTTTGGATAATAAAGAATGCGAGAAACCGGAGACATCGGAAGGACAGTGTCCTTCTCACAAGTCAGAAACCTCTCCCACGAGTGGCTACGCACCATTAGCAGCAATAAAAATATTGTAGGTGTTATTCCGTAGCATTTAATACGGGTATGAGTAGTTTTGAAGTTCGATACCGGATGAAAGTATGTATTTATTACAGACTCATGCGAGAACACAACCGGCTGGCGAATATTCTTTCGACGCTAAACCGTCACTGGAATGCCGAAAAGCTTTTTCAGACCGCACGAAAAATTTTGATAGCAGAAATCCAACACATTACTTTTAAGGAGTACTTGCCCATCCTGTTGGACCATCGCGCTCTTAGAGACCACAATCTGACATTACAGAACATCAACTATTACAATGGTATGTATTGCTTTAGCTTTGCTACCTTTCCTTAGAAACTGAATTGTCTGTGCTGGCTCATATTTGCGTATGCCCATGCTACGCCCTTAATAACTTACCGGAAAGTTTTCGACAGTACGATAGTATTAATATTGCTTTGTAATTCGATATTATGTGCGCAGGTTACAGGATGGAGACAGATCCTAGTGCCAGCAATGGGTTTGCGACAGTTGGGTCAAAATTATGGTTGACAATGTTGGATGACAAAATTTTGCGCGTTCACTGGAACAACACAAAGTCCAGACGATTAATTTCTAAAGATGTGTTGCAACAGTCTGAGGTGGTTAAAATAAATTAATTTTGGATATTTTATATTTATATCGCAGAATTTTATGCAATTTTAGTTTTTGGAAAACGACGAAATGGATAGCTATATAAGAGGAATGGTGAGGCAACCAATCCGGAAGCATGGCGGAATTTCAGGAGAGGTTCTAGATGACTGGCTGCAAAGTCCAGAGCAGTCATTTGGCATGAACTTATTATCGTTAGTTATTCAGGTAGACTGACTGCGTCTGCAAGTAAAGTCAATTTTACTGGACGTTCGTGTTATTTTTAGTGACAGCCTTTATTTTTTCTTATAGTTAGTCATAAGAATTTGTGGGTCATACACATATATATCATACAATACTTGTATCTACATAATATACAACTATAAAACTATATTATGTTCCACATTAGCGGTTATGTGTTGTATACGTACGTAGAACGGTAGAAGTATACATTTTTGTCAGAGTAGTCTAAGTCAGTAACAGCAAATTATGCTGTAAATGCCTAAAGTGTTTACCACTTTTGCAAAAATAAGCAGCTTATTTTTAAAACTCTGACTGATGTATTCCCTGCAGAGAGAACGAGATCACGGTATTTCCGGCTACACGAATTGGAGAAAGCAGTGTGATTTACCAAACATTCTGAACTATGAAGACTTGGACGGCGTTATGACCGCTGAAGATATTGCGCAATTCAAGAAAATATTCAAGTACTGCAATGGCTTTTTGCCATAAAAGCGTGCTTTTGAGTTTTTTAGTTTTAACTTATAATATCTGTGAATATCGGATTCTAACAATAAGCATGAACATACTGTATAGAACTGGTATCTGAAAATACAATACGTACATCATGCACTTACATAATTACACGTTAAGCAAAAACCCCCCCAATTTGGGTTAAAATCAAGATCTCTTCTTCTTTTAGGTCCGTACATGACATCGATTTAATTGCTGGTAATTGACAAAATTCTTCCGGAGTGATTCAGCAACGAATTATTGATTTCAACCAAAATTTTAGCCGCCTTTGCGGAAGTGCCATCCAAGGGCTCATTAGTGGGACCTGTACTAGCTTGCGTTATTGGTCAACAGTTTAACAGCCTCAGGCATGGAGACCGATTTTGGTACGAAATGGATATTCCGCCATCAAAATTCACTTTAAGTAAGTCGATTTTCATAAATTACAAAAAAGCGGTACAAATATTTTACGCGAATTATAGCGCTCACCTGTTGCTTCACTGTAATTAGATGAATATTATTCTTCAGACCAACTAAACGAACTGAAGAAATCTTCGCTCTCAAGACTGATTTGCGATAACGCCGACAACCTCACCAATATTCAGCCGGAAGCCATGCTGCTGCCCGATGAAGCATTGTATGTAATACATAATTAGTGACATAATCGAAACCCATGCTTGTCCAAAACGTGCCCTTGAAAAGAAGTATTTTTAAGGAATGCCGTCATTGACTGCCGAAATATTCCTGCGATGGATTTAAGCAAATGGAGAGAACGTAAGAACCTGCCCTGAACACCAAAGTTCGGAAAATGATATCTGAATTTTTTTCTGGCGTAGAAACGGCTCTGTTCCATATCGATTTGTTGAGCCCTTCGAATGAAACTGATCCGATTTTAATTCGAAACCGTCGGCAGTAAGTGTGCGAGTGGCCTTCATGGTCAGCTTAGGGTACTATTTAAGCTGGCAAAGCATAAAGTGAAAAGAATACGTTTGGCATGCTTAACCACAAGAAAAGCTAATCCAGATACCGCTTTCTACATATAGAGAATATGCTGCAGAGAACAATAAAATAAAAGGGTGACGCTTGGCAGTAAATTTTTGAAGTACGTACCGGTACTGTACAGTTGATCGCTCTACGTTTTCGTGCATGAAAATCGGCAGCAGGAACTGATGTTGTAATATATAAGCTCATCTGTATCGCAAAACTCCATTTTTACATCTAAACACTGTTTCCTATAGGTTTGGGTTTGGAGGAGGCGGATTTGGAGGAGGTGGATTTGGAAACTTCCGCCAAAGTCGCCAGCTTCAGCCAGTTAATCAGTTTCAAAATTTCCAGCCGAGTGATAATGGCTGCGATGAAAAGCGGCAAGGATGTGATGCCACCTCCAAATTCCGATCAATTTCCGGTCATTGCAACAATCTAAACCATCCCGAATTCGGCGAAACAGATCGAGTAAAAAAGCTGACTGAATATCAGCCAACTACATTCGTCATCATTAATGTGATGCTGCAATCTTTTTTTCTGTAGATATTTTCTCGTTTTCTTGCTCCACAATATGATGATGGTAAGTCAAGTTTTTGGAATAATAAAGTTTCTCTCCAAGCAGCAGCATTTTCGGAACGTTGTTCGAATTTCTGCATAACACTAGTTTTTGTCTAGGAGTGGGACAACAAAGGGACGCAAGTGCTGCGGGAGGATCGCTTCCTCCGGTCAGGGCTGTCCGCACAAATATCCTGACAGATGTTGACCGGCCGCATCCAAAGTATACGGTACGCTTGACCTTTTGTACGATCTCAGGAATTAATGGTAAGCTCTCGTACTCTGCATATTTTATAGCACTGTTTTGCTTCTGTCAGACATTACAAATTTTGATTTTCTAATGCAAATTTGGACATCCTATGATGACACAAATGATAGACAGTTCAAATCATATTTGCTTTAGGTTTTGCTGATGCAATTTGGGCAATTTATCGACCATGATTTTACTAACACACCGATGGCTACAAGCAACACTGGGGGGTTTCTCTCCTGCCGGGAATGTGATTCACAGTTTACTGTTAGTCAAGAATGCCGTCCGATCCGAGTGCCACAGGGCGATCCAGTGATGGCGTCGTTTGACCAGCGCGGTCGCCCATTGTGCCTGAGTTTCACCCGCTCCCAGTCCAGACAGGGCTCCGATGGTCGACGGCAACAGGTTAATCAGTTGTCCTCGTATCTGGATGGAGGGATGGTTTATGGTACTTCGCGCTGCTTTACAAGGAGACTCCGATCACTAAACAATGGTATTTTATTCGTTCCACGGCAGTTTGTGTGTTAATCAATATTCTCTACAAAAAACGGCTTTTGTCCCACATTAAAAACTGAAAGGTTTAAAAATAACATAAGCCAGAAAACTCGTTTCCAGGACTGCTGATAACTACAAGGCATCCACAAGGCGGAAAAGATTTGTTGCAGCAGAGTACAAATCAGAACGATGTCGAATCCCAGGAATGCCGCAGTGTCAATCGGGCCAATCGATGTTTTCTGGCTGGAGACGCACGATCAAACGAGCAACCCGGGCTCAGTGCAATGCATACCGTTTGGGTAACAGTTCCATAGTTATTAATATCGTTTGCGACTGCATTAGGTCTATCCCGTACAGTATTAAAATTAATTACGATTTACCTGTATGTCTCAGGTGCGTGAACATAACCGAATTGCCAACGAACTCAGGGGACTGAATCCCCATTGGGGTAATTACAAATCAACCACTCTGCATTGCATGCGCTGTCTAATTTAGAATGTGTTCGTTGGTTTAAAATTTCAACTTTTGTTTTTGCTTCTGTAGATGACCAGCGCGTATTTGATGAAACACGACGAATTTTAGTCGCAGTGTTGCAGCATATCACTTACAACGAATGGATACCTCGCGTCGTTGGACAGCCAGTTGCCAATATCTTTGGACTTGCACTCAAAAAAAGCGGGTGATTAATTAATGCTTAAAAGTGATGATCTACAAATCTTTACAAGCCTACAGTTTATTTTGAACATAAGCAATGCTTTTTTGAATCTTCGGAACATCACATCTTTTACGCAATGCTGTACGACAGGTATTACAATGAATACGACGACACATGCGATGCAACTATCAGCAACGAATTTGCAACAGCCGCTTTCCGCTTCGGACACAGTTTGGTCCCCGCTCGGCTGGGACGATATGACAACACTTTCCAAAGCAACCTCTTCAAACCGCTCAACTTGTTTGAGCATTTCTCTCGAGTCGATTCTCTGTACGAAAGTCTCGGTGTCGATCAGATTTTGATTGGATTAACGATCGAACCGACGCAGAATGCTGACTTTTCCTTCTCCGATGCACTGGCCAATCACCTATTCCAAGACCCTAACCGTCCGTTAGGAACAGATCTCGTCGCAATTAACATCCAACGCGGCAGGGACCACGGCTTGGCTGGATACAACGCGTATAGAGAACGATGCAATATGACAAAGGCGAAATCGTTCGATGACCTTTTGGGGGATATCCCGAAGTTTTTGGTCGACCGGCTTGCTCAACTTTACCGCCATGTGGATGATATTGATTTGTTTACCGGAGGTACTGTGGAGCTGCCAGTAACAGGAGGGCTGGTAAGTACCGGAATTTTGGTTGCCAACTTTATGGCATTTTAAAATATGTTTGCGTGAATATATATTTATAGTGTGGTAAGCGCCAAGTAACTGAAACCTGTAAGCCGTTTCCGCAATGTAAGTCATTTTATGCTAATTTAGGTTGGTCCAACTTTTGCCTGCATTATCGGAGAACAATTTCTCCGGCTACGGAAGTGCGATAGGTTTTGGTACGAAAATTCAGACACGACTGTGCGCTTCACACCAGGTAATTAAAACCATAAATGATATTCTTTCTCTAATGGCGGAAAGATAGTATAGTTCAATATTAACTGTGTTAATATGTTGCTGAATGGCTTTGCGATCGGTCGTATCTATATGTGATGCAATTTTGCAGCACAACTAGCGGCAATAAAAAAGGTCACCATGGCCAAACTTGTTTGCCAAAATTCGGACACTTACAATCAGATTCAACGATCCGTATTCGATCTCCCGGATACGTTTTCCAATACGCATGTCAGCTGTAATGATATCACATCACTGGACCTCTCCCCATTCCAGGAGGTCTCCGCCTGTTCTGTAAGTGGTAAGAGAGTGGAGATCGGCGAGTCAAAGAGAGCGACGCCGTGCGTAGAATGTTCGTGCACAGTAAACGGGCCGGATTGCCGATCACTCAGCGTCAATTGTCAAGACCTGAAAAAAGAATTCACCACAGACCAAATTTTGGCGGACAACGTTTGTAAAGTTCAGTGCTCCAAAGAACTAGCGGATGACGACGACAGCGCAAAATAATTGCTTGATAGGGCACAAACCTTTTCGCGGTTTTTGGGATTTTTTGTCGTTTTGTTGCCGCACAAGCGGGATTAGGGTTACGAGATGCCAGTAGTGGTGATTTATATTTTTTGCGGTTTTTGCCTTCTGGATTATACTTTAGGAATTTTTTATGATGTGGCAGAGATACTCAATTTGTTACACCAAAGCGATAGTTATAATAATAAAAGTATTTTACTCTGGGTCGTGAGTTTTGTTCATTTGAGCCAAACTGAACAGGCGGTTAGCTGCTGCTCCAGATTATGGACCCAATCACGTAATAGTCACACTGGTTCTGCAATTACCGAATGCCGAGTACCATGCCAAGCTATTTTCCTGATCCACAAGTAGATTTTTCTGCATCATGAATCTGCTATGCCCTGTGCCGGCATTGTTATAAATAATACAAAGTATATTGCCGATGTTTTGCACTTCTCAATCAGTTACCATCTACCGGTATCTACTAACTTACTTAACTGCATGCATACAGGTTTATTATACGGGAGCAAAATTAAGTAAAGGTACAGGGCACCTCTAGCGCTTTGTGTTGATTAAAAATACAGCCAACAAATACGCTGATTATGCAGTCACACTTTCATTGCAAAAAAAATCCGGTTTCAAAACGGAGCAAACCTGTGATTTCTAACAGTGCGAAGTTATTAAGCGCACGCCTGCCTGCACAAAGCGGACTTTACAGTAGCCATTCTGTCAGTGCAGCTGGAAAATCTACTCCCCCACTGCATATGTACATGACAATAACGCGGTTGTAGCCTGCGAGATAAGGGTCTGAAGAAGATTTTTCTTGCATCTGAGCTTCCCGTTGAGCGCCTTATTTCCATTGGTTACAGGGTGATCTGGAAATCTTCACCACTGATAAATTCCGAAGTTCCCGCTGTTTTTGTAGTGATTCTTGCCTTCTATCAAAATAAACAAAATGCGTTTCTCAGTATTTTCGATTCTGGCTCTTTTGGGATCGCTATCCTTCGCTGCGTCAGCTGATTATCATTACCGAGCCAAGCGGCAAAACGACGGTTTAACCAGCATGGTGAGTTCCTAAATACGAGTGCTGCTTTTCTAAGAGATTCTATCATCGATTTCATTTCGCGAAACTTTTTGACTGAGAAGAGTAGCAATTTTCATGCGGCAGAAAGCATGGATACATCAAAGCACTGCATCCAAGATCCCATGTCGATCCTAAGTCCTAACTATGTATGTATTTATTGTTAGTTAATAAATGCTGTCAAGGCTTTCATACTCGGTGGCGGAGTGGAAACCATTAAAGGAAATTCAGGTAAAAAAATCGTAAGATCCTTTCAACATACAAATATCAGTATGTTGTATTAAATTATTTTCATTTCGTAAAAGTTGAAGCATGGTCAACAAAATCTTAACTTGTATGGTATTGATTATTTCCGTCGTATTAAGTATTCTATCGTATTAAAACAATATCAATTGTACATGTGTGCGCATATCAGTAGCCAGTAGCACCAGAACTACCTGTACAACTTGTAATTAACGTTCGATAGCGAATACGGTGATATCTATACTTTTGCGTATTGCAGATAAAATGGGAGCGCTGCAATCCTTTGTGTCGAACTATGCCGTTCGGAGTGTTTTGGGTGAGGGCATTGTTGGCCAAGTTTTAGGGCGGGCTATTGGTGTAAACAAGCAACCAACGTCCAGTGGATCTGGAGGCGGCGGAATATTAAGCAAACTGATGGGAATGAATAAAGGCTCTAACACTGACAGCAGCAGCAGTGGCTCGGAGCACGGATCCGACTCTAACTCGGGTTCCGGATCAAGCTCCGGATCTGGGAAGGGAATGCTAGGAAAACTTGTTGGAGCGGTCATGAACAGAGGTTCTTCAGGAAGCGGTTCTTCGAATTCTGGGGGCGAAGGGAGCCAGTCGTCAAGCAGCAACTCCGGCATGCTAGCGTCGCTGGCTGCAAAATTTCTTGGATAATTTAATTGTTTAAAGCATTGTTTTATGAAAACATCGATTTAATATGGTATCATGCCAGTGTCAGAAGCGAACGATTTTACAGTATTGCAGAGATTACCGTTGACAAGTTGCTCGATGTTGATAAGCATTGGCTTTTGCGAAACGCTGTAAGTTAGCACGTAAATCGTCTCCAGTTTTTAAATTCGAGTAAATACGATTAAATTACGAGAGTCTGCGATGTTGTGAAATAATTATGATCGAGAACGTTATCGGCGGTTAACGGGTGACCTTTCTTAGAAAAGCAACCATGGTAGCTCCATATCATGTTGTACGAATTGTATCCACAAATTTCATCCGGCGTTTTGGCAGCTGGCCACTACCAAAAAACATAAATAACTACATAATTTGCATAAGACTCATACAGTTATTTTCGTTCATGAACTATTCGGCACGATCCTGTTAAGGCAACGTAACGGCAATAATTGTCGGCCAGTCTTTAGATGCCTTTGTGGATAGTGTTGTACGATTTTTAATACAGTTTCGTAGTTGTCTGATTTCATAAAATAATTGTATGTACCGTAGAATAAATTTAAGCGCTACTATTAGACCCCATGTAAATCATGAGTAAGTAGTGTCAACCGTAAAGTTTGGTGCAAAGGTTGCTGGAGATATCCAAAAGGCGATCTGTATCACAACAATTCCTGTAACTAGCCATGACGAGATCATAATATGTATCGCCTTAATGTTTAATCGTAAATAATCCGTGCAAAAGCTGGGTTATTTGAATTTGCGCTACCTGTGAAATTTCACTCTGTACGATAGTGATTCACCAGCTGCAGTAGAACACTATAGTTGATTTCAATGCGCTGTTTCTTACTTCTTATATAATTCCACAATTTTTTAAAGTCAACACAGTCGAAATTCTTCCATCCTGTGATTTAAAAGAAACGAGATAAAGTTACTACTAGCGCGTCTGGTGGAATCACATAAGTGTGCGGCGTAAAATGAAAACCAATTTCGTGGTAATTTTCGGAGCGGCTCTGTTTCTGGTGCTGTCAACAATATTGCCTGTGCTGACAGCCAGTGTTCCTCAAAATGGACGTGAACGTCGGGAAATATCAAGCATAGTACGGACCTAAACGTTATGTGCTGATTATATTTAACTGACTTCAAGTAATGCAGAAAACACATTGTAATACTGATCATTTTACGTATAAACATTGATTTCACAGCCGTAATAAGGAAGGTCATCGCCATTATTATTTTCCTTGTGAATGGAAATGCAACTGTAATTGAGAAAACTATGCTTGCAGCTGTCGGATTTGGCCAGCCAGTTTTTTAGTCGCGGTGGACAACGAGGAGTGGACGAACTGAGCAGCAGTAATGATCAATCTGGAGTATTACAGCGATATCTTGGCTCGGCGATAGCGGGAATGGTTTTCGGCAATGGAAACGACTTGGTCAGTCAGATTTTAGGTTCATGGGGCGGCAGTTCATCTTCTTCCTCTTCCTCGGGAGGCTACCGACCAAGCGCTAGCGGTGGCTCCCGTTCCTCAGGTTCAGCTAGTAGCGGCGGCTACTCAAATTCCAACTCCCGTACTGGCGTCTCCGTTGTGGATTCCCATCCAGATCGGCCGCGACGTCCCAGTTCAAGTGGTTCAACTGGATCCGGGTCCGGAACCGATGACACTAATACCGGAAGACGAAGGCCCAGCGGAACGGGGAATCGTGGTTCGGATTTCGATCCGCTGCCTGGAAGTAACTCCAAGACTGGTGTTTCAGTTATTAATTCTCGGCCTGGAGATCGTCGACCTTCCAGCTCTAGTTCGGGTGCAAGTTCCTCGGCCGGCAGCCGCAACCCAGATGTTGCCGATTATGATGTGGATGCTGGTAGCGACGGATCGCGCCAAGATGGAAATGCCGGTCGATCCCGAAATACTGACACCGAACGAACCGGAAGCGGCCGAGGTTATGGACGGTATAGCGGAAACAGACGTGATGATTCGAATTAGGGCAGTTTTAAGTTTGATTTATGGTTTGGTACTGATGGACGAATGCGTAGTATTTCGAATACGAATTTTGAGCAAATTTACGCACTAACTATAATCTTCTGTGTACTATTAATGCTGATGTTACATGATACATGTTTCCTTTTGCAGTTAAAGGTCAGAAAAGTATAGTTGCCTGCACATGAGCACAGCTGCTATATATGGACGGAATTTAATTTATATGTGGTCGAACTGAAATTAATTTTTTTGTGGCGTGATTGCAATTAGTATCGCAAAAACCGACCTTTTACGAAGGAGAACAGAGTTTGAGAGCAGTTTTTACGGAGCTTTAAGTCTTTGCCAGTTTAATTAATAATGTTACGGTTAACCTGAGCAAACGAAAAGAGTAATTTTGTGCAGGTATCGTATAAAAAATTAATAGAAAACCGGTTACAGTTAAAGAAATTTCGATTTATTTGCACGTGTATAGCATAAGAGCTTCAAAATTTGCGATAATATCGGTAAGTTGATAGCAGACGCCACAGCCGATTTCACCAGCAGATAATCGGGGAAGGAGGTAATCTCGATTCCGTTAATACTTATTAAGCAGTAGGCGCCGCAAAGTTTTGAGGAAATCTCGAAATCAGCACCGGTGCTCGAAATGCTGCACTCTGCCAAAGAAGGCAAAATTCAAATGGAGCAGTACTCTGTAGCACAGGGGTGCGATATTCACGGAAAATTATTCCTTCAGAGCATACTTCCTTCGACCCAGCGCTTGACGCATTTGCAAAATTTAGCCTGCGAGCACGGCTGCTATAATTAATTGTAAGCAACCACATCAGCTTCAACATGAAGGGTTACATCAGAACCGGACTGTACAGCATCGTAGTGTTATCAGTATTACTCTCGCAAAGTGGATGCAATGCGCGAAATCCTTATCTTCCTTCCGGTTTATATGGGTCACTCCAAGAAAACGGACTTCCTGGCAAAGAGTGCCCTTCGTGCGATGTGCATAAGCGGCTTCCACGGCAAACATCAGGTGGCTCCGGAAGTATGTTCAGTTCGGTAAGGATGGCTGGTCGCGTACATTTCCGATATGTGAACCGTGTAGAAGAGAAACAAGTGCCTGTAAAATGTACAACAAAAGCTAACAGAAAGAAAAAAATATGAAGATGTTGTTTTTTGACGATGCCATGCGCCATGCAGAGAAATATGGTGAATTCAATGAAATAATAATTTTTTGAAACTGCATGCTTATGTATGGGGTTATTTATACGAACAACACTCTACCTTTCTAAATTTTCTCCTTTTTTAAAAGACCCATCGGCTTGGTATCTACTACTATCCGTTAATACTCGTACTTAAACAATGTCCATATTCATGCTAAACCTACAGTAACCTGTGATGCTTGCAGATAGGAGAGCTTGCCGGGGAATTCATTCGACGAGGTAACTAAAATCAGTGTAAGCGATGAAATCGGTAACTACCGGTATCTGATTTGTCTATGGCTCTATGCAACTGCAGGAGCGTTTATAGTAACATTAAATTACAACTTTTATATCGATTCGCATTAATTAGTATTCAGACTGCTTCACAAAAAAATGGACAAAACGTAAAAATTAAGGTTTTTAAAAAAATGAGTTTAGGCTACTGCCGCTGGCCCAGTCCGCATATCAACCGCAGTGTTTTATGTACAGCGTAAGCATTTGTATAAATAAAATGGTCAATTATTATGTTTATAATGGACAGGGGGACTGCAGGCCGTGCTCGCAATGGCCGAAAGCAACAATAAAATGGAGACTCTAACCCGCATCCTTGGAGCGCACATCACGAACAACCTGAGCCAAAGCATGATAACGAAACTGATCAATCGCTTCAGCGGTAACAAAGGTTCGTCAGGAGGATCCGGAGGGTACGCTCCAGCGCCGGCGTCCAGCGGTGGCAACGGAGGCTTCGGTGGAAAAACAAGCAGTTCCAGTGGAACCGGTTATGTGCCCACTCCAGGGAAGACACCGGGAGCAGCAAACCCAGATGATACCGAATACTAGAACTGTCACGAACGAAGCCTTCTGTGCAAATGCAGTTAATTACTGAGTGCAGAGAGTGCACTAATGCGTAGCGCACTATTGTTCTGATAGAATAAGTTATACAGAGCATTAATCTGATTTGTTGTATGTACGACACGCTTTTGTTTTTTGTGAGTACACTGCAATGATAAAGAGAATCACGATTGTGTAACATAAAATGGTATTCACCATAACCGATCCCAATTATTACGGGACAAATACAGGACTTGCACTCTACTGTCCCAGGATCACGATTCGCGTTTGCCGACACTGTTTGACAGGAAGTGTCGATCCACTACGGTTCATCATAAAACGATTTAATGATTAAGAGTGCCATCTACAACACCCTTCTCCAAACTCCTAAAATTTTCCCGATCACAACAGCAAGAAACGAACAACCACAACAAGGACATCAGAAAAACTGTCACAACAAACATTTTCGCAAATCCACTATATTAAATATTAAATTAAAATAGCTCACAACCACGACGTTGCATGAATTTGTAGCCTTATCCATTCGAACTACAGCTGCGCCCACGCACTGTTGCTTGTTCTTAGTTGTGGCTAGTTGACGGTTCCGGTGGATACTATGGATATTAACTACAGAGTACAGACCTACGTGGTCTTCGGCAGACTCAATCCCACCAATGCAGCCGCTTCAGCTGTTGTTCTTTCACCTCTTCCACCATACTGGTTAGTGAGCACCTAAACCGAATTCTTGTTACTTATATTTAGCATCATAACAATGCGATCCGAAAAATGCAACGAATGAGTTTCTATGTATACTTTTTTACGCCTGGATTTCAAACTTGGGAAAGCTACCGGAAGTTGCGTTCGAAAAATAAGTAAAGCAATTAATAACCGCAACTGTAACCTGCATAAACGGAGATAAACTCAATTAATATTATAACTATTACTATTATACTCGTATAATTATTATAGACGATTAGACATTTCTTTTGTCATAGATTTATGACGAACTGCGTAAACAACACTTCAATACTATACGAAGGATCTTGGAATCGTATAATACTCCGTTTCAGTTTTCAAGATAACGATTTTTTTCGTCACGGTTTTCCTGATTGCTGAACCCAAGAGAATAACGAAGCCTACTAAATTAGGGGTAACTGAATCACCGTGTAGGAAGTCTGCCTAAGAAGATAATCATAAACCAAGATAAACCACGAAAGAAATAGATGGGAGAAAGATTATCACGGTTAGTCCGTTCGCATTTTAACACAATTCACCTTATTTTAGCTACTTGTACGTACATTATGTGATCTGGAGCTCCTCAGCATGGAGAGGTAGGTATCAGCGACGAACATCGCACTTTCATTAGCGCGACAATACTTCTCATCCGTAACTTTGTGCCTCTTAAACTGCGTGCTAACGTATTTGATTAAATCCTGGCGTAAAGTATTCTGAAAGCAATTACATTTAGTTGCATAATAACCACTGACTTCACCTGTTAGCCTAACAAGCACAATGAAGGCATAAAGTAAAACAGTAAAGGTAAGCATACTTCTACAGTATATTATGTAAAACGAAAACAGAAATCCCACAACACAAACCTGGAGCTTCAACATCCGTATCTCGTGCAGTATCCCACGATATGCTGCAAGCGCAGGCTTCATGGTTGCACGCAAGGCCGCAAGCTGGTTACTTACGGTAAATACTAGCAAAACTGCCTCAAAACAATTAAAGGAGTATCAACTATCAAAACAACAGAGCTGCAAAACGTGCGCGCGTAAATTGATTTCGCTGACAACAACTAGATATCTGACACTTACAAAATATACTTCAAAGTTCAAACTCAAAAACTCTTGTCTTTAATGCTCGAGAAGGATGAAAAATCAAAAATTTTGGTCGCTGTAGCTTCGACGAAATTGTAGACGCCGTCGTTTGGGCGGCAGGGCAGGTCTGAGCAAGAAGGAAATTAATTTTTGGACTCATTCAATCACCATTCACCAGATTCACCACTACGAAATACAGGAAGTGCTACAGATACAGGATGCTAGACTCGAAAGGCACTTTAAATGCCTTCTGTACGATACAGAGCCGGAAGTTCTGTAATTTTTCGATCACACCCCCGTACCTCTGATTGGACGGCTGAGTTAAAGTGTTATGTATCTACAGTTGACACCATAAATGTGGTTACACTAGACAATCGGTCCGAGGACCGATATTTTAACGGCAAGACCAACAGCAGACCAAAATAAGTCGGTCATGTCCATTGCGCGTAGACTCGTATGCTAAACTCAGGCACTTGGAACTTGCACATTTTTCAACAAAAACCATCAAGCGATATCTCAAAAGAATGAGAAAAAAATTCTAAGAATTTTGATACCAAACAAGTTGGTTTTTATCACATCTAAGAGAAAATCGAGGCTCCTAAAGTTTCCCGTAGAAATAGCATAGGATTTGAATCCACGGTTTGGTTTGTTTTCACGCATATGCTTTGTCTACGGGAAACTTCAGGAACCTCGATTTTCTCTTAGATGAAACAAAAACGAATTTGTATGGTATCAAAATTCTTAGAATTTTTTTCTCATTCTTTTGAGATATCGTTTGATGGTTTTCGTTGGGAAGTGTGCAAGGTGCAAGTGTAAACATCAGCAGGCCGATGGCCAGCACGGAAATGGCAGTCTGAGTACAGATAAGTATCTGGTTGCGCGCGGTTTAAGTGTAACCACATTTATGGTGTCCATTGTAAAAGGAACTCTCCTGGCTCCGTTACGATACAGAACTCGCATTTCTTGCTAGGTCAAAGTTATTTTTGATGTGGAGGCACAGTCCGCTGTACGTCTAATCATAAGTCCTATTTTTAAGTTTCAAGTTTTGAGGGTGTAATTAACGGGAGTTTAATTGTTTCTATCGAATCAACATTCCAGGTCTGCTTTGTTCACTGATTTTAGCTGCCTCCGACTGTGCATGTTTGAATTTGTATCGTGGCAACAAGCAACTTCGCCATAGCCGTCAGCGCGAGGAATACCTCAGCGTACTTTACATGCAATGGCCTTTCGCTTTTTCCCCAGTCGTTTGATTTCTTAACGTAACAAAACTTCAGATCGCCAGAAAAACAGAAAGGAAACCGCCACAAAATTGTTGTGAAAAATGAATAAATCGTTGACCAATTCAACTACGGTAACTGGGGGCTTTTAGAAACCGTGGTCTCGTTGCTCTGTAACGCTCTATAAGATTCAGCGCTGTACCATTGGTAGATTCACTTTTACAGAACTCCCGGCTCTGTATCTTACAGAACACATTTAAAGTCCGTTTCGAGTAGTACTACTCTAGATCTGTACGTATGTACCTGATTTACGATTAGTATAAAATTTAATGTAAATTTGTAATGACTATTGTTTATTTAATTTTAATAGAATTACTAACTAATTAAGTTAGTTAAAGATACACTGATTTTGTACTCATAGCGCATTATCAACGAGGTATTTATATATTTCTTTTAAAATTTACCCCGATGCATGCATTATGCATATAGATATGCCTTGATATCCGATGAAACGGCTAAGTTGTTTATTAGTAACTAATTACGTAGGTACGAGCAGTGAAGGTTATATAACTTATTTTTAAAAACCTGCGAACAAAATTTAAAAAATGGGTGACTGGTGCTCGGCGCCGGTGCCTGCAATAATTCAGCTATGTACAGTAGATGAGCAAAATTATTAAATGCCAGGCTTGAGCGCTCGCTACAAGAAATCGAGCGTATCATGGTCAAAAGCTAGTTTTGTGAATATCTTGTTACGAAGCCAAGTGAACTAGAGAGAAATAATGTTTCAAGAGATTTCATGTTGAGGAGAATAATAAGCTGCTTGTAGTTTATTTTTGCGATAATTTTAGCTTGCAGGAGATTTTGTTAAGGTCACGCATTTCTCTGCCAGCGACAGTGCTGCTCTTGCAGAATTACAGCCGCAGTATGTTAGTTTAACATTAACAACTGTACTTCTTAAATTTACTCTTAAAGCTTATAATTAGAGCTGAGACTTAAACTTACATCCACGTACAACCTACCGAAGAGACCGAGATCTTGCTGTGCAACGCGATGCGTGACAAAATTAAATTTCTGTGTTTCTGTTAGAACTAATTTTCGACGGCATCATATCATTCCGTGAACCAGCATAATGCAGAAGCGCGCCGAGTTGTGAAAAATTCGATACAACGCTGCCAGGACTGTCTGAAAACTAGTGATGACGGATGGAATCAGTGTTTTTATCGAAAAGGGATCGAGACGCGGGTGAGCATTGTCTTGTCCGTTATTTTTAAAACATATGATTCTACGAAGACGTGTATTCAGAAGCTAACAATAATATTTATACATTTCTTCTCAAGAGTACATTTAAAATTTTATAAATTAACCAATTTTTACCAAAGAGTTAGCATACGTGCTCTGTACGCTGTACAGAAGACTATATCTGCATGATGATTTATTCTGAATGAAATTAATCATATTTTAGCATACAAGTTAGCAACGCAAGCATAGTACGAGTAGTGATACTAATCAACACCATTTATCAGAAAATGTTTTGTTAACCTTTTTATAATTCCAAAATTTCGACCAAAATCGGTAAAGCTCCTCCAATCAGCTGAACTAAAATGCGCAGCGCGGAACTACCTAACTTCGAGCTTTTCGGAGTTTGGTACTTACAGTAACCATTCCGGCCGGACGCGAAGCATGCCGTTTACCTAAGTAATTAATAGTGCTTATAGTTTCGATAAATTCGAAATTAAATCGAATAATTCCAGGCTATGCCTCCACGTAAACACGTAAATATGACGTAAACAACTTGCTTTACAGTGGTCTGTCACTGGTCACATTACAGATCTACTTAGAATGTGTGACACAGGTAAAGCAGTAATACTATAGCACGTACTATGGTTCTCTAACATAGTTATAATTAATGGTATACCAGCGTATATGCACCATATAATACAAGTATAATATAGACTCTCTGGTAGTATTCATGAAAAAAAGCCGACAGGCATCCATAGTCAGTTTATTTTGACTAAGTCTTATCCCGAAAATTTTGTCAGTTTTGTCTGAATGACTGATGGTGAGGACAATTAATAAGAAAAACGTACGCACAGTAACGTTCCTATAAATTGCTATCTCCGCTGATCCATATTTTAATATGTAATTTTATTTATGTAATATGTACATATAGAATATTCAGACACACAATTAAACGATTCATCTCATTACTGCGCAAATAAATATATATTCCAAAATCCGGATAGCCGATTTTTGCCACAAATCGTCTCCACGGGGTTTCGCAGTAGAGTGAGAACTGAGAAGTACGTTGATATTTGTTAAAATAATTAAATCTTAAACCATAGCTAACCTGTTAAATCTTCGCGTGCAACGGTGCAAATGATCAAGTTTTAACCTTAAACAAGATAAATACCAAAATTTAATAATATATGGGGACTGACATCTGGTGCTCGTAGTAGATATAATAATAATACAAGTATTGTAGTAAACCGCCGAATGGTACGTGAACCCTAATGCGGCGCTGTTTGCTGCATCAATTTTCGCGTACGCGCTGCTACGCAGTACGCAGCAACACTGCAGTGTGTTTTTCCCGTTCGGCTTTAATTTTCGGAGCATAATAAATAATAATACGAACAGTGCAAAAAACTTCACAAATACGAACAGTGCAAAAAACCTCACAAAGAAAGAACAACAACGGTTGTACCATAGATGAGCCGAGAAAACTTCGCTCCCGAAACCTGGTAAGGGATGGATGCAGGAGAACAAAATTTGTGGCTCAAATGATGCAGAACCATTTTGTCCAAAGACGGTTTGAATATAGCAGTTCAACTAAAACAGGAGTGGAAAGACATCGCAACTCCACAGCAGCGGTATATATATACACTGTCTTCCCGTAGACCGAGCAATATAGTGCCGACTACACACCGTGGTGACCATGATGGTCAACACGATGCCAATAGGTGAATAACGAACGGGGCAGGTTATGCAGTAACCTTTGGCCGTACCAGACGATGAGATGGGAAACTACTAAAGATTTGCGAAGATTGCTGCTTAATTACTTATTCAATCGGACATCCTGTATGGCACACGCATAGCGCACTATAAATAAGGCAACTAATACTATATCTATTAAATTTGTAACTAATGGTGTACTTATTTTGTGGAGACGGACAGAAATGCCGTACAGACAAATAAGTAGTTAACTAAACTAGGATATACATCGGCTTTAATTTCATAAAACTATGAAGATTTAACATAAACTTCGTGTTTGCACATATAATACTTACTTAAACACTTTTACTTATACTCTCGCACATTTTCACTAAAGTGGGCAGGGGTCGCTTATCTAAGGCGATAAAACCAGCCATTCTTTTACCTTAGCTTACCAAAGAGTTTTTCTCTCCACAAAAGGCCAATTACGTATTTTATGTAAAATGTTGGGTATGGTGAATTTGTGACAAGTTGACAACAGTCACGTATATATAGCAGTTCTTCTAACGGCGTATAGAGCTTTTAGTCAGTTGCAGTATTAATTTATCCGTTTACGCGCAATGGGAGCAGCCATTTTTCTGTCTACTATAGAAAAGTTGCGTACTTAAAGTCTTAAATATTAACGAAGTAGGAATTCAGTGAAAAAACAGTTCGTCGTACGAAGTAGCCATGGTGCGAAGTGCGAACTCTAGCTAGTTAGTACGCCGCCAGTAGCTTAAACTCTAAATTAAATTAAGAACGTGCATTTACGCACAATTGGCGTTCCACCGTCGCTGACCAACTGGCAAGCGGCTTCGTCTTCCAGGCGGCGCTAAACAGAGCCTGCGATATACTTACAGTTGCCGAAGAAAACACGCTCGTATTGGCTGGCTATTTTTATTATGTTCCTCGACTATGATTTATCATCCTCAGAAGTGAAACAGTTACTTAAATACAAGGCGATGAAAAGAACACCAGAGGAATTGAAGTACGCACCAGCGGAAGAGAGACTTTCGCCCAACGCCCGCGATGAACGTTGGTTGTGCGTTGCGAAAAACTGACGTCGTGCTTCCTCCGCACGCATACTAAAATGGAATTTCGTAGACCAACGCCCTCCAATCCGCATCGTTTCCCCTGCCTCTTTTTCGTGATATTTTAGCAAACCTAAATAAACCATAAGATCCAGCGAGGCGCAAGAATCTTTCGTCGTAGTGCGCGATATATCGATAGCAAGCTCAGCTGCCGAATTTGTCCTGTGCGTATTCTTTCGCGTCGGCCGGTTTTTTATCCAGTCCGTGTTGCCCTAAAGGCCATTCCATTTCTGTGATTCCCTTACCAATTTCGGGCAGGTTTTGCTATTTTCTTGGTAGAAAAAGAGGTAAGAACTGAACATCGTAGATTTGTAGTCAGTTTCTATAGGTTGGGTGTAAATACCGATGTAGAAAACGATAAATTAGCGGCTTTGACACACCGGTTGTGGACTTACTCTCCTTACTATACAGTATACACATGCTGATGGCAGCACGGCAAACCCACTTCAGCGTTCCCATCGAATCGTTAACACCGTATAGATAATGGGTGGACTTTTGACCCTGCGCTATCGCGCCGCTTGTATACTTATCAATGATGCATTGTACTTACCTGCTACGAACCAAATACACATATCACATTTTCTGAAGAATTATGATTGCAATATGTGAAGTGATTTGGCTAAATTTAAAATTCGGGGATTGCGGCAATCGATATGCAAACTGCATAGGTAGCGATTGCCTGGCTGTGTTTTATTATAAATCGGCCAGCATTTTCGGCTGTATTAAGAAGGGAAATATTTTTGGTGGCGTAACTGAAGACCCTTTGCAGCCAAACAAACAATACCATGGACGCGATTAAGAAAAAGATGCAAGCTATGAAGCTTGAAAAGGAAAACGCAATGGATCGTGCCGATGCCCAAGAGCAGAAGTGCCGCGAAGCCGAAAAGCGCGCCGAAAAGGTTTCACTTCTGATCCGATACTTGTGGATTACTCCTTTGCTGGATCCGTGTACGTTGCAGTGCATCATAAGCGTTATGTGTTTAGGCAGAGGAGGATGTGAAAGACCTCCAGAAGAAGATCCAGCAGGTCGAGAACGACCTTGATCAGACCCAGGAGAAACTCCTTGCCAAAGAAAAGGCCCTTGAGGAGGCGGACAAGAAATGCGCCGACGTAAGTTTCCGTAATTGCACGGAATAAATTGTAAGCAGCACGTCGAGTATACTTTTTTAACCAAAAAATATCGAAAAGGATAGAACATAACCAACTCCCAAGGCACTTTGCACTTTTATACCTCTTCGCCTCGGTCGCAATAGTTCTTTTGTGTACGAAATCAGTACTTGTGGTTCTAACGGTCAAAATTAGTGTCCAGGATTGTGATGAAATGTTTAGATTTATTATTGCTGCTACCGAATACTTCCCCGATTTTGTTTTGTTCTTTTTATTCTGTTAGGGCAGAAAAGTTTGCCGGATAAATTTATTTGTGAAAACAGTTTTAGATTCGCTATCATATCTTTCTTTTTCTGTTAATGTGCTGTAATAGTGCTGGCGAAAATTTCGCTCATGTTTGTGGGGAAAATCGTAACGTGCACTCTTTAAAAGTACAGTATTTTGGAATTTGGACAATACAGTAGTGGTCAGTCGTGTTTGAGCAGCACTTTGTCCCCGGCGACACATTTGATTCAAGTGAGTCAAGAAGTTTATTTGCTGTAAGAAGGGTTAACGTTAGTGTAGCTAGATTTACAAGCTCATCAGCAGATTTTCTCGCGTTCTGGCTGTCAGCTTCCGCCAAGATGTTAGCTTCGTGCGGGCAGAATCCAAAGATCAGGGGACGGCGGCAACCGATACGCACATCGAGCTATTTTAGTCACGTACAAATCCATCGCGGCTGTGGCGCGAGTTTGTGCTCTTACCATGTTTGGATAAGTCGAAATGTACGTCAGACACGATTAATTTTTTGTCCCAACCCACCTCGACTAGTGCTGATAGCGATGTAAATTTAAATAGAATTTTTTTTAATGTAGCATCTAAACTTCCAAAGGAGTATATTTTTTGTTGTTGGCTTTTCTAAATGCTATACTTACTTCTCCATGGATTAGCCATAGCGATACATAAAGTTGTACATAGTGATGTCATTTAATTTTTGTAAATACTGTAACGCAAACGAAAAGGCATTTGCGGTTGTATTTAAGGTTACGAAGTTTGCTTAAATTTGTGGACATAATTTTTAAACGTTAGGCAGTGTAGTGGTCGCTCAGATAATCCAGATTCCAAACCTTCTAAGACTTTCTAAATACGCAATTAAATAATATAACGAATTGAATTACCGAATTACGTTCAGAAATTCAGTTTTCGTCCATAGACTTCAACCAGTGCTCGCTAGATTAGTTAATATGTTACCATTAGCATTAAAGAATTCTTGAACAGTATTACAGACCGTACTACGGTAAAGCGCGGCGAAAACGAAAAAAAACTATGCGAAAACTTTCACGCCAGTTTTCCCTTCTGCCGGCTGCTAATTGTTTTTCTTAACTGTTTTATTTCGCTGTGAGTTTAAGGATGACGTAGGTTTGTTCGTAATATAACAAACTATGTGTGCTACTTTATGAATATGCAGCATGGTGCCGAAATAGCAGTACGATTCAGTTGCGATTTGCGAATCTGCAGTGTACCTGAAACTGTCCAATTTCTTAAATTGAAAATATGAAAGCATTCTGCAATGAAAAGGTTCATCTTCGGATGAAGTGACCTGAATAATAGCAACTGCTGGATATCAGCAAAACGAGGCCATTTAATAAGCGTGAACTTAATAAGCGTCAGATCTTACGATCCACATCTTTCACACACTGACCACACCAAGCTTCCGTATTGAATGGCTTTCACTGATTTAAAAATAGCTCGGAATATAAACTGGCTACAGTTTCGCAGTCAGAAGTATAGTCAGAGTCGATCTGAGTAATCCTCGACGTTCAGGGAACAAGCAGTCTCCACAAGGAAAAACCATATTGATGATAGTGGTGTTAGATGTTTGAGTTGTGTGTATACGACTAATGTACGAACTACGAACAGTCTGCAGAAGAGGTCGGAGCGATTGCTCGGCGAATGTATTGGATAACTTTCATGCATGTTCGTTTGTTTCGCTGTATAGTATTTAGTTGATTACCGCGGTGTTGATCAGAATGGACGGTTGCGAAATTTTTTCTAATGGTTCATGATTATGATGCCGTATTGAAACTGGTCCGCTGTGACGACAAATGGTAGAAAGGAGCAGGAAACCTTTAGAATCGCCGGCGCCGGAAGCTGGTGGTGGCCAACCCGGAGGCGATGTCGCGCGTGCAGAATTTGTCGAAGGGGAGGATTATTCCAGTGTCCGTTGTAAATCTCAGTCTGTGGAGCAAATAAGCAGTCAGCACAAACAAGCACAAACCAGAAAGTCCAGATTTCCAGGCCTGGCTCTAGGGTCTTCCTTAATGAAGTCTCCGGCTGAAATGAAGTTTCAGATTATTGGGAACGAACTACATAACATTATAAATGTTCATATGAAGCGGGTAAGAGCGAATGTTCTATAGATTGTGGTGGTTAAAAACTTTGGAATATATGTTCAATGTATCGATATCCATCTCAGTACATGTACGTTGGTTTTCATGGCAGTAATCTCAACGAAGTCTGATGTGCCTCCAAGGCGAAGACTTAAGACCAGGGCACTGTAATCGAAAAGTGACCAATACTACGAAACGGGAATACGTACCGTGTGCGGCATCACTTATAAGCCTGACAGATTCGAATAATTTGTTGTGCTGTAAATTTGTGATAGTGCCCAAAGGTGCACAGCTGTTGCAGCTCTTGGCGATCGTACCAGTTCCGGCATTTTCGTACAGGTTCCGATATAGCGTGCACTTTCATGGCATATCAAATATTTGCTCTACAGAACGATCTACAAGCTTACGTCAGAGTTATCAGTTTTTAGGAGATGTACGGACTGTCTGTCTATCATCATTCATAGTGCAAATCCAAGTTCTTAAGCAAACAACTTGAACATTCAACTTCCACATCGTAACGTGCAAAGGCAGTTGCAAGTGCCGTAAGAGGTATCGAATTCACTGATTGCGAGTTGTGAACTCATTTTGACGAGAGTACGTAGGGGCAAGAGCTCTGGAACTTAGAGGCCGGTACGCAGCTTAAATTTTGAAAGAAAAACAGTGCAAGGTGCGAAATCTAGTTAAATTTTAAGCTTCTTAAAGGTTAGAACAAAATTTGTTACTCAACTTATAATTAAGTTGCAGGTTCTTTTTTTTCCAAAAATGCCCGCCATGCGACAGCAAATACTTATTATTTACTTAATAGGATTTTGAAAATGTTAACTGTGTTAAGATCGTTTGTCTTTGTGCTTTGTTGTTGAAAGACGCATAATGGTTATTTTGTTTTCTGAAGTCTAAATCTTGTAAATCAGTGCTCATTCAATATTCGTAATGGTATGCATTATGCAACTTTGCATTACTGTGCTCTCTGCTGACTACGTCAGTACTTACTGTATTGTACATTACAGCACCTTGCTTACAGATATCTATATGCAGACTATGAGTATGCAGTACACTGTTTGGTGCCTTCAACCCCATAATAACCCGAAAGGCGCAATAATAATCAATGTAACCGGTGAATCACGAGTTGACGAACTCGTTTGCAGACAAAACACGCATTTACTTTGTTTTCCTAAGACGAGGCTCTTAGTCATTTTGTTTATGAGCGCTTAACCTAGTCAGTGCGAATTTAAACGCCAAATAGGGACGTGGATCGATATTAATCACGGCCCAGGCAAACAACTCTTCGGTTTATCGTATTTGTTGTGGTTATGGGCTGACCGGAAGTGGTCAAGTGCATTTGGGCTTTGGGTTGTATGTCGGTTGTCAGATAACGATACCGATTGCCGAGCTTATCGTTAATTAGGATTTCATTCGATATCCCGTGCGACTGTTTCTAGTAATAATTTAACCCGTAAAACTTACAATTTGTAAACACATCACCGTTGAAACTTTTGTAAACACATTCGTCTGCTGTACGTCTGCACAAAATTGTATGCACACCTGGACGGTAGTCTGCACATGTACAGACGAAATGGGCAACAACCGTTCACAGACAATTTTTGATTTGGTTGTTTTATACGCATTCGATAAAAGTGAATAAATGTCGGCAGTGGTGGTCAAAACCGGATCACAAATCCATTGCAACGACTCAGCCACATGTTACGACCAGTCGACCCATAGTCGGTCAATAAGGGGGTGTGCCAAACATAGAGAGAAGCAAACGAAACGTCCACACACGGAGTTGATGAGCAGGTGGTTTAGTTCGCTTACGTATATTTGCAGCGCTGTATTCGAGAGAGCTTACCTATGCGTTGTTCAGCATACCTGTTCCGTTTCACCGCGTTCCAATCTGATGCGTTAGTACTGAAGAGAGATTTTTTCCATAAGTACCCTGGCTAGAGAGCAGTTTGCTTTGGTGGGCATCCTATCGAAACCCCAGTTCCTCCGCGATCGTGGTGATCACTTGGGATACTCTTATCATCCGCTGGTATCTCTTCGCTCCAGTTCCGTCTTCCCCTATTAGGTCTTTTTAGGCCGTTTCTTCCATTTTCTGGTTTTCGTATTTCTGATTCAAAATGGCTCACCACACGCAAGGCAGTATGCTGGATATCCTGAAGAAGAAGATGCGTCAGGCTAAGGAAGAGATGGAGAATGCAAGGGATTCTGCAGAAGAGGCTGAAAAGCGTCATGCTCTTGAGATTAAAAGGCGCGAAGAAGTAAGGTCGCCATTATATTTTTTATCCATTTTTGTAATATCTTGGCGAATCTTGGACTGCAGATTATGCAATGTACATTATGTGCAGTAATGTTACTTAGTAAAAAATTTTAGAATCCGATTCTGAATTCGCAGGCTACCAGTATAAGTCTTCATGTGCAAGACTGCAAAGCAAAGCGATCCGATTTGACCATTTCTTTTAAAACTGTTAAACTGATCGCTATTGGAATTTGATTGAGATCTTTGTAAATACACTTTGATAAATTTTGTAAACGTTCTGGCTTTGTTCTTCTTGTTCCAAAAAGATTTGGCTTGGAAGTACTTATTAAGGCGTATGGTTTTGGAGGGAGTTCGGATTTGTCTGTGCTTGCTTATCCTGCGAAATTTTGAGCCAGCTACTTTACAACATTAGATTTCCTTATGCGTATGAAATATAGATGAATATTAGAATCCGTGCTGGCATAGGATTTTAATTTAGTGAAATCTTAAGCCCGAATTCAAGGTTTAAAAAATTAACTTGGAGGACTGATACTGGCTTCTGATTTGATACTGCTAAATTTTCTTGTAACTGCGTTTTCCAGAAGCAAACACGAGGGCTGGGAACTTGAGACATAATAGAATAATGATTCTGTTTTTAAATAATATGTTGATATGATTGCATTTTAATGCACTGTGTGTTCGTGATGCGTATGTGGGGCTTTAGTTCAGGTCTTTCTGATTTACCGCTTGTTTTTTGTTAACGCTAATAGCAGAGCGCCAATCACCAATCTCTGCTGCCATTATGATATTTGTATATTGTAGTAATTTTTTACAACGCAACTTGAATAATAAGTGTGTTATTATGATATCGGAGCAATTATAGAGGCCATCGTGCAAGAATGTGTGAATTAATGACACCTTGTGGTACATTTCGAAGCCATATTGATGATTGCTCTGTCTACAGATACATGGCAAAACTGATTTTTTGAAAATCTTGGAAATGGCTTTCTTTTAATCGGGTTTCCTATTTTGCCAGTTACCGTTGCCTGATTTCGTGTAAAGTTGAATAATTTCTTGCAAATTTATGTTTGCAGCTAGTTGATATATCGTTGTGCAACGAGATCGGTGTAAGTTTTCGCAAAATTGCGCATATTATTCAAATTGACTGCCATGAAGTTTGACGGGGTCTTTCAGGAGTTATAATTATCTTGAGGTATTTGCACAGGTAAAATCAGCCGTCAGACGCAGAATTTGTCTTGACCTATTCTAATTTTACCAAGGCGTGAAAGAGAGAGAACCGCCGGTATCTGTACAGCATTATGTAAAAAAGCGCTAATGTCAACGTTGTTGGAAGACTTGGTTTGAACACTGCCACTTCCAAAAAAGGTATTGGGATGGCCGCCATAAGTGGTGTGTACATTTAATCAAACAAGTAGCTTTCCTTTGCCTGTTGGCGAAAAATCGCGTGATACTACGCGAGTGATACCGCTCGTGAAGTGTTGTTGCTTCGGAAATATGCAGGGTGCTGCACATTCTTGTGGAAATAAGTTTAAAAGGAGCGATTTTAGAATAGGTGCATCATTCAGTGTGTGTCCATAAAGGCATAAACGGTACTTCGCTATCTTTTCAAATTGAAGTTTTTTTCATGATTATTGCGAAAGGTTATCCGTTGGGAGCTTGTAGTAATTTAATGGATACTAGCACATAGCAATTTTGAACTCAGCAATTGGTGCTCGTTTACATACACAAATTTACATACAGACGAACACAATACATTTTCGTTTTATATACTATTTAGCTAACTGTAAACTTCTGTTAAATTTCAACACGATGATGGCGCGGTCACTGTTGACACGTTTGAACAAACGTAGGCAGAAGTTTGTCCACAAAGTTAGATCTGTGTTTGAAATTTTTGATTGTATGCATGGCGTGCAGCTTCTTTGACACTTAGAAATGCCTGCACGTTATCGTTTACGTTGTGGATCTTGCATAAGAATTGAATATTTTCGGTTTTGTGCTGTCTGAAGTCAGTTACCGTTGATTATTGAAATCCTGTAAAATTTTGAATGTGCGTATAAAATGCAATATGTAGGGCGAATTCCCGCAATGAAGTCTTGTCTTTAATGGTGCACTACACCAGACAGTACCTAGCTGTAAGGAAGAGTGTAAATGAAATGGTCGTACTGTACTTACCGTTGAAAAGGGATGCCGACGTTTCGTAAGACAAAAACCTATCCGCCACTGTTATGTGCAGTCGTTATAAACTACCGGTCTTGTTCGATTGTACTTAACACATTTTGACACTATTTTGCTAGTTATATTGCTTAATAAGCGCATATTTCCGGAAGATAGCGATATTGATAACATGCATTGACTTTTCTTGTTGAACTCTGCATTGGTCGGTGTGCAGATTAACAATTCATAGCATTTTGTTGCGATCGAGACGGAAATAGAGACGACACAGAGAGTATGTTACGGTGCGCCGCCGCCGCATGGCCAGAGGCCACTCTTTCACTAGATTGTTTACGCGCTCTTATTTATTTTTTGTCTGTTTTTGTATTACACAGGCGGAAGCCGAGGTGGCAGCTCTGAATCGTAGGATTCAGTTACTCGAGGAAGATTTGGAAAGGACCGAAGAAAGACTTAAATCGGCCACTTCCAAGTTGGAAGAAGCATGCGCCGCAGCCGACGAATCGGAGCGGTGCGTATTATCGAAACACGTAGCATGACAATTTGTGACTAATTTAGTGATCGCCTAACAATTCACGCCGAAAACAGTTTGACTGTCTAGCACTTTATACCAAGAATTTTTGTGATAGGAAAGCATATTCTCAGTAAAAATCTTTAGAACATAATATGATTACCATACCCTTAAAGTATAAATTTGAATTATATAAAAGTTATATAATACCCTTAAAGTAACCTTAAAGTAACCCTGCATGTTCATCCCTTTTTCACCTATCAGTGCGAGGAAAGCCTTGGAAAACAGATCAAATCTTGACGATGATCGTTGTTCTCAATTGGAAGAGCAGCTTGCACAAGCACGAGCGTTAGCCGAAGAAGCAGACCGAAAATACGAAGAGGTATCTTTTGCGGTTTCTCCTATCCGTCTGGGTTCTACTGAGGATTTTGTAAGGTTGTTGGGTTTTTAACAATTTACCCGTAATTCTCCGCATGCAACACCCTGCACCAAAGTTTTCGGCCATAGAGCGAGCGCAGACTTGCATCAAATTTAATGAGATGCAGAACGGACAGACATGTTATAGCATAAGTATAATGATAGTGTTCGGAAGTCACTGGAACAGCGGTTCAGCATGGATGATTTGAGAGTTGAACAGCTGGAAGAACAACTGAAACAGGCCAGAACGGTCGCTGAGGAAGCTGAAATCAAATACGATGAGGTTAGCGTTGATCTCCTGAATCCACTTTGCCCTTACTGTTTAGAAAGACCCCTTCGTTCGGGTGAAAGGGTTAGGGTGATTCGGCGGCTTTTGTGATGTGTTGTGATGTTTGCATGCTGGTTGATTAGCTGCTTTGGTGGTGGTACCTGCTGTATTTTTTAATGCTCTGCAATGGCCGAACAGCAATCGGAAGGTGCTGGAGAGCCGCAGCATCACTGATGAAGACCGGTGTGCCGTGCTGGAGAGTCAGTTGGCCGAAGCCCGACTGATGGCTGAAGATGCTGATCGCAAGTACGATGAAGTGGCCCGTAAGCTGGCCATGGTGGAAGCTGATCTTGAACGTGCGGAAGAACGTGCCGAAGCCGGTGAATCGTAAGTTGGTCACCGCGGATTTTATTGTACCATTCGACGAAGCCGCTGTGCAGAATGCTTGTTTTTGCACGAAAGATTTCGGTGTTGCATTCGCATGGAAATATATCAAATGATGCACTTCGAAAAACTAACATATAAACCTTGTTGTGCAACCAAGTAGCGAACCCCAAAACAACCTTGCAAAATGGCTCCAAAAATGCTGTTTATGTGACCCATGTTGTCTCGTGTTTACTATTGCCATTTCCTTGCCCATGACATTATATGGCATGTTCTTTTACTAACACGCACTTTCTTTTTCCAATTCTCGTAACAGGTTGCACGCAAACTAGTCATGGTTGAAGCTGACCTTGAGCGCGCGGAGGAGCGCGCCGAAGCCGGAGAAATGTAAGGCCTCACTAACCATGTGAACATGTATTTAATAGCCTGTGAACTGTTTGTCTGTACTAATGTTGCGGCACGCGAATGTTTTCGTTTAATATTTGTAAACGGTGGTTGTATAACGATTCTGTTCAAACGTCTAGGAAGATCGTGGAGTTGGAGGAGGAACTCCGTGTTGTCGGTAACAACCTGAAATCTCTGGAAGTCAGCGAAGAGAAGGTACTGACAAAGCCATAACAAATGCAAACTTAGCAATACAAATATCTTTTGTGGTTAATAGGCTCTGCAACGCGAAGATTCGTATGAAGAACAAATCCGCGTTATGACCACCCGGCTTAAGGAGGTATGCATTGTTTAGCTGAAGAGATCCTGTTCAGATTTTAAAATTTTACAGGTTTTAGGCATGTTTAACTGTGTGATGGTTCCGCGTGCGATTGATAAAATTAATGCATACACAACAGCGCAATATTTTCAAAATTGTAGCTTTGACATCCAGTTTATACGTGAATGGGTCAATCAGAGTTGTCGTTTTACTTTTTATGTGGTGTGAGGTGACCAAATCTCTTGCAGGCGGAAACTCGCGCGGAATTTGCCGAACGGTCTGTACAGAAATTACAGAAAGAAGTGGACCGCTTGGAAGGTATGGAATTTGTTTTGTATGACATCTCCAACAAAAGTTGGGGTGTTTTCATGGTTGTTCTTATTGCGTACCGTTTGCGGACCGTTGTGTATGTATACAAAGGTGTATGTTATGATAATGTGCGACCATTGTATTTGCCCGCGTGTTCTTTACGTTGTCTCACAAGTTGAATTGTTGTGACTAACACAGACGAGCTTGTTGCCGAAAAAGAGAAATGCAAGGCCCTTACGGAAGAAATGGAAGCGACGTTACAGGATATCCAGTCCATGTAGATGTGCATTCTGCATGTACATATATGTTATCTGTATGTATGCCCCATTGGATTAATAACAGCATCTTACGATTAGATTTCACCCTACTAACCGTATGACTTGTGTATGTATAAATGCTTGTAATAAAATCAAAAATTAATAACGATCAAAAATGTGTTCATATGCCTTAACAGCACACTACTTATATTTTCCCCATCCGCCTTCCTTAAAACTTTTAACCGTTTATTGGACGTTTACGAGTACTTATTGTGGTTACCAAAATCTGTGCAAAAGTGCTTGTCGAATTTTCGTTGTGTTAATGAATTGCGTTGTAAGATTTTGTGATGAGTTTTCTGTGGAAATTTGTTATCTTGTTGAATTCGACGGCTTACAAATGTGGCATTTCGCAGATGTGTCGGTTCTTGATTGTAATACTGTTGCGTTGCAGACGACGTGGTCCACGAGAAGGAAAGATACAAAACCATCTCGGACGAGTTGGACCAGACTTTCTCCGAGCTATCAGGCTACTGAGCAGTCTTCTTCTCTCATCTTCCGCTTTATTGTGCCCTTCTGTCATCAGCTGTTTGTAAAAATCTTAAAAAGCCACCCTGTATATCAAGACCGAAAAGATTTTCGTTTGTGTTGTCCTTTGTTTATTTCTGACCGTTTGACGACATCATGTCCATAACTCCCTTCATCTGCACTCTCAATTACGCCATTTCCGTATCATCCACCCCGACTACACCATCTGTTGAGTTTGGGTTCTTTTTGGTTGTCGGATATTGGTTATAGTCACCTTGCTATCCCTGTGCTTTGGCCAGTTGGTAGTGCTTTTGGAAGCTACACATGCAGTATGGAGTCAGACGTACTAGTTTGTGTTCTAGTGCAAATTAACTTTATTTTAGCTGTGTCTTTTGTGCTTTCATAGACCATTTGATTTATAATTTCTTGATATTGTTTTAATTTTACCTTCATAAAATTATGTTTTTGCTGTTTATTCTGGTTCACTTTGCTTTTGTGCCATTCGATACCGGTAATATTATTATCATTGAGTCAGTGTTTTATTATCTGAGGCTACAACATCATGGTTTAGCTATTCGTTGTATGCGGTTTTCAACAATTTAGCTGTTCCTGATATTTACGGTTTAATAAAAATTAACGAGGCAATCGGAGATGGCATCAGAAAAAATCATGGTAGGCCTTAAAATAGCAGTGTGCGTTATACAGTATCTTGTCGTCACTAAAAAAAGCGGTATGCATAAACTGCATTATCCTGTGGTAATATTACATAAAATAATGGCGGACCGTTACACTATTTTACTAACGATAAAGTGGGTCGACTATTGGAGAATGCACAAGGTTTTGTTTAGTAAGTGGTTATTTGATGATAGACTGCAGCTTCTGAAAAGGTCATACAGAGTACTTAAGGAACAATCCAAGCAAATTCTTCGGGACTCTGAAACAAAATTTTGTAGTGTACTAAACATCGAACGGTTTTTGTTTTTTAGTATTAAATAAACAGAAATACGCGTGAGTGTTTTGATCTGTATATATAAATCATAACAATTTTAAAGGAACAGGTAAATTTTAATGCTAAATCACTTATATATACCGTGGAATGTGGAATGTGACCACTGTTCTAGAATTGTTGAATCCTAACAATAGAAATTGTTAGGATTCATTTTGAGTAGTGTGACCGATGTTGTTGTTCTGCGACCCTTTGATGGCATTAACCGAATAAAACTTACATAGAAATTTAACTGGTATGTTAAACAAATAAAATAAAATGATCAATTCTGAATCGGATAAAGATTTTTGTGGAGTAGCGCATTCCGGATTTGTCCAATAGCTCCATTATCCCCACATGGTTAAGAAATTTGAGATTTTCTCAACTAGCGCGCAGCCAATTAATCTAGGGTCGGTATATGAAATAAACCTGTGAATGTATCAGTATAATTGCTTTTAACAGTATAATCAAATACTACCTAAGGTACAATACAGCCAGCTTGCGCAGTCCGTATGCTTCTGAGTTCCGGCTAGTACTGTAAATGAGCGTAAGTGAGTGCGTACATATGAGCTTTACTTTAAACAATTTCAGCGATATTTTACACATAAATAAACCTTGTAAAATGATTAAATGGTGACCATAAATAAATCGGAATAAATTGATAAGTGTAATACAACTCCTGAACAATTATGGGTCGCTTTATTAAGAAAAAATTCTTCGCTGGCTAGCAATTACTGTAATTGAGAGCAGTTATGGCATAAAGGTTAAGAAAGAGCACCGGCTGCGCTTAAACAAAGCTGTAAATCATATCATAATTTAACATGGATATTTGCTATACATACGTATTCCTTTCGAAACAACGTTATATCCAGACAGGACCAGACTTATGAGTCCCGTAACTATGTATAACACAGTTAGCAGTGCTACAGTAAACGTATTATGCGCAGCGGCAATATCAAGCGAAGGAAACCGGAGAACGGCCAACACTAAATGCAATCGACGCCGCGGCCACATTCCCGAAGCAGCTGGATCATGTGTTTGCGATAAGCTGTATAGTATGCATTTATCACAGTTAGCTCTTCTCTTGTTCCCTCTTCCGCTAGCCGCCATCTCTGGACCCTTGGCACGGGGTTTGTTCGTGATGAACTAATGTTCGCGTTGTCGTACTGCCGCTGTTGACTGTGTTGTATCAGCAGTTTTCCCCGGCTAACATACATATTCCCCAAATCATGTCATGACATAATGTCGGGCTGGCCGGGCGCGTTCCCAGATTAAGACCGCCGTAGTACGCGGCACACTACTCCAGCCATCCATCCCATCTTCGTACATGATACAGCCCGCAGCTCAGATATATGCGGACATGGCGCGAAAACTTGTACCCCACCACAGATAAGTGTATTCCTATATACACACTCTCCAGCGGTGGTTGTGTGTACATTACTATCAATGCGCTGCTTTGGAAAAACGACGGCATCAAATCAAATGTCTTCCTCTCATGGCTTCCCATTGTTATATGCAGATTTTTGCTCATTCGCTCGGTAGCCGCATATCGTCGTCGTCGCTGCGCACATTTTCGCACATTATGACTTGCAACCGCACTACTGCACTGTATATAAACTGCACAGTGCACAAATCGTTTTTTCTAGCGGAATTAATGAATGTGGATACATTACGCGGGAATTATGGCTGACTAAACTCATGTGAATTTTTAATTGTGACCAATTAGACGATATTTGTCAAATGGATCCTTCGAATCTTGAAATAATGAGACGCGAGAGTTGCTGTGCACAAATACCGTATATAGATACATTCCGCAAATAATGCGCCGATGCCGCATGCATCGTTATATATATGGCACAATGAAAACCGCAATAAACGAGAACTGCTTGCATCCGTCTTAAATGGAATAATCTGGTGGATTAATCCCGGCTATCTCTTGTCACATGCATGGATAAGGAGGCCCTAGACAATGAAAATGGCATTTTTTTGTCCACCTCCCTCTCTGATTTTCATACCGCGGAGGTAAGCTGCAAATGTTTTAGATATAAATCTTAGAACTTGTTGTCAGTAAAGGTTTTCACTTTCCGCAATAAACGGTGAACGCTTTCTACCTTTTATTGAGGTTGTAAATTTTTTCATTAACAATTACAAATCCACCATAATTAAGTTAGATAATACATAAAGCTTACTTTGAGGGAAATGCACAATGCAAAGCTGGCTTACGTTTACGATTAGTACCGCTACGATTTCAAATTTTCAGTTACTTAGTTGTTTGTAAGAACCTCCTATCCTCAGATTCATTTCTTTGGAACCCAAACACTCCTTTCTTGAAGCAATATTTGTTATTCGTTTCATTACTGCAAAAGTTATACTTAATTATTGTACGGAGATCGTGTATAAAACTTCATAAGAATTCTTCAAATAATGCACGGAAAATTTCCGATCAGCTAAGCATGTAACACTGTTAAATACGATATGCACATTGCTACCGTACATTTGCATAAACCGAAAAGAACAGAGGAAGTGAAATCCAAGCTAGCGTGTCCTGATCTTCCTGCAAGGCCGCAAGGTATAACCAATCTTCAGTTAGACGGCGGATGATGGGAAAAAATAGTGTATAGTATACTTTGATTTCCACATGAGATCTGTCGGTTTTTGCATAACCTTTTAATACTTACGTGATTGATCAGATTAACCTTATCATTCAAAATCAGGCATATTCTATACATACAAGTCAGTGAATTTTTTTGCAGATGTTTTATTTATTTGCGAAGGTTTTAAGTACAGAACATAATCAAGCAAGGTAATAAGTTTTTTTGGAACTACGGGTTTCAAGATTTGAATGTTCAGTACGCATGCCGCAAAAACTACGTATAATACAGATAGTTTAGTTTCAGGTACAGGTTCAGAAATTTGGTTCATGATTTATACAAACTAAATAGTTTATGATTTAATGATTGAAAAACAGTATATAGTCACTCTATTTTGTTGCTGTTTATGCGATAATCCGAAAATGTTTCGTGAATGTGCTGCTGCAGATTGATACGATTTGCATTATGCGTTAACAGGAAGTCGAGTGCAGTATGGCAACCATAATATGTTACCGGATGTGAGCAATTCCGTTTAATTTGCTACAGATCACAGAATTCTTACAGATTCCTTAGAGCTCGTGGTCACATAAATAAGACACATTACACTTTCTTTGCGTCATTCCAAGATTGACATTATCCTGTAACCAGCGGCGAGAGGCTAAGCACAAATATTATTTGGATTGTATACAGACCTATGTAGAATGATAAAAAATAAGCTCTTCAAATGTTTAACTTCGGTGGAAAAGTTATGCCATTGTGTTTCTACTGTTGAAGTACATCAGGAATTAATGTTTACTTACGCTGCTTTATGTCACACTTTGCGCAGAACACGCCACTATGCTACATGTATCGTGCTGTAACGCAGACTGTGCAACACACAAGACTGAGACGAGCGTGTAAAAGTTACTTAATTATATAGATATTGAAGTATATCTATACTTCAGAAAAGTATAGTTCTATACTGTGTATAGTATACTCGTACTTTTGTATGTGGATCACTGCTGCACTGCTTATGTTTATTTCTTCTACTTCAGTTAATTATGTAATAATCGTTAATTATTATGGCGTAGCTCACAATCCGTCTACGCGACGGTCAATATAGTAATCTGCTAATTTTGAACGTACTTTCTTTCGTAACAAAAGCATTGCTTATTACAGTTAGGAGCAACGTTTACTTTAATTGGCTACCATTTTGAGAGAGCAATCCAAATAATTTAAGAAATTAAACAAAATTTATTACGGATACTTTGAAGTTGCCGATGCAAATTAAAAAGTATCCGACGATCGAGTTTCCGCCTTGCTGCAATCAAATGCTAACATTTATGAGTAAGTATGTTTAAACCTTTAAGTTTTACCGATGTACATGTATGAGTCCACTGCATTTGCCATAACCTTTTGCATAGAAATGGAACTGCAAAGCCTGTGTTTTTTATGAGTTTGGCGCTATTGTCATGCGTAGTTTCAAGATGTTTCTTGACAATTAAATTCATGGCGAAGTTGTAGCAGTAGTGCAAGAGCAAGGCGGAAATCAATTTGCAAATCGGTTAGTTGCGGGCCGTAGGAATGGTCGATTTTCTATAACTAAGTTTTTCCCCTTTGGATACCGTGCGTATGTACAGCGCGGATCCCACTTCGCCGCGAGTTGAGACGTTAGGACAGTAAAATGTAAAAATCGTCATGGTTATGTTGTTGGATCAGCGAGGGTTTTGATTACCAAGCGCGCGCGCCGCTGCTTCTTAATAACAAAAAGTGCAATCGATATTAACGACGTCATGGAACTGTGGACGCTAGACAGTTGTTAATACCAAGTTTTTGTTGCTGCTCTAAATCATAAGTACAAGAAGGCATTATACATGCCTGTCAAAAATCTTCCAAAGCTGCAACACCGTCCTCCAGACGATGATGCAATTAGCATATTCTCGTAACCGAAAAAAGCATTTTTACGTTAACATTGAGATTTACGACTCTTTAATCCCGATGAAGCCGGCGCAATTGTGCAACAATGTGGCGTTTTGTGTGCAACTTATTGTTAGCTGATTTTTATACATACTTCAGTAAATTTACACACAAACATATTTGCATGCACCGATACTTGACAAATGTAGGGCTAAATATACCGCTAATTACGTTGCTGTAATAAGTAGCGCTTCCGGTTGAGCCGGCAAGTTGCGGAAGAATCCGTTGCAAAAATAATATATACAATAATTATAATGTAGTCGGAAGGATCAGGACACATATTTCAGGGCAAAGTGGTTAGTGACATTTACTGCTATCTTCTTCAAATTCCGGCTCGACGATTAACGTTTAGGGATGTACTTGAAAATGGTAAGTAACAGGAAGCTTATTATTATTAATGCTGATCCCCGCCCAGCGTTTTTGTACAGGCATCAGCATAGAGCCAGCCGCATGTGTGTGATCAGCGGACTGTGAACCCGTACACTGGTGCACACTGGCCTAATACAGGAGAGTATGATTATTTTTGTGTTTTGCGCACTGAGCTTTTCGCGCGCGGCGAGCCGCCTCTCGGTCCATGCCACACTACTCTGACTCTTGATCAAACACATTCATAAATTTGTTTAATTTAAAATACTGCAGCGCTGTACGATTATTTACAGTGGGACAGTGCACTTATAAAGCGGCGCTTGCCGAACTAGATCCACTTCAGATGCCGTGTAACGTTGCGAATATGACGACTTGAGTTGCCCATTAGTCGAATGTAAAGTCAAGGTTTCGCCGAGCGTCTCTTGCTCGCGTCTGTTGTTTATGATCAATCCCTGACGAGAGTAGCCAGAGAATCACGGCTGATATTGTGTGTGCGCGCGCGCTCTCATCAGTTCTTTTGATAATGACTGCTCCACAAAGTGTATCCATTGTTGCAGCCTCTCTTCCCATCGGCAGCCGACGATACTGTGGAAACTAGTTTCATTCATGCGGAATCAGAGGAGGAAAGCAGCGCCGATATGGAACGGCGTCCCCTACAGGGACGCAGCACGGCTGGCAATGGTTTTGCGGAGGATGAGGCCAGCTCGTCAGCCGGAGGCGGCACACTGGCCCCGCTCGATCCCGAACTGAACGATGTGCTGGAGAAACTTCTGACGCCGAAGAACACCTCTGAATCCCTTGTGCTTCCCTCTTCTGACCAGCCGGATACGGATGTGGGGGAAGATTCCGACCGGTTTGATGATGAAGATTTCGACGGTAGGCCGAGAAAAAAAAACTTTTCCGTTTACAAAACAGTAACTGTAAATATTCAACTAAGTTGTATTGCATAAAAAAATGTGTGTCTTGTTGATCAAAGGTCTGTGTACTCTGTAAAGTGTTGTTAAATCATCGTTCTTATCGGCATTGGAATGTTCAGGTGTTTAGGAGATAACCGATAGTCGATACTAATTATTACGTATGTCGGTATGTGTTAAGTAAATGTGCAAAAATATGTTTCTGTATTATCCGAAAATTTAATTTAATTTATAATTATTTTTTGGCGTAATTAATGGCTATTTTTGGATCATTTGCTAACTGTTTGTTGAAGCTAAGTCACTAGAGAGTGTAAACTGCTGTGTTTTCCTCAGCCGCACATTTAACTGTATGACGATTCTGTCATCTGCAAGATACGCGATAATTGCACCTAAATTTACGGCTGATTGTTAAATACTGTTTTTGTCGTGTCTTTCTTTGATGCAATGCTTTTGTTTCGAATCTTTCGATAGTTCTTGTTTTTCCGGTACAGTCTGTTGTTAATCTGGAACTATTTCAGAGCACCGCGGCTTTAGCGGAGCCACTTTACACACCCACCATCCCCTTGTCCCGCAGTATTTAAAAAAGAAACTGGGCCGCCGGAAATCTATCCCGCCTTCTGCCAGTCATCCGGCACGTTTACAGGAGCGCACGTTTACTCCCGAATTCCGAGCCTTATTAGATGCACCTGCCTCATTTCCGCATATTCTGCAGCCGGTTAGTGAGCAGACAGAGCCCACCGACGGCGATGATCAACAGGTAAGCACCAGTATTAATTCATCGTTGAGTCTGTCGCACAAACCACGGTGCACAAAGCGGAATTATTATTCATCAGTCCCTCTGTGTTGGTATTATGGGCCCGGTTAATGGCTGGCAATAATTCGATAACTCGCATTTGTATTGATTTTCTGTAGCGTAATACGATGTCCCATAGTGGGAGATAACTACGTTAACGATCGGGATGTTGACGCAAAAGTGCCGGTGTTCTTCTGAAGTGTTCGTTACTTACCTGTTTTATGTTAGTCATAATCATAACAAATGCTTCTTTATGTTGCATGGTTTACAAATAACACTGGCATTTTTTGACGTTGGAATGAGCAATTGAATCCGCTAAAAATCACTGTAGCCCTTACTTAATAATAACACAGTATTGCTGAAGCAAGGGTTTTCGATTCGGAAAATAAATAAACTTTTTTGCCACTTCGGCACGTTGTTCATCGTTCCTTTTACTTTTCAAAACATTAAGCGATTGAAAGGTTTTGCGTCATTCTTGATTAGTGAGATTCGATGGGAAACACCAGCCAACCAGACCAGTGTTGATTTATGGAAAGTGTGGATTGTGCATCTCATCAGCTCGTCCTTAACAATTAGAGCAAACTAAAGAGCACATCACTGACACTCATAACAAGCTCTTTGCAGTCAATTGAAAATTTTCCTAACGAGCTCTACGATGTTGTAAACTGTTTAAGGGCTTTTCAAGACCACCGTAGAACTGAAGGGGCATATTTTTAGCATAAAGATATCGCATGAGAGACTGCCACTAATTCGTTGTTATCGAATGCCAATTTATGATGCAGTGCTTGCGCGGAAGGTCTTTGAAAAACGTGACTAGATCGTGTTTCTGCTATGGACTTGCGTAATATGTTTGTGCAATAGTACGCCTTGTAGCACAATGTCGAAACAAAACAAATATTAAAATTTTCGAAGTAGCTACATATTCTGGATTTCTGGATTTGCACTTTATTATTCTTAATTTTTTTAACAGTTTACATTATTGATTTTAAGTAATGTGTACATATGTACATGTACAATAAAGGTACAGTAACAGTCTTCGGTTCAGAAATACATCGAGTACGCAAATGCACAAATCACGAATGGACTTTTGAAGGATTTTATTCAGTACGGCACCAGTGGCCGAGAACGTACTGTTGAATCCACGAATTAGTTTCAGTCAGGAAGAGGCTCACTGATACGAAATTTTGACAATGAACAGAGTGAATTAAGCTAGTTTACCATGTTTACATGCGATATTAACTCCATTAATAGCTAATCTATTCCACAGGAACCGCTGTTATCAGCACTGGCCGATGCCGGCCCACCAGTGTATGGAGGGGAGCATGATCATGAGCCTGAACAGGAGCCGGCATTCCAGCCGACTAAGCCCTCCCGAGCCAAATTTTATTTCAGTGCCGAATCCCTGGCGCATGAGTCACCACCCGGCTCACCTAAGGGAAGTGTGACTGAACATCGCCGTGGCTCAGCCGGCAGTCATAGGCTTCAGAAATCCGTATCCATTCAAGAGCATTCTTCACCCGAGCATCAATCCACAGGAACACTGCTCCCGCGGGCGCCGTCGGAGCCCAATGGGGAAGTGCGCTTTCTCATTGGTACAATGTCCGACGATGACGAATTGTGGCAAGCAAAAGAGCGACGACGCAGGTGAGTTTGCAGAACTGGATGCTTGATCATTTTAAAATCATTGCGCATGGTAAAGGTGGTTAAAAAATTACTGGAGAATTTCCACTGTGACTGTAGCATCGGAGATTTTAATTGTCGGTCTGATCTTTTAAACATGTTAAAATGACTGAAAGCGGATGTGTTAGAATTACGCCCTCATGTTGCTGTTATGGAATAAAATTTTGTAGTCGTAAACAAATGCGTGCGGCACGATCTACGCCGCTGTTTGAGGATCCCAGTTCACGACGACGTGTCGGCTCTGATGTGGAATCCGTCCTAAAGTCAATGCCAACTGAAACCGAAGAAGCTGTTAATTTGAAAGATAAAGATTTGGATGGAATGTGGGGTATGAGCGTAACGTAATACTAAGGAAAGCAGTCAGATTTTAAAAGGTTTTTGTGTACTTCGGTAGGCCATAGAATGCAGGCTGGGAAAGTTGGAGTAAGACCAAGAATGAAAGGTGTAAAATCTATCATACATCCCGGCAAAGGTCATCCAGCAGCAGCAGTCCTCAGAAGAGCCGGTACTGTGCACGCCGGTGGACCAATTCCACAAAAGAGACGATACGAACGCACTCCACATGAAGTACGTAGGATCGTGTGACCGTCGCACAATTAATTGATAGATTTTTACATATTTATGGGACTGTTTCTTCTGACTTCGAAAGTGCTAAGCGATTTTATTTATTCATTGGCAGCAGAAAAAATTACCTTAATAAAGAGTGCGAAAGTGAGAAGATTAGTATATCGTACGTATGGAATATTAATACATTTTGTAATAGGTTTATGTGGAGATGGAAGAATTAGTGCAAGATGGAGAGCAAATGGAATGGAAGGAAAAGGCCCGTTGGATAAAATATGAAGAGGATGTTGAAATGGGTGACAAGTGGGGAAAGCCACATGCTGCATCCTTATCCTTTCACAGTTTGCTTGAACTGCGCAAGTGTCTTGAGAAAGGTTCGTCGTCGTCGTTGGGTTTATGTAACGACAATACGAGACATTGAATAGAGATGATGTTGACTCTGCATTCATTCAGGCACAGTTTTATTGGATCTTGAAGGAAGTGATATTGGCACTATAACCATGGCTGTTGTACGTAGAAGGCCACTTATGCTTTACTGTTCAGTCACAGAAAGTATATTTTATATGCCGCATTTTTTGAAGGTGGATAATATGGTTATCACGGATCAGATTAAGCATGCTGATAGGTGGCCGGTGACAAGAGCTCTCCTTGTTCGACACCGGTGAGATGCTGTTTAATCAGAATTTGAAAATCTGTAGAGAATCCACAAGGGATGAATGATTTTTAGTTAAGCAGTCTCGTAGAAATAATTCTTATCGTTAGTGCTTGCTCAAATACTGTATTAATTACGGCTGCTTGTGAACAATCGTGTGTTTAGAATGCATTTTGGTCTTAAACTGTATATTTTAAATTTGCGTTGGAACGGGACAGTGTTTGAATGTATATTTTAAAACTCAGAGTTACTTACAAACGTCTAGCGGAGTTGTTACGAGTATCGTACCTTAGGTAATTTTATTAAATGCGTGAATATTATGATAGCCATATGTCGGAGCAACCGCCAACTAAAATGAAAGGGAGCGGATCGGCCATGAATTTCCAGAATTTGATCGCATCGTAAGTGTCGCCGTTGCAGTGGCAGCACTGATTTATATCTGGTTATATGCTTTGATTTGGATGACTTCCGCTAATGATTGCCATTGTGTCATACAGACTGAGCTTTTCACGAACACGAACCGGAAACAGTGTGCAGCGGATGAATAGTGCAGCCAGCCTGAAGGATATCGAAGCGGGCCAAGTTCAACTACCAGCTAACGCCACGGATGTGACAGTGTCGACAGAGAACACCGGCAAGCCGTTGCCCAATAGTGCCTCATTTGATGCGCATCCCCGGAAGTTCTCGCAGATCCCTCAGATTCGCAAGCGTATTCCTCACGGCGCCGAAGCGACAACAGTGTTGGTGGGAGCGCTGGATTTTCTCCGCGAGCCGGCTGTAGCCTTTGTGCGACTGGCTTACGCAGCTAATCTGCATGGATTTTTGGAAGTGGATGTGCCGATTCGGTTTCTGTTTGTTTTGCTATGTCCAAAAGGTTCGCTCGATTACTATGAGATTGGTCGGTCCCTGTCCACTCTGATGTCGAACAAGGTAACGTATGGGATAAATACCTTAACCAACTTGGAAAAGAAAACATATATTGTAATAAATAAATTCTATCGGTAAATTCAAAGAAATAGATTCGTAGCAGTAAGCAGTAGAGAAAATGTCGCCGGAACATGGATGAAAAAAGTGTTTCAGAAGAAAACAGTAGATAAGATTATTAAGATGTTAAAGTTGTCAGGCAGAGAGTTGGGGTAGTTCAAACGTCTTTTTTGTTGAAGATTTATGTTTTGCTACATGCGAACGTGACATAAGGGTTGACGACAGTTTATTGTGATGCACCGTTGTACGCACACAGAAAACTTCATCTTGTGAATTTTGTTTACAAATGACTTCCACGAAAACGCCTGGTAAATTAGTATTGATTGATGTTTTATTCGATTAAGACTTGGGGTAGCAGATGCTGTGCATGTCAATTTGGCAGCGGTTGTACTACGCGGATTGTGTACTCTAGCCTGCCAAAATCCGTAGCTATAATGCTAATGACGTTTCCAGGATTTTCACGATGCCGCATACCGAGCCGATGACCGGCGCGACTTGCTCAACGCTATGAATGAATTCCTGGCCGACAGCATCGTTCTACCACCTGGCCATTTGGATAAACCATCGCTGTTACCCTTATCAGACATTCAAAAAATGAATAAAAATGTCCAGCAAAGACGTCGTATGTCCCGTAAAGATGTCTCTCCGCTTGCTAGTCCAAAGAAGTACCCTGCCAAAAAGCGCCGATATTCTGTGATTCCGGATGATACGTTACGGCGAACGGGTCGACTGTTTGGCGGCCTGATTAATGATGTGAAACGCCGGTTTCCTTGGTACTGGAGCGATATTCGGGATGGACTGAATTTTCAGTGCCTGGCATCAATTTTCTTCATCTTTTTCGCTAATCTGGCCCCGGCCATAACCTTTGGCGGGATATTGGGTAAGGCATAGAGGAGGAAAAAATGTTTGCATAGCGCCTGTTTACCGTCGAGTTGCTTGTGTGTAAGAATGTGGTTTGTTCTTTGGATGCAGAGGATAAAGTCAAACATTACATGGGAGTGTCGGAAATGTTAATCGCTTCATCGCTCTGCGGAATGATGTTCTCCCTTGTGTCAGCCCAGCCACTGACTATAATTGGCGCCACGGGACCATTACTGGTTTTTGAATACAGTCTTTATAAGGTATTTACTTGGAATAAATTGCGCTTATCTACAGAAAATGCAAATATGTGTAGTTCAGATGTTTTCAGTAAAGTATGAGAAATTTTAGTTCCCTTGTTACAAATTTTACAGAAGAATGTAGGATAAAGCAGTGACATTTCGTTCGAGTTTGTTCGTACTACTTTATATTTCGTTTACAAGATAAGAAGTGATCTAATATGCTACTGAAAAAATGTTTTTATATTGACCGACCCTTATTTCGATGGATGAATGTATTTTCCACGGCCGCATTGATGGTGGTCGCAGATGCTTTACCAGCGGGATAAATTTTTCTGCACGCATTCCGGGGTGCGATTAACGAGTCATTACATCATAAAGCTATTTTTTTGCTTGGAAAATACTTGAGAGTATTGGACGCTGGCGCTGATGAAACGCCTTTGTAAAAGAAGCTTTCGGGTTATGGTTGATTACCAACCAATAACGCTGCCGGCAGAGAGGCCGAGGCCGCTCCATAATGTTGTAAACTTGATCAGGCTGAGCCTTTGTGCGCAAAAAAATTCCCATGCTGTGGGATCTTTTGTGCGCGGTTATACACTGTCTATGTGTGTGTGTATGGACCGACCGTCTTTGCGGACAAACACACAGAGCGCTCTGGTGCTGTCATGGCTGAAGGAAGCCATTAAAATGCTCGTCGCTTCCTGCCCCGGAATGTGCTGGACTATTGATTTTTGTATACACACATATATGTACATATTCTTTATTCAGGTTCAGATGTTTTTGACACATCAATGTCGTTTATTTGCAGTTTTGTAAGTCAAGTCACATTGAGTTCATGCCATTTCGGATATGGATTGGATTCTGGGTGGCGGCCCTGGCTGCCATCGTCACGGCCTTCGATTTAGGTGTTTTGATACGTCACGTGACCCGCTTCACGGAAGAAGTCTTTGCTGTATTGATTGCCTTTATCTTTACATTTGAATCGCTCCAGAGAATTTATTACGTAAGTTGCTGTTGAAAAGCGAAAAGACTGCGGACGTGGACTATGCAACGCGCTCTGCTACATGTCGTTGAACAAATTTACACAAATAATCTGGGAGTTTTCCAGTTCAGAAATAGTTCCAAAACAGCACTCGTGAATAAGAAAATATTTACGTATTCATAGGGACTAAAAAGTTGACTTAGATGCATAAGGCGCGTTATTATGCGCCACTAAGGCATAATTATATTACTAAAATAGAGATATCGTCATGTGTCATTAAAAATTGCAAAGGTCATGCGCTTATTTCTAAGTTATTTGCGACGCTTTGGTTAAAATTGGAACAACGTTGTTTGCTCTAGGTCTTTTATGCCCATCCTTTGCTGACGATTGATGAATACTGCACGGAAAGGGAGAAAACGTTAGCCATCCGTGCGTTAAATGGCTCACAGATTCAGAACTTGAGCTTATTAAATCCGGCTCATCGTCGGACGTACGAAATTCTGCCTTCCTTCGACCATCCCAACATCAGCCGTTCGTTCGCAACACATTTTGATGAGACGGTGACCGAATATTCTAATGAACCGAACACCGCTTTATTCTGTGTTATTTTGATTATTGGAACGTTGTTTATTGCCACTGAGCTCCGGCAATTTCGAAATAGCAAATACTTAGGGAGAAATGTGAGTACTGTATGGATTTTCTTGTGATAAATTTTGCCAGCAGTTGTTGAATTTTCTTTGTAGGCGAGAAGAGCCATTGGGGATTTCGGTGTACCGATTGCAATTTGTGCTATGGTGCTGGTGGACATCTTGGTTCCTATCCACACGGCGGTAAGTAAATTTATACGTAGCGCGTCGCTCTTAAAATAGTTGTATGGTAAGGCCGTAAGGGTTTGGTTTAGTACTGATGTAGTGATATTACTTATTGTCCGAAGATTGTAGATACATATACGAGTATATTGTATGTATGCATGTAATCTGATTTCGTAATTACCTTCAGTTATTAGATGATAATAACGAATCGCGACGACTGAAAGCAAGACTTGTTGTGATCGTTATAGAAATTAGACATTCCAAGTGATTTGACCCCAACAGCGCCTAATAAGCGCGGTTGGTTTATCAATCCCTTTGGGATTAAGAAGGCCATCGCTGGGTGGGAGGTGGTGGCCGCAATCATTCCCGCCCTCCTCGTTTTCATCTTGATGTACGTGGAGGTGCAGATAACGTGGTAAGGACCTGGGAAGTTTTTCAAATCCATCTCGTAGTGGGTTGCGTAATGGAAACACCCTTTCCTTTGCAGTATACTGGTGAATAAGAAGGAACGCAAGCTAAAAAAAGGTTCGGGTTACCATTTGGATTTGCTGATTGTTTCCTTTATGGCGCTGGCCTGCTCTTTCTTTGGATTACCATGGATGTGTGCAGCCACTGTCCAGACCATCTCCCACATCTCCAGTTTGTCGGTTTATAGTCGAACCCATGCCCCTGGTGAAAAGCCAAAATTGTTGGAAGTTAGGGAGCAGCGTGTGACAAATTTCTTCTGCAGTTTCCTAATTGGTAAGAAGGAAATTCCAGGGATTCGGTCTTTCGGATAAACCTTGTAGAAATCTTATTCTCTTATGTTTTGTGACTTAATCGAATTAATTTCCAAAAGATACCTATCTGTAATTGTATTTTAGGTGTGAACAAATGAAAAGTACTTGGTTGTTGTATTTATCACTGTTTTATCATTGTTTTTAGTTGTTGTATTAAATACATTATGTAATGCTTTACCTCGCAGGTTGTGGTGTGGTGTTTGGATCGCCCGCCCTGCGTCTTATCCCCAAAGCTGTGGTGTTCGGTGTTTTTCTGTACCTGGGTCTGAGCTCCATTACGGGCGTGCAGTTTGTGGATCGGATTAAACTGTTCTTCCGACCAGCCAAACACCACTATGATCTGAACTACGTACGGAAAGTGCGGACCTGGAAGATGCACGCCTTCACCGGCATCCAGCTGGCCTGCCTGGCCGTGCTGATTGCCGTTAAATCCACCGATGCCGCACTGGGATTCCCCTTTGTCCTGTTGCTCATGGTGCCGCTGCGGCGCGGTTTGTCGCGATTTTACACGAAGGAGGAACTGCATGAACTGGATAAGGATGATTGTGATGTGGATCAGAGCGATTCCGAGCGGGACGATGGCGATGACGAGAAGAGTTCCTTGGAAGAAACGCACATGCCGGTGTGACACATTCGAGTGACGAAGTTGTTGGAGGATTCAGTAATAATAATAATTGTTGTGTGGATTATGGCCGGTGCGATCTCGCTCTCTGCGATCGGAAAGAGATGCTGTAATAATTTATTATGTGCCCATTGGTGCGATAAGTGTATTTTTCTTTCTGAGGTTTTTTTATCCGATTCTGGTGATATTCGGGGATAGCCGATGAAGGAGCTTGTATACTCGCTTTTGCGGAAATGTGCGTTGAATCAACGCGAACTATCAAAACTTTTAATAATTGTATTCAGAAGTTGTTTTGCCTTGGATTTGCGTGGCTTCTGGTATTCTTGTCTTCCTTTGTTTTTGACCGTTCCGTACGTGTTTTATTTAAATGGTTTTATTTCCTTTCCTGCTCAACGGCTCTTGAAAGTGATAAAAGTCTATTCGGGCTCAGTCTGTCGTTGCTATAATTTTTCTTTTATTTCAATGGCGTTAAAAATATTAGCAAATAGGAAGCGTTAACTGCTTAAGTATAATTATTGCAGTGGAATTAGCAAACGTTTACTGAACTTCGTGGTTCCGTACTTTGCCATTGCCTCGTGAATTATGCATATTATATGCTATTTTTGTAGCCTATTTTATATCTCGGATATATTACTACTCGTATATTAGTCGCCTTTCATAAAGGTCACTCACTCACTACGTTATGTCGGTCAGCATGCCCGGCAACTCATTGTTTTCAAGGGTGTCTAATCGCCCTTAAAAACAATTATTCATCATTTTAATACAACTAGCCGGCATATTGAACCCACTGTGATCCTTTTCATACCCTTTTCATTATCAATGGATTCAAAAGGAAATCGGAAAAAGTCGGTGTCCCTGGCGGAGAGCAGCGATCAGCGGAGATCTAGAAGCAACTCTATGGAAAAGCGCGGCACAACGCTGCGTTTGAGCGCCGGTACTGATCGTCCACCACGATTTACAACAAAATTCAAGTCGTTGATCGATGATTATACGGTAAAATATTAAATGAGCTTCCAAATTTGTCTCGTGACCACAAACTCTTTTTTTTTGCAGAAGCTTTACAAAGAACATCAAGAAATCATCAAGGAAAATAGCAAACTGCAGAACGGAATTGCGCGATATTTCAAAGAACATTTGGTATTATGGAACGTCTACACATCATGAATTATGAGACATTTTTAAAGATAATATTAATTAATATTATCTTATTAAGTAATGTAATTAAAATATTTATTTCAGCAAGTCGCTCAGGACACAAAAAAAGCCAAGGTCGAAACCAAGGAGGAAAAGGAACGCAACGCTGGAGAAGCGGAAGAAGAACACCAAAGGCGATACGAAAGTGGCTTTCGTACGTACAGACTTTTGTGAACTTATAGCGTGATACGTCAAAATTTTTGCTTGTTGTTGAGCTGTCAAAATTCGTGTCGAATTAAGATGAGTTGCCTTGTTTTTTAGGTGTGGTTAAGGAACTGACAAAAAAGATTGCCGCGACGAAAGACGACGCTGCTGCTCGCAATGAAAAAATGAAGACTGCAGCGGCAGCAAAAGAAGTTGCAGTGCAGAGCAGCTGGAAAGCATTTGAAGATAAGCAACTGCATTCAGCGAAGGCAGCGGTTACCCGCGATGGGCAAGCATTAGATCCCATTGTCATTTCTGAACACCTCGAAAAAATCCGCGGAAAATTACATGATTGGCGAGAAGTAGGAATGCGCGGTGCCCTGATATGGAAAAAGAAGCAGGATTTGGAAGATCAGCTACGACGACTGGTCAGTAGTCTCAGTACAATAAATATTCGCAGTCTTGTGCGACTTCCATACAAATATTACATGATTATCGTATTTATTTATAACATGAAATATGAGTAGCTTGGCTTATAATATTTCAGTTAGGGTAACTACCTTTCAGAACCCCGAATTCTGATACAGATAAATCGTTATCTAGATCTCCATTTAATTTGTTTATCGGTCTTTTTAAGCAACAGATAAAAATGCTTCCTTTAAATTAGGGAAATGCACCGCTTTTAGCTTGCAGTGCGGCACTAGAAGACAGAGGCGAAGCGGGAAATCAAAGTACGAGTACGTAACTGTTCACCGCGCTTAAAAGACACATTTATTTAAAACAAACACGGCAGACTATTTTACTGATTTAGTTTTATGCTCTCAAACTATTTGTGACAGGCAAGCACAGAGAGCTCACAGGTGACTTTATTGTACAAATAAAGTGGAGCAAATACCGCGTGAATGCGGGGAAAAACACAACAAAGGCCAGTGTCTGGCAGAAATCAGCAAGTCAAGTTGCTGCGAGCTAGTTCTAGAGCGTAATGATTGTAGAGAAAGAAATGTGCTGGCGGCAACGGCGTCACGCTGTCCAGACACATGGAATGTGAGTGCGCAGACTGGACTCGTATCCAACGCGAGCGAATATACGCTGAGTCATACAGCGAGAGAGGAGCGAGAGAGCAAGTATGCTCAGTGAGTGCGCCCGCGGTGTATCCGCATAGGCGGAGAGTGCAGTGCAGCCACCCACGTACGTACAAGAGAGGGCGAATCAGCATGTGTGCAGTGATACGCATACGCAAAGTGGCGTATCTATCACGCAGGCTGTCGTGCCTCTAACATGCCTCTGGGCGGGAATCCGAGCTCCTGCGAGGATGCTCCGACTCAGTACCGCGCCAGCGTCGCACCTCTTCGGTCGACCCATGTGGGGTCGCCGGTACGCGTCCTCTTCCGGCGGGAGTCCGGTGTCTGTTGACCGTCCCATCCTTCACTTCCAGATCCATGAGAGGCAAGCAACTCACGGCCGCAAATCTGGAAGCCGCTCGGGGTTCGTTGTTGGACCGGTATTGCTTCTGTTAGCCTGGCATCTTGCTTCTGTTGGCTCGCGGAGAAAGTGAAAGAAAAGTAATGACGGTTAAACAGCGCGAAGTAAAAAAGTAATAAAGTTTAATCACAATTCCAGTGAGCAAAAAGTAAATGCAAAACAGATCTGGTTAGAGATTCTAAGTAAAATACAATTCCGTTTGTTAGAAAATGTACAAAAATACTAAAAAAAAGATCTGTCCGGGGGCTTATTCCGACTAGGATGACGTCCACGGGTCTTGAGTTTCCACGGGGTCTCCTGTCTAAATGCAATCCGGCGTATCAGGTCCGGGGCGTCGGTTCCCGGGTTACCCAACGTAACCGGTAAATTCGTCCGAGGTCGGGTAAGCACGGCTGACACTTACGTCCGACTCGTATTCATCCGTTCCGGAGTGAGAGGCACTGTCGCTGTTGCGAATGCCGAAGCATCCTCTCTAATTAAGGGGATGGACCAAGGTCATCGGACCAAGGTCAGCCTACCGGTAAGTTAGCCGGCGGCAAGGGAGTTCGGCTAAGTCCCGAATTCCAGAAAGTCAGGTCGGACAAAACCGTACTTGTGTCGTGCGACTTCTGTGGTCGCCAAGTGGTAATGCCGATGGAATGTGGTCGGTTAAAACCGTTAAATCTGCTACCACGAGCCTGGGTGTGACTTCCGATACGAACTGGCTCGAAGGTCCGGTCGGAATTTCTTGTTCCTCCATCCAACGGTGGTTTATCCGACCTTCTGTCGGTTGAGGATGGATATCCGACCTGAGGTCGGTTGTAATGTTGTCCGACCTGAGGTCGGTGATAACGCACCTCCATGGTCGACCTCGGTAACTCGTGTTATTTAGGCCCATGTGGGGCCAAACAAGTCCCGTTAGGTCGAATTCGTCCATTCCGAGGTCGTTTCCAGTTCCGGTCTTCAGTTTTAGTCGTCTTTCACCGACCTGTTATCGGTGACTCCTGATGTCCGACCTGAGGTCGGGTATGATGTTATCCAACCCGTGGTCGGTGGTAATGTTATACGACCCGAGGTCGGTTACCACGTGACTGGTCCGTTCGAAGGTCGTATCCCGGCTAAGCCGCTGATGTTCCGGGCGGAACCGAGCGATCCGGCGTTCCTAACCGACTTCTGTGGTCGGTTGGACCGGTTCTCCGACCTGAGGTCGGTGATAATGTTATCCGACTGGAGGTCGGTTACTCCAAGTCCCAGGTCGATTAAGGTCGATTCCTTCTGTCCGGAAGTCGTTTTCCGTGAACATCCTGGATGGCGTCTCCATCCACCGACCTGTTGTCGGTTACTTCTCATGTCCGACCCGAGGTCGGTTAGAACGTGGGATCATCCTCATAACCGACCTGTTGTCGGTTGTTCCACTTTATCCGACCTGAGGTTGGACGTAATGTTATCCAACCCGAAGTCGGTGATTCTTCATCCAGGTCGGTTTCGTCCGTCAGGAGGTCAGTTTTGAACCTCTGGGCACTCATCCGATCTCTGCGAGGTTTGTTTGAAGCGATGGTCTCTTTCATGCCTCTAACATGCCCTGGTTCGGGTCGATAGTTTTGCCTCTGGACGGGTCCGGGTTCCGTCAGATGCGGCAGTTCCATGGCGTCTGTTGTCCATTCAGCATGCAATCCAGGTCGCTTGTGGCGTCAAGGGACTTCTGTGGTCCCACTCCACAAGACAGACTCTTTGGTTTCAAACCGGCGTAAGGTCCTCGCGCCTCAGCAGAGTTGTGCGTCGGGCCCCGACTTATGTCAGACTGCCCGTTCCCATCCCCATACAACATGCAAACTGAAGTAAAATCAGATCACTTCACTTCCCTGGTTTGGAGTTCCTCCGTTCGGTTCCGCGAACCTGTGACGCCTTGCCGCTTCTGTTGGGGAAAGACATCACACGTCCGTAGGGATCTGTATGGGGGTGCGAGCCGTGTGTTCTAACACGGTCTGCCTAGGATGTTCCATTTAAAACATGGGGAAGCAGGTCGCGGCGGAGTCGTTGGTACGTCAGTAGCCAAATCACCGTCGCTGTTCCTCTTCAGGTAATGGCAGCACGGTCAAGCCGCGCGTAGTCGTGGTCACCGGTGAATCGGTTGGTTTATCCGATATCCTCCGGGGGGAGACTGCGGTTGGACTCCAGGTACAGGTTCCTGGTTGAGAGCCTGTAGGTCCGGGTTCAAACGGAGAATCCGTCCAGACTAAAATCGTAGTCGGATGTCGCGGTTTGCGGTCGCCATTACCGACTTCTGTGGTCAGTAAAGGCTACGATAAAGCCATCCCGTTTGTAATTTCCGTGTGCTTCCGTCAGGCCGACGTCGGTTAGTCGACATCTCAAAGGTCGGCTACCGTTGAAAAAATCGACTTCTGTGGTCGGTTCTAGGTAGCGGGTCTTAGTTGACACTGTCCGGTCCGTTGCGGTCCGAGTGACTCCGTGTTGTTTGCGGACTTGTTATCCTTTCGGCCATCCGATTTCGGAGTTAACCGTGGGTGCCTTGGCAAGCATGGTCCTGAACACACCGCAGTGCTGTGTTCCGGGCCATGCTAGCGGAATCCTCGCTGGTTCGTACTCCGGAGTCCGGTTGCCGGAGTGTTGATGTCGTAGATCGTAATTAACCAACACGGTCTGCGTTGGATATATCCTTCTGTATGACTTATCCTTCGGATGTAAGGTTGAAACTTCACCGACTTCTGTGGTCGGCTAAGTTATCCGAGTCGTGATTAGAGAAGGTCCAAGTTCTACCTTAAAATTGGCTGACTTCCGTGGTCAACGAAGGTAGTGGATCGTGGTTCTGTGACACGGTCTGCGTCACTTCCTTTAGTTACCTCGGGAATGGTCAACTTCTGTGGTTGACTGAGGTAACGGGGCACGGTTAAGGTCGCGGTTTGCGAAGTTAGGTCTCTGGGCGGGAGTCCGGTTCTTCGCTCCTGCCTTCGGTTAATCCAAAGCGTCGTGTCATAACAGGTCGGTTTTGACTTCTGTGGTCAATTCCGAACCATGTGACATTGCGGGCCGATGAGGATACCACTGTCTGCGGTGATGAAAGTTACTGGTCGGTTACCCGGTCCCAAAGTCGGCCACGGGTGCCAGGCGAACATGGTGTCGAGAACGTGACAACGTTTTCGACACCATGTTAGCGTAATCCTCTCGGTCTGTTCTCCGGAGTCGGTTAGCCGGAGTAATCTTCTTCGGTAGCAGAACGTGGTTCACGATATGCTATGTTAGCAAGCCGGGGCGTCTGTTGGCTCCGGTGTAGCAGATATGGTTCCGATCTGCTAATGCCATGCTGGGGAACTGAGGTCGGTTGCCCAGTTCATTCCAGGGGATTCCTTGGAGGACGTAACGGTACGGTGAAAGAACCGAAATACCCAGGTCTGACCACACGTTTCCGGGTCCGACCAAAGAATCCGGCCAACTTATGTGGTTGGCGCTTCTGGCGTATTCGTGGTTCACGTCTGCTTTAGGGTCCATAAAAGAAAAGTATCCGTTCCATGTTTTCCATGTCGTTTCTCGACGTGGCTGTTTCTCAGCCGGGCAGGTTCTCCGCTAGGTCGGTTCTCGACTTCGCTGTTTCTCAGCTCGATGTCCCTTCCTTACTGTTGAAGTGGGACCACAGGTTCCTTATGTGGGAACCTGTTATCCCAGGGGGACTGAGATCGGCGGGTCTCCGCCGAAGTAATCTTCGTCGTCATCGTCAGATTTAGGTGGTGGTCGACCAAGGCGCCGGAAGACGTCAGGCTTACATGTTGCTGGTGGTTGCCCATCTGGTTGTGGGGTGCCTTCCTGGCCAGGTTGTTCCGCCCGCGCCTTCTTAGCTTTCTGGACCTTCCTACGGAGCTTATGCGCGTTAGGTACTGCGCCGGGTGCCAAGTCGTCCGACATCCCTTCTCCATATGGTCTAGAGGTGAATCCACTAGGTAACGCTTTTTCTTCGCGGTACCACTTCACGAATTCGGCCGCATCGTCGTCTGGATCTTTGAAGTCCTTGCGGAAGGCGTATCTGGCCGCGTGCCGTTCCTGTATGTAAAGGAGATCGCGTGCCAAACTGCCAAGATGATACTTCGCATGGGTGAACCAAGTTGTACGACGATCGTATCCAGTTCTGGTGGGATATGTGCCGTGCGACGTGCTCCCCACAGCGTGTAGTGGCAAAAGTAGTTGCCTAACCTTGCTGCGAAGACGTACCGCAAAATGGTTGCATTTCGATCTTCTGGTCCCGGTTCTTCCTCCGGCAAGTACTGCAGTAGGTCCAGGGCCGCTCGAGC